ACAACAAGATTTTGCTGAATTACTGGCTCACTAATTTTTGGCTGACAGTGTTGCAATAGCAATGACAAGTCACTGCCCCAACAATACCTGCAGCACCATCAAGATGTCTTGCTTGATTAGACGACTGGGAGACCATGTACGCAGGTTGTCTCCATACAACTTGTCTTTTCGATATTTGTTATGAATTGTGCAACTGCCTCAGGCACAAGTCCACTGGAAACATGCTCATTAGAATAGCATATATATATTTTTTAGGCATCTGTGGTATGCATGTCATGGAATCATGCAGTGTGGGATTTCATCTTGTAGAGAGGTCTGTCTGGAGACCCTCTCAGGGACCCTCCTGAAGACTCATCAGGAGATGTGTATGGTGGGGTCCGGCTAGTACCCTGTAGTCATTAGACATCTGTTATTAGGATCATTTCCCTACCAATACCTTCTAGTCCTGTTCGTCACTGTTCAGGTTTGCTGGCCAACCTCATGATACCGCAGACCATTGAGATCTGATTTCTCTTTCCTCTCTCATGTACTACTTTACTTTTGGGCATGCAATCAGATTGATGATCAATCAGACAAGAGAATGCATTCATCAACACCCAAAGGAACAGCTACACCATCAGCTCAGGCTGTCATCACAACAAGACTCATTTGCATGGCAGACTTGGACTCTTCAAACTTCCTATGTAACAAGGTGGCTGGACCTTGATGAGCGCTCAGAGCAGCATCCCTGATCCAGACCTTGTCCCAAGGGCAAAACTCTGAGTTGTCTCACATGATCGCCTCTTTGCAAACACGCCCTCCCATAATCAGAAGGGTCACAATAGGCAGTGCCAGTGATTGCTCCATATGGAGAGAAACCAATGGCTGGTCCTTGCTCTGTAGGATTTCAGTTACTTGATCCAGAAAGTCTCCTTACTGCAGTATCAAGAGAAAATCTTGTCCCTTTACCACTGAATAACCCTTTTGTCATCTGGCGAGTCAATTTTCTTGCTGCTGTCAGACCAATATGCCTGTCAAGCTGTGAATCCCCTTGGCGTTGCACCAATCAAAGTCGACACGATGTACAGGTCTCAGATGTCCTGGTTAAGGAGGGGTCCAGAAACTAACCAGAGCTTACTGTTGTGTGTTTTAAATTGGCATGCTATGACATCATAGGTGATGCTCAAAGGTGCAATTGCAAGCACAAAGGGTCAACATATGGCCAGGATCACATGTTGCGACTAGTGATGTCATTTGTGACTGCAGTCACAAATATGTAATTGGAGACGCAATTGTGCAACTGCTTCGGTTGCAAGTTCACTAGGGAACATGCTCATCAGAATAGCATATATGGCAGACCATTTGGGTCTGATTTCTCTTTCCCCTCTCATGTACTACTTTACTTTTATGCAAGCAACATTGATTCATCTTCACAACAAGACAAGATCAGCACTAGTAATACATCATTGCCATGCCTAGGTACATCAAGTAATCCACCTTGGTGGATCTAGTTGTTACTGCACAACATTCTGTGCTTGAAGTTGGGTCATCCCTGTCGGATGTATAGGCATCTTGCTGTGGACAAGCAGGAAGCGGACCAGATTATAATGCATCTCTTCAAGAGGCTGCTTGCGCAGATGGGCAGGACGGATCAGATCAGGGAACGGGTGTCATCTCTGTCTCTGCCAAGAGAGAGGTGGTTATGACATCCACTTGAGGTTGTAACCTGCACCCAAGTCTCCTTCAATGTTCGGTTAGGCTGGACAACCAGAAAACAGTGCAAAAACTTGCTATTGTTGTGGGACTGCTGCAATTCTACAAAAAAAAACGCTTTGCGACCTGATGCTCTCTCTCTTCCAATCTCTATCAGGATCAGACCCCCACCCCTCAACAAATCTGGTCAGTATCCAAGCACAGACATATCGGGAAACGTTAGTGACCATGAGGGGGTCTACATCTTGTTCAATGCAAGCAAAGATACAGGAAGGCTCAGATTCTACCTTGGTTTGACAATCTGGGGCTTTGAGCACCGGAAGGACGGGCATCCTGGGAAGCCGGATTTGAATAGACAATACATGACGGCTAGGGTCGTCAACCATTAGGACCAATGTTCCAAGTTTACGCTTGTGAGTTGCCTTAGCTTAATGCTGGAACAGCTTTGTAATCTGAGCCAAAACGTGGTGTTGGCAGGTAGATTTTGGGGACACATTTGAGGAGCTTGCCATCGGCGGCCAAACAACGCATGCAATGGAGATTGCCCTCAATGTGCTGCTCAGAGCCTGGCAATTGTGGGTTGAATACAAATGTCACAAGTAAGCGGTTCAACTCGTTTTTTCCTTTCCTGTTCCTGACTCGTTGGTCTACATCTAGACAAAAGAACAAACCCGCTTTGGCAAACCCTTCATATAAGACTATGGTGGTCTTCTATGTGAATCAAGCTTAGTGAGGCTGCCAAAGGTGGGAATATCCATTTCCCCTCCTCAGCTTCACCACCCGGGGGCAATTCAATGGAATGCGATATTCAAGAAGCTCGATATTGTTCCATGCCCATACCTCTCTGCTTTTGAGACCCGCTTGCGCAATATCGTCTGATGGCATCACCAATTTGGTTTGAAGTGGCTTAAGCCAAACAAGAGGGATTGGAAGCTATATGAAGCACACCCCATCTTCCTCGACACCTGGCTCGACAAATGCCGTCCAGCAAGTAAGTAGATGTGCGCCAAGATCTTGCCGACTCTGTATTGACCAAACCACTGTGGCCAGTTGCTAAAGGGGAACAACTCACTGTCAAAAAGGTTTCTACCAGACAGCCGTTGGCCTATGGGAAGCAATCCTTGTCAGTGCCGCTGATCTCCAGAGAGTACAATAGAGTTTGCTTGCTGATGACTAGACTTCTGCTTGGCCAAATACCCAGATAGACTGCACCTGAAACTTCTTTTTGCGGCAGTCAATTGCAAGTCAAGAAAACCGAGAATGAGAGGGCCATGGCTGGGGAAAGTGAAAGTGTACTGTTGACTGGAGCCGCAATAACAAGCAAGTCAAGAACGTGAAAGTCCAGAACGGGAAAGTTGAGAACAAGCAGGCCCATAACAAGAAAGCCGAGAACTCGAAGGTCAAGGGGAAGAGAAGGTGTACTAGTGACTGGAGCTGAGAGAAGTCCGTCGGATTGTCAATTAAAGATGTCTTGTCTTGAGCAAAATGAATGTATCTGGCCGCCGACGAAGTGAATGTATCTCGTGATGATCAAGTGCGGCCATTGCCATTGATGGCTGTACCCTTCAAGGACTCGTTTGATCTGGAAGGGCTGCAGATACCCATGTCTACAAATACCCTGACAGAGATGCCACAGAGCATGCTCGACAATGCCGTGTTCCTAAGACATCCTATACAGTGAGGTTTACGCACAGGAGGGAAAGGTTTGTTAGCGGATTGCTAGAGTGCGTGTTCCATCCGAAGGCGAATGTACCTGTGTTCATCCAAATATCTGAGTTCCTGGAGTTCAGGCTCAGATCCTGTCCAAATTTTATAGATGTAAAGGCATATAGCAAGACTCCAGACAAACAATATAGGACATGTTACGGCGGAAGTCGCTAATGGGCGAGAGTTCCCAAGTCGTAAGGCGTAGGGTGCTTAAGGTAGATTGCAGGTAGTTGGGAGAATGTCCCAAGTTCGCTTGAATGAAGCGGGTTCGGATGAGGGATACGAATCCAGAGATTTATGGATAAGGAAGGTGTACACTCGGTGTGAGGTACCGGATTCGGTCTAAGGTAAAACGATGAAGCGTAGATACTTAGCAACATCCTGAGTTTGTAACCTCTCTGCAACACGTCTTGAAGATGTTGTAACAAGTCAGATAGGCGTGTATTGAATGTGATATTGGAACTTGACCTATTACTATTACAGAGCGTCCTCTATCGAATTCGGTCAAGTTCCTCTAGCTATTTATACGAAGACGAGTAAGGAGACGAGGCTGGCGAACACTGGAAAGACCCAAGAGAGAAGACTGGCGAGAGATGGTGAAACTGGAAGAACAAGATGGCAAACAGATGAATCCTGTCGAGAGCAACCGGATTCGGTAGAGGAGGCGAGTTTGAGTTCTCATTTGTCCCTAGGTACGTTGAGTAAGGTTGTCAAGGTCCTGAGTAAGGTTGTCGTGTACCTCGAGGTCCTTGTACCTGTTTGTGATATTTATACGAAGACGAGTAAGGAGACGAGGCTGGCGAACACTGAAAAGACCCAAGAGAAAAGAACGGCGAGAGAGATGGTGAAACTGGAAGAACAAGATGGCAAACAGATGAATCCTGTCGAGAGCAACCGCATTCAGTAGAGGAGGCGGATTTGGGTTTGCATTGTCCCTAGGTACATCGAGTAAGGTTGTCGAGGTCCTGATTAAGGTTGTCATGTACCTCAAGGTCCTTTCACCTGTTTGTGATATGCGTCGGGAAGGTATTGTTGTTTTCGGTAAATGGTGGGGGCGACCGAATCTGCTCCAAGAGAATCGGGTTCGCCTTGTCGAGCCAATCTTAGGTGTATACTGATGTCTGTGGAACAGCCCAGTGTGTTGGTATTTGACTCACATGATGATCCCGTAACAAACAACCATCCTCACGATAGACCGCCTCAGAACCCCTTTTGATGTCTGTAGTGAGTCTCCCTTTTCATCTCCTATATATGCCTATCATCAAAAGCTCCTTATCTGTATATACCTCTCCATTATTTCAAATTGAACCATTACCCTAGGCCTGAGCCCGCATACGCTGTTTAGCATCTGCCCGTTACACTCAATAATTACAAGGAGCTTTCAGTGCGACAGAGGTTATCACGTCACGTGATCGCAACATCCGCGATCGCGCCGCCAAGGGAATTTACCTCGGTGTTTGTCGTTGCATGAATGACATCATCAACCTCGGTACCGGTTTGCCTTTTCGCCCTTGGCCAGCATGAGACTCGGTATCATAACATCTCGCAGCCGTCTCGATAGCCTGTCGTCCAAGACTTTGTCTGCCAGCCAAGGTAGACGTCGTTCATATTCGCGATCACCGCCGCAGATTTCGTCCGCGCATCTCTTTGCCTCAACATCGCTGCCATCGTCGGGGCATGTTATATAGATCTATAGAACAGGATGCTGGTGATATGGTCGTTCTTGCGCACTGTCCGCTGGGACAATCGAGTGTACCGACCTCACACATTCTACCTACAAGATGAAGTACTACGATGCCCTTCGCAAGAGAAGAAACAACTACACTCAGCATGACCCCGAGACAATGGAGTATCTCGTTCATTTTAATGATTGGGTGGGGTTGTACCTATGGCTTGGTCTGATAGGTATTATCGGGATAGTGACCGTTTTTCATTGGACCGACAAGATTCAGGTCAGCGAGTGGAAGCTGGTCGTTCCGGTTCGCCAGCGAGCACAATGCTGATGCTCCGAAACGCTCCTATCGATGCAGGGATACTACCGCCGTCGTCATGCTGGTTTCCGCTCTCGAGAAAAACGATTGCCCAGGACCCGATCTATACGATCCATCCGATCGGTCACGGAGACAGGGGATGTCGAAGTGAACCCTCATGTCAGCAGCGGGCGAAGCATCGGCAGCGGCAAGCCTCTTGTGGTAATCGAAGAGCAACATCAAATCAGTCTCAGATATGGATTCTATTGGCTGGCGGCTTTCTGGCGCAAATACAGCATCAAACACTCCGCCATAGCCGAATGGTTTGCTCTGGGAGATCTCGGACAGTTGTTCCTGATTGCCGTCTATCTTCTCCTCAACTTTCTGCTCATTTTTCTTGGAACGGCCGGCGACATAGATTGGATGGCCCACCATGTTCGTGACATGCATGCCAGTCGCACTTGTCATAGCTAATGCATCGTTTTTTTTTCTGTTATCTATCACTCGACAGGCGGCGAAGTTAACTTATGCAAACTTGCCTCTGATCATTGGTCTTGCTGGAAAAAACAATGTCCTATCGAAATTGACCGGATTCGCCTACGAGAGCCTCAACGTTCTTCATCGGTGGAGTGCTAGGTTTGTTATCATCAGCAGCACCATTCATATCGCGGGCCGCATTCATGTACGTATTGACCGTTCGAATTGTTGACAAGTAGCTGAAATCTCCCTTGCCGTAAAGGTCAACGTGCCTAGCACAAGAACCGGGGTTTCTGGTAGTGGATACATCATTTGGGGCTGGGTCGCTTTTGCCCTGTTTATCTAGTAAGCAGAATCAATCTTGGCCGTGGCCTGATTTTTGCGCTAATTCTTCCCCATTCGGACAGCATGATTGTTATGGCATCCCGCAAGATCCGCAACGCAGCCTATCAATTTTTCCTGGTAGGTCCGGTCGCCATCCGGCTTGGATGCTGGCATTGCGACTGCTGAATGGACACCTTCTCACCCTCAGATACAACACATCATCCTCTGGTTCGTTATTGTGGCATCTCTTGTGATTCACCGGCCCCAGCTTCAGGGGTGGATCTGGGCCGGTCTCGCGCTACACCTGCTCGATCGATTCGCAAGGCTTTTGCGTATCTCTTATTACACTATCCTCAAGAGGGTGTCGGGGGATGATGATCGTCCGGAAGGCGAGGTCACCGTACTGACCAGCGATACGATCCGCGTCAGCGTAAGGACTAGGCAAAGTGAGAGCTTTGACTTGTGCTCGCGTTCCGGTCCAGAGACTAACCCAGACACCCTCATGTACCAGATTGGATCGCCGGTCAACACGTGTACCTCCACTGTCCCAAGCAGTCGCCTGGGGGTCATCCTTTTACCGGTAAGGCATCGCAAAAGATAGACCTTTAGCTTTGTGACATCATGCTGATTTGACTCACAGTTTCTAACATCTCGAGGCCCCTCGATCAAACGGATATGCATCGGCCACGGGAAGCAACACAGGAGTTACTGATTCGGGTCAGGGAAGGCATGACTAAGAAGGTCTACGAAGTCGGCATGCAAGCGAAGGATATGGAGACGAACATTGGCAACAAGGCGAATTATCCGAAAGAGCCTGTGCCAATCAAAGCTTGGACGGAAGGACCTTGTGAGTGCCTTACGCGCAACGCTTTATATGATGCGGGGGATTGATCAGGGCGACGCCATCTCGTGGCAGATGGTCATGAGAAATACCTAGGGGAGGATTACAACACGCTTATGCTTGTAGCCGGAGGCTCCGGAGTCAGCTACACATTGTCCAACGCTATGGACCTTGTCCGACGAGCGCGAGCAATGCACATTGGTTCAGAGGACAAGACTATTGCCATTGCGACCCGCCGCCTGCAGTTTGTCTGGATGGTCAAGAAACCGGGTATGTACCTTGCGTGCTTGTCGAGGCGCTGCGCTCACCGCCTCGACTGATGCCATAGAGCAAGTCGCTTGGATAAGTGATCATCTCCAGCAAATGTGCGAGCTAGCACCTCCCGGATTCCTGCACATCACCATCTTCGTCACGTCGAAACGTACATCAGATGAAGTCGCCATTCTGCCAGGTTATGTGACGGAAGATAAAAGGAGTCCCGTAGAGTCTGAGGGAGAGAAAGCAGCACGACCTTCTGAGATCGGATCTCCAGCAGTCGAGCGCGTCGAACATGGAAGCCGCGTGGAGCTGAGGTCTGGTCGTCCGAACTTTCGCGAACTGGTCGAGCGTGAAGTGCAACATTCGGCATACACAGAGTAGGTCAAGGGGCGCCCTGATATAACGTCCGTCTGTTCGCTAATCAGTGAGGCGTGCGCTACTCGAAGTTGGTGCGGTGTCGGTGCATGCGGGCCAACCCCCATGAATGACTCGCTTGCCTCTGCCGTTAGCGAGGCAGTGCGTCCTGGTTCCGTTGCCCGGGGCGAGCTTCGACGCAATATATACCTAACTATCGAGTAAGCCTCCTCCAACACTGGCAGACAATCTACGTAAGCTAACAACAGCACTATGATTGCAGAGAATTTGGCTGGTGATGCACGAGGATTAATGCGTACCCGAATCTGTATTTCGGAAGTCCCATGAAACCCGATATCATTTTGTGTTTATTGCAAAGCAGAAAATCAATCTGTTTTTCTGACTTGCGAGGGAAAAACTACTCAACTCACGAACGTAGCAATGAATCGTATGATCCTCCTTGTACGATTGCTGCTTGATGACAAGCAAGAAACACTAACATCCTCTTACACCCTCAGTAATCACACAGGATGCAGAATGACGACTTCGAGGAGCTACATCCCAGCTAGACATGCTAGAAACCGGTTAGATGCATGAAGAGCCGTCGGCGAGTTTCAACGCGTAACCCTTGGAGAGTAACACGTAATTGTTACGCTCCAGCGTCGGCTTGAGATTCCTCACGAACAAAATCGATTAAAACCCTCATTCTCACTCGTATAAGTAAAGTAGAAGATGAACACGGTCGATGTCTATAGCTGATCTGCTGATCGCTGAACAGCCGACGCTGAAACAAACGCCTCCGATTGATCTTCGACGATGAAACGATAGGTCACGTGACCGCTGCTATCGGTGATCACCGAGTCGGCCAGTCTTCCCTGCAGACTGCGATACTACGGTACTCCCAGCTATAGTCCTGTTCCTGTTCAGACTTTGTCAGCTCTTCACTGCTCTCTCAAGGCCCTCTTGTCGCTTCTCAGTGTCCTCACATAATAGCAGAATTACGAATACACATAGAAGATCATGGCCATCAATGGAGAGCCGCTCGTCGAAGATAGCTCTCAAGGCGTTTCGAGGACGGTAGCTTTTCTTCCTCTTGGATGTACCGATGGCTTGGCCAATCCAGAGAGTTTTACGAGGCATCTACAAGAAGCCGTACGTTCCACAAGCGATGCATTGGCTGTAATATTCTATTGGCCTTCGCGGAAAGTCAACCCCATCAGCGATCTCTCACCAGTAACCCGGCAGGCGGACTGGGATGTTCTGCAGCGCTTTTTGGGGGTCATGTATGGCTGCGCAGGCCGCGAGGCTGCGGTTCTGGACCGACCGTTACTGGAAGTCCTTGTACTCATAGACGGTCTGATGGATGAGACTTGCTTGCGAGGCAAAGTCAGCAAAATCATCCTGCTCAATGAAGTCGGCCTTAGTGAGCACGTCGGGATACGACCTTGACAAGGAGTCGGTTCTGAGCTGGCCTCTTTCCTCGCAGATGACGTCGCACGCTTTCTTGAGACCAGTCCCGAGCCTCAAATGGTCACTCGTTTCAGTAAAAATCTACGTCAAGCTGGAGACGACAGTGTTTCCCCGAGCCATCCGATCACTGCAGCACAAGAGAAGCAGGATCATCGACACGACGTTACAGCTCTTGGTGGAACGTTCGACCACTTGCACGGCGGGCACAAGATCTTGCTGACCATGGCGGTAGCGATTACAAAGCGGCGATTGGTGATCGGATTGACCAGTAAGTACCTTTGTGAATGTTTCCTCTTCAACGGATTCTGACATTCCACACTTACCAGCCGATGTTATGCTCAAAACCAAATCGCACGCCGAGCTGTTAGAGCCCTTCGAAACCCGTACTCAACACTTACAAACGTTTCTCAGGCACCTGAGTACGGATATTGAGTACGATATCATAGCTTTACGGGATACATATGGTCCCACCGCCACGGACGAGCTGATCTCGGCGCTGATCGTGAGCCGGGAGAGTGCTGCCGGGGGTCTAGCGAGTAGGTCCAATCGTCTTTCTGCTTCCTAAGACTCAAAAAGCTCAACATCCTCACTATAGTCGATCAAGTACGCGAAACGAACGGCTTGACTAGATTGCGCACATACGTAATCGATGTGATATCTGGCAACCACGGTGAGAGTGGAACCGGAGTCGAGCTTGACGGCAACCAAAAGCCGCTCTTGGTGGATTCATCGGCGAATCCTGAACAGCTGAAGGAGCTCAAGCTCGGGAGTACATACATCCGACAGTGGTTGGCAAGTCGGAAAGACGGCTCCGATTCGGGTGGGTATGGTGCGGTCTCCTTTCTACCGACTAAAGCTAAAATCCTGAAGCTCGATCGCAGCCGGATCACATGGACATGGTAATCTCACTCGCAAAGGCACTGAACCTGCATGGCAGCGCAAGAAACAGAAAACGACGGAAGTAGCGACAGCTGGCAAGCTCACTGAGCTGGCGCCGATGCGTACAGCCTACGAAGCGACGAGCCAAAGACTGAGATGGACATACAGCTACGAGGAGCTGGAGACTGTGCGCCAGGAACTGAGCGATCGGGCCGTCGAACAATGCCGCAGAAATTGGGATACAGAAGCTGTAAGAACAGATCAGACCTCGATCACGCACATCGTCCGCTAATCTTCGCGGTTCAGTCGCTCTTGGCCAGTGAAGGAAGTGCCAATGTCAAGGTTCCAAAGAAATTCCCTTCGCCAGAGGATGAACGACTGCTCGTCACCTTTTACGCTGCATCCATCAGAACCATCATCGCGGAGGGAATGCTCAACAATGGTCGTTCGCTCCCGTCTGCTATAGAAGGGGTAGCCATTACCTTTCTGAAGCGTTTCTATTTGCGGACGAGCGTGCTCGAGTGGCATCCAAAGGTCATCATGTGAGCAGCTATACCAATCCTTTCTCGAATTCGATCCCATCAAATTGTTAACCCATCGCTCGCTCCTATATAGGCCAGTCTGCCTGTTCCTGGCCGGTAAAGTTTGTAACCACGTCTTTGATATCGACAATTACGTTGCATCCTTCAACAAAATCAAACGCGATGATATACTCGGTGTCGAATATCTGGTGCTACAAACCCTACGATTTGACGTGTTCGTACCGCGAATACAGGACGCTCTCCATGGCTGGTTTCTCAAACTACAGGTCAGTCAGCTTCCCGAGGATGACGTATACTTCTTGGCTATTAACCAATGGTCGTGTACTGCTGCTAAAGGACGCGAACCCATCCGGCGTGAATCGGATCGAGGCGGCTTACCTGGTCGCGCAATCACATTTAAAGCGTTCGAGACTCTCGGACGCGGAGTTCATCTATACACCGTCCCAGATAGCTGCCACCTGTTTCCGTATGGCGGACGCCAGACTGTTCCAGACCGCCCTGGACAAACTTCTACCCCTCGATGCTGAGTCGCAAGGTGGCACAGAATCAAATTCGGGTCAACAATCCCTTAAACCGCTTCTCGCGCGAGAAAGTCTGCTGGATATATTACAACACGTTCAGAACGCCATCGAGAGCGCTCCGTTGGATGCATCTTCCGAGATGGACAAGGTGAAAGCCGCAGATAAATTGGTCAAGTTGGCACAAGACCCTGCAAAAAACAAGAGTTCCGCATTGTAGGTCTTCCAGCTACGCCTCTCCAGACAGAGCTCTCTGACTGACTTACTGCTCTGAAATTACAGATATCGACAACAGCAGCGGCAACAAGAAGCTCAACAGGCAGAAAAACGGGCTCTTCGCTTGCGACGGGCGCAGCAAGACATCAAGAATCGCGATGACTTTTTCGGTGCACCGGTCGGTTCGGGAGTCACCAACAGCGCGGGTCCTGCTATGGGTGTACAAGCTGAGAGCGGAGGTCTCGCGCTGGGAGGAGAGGGTCTAAAAATGGTCGGGATGAGTCTGGACAGCTCGGACTCGGAGTGATGTGACCAGATTGATCGCGGTGACAGAACCCTGTATAGACTATGTCATTCGTTCATTGTCATCGTAATTTACAGCTCGCCCATCATGAGCGATTTGCGAGCCTTGTATACCGACACGGACAAGGGATCGAGACCCGTATTATGGGCTTCGTGCGCCGTCAAGATCTTGCTGCTCAGCTCGCCTCCCTCTTGCGCCGTCGACTGATATGTGGCGATGCCTTGCGACCCTGGAAGGCCGGGGATAGCATCTCTTGCAGTCCCCTGTTCACGCTCACGACGACTTCGAGATCCGTTCCAAGCAGGTGGGGTCTGGAGATGAAACTGCTCGGCCTCGCCATGCAGAGCAGCCATATGTCGGGACCGTAGCTCCGAGGTTGATTTTGCTGGCGTGAGCAGGCTCGACAGCGGAAGCCCCTCCATCGTTGGACTGGTGGTAAATTTTCCAGTCGAGGTAGCCTTGTCCTCGACTCCGCCGCCTTCCGCACGGCCCGTGCTCGACGCCTGGTTACGCTGTGCCCGCTCGCGAATCGAGCTAATGGAGAGGGAGCTGGGGAATGCCGGGTGAGTGGTCTGAGCTTGCTGTCTCACAATGACCTGACTGGCCGGGAGGACCTGTGACCATATAATGAGCGGAATCTATGAGTATCCGAATTTCATTGGCGACCGAGGTCGACTGACTGTAGGCACAACCTACCTGCGCTGCTCCGCTCCCTTGCATCGGCTCCTGGGAGGTGTTGGAGGCCATAAAGTAGAGAGCTTGGATGATGTTGAATGTGAAGAGAATGTAGCCGATCCTCGCTATACCAGCAAGCTCAATTTTTATCAGTCACCATTCGAAAAGGGCAGCCCTCGCCTTGACGATGCTTACCGACGTAAACATCCCAATGTGTATGCCTCCAACCGAACATGGCACCCGTCAACCTGGATGTCGTCACCCACAGGTCAGATCTCGTGGCGAGCCACCATGTGACGAGACCGAAAACGTTCCATCGCAGCCGTTGAGCAGCAAAGAAGTTGACGGAGGAGGACATGGCGTGTCTGCTGAGGTGTTTGTAATGATTGCTTTCCGCAGGATCCGACTCGATGTTCAATCCGATGTAGGCGTATGAGGTATTGTGAATTGGGTGTTTGTTTCAGCTTGTGATCCTTTTGACGAGTGCAGTAGTATAGCTAGTATAGTAAGTTAGTATTAGTAGCTTGTGGTGATGGTGGTAACCTAGTAAGCTAGTAGCTATTCGGTGTTCGAGGGGGCGGTCGACGGCGAGTCTCGGGTCTGGGGAGGATCCTGGCAGTAGTTAGGGGAGTGGTGACGAATATCAGTACTGCCTCCTACCCCGGTCGAACGAACACTCAAAAGGCGAGTTGATACCGTCATGTGTGCATGGGATGGCCATCGGGTACATCGAACCTTTCGAGGCAGACGATTCCCTCCAAGATGACGCAGAGACAAAAGGGAGAAAGGACAGGGCTGACCCCCCCTCCCCCGCTTGCTTGAGGGAAAGAGGCAGGGGAGGATATGAAACGCACGCGGAGAACAATAGCGAACCTGCGCGACCACCACCACCACACCCAAGAACTCTTATTGTTCTCAACATCTTTCAAACTCGCGAGCAGCAGCAGCGACAACGAGTCTTCGAAAAAGGATGACCCAAACGGATGGAACAAAGCAGATTGGAGCGGGGAGACGGGCGAACAGGGTGGAGGATAGAGAGGGAGGGGCGAGCGAGGCGTCGGTCAGTCGATATAGCAGCAGACTCTCAACATTCGCATCCTAGTCTTATGACGATATCCTCGACCCCTTGCTGCCTACCCATAGCTCGCCTTTCTCAACCTATAAACCTTGCTCACATTTAGAATGAGCACACGCATCCCCACTCAGTCGAGTAACGGTCCCGATACCCATATCCGCTCCCTCTTCAACGCTCAGGACCAATCCGCTCAGGCTCTCAACCTCGCCGGTCTGTTAGGTCGCGTCAAGATGTCCCGAGAAGACGAAGGGGAGGAGGTTCTGCTTCAGCCTCACCCAAGTCGTACGGTCGGTCGTCACACCAAGGCCTACGTCCCTTCACCGACCCTATCGTATTATGCCAATTTTGTCCCGGCCACGCCGGCTCCACCGCCCTTGCCAGTGCCGGCCAGCCAGACGGCGACAACCTCTTTTGCGATGCATCGGAGCGTCACACCTCCAACTCGAACCGAAGATCGCAGGATCCAGCGCAAACAACCTCCTGCTCCTATCGACGTCGAGCGGGCCTGTGGATCCGGAAGAAAGGCACAAGCAATGAATCGACATCTGCCTGTAGTCATCACGCTCGATAGCCCGGTCCTAGAGGACAAGCTTGCAGGAGAGCTCGGATCTACAAGCCAAGAGCTCGCCTTTGGTCGGGAAGACGACACTGCTCCGTCGCAAGATCGTCGTGGCGTCAAGAGTCTTTGGAGATCCAAGTCGAGAGGCAAAAAGATCGTCCCTGCCGTCGCTGAACCTAGCCCGGAATGGGTCGAGGTCGAGCAAGGTTACCGACATCCCTCCTGGATGGGAGGTCTCGACGTCCACGGGATTGACCTTCTCAAACCGGCCCGTAACGACCATGTCGGATCGACGAGTTCACCCACGACCCTGACACCTTCTCCCGGGACCGGAGGTGTCCTGCACAACGTCCTCTTGACACCGACCTATGGAGGTTCTACCAGCAGACATCGCAGTCCAAGCCCCAATCACAGCTCGACCGATCTCTTGCCGATTAGACCAACCAACCATCTTGAGGATGACTGTGACAAGAAGAAGCAAAAACGCCGAACGCTCATGGACCGGGCCGGCCGGTTATTGAACGAGCAGAGGATGCGACTCGTCTACGACAACCACAAGCGAGAGGCCCGTGGCCAAGTTCCCCCCGTCAAGGTTGGAGGGGTCGTTCCTTACTCGTTTTCCGGATACAAGGGCCGTGACGACACCAACATGGCAGAATCGGGAACCGTACCGTTGCACCGCATGCATTCGTATGCAACGACCGACTCTGCGCGCGGAAGCGGTTACGAAGCAAAGGGTCGGTACGCGATGGATTCGGGAAGAGACGGTTCGTTCAGGACCGAGAGAGGCCAAACCGGATCCGGCTATGAAAAGCCATCGCGAGAAATGCACATGCGCTCGATAGCCGACAGAGACGCTACCCTGCGAAAGAGGCGCAAGAAGAAGCTGGTCGTGCGTACCTTTGATTTGACCTCTCGAGGAGATTGACATGTGACTGATACAGTTGGACGAACAGATTCTCGGCGCGCTCATCCTTCTAATCATCGCTAGCTCTGTGATCGGGCTATGCGTTGGCCTACTGACTCGGAAGAGCCACACGGAAGACGCGACGCAGCCTTCTACCACGCAGGATAGTACTACCGCTGCGACACCAACTTCTGCTGCTCCGACCGCAACATCAACTACCTATACTCTCGCTGCGTGTCTCTCCCTCTTTGCACTCGCGGCCCCTTCGGCTCCTAGGACATATCCGTGCGATCAGTGTCTTCCTATACTCCAGACGGCAGACAACGACTTCGCCCCCAGTAAGAACGGAAATGCTGGAATCAGCGGCAACTCGACTGGAGTCGGAGCGGCTGTTCAGTTTTGCGGCTTGCAATCGATCTTCGCCAATACCGATGGCGTTGAACCGTCAAGGAAACGCGCCGGAGTGCTTGAAGGTTGGATGCAGAACACTAACCCTTGCAGCGGGTGGAGTGGAATCATCTGCGATGACAAGTCACGTGTCAAATCTTTGTGAGCGATTTGTGTGAACCCCATCTTATTGGACTCTGATTGACAAGCTTCTCTCACTTGCTCAGATCTCTAGTATTTCCTGGCGTACCTCGATCCCTGGACCCCTCCATCAGTGGTCTCGTCGGCCTTGAACGTATCAAGATTGTTGGCAACTCGCAAATTCCCGGTTAGTGGCAATGTGGTCCAAACGCCTTCACGTTTCGCATAGACCCTAACTCTGCCCGCTTACAGAGGGACCGATACCCGGAGCATTCTTCGGCCCATCTTTGACGGCTGTCGAGATCCAGTCTACCGGATTGACATCACTAGGTACCAGCGCTTTCGCTAGCCTTTCCTCTTTGACCAATTTGGTATTGGTGTCCAATACGAAACTCGGCTCTACCCTGCCTCCGTTACCGGAGACGCTCAAGTTGTCCACCTTGTAAGTGTCTCGATAGGGTTACCTTTGTCGGCAAATGTTCTTTACTGAAAAAATTTATGGGTCCCATCAGGTCTGTCACTGGACAGTCTCTGTCGTCCGATCCCTTTCCTGGACTCCCAGCATCGTTGACTTATATGTGAGAGCCGCTCAGTCCTCATCCCTGATTGCCACAATAGCTTGCTCAACCTGAATTGTCTTACTGCAGCGATCTTTCCTATAACGCGTTGACCGGTCCCATGCCCAACTTCGGTAAATTCACTGTGCTCGAATCTCTGTGAGTCAGGGGGATGAGCCATTCTCTGCTTTAAACCAGTCCTCATCATAGTCTCTCGTGTCCTGTTCACAGATTCCTCGACTCAAACGACTTTGGCAATGTCCCGTCCGCCTTTCCATCCAGCCTTCGCGACTTGTCGTTGCAAAATAACCCCTCTCTGACTGGTGTCTTGCCGCCACAACTCTGTTCGTCATCGACATTGAAGACCTGCGAGCTACAAAACACATCTCTCGGCTCTGCCAACGCTATGAATACCACAACGACTCAGGTAGCCGCCATCGCGACTCGCCTCTTGAACGCTACCGCCACGACCACTCTCTTCGCGACTGCGACTGCTATCACCAAACAAACCGCACAATGTGGAGCTTGCAGATTTTAAGACACGACGCTCATGCCTTGCCAATATACCCTTGTACCCGCTATACTATAGGTTAAGACGTATTTTAACCTCATCTTGAATCGTGTCTAATTTATTATCGTAAAAGACTGCATACACGGCTTTAACACTGTGGTATAGTATCGCATAAATGGAAGATCCTATCTATCAAAGCTCGTGCCCCAAAGTGACGCTTCAGTATCTCCCGGTGCTTTTTCAAACCGATTGTTGTCCTTTCGACCCAGTGACGCCGTGTGTCATCGCTACACCTTCGCCCTCCTCGTCCTTCAAGCTCTTGCTGACTGGGTGAGAGACCTTTGCTGGGCGGTAGAAAATAGCGAAGACGATCATCGTGAACCCGACCCAGGCGATATCGAAGTAGCTGAAGTATCGGACTCCGTCCCAGTTCGAGAAATCGTTATTGACTCGAGAAAACAAACCGGCGCTGTGCGAGCACTTTGTTGTTAGGCATTGGTTTGGGCGTGAGTCTAATTGCGAGCTTACCTGACGGAAAGACCGATGACAGAGCCGATCTGCAGGAAGATCTGAAGCAGGCCGCCCGCGACTCCAGATGCCGAGGGGGGCAGAGCTTGGATGACGCTGACTTGGATTGCTAGGAAAGCAAAGAACATCCCGCTCGACCCGATGAAGAACGAGGGGAACAGGAACGCCCAGTAGTCATTCCCACGTCCACCGTCACTCAGAATCAAGAGGACGAGTCCGGGTACAATGGAGACTATTTGGACGGTCAGTAGCCTGTTTCTACCAATTAATTGTCGGATATATAACTCACGCAGAAATCCGATAAGCACGGTGTACTTTGGCCGCTGAAGAACGACCGGAAACACGTGGACTACCGCGCCAACAGCCAGACCTGTAAGACCCATCGGCAGGAGGCGCGCTGCGACTAGAATGGGCGAGTAACCGTACGCAGCAGTCTGCCAGACATTGGCTAGCTCAAATTCTACCGACGTTTGCTCCCAGAGGTCTTTACGTGAGCTTTCCTCGACCTTTCCGGAATCACGGCGGGACTCACGAATGGTAGCCCACCAAAGGAAAGGAGTGAGGCTGCAACATGAAACGAGAATTTACATGAGCTACTTGGGCAATGCACTCATGCGATATCCGCCACGCCTGTACACTTACGCAGTGAAACACAGGAGAATGAGATTGGGAGCCCGCATCAATGAAATTGGAAGTAGAGCCTTCTCATCGTGCTGGAACCCTTCCCAGACCCAGAAGCCGACGAAAAGCGCCAGAGAGATCAGAAAGGGGGCCAGGAAGCTGGCACTGGTCCATCCATCGGTGGTTCCACCTTTGTTCGAGTCACGGACCCCGGTAAGATCAGCTTGTCAACGAGAACCGCATATCGATGACGATGGACGCTTACTTGTTAAGCCGAGGATAAAGAGGCAAAGACTGCTGGTGAGAATCACTGCCCCGCCGATATCCAGGCGTTGAAGTCTGGAGAATTGACTCGTATGGCTAACGGTGTGCTTTCTGAGCGGCATCATCAACGCGCCAACTGCAAAGGCGCAAAGCGCTAGAATGGCAAGGAAACGCAGCAGCCATCTCCAGGACGCGTTGCCTAGTCCAAAGACCCCACCGCTATTTGAAGTATACACGACATCGGGTCAGTATGATTCTGAATTCGATTACATGATCCCATTGTGAGGCGGAAGTGTGACGAACAGGACGATACCGAGAGAGTTGCTGATACCCGCGATCAGACCGATCATAGCAAGTGCCGCTCGCTGTTTCGTCAGGTCGGTGTAGAGGTGGACGATGAGGTGACTATTTGTGGGTCGAAGAGACTATGAATGGCCTGTGAGCGGCTAGAATTTTGTGGAGTACTCACTAAGCGGACGGAAGGGTCATCGAGCCTGCCAAGCCCTGCAGTGCTCGAAGAACGAGGAAAGCGTACTTGTTGTCCATGAAGCTGGATACAAGGAGGAGGATTCCGAGCATCCCAAATCCGCTCAGGAAGACTAGTTGTGCAGGAAAGATGTCGGCGAGTCTGCCGCTGAACAGGAGGAATCCAGCGAATGTGAGGGTGTAGGCGACGATTCTAGAGAGACGCGATGAGGATATCAGTTTGAAGCAATCCTGAGAGATAAGCCTCCAGATATACTGTACTGACACCCATGTCACGTTGCCAGCGTTCAAGCCGAGGTCTGCAGCAATGTCGGGAGTGAGAATGAGCAACGCGCTGATATTCAGGACGTCGATCGCGGTGGCCATGGCGAACACGGCGAGAAGGATGGCCTTTTTCGTCGGCCCGAGTTTGTCAAAGGGACCTTGATGAGTGGGATCGTTGACGGTCATCTCTTCGTCTGGAGACGAAATCATCGAAGGGGTCTTGGAGACCGTAGGCGGTGTGAGGTGGTCGTGATGGGACATTCTCCTTGAACGGGTTGATCAAGGTAGGCTTTGACGGAACTCGCTGTATTTGTGGAGAGTTGAATTTTCTGGTTTTAGAGAGAGAGAGTGAGAGCTCGAAGGTCGTTCGCTGTGATTGTCCGCCTTATATGATGGTGGTCATACCTTCTTCGGGTAGAGAATGACAAGCACGACGACTATCACCTCATCACCTTTGATTATTCAGCACAGCTTTTTACCTTTTGCGCCCTCGAGCCCATGACACGATCGATGATCAATCGTCAATCGTCAACTTGATCGAAAGAATCTTTTGGCTGTGCCGCTGTGTGGGTGGTGCCAGATTCGGGTCCGACTCTTTCTTGGTTCAAGTGGATCGATGGAACAGGATAGAACAACGAAAAATGCTTCCGCGTCGCGATAAGCAAATCTAGGGTGTACAACTACTGGTCGGCTGGTGGACAAAGGAGGTCGATCCACCTCGTAAGCCACGCAATGGTGGATCATAGATCTTCCATCCTCCCTCAGCTTACCGATCTTCACTTCGGGCATGATCCATGACCAATCGGAAACGGAAGGTTCTGATGAAACCGTCTGCCGGTACACTTGCGCGTCGCGAGTCGTCGGCTTTCCTCCGGCTTCACCTGAAACGAACATCAGACATCTGGCATCTGGACGCACGCACGTGTTCGCAGCGCCCGAAACATGCGAAACAAGGTCTCGCTCTTCAGCTTCTTTCCTGCGTTTCGTCTCGCAGATGGTCGAGAATTTGGAATGCGTGCCACTCTTCCTACATGATCGCCATTGAAGCACTCCACCTTCGCAGGACTGAAACATCGCAGATCGCCAGGACTAGCTTTGATTCTAGCAAAACCAAAAGAAATGCATGCGTGCATTCGAGTGTTATCGAGAGGAAAGATGCAGATGTAAACTGCGCATGCACGTTCGTATCGCCAACCTAGGTATAGCTACACATTAGAAAATCGTGAAACATCATGTTGGAACTGTCGAGCTTGCGCTCAAAGCTATGCGCCAAGACAAATATGCACAAAGAACACAGCTAATAGTAATAGAAAATCAAGAGCAGTGTCCGTCCTCAGCCCCGGTTCATCTAGAACGCAAGGGCGACCAGTCCAGCTACCAATCCGACGACTCCCATCCCGGCAACCTGAACTCGTCCAGCGGCGTTGGCAGGTGCGCTCGTAGAGGGAGTGGCCGAAGCGTTCTGAGCAGTGTTGGTGGTAGCTCGAGCCGCGGTGGTCGACATCCTGGTACTGGTAGGCATCATCTCGCTCTGAGCAGAATCGACGGCCTCGCTGGCCGACGAGCTAGCAGAGCTGACGACTGCGGCGGCAGAGGAAGAAGCAGAAGAGGCGGCCGAGGAGACGGCCATCGAGGCACCAGTCTGAGTGGCCGACATCGAGTTGACACCGGATTCGCTAGCAGCTCCGCCGACGGCGCCGACAGGTCCTCCAGCCAATTCACCGACTCCCCAAGGGATAGCTTGACCATCAGGTTGAGTCTGCTGAGCGGGCGGAGTGGTCGAACCATCGGCAGCAGCGATCTGATCATACGAGAAGGCACGGATTGTATTAGATATAGCATTCGCATCACGACGGCTTTCCCGTACATCAGACTTACGGTAAATCGGGTGGTCCAGGTGACTTGAGTGGCGTTCCCAGTGTTGGGGGTGAATTGCAAGAAATAAATCTTGGAAGTGGGCGACACGTCGGGAACGGTGAACTGATACTCCGAGAGGGTCGTGGCGTCGATCCCGGTCTCCAGGGCTATCATGGGGAAAGATTCAATGTTCAGATCACAAGTATACCATGCCTATGCTTCGATCGATGCTACTTACTTGTGACAGGGATCATCTGGAAGTTGTCTCCGCTCATGAGCTGGATGGTAACTGTAATACAGAAAGCCCAGAGTCAGCAAGGTTCGTACAGAAAATAGCGACTGGCCGACCTCGCAGCATACAATGCGTTCGAACGCCGTAACAAAGGAACTTCATCACTCACCATTGTTCCACTCTCCGCTGGTATCCTTGGTCCACAAGGTAGTCAACTGATCGCCAATCTTGGCGACGGTAGCCCCATCAGGCGAGGTGGGGATCATCTCGGCAGAGACGACCGAGGCGGCGACAGCGAGAAGAGTGATGATGCGGCTGAACATTGTGATAGTGGTGTTATCGTAATGAGTCGTGGTGTGCGAGGCTTTGTAGTGGTGGTAGTACTGAGTGAAGGTCTAGACGAGGTTGAAATGCAGAAGTCGTCGCGAGGTTTCGTAGGGATTGATCAAAAGAGCGTTGTTGTCGTTGTGGACTGAGCTGAAAGTCGAGTAGAAATGTAGGATGGTACCAGTATGCTATGTGCTATCAAGCTATCAATGTGATGTATGTCGCTCCGAGTGGGTTGAGCTGTGTCAAGAGCGAGTCTACGAGCAAGAAAGAGAAAGATGAATGAAGGTTGATGGCGATGGGTTGGGCAACACAGCGACACAGCAATTCCCCTCCCCCTCGGTCGACGATTTCCTTTGTGATGAACCGACCGGCGACACGAAACTGCTTCCGTTTTGCCCCGCGTTCTCCTCCTGGCTCCTGGGCCTCTACGCCTCTTCCGACGCCAAGAATCGGCCGGCAAGGGGGGTCGGGGAAATGAAATGTTGTGGGGACGCGTCGCCCCGAGGGCCAAATAACAACAACAACAAGAAGGAACCGATCAAACAGAAAAAGGGGTGGATGCTGTTCATGCTCGTGAGGTCATTAACGGGTCGTTACACGGCGTCAGGAAAGGCAACTAGATTAAGAGAGGTGAACAGACGTGGTAGAGTAGAGTGGTGGATTGGCGAGTGAAAATGAAAGTCGGCAACGACTTTCGCATCCATGCGAAAGGGCCATAGATGAGGGAAATCGAAGGGATGTGGTGAAGCTGAACAATGCTGGCAGGCAAGGATGAATAGTACGATCAACTCAAGGCGCCCAGATCTGTAGCATAGGTTTGAGTGCCGGGTTATGAGCTGAATGCGAGGGACTCAGAAGGACTTCCATTCGGCTCACCCTGATCGTCCGGTCGACCGAGCCCGTCGCCAACACGTTGACCCGGCGCTCAGTGGTAGCTGCCTTGTCCTTTCCGTCGACTGGACCTTCTCCAGCTGCACCTGCATACTTTGTCCGTCCCCAGGCCATGGTGGACACAAAATGTTCATGCGCGTCGATCGTCTTGGTCATTTTCCCCTGCTCGAGATCCCATATTCGGATCGTCTTGTCGTCAGACGCCGAGAGGAGAAACTTGCCACTCGGGTGGAATGTCATGGCCCGGATCCAGTTGTCGTGACCCATCTTGAAAAGCGATGAACTTATTGTCAGTCGAGGTTGGGCGGGTCGAAAGCGATCCCTACGTCTACTCACGAATACCTTTAGGCATTGACCCGTGAGAACGTCCCACAGCCGAATCGTCTTGTCCCTAGACCCAGTGACCACAAAGCAACCGTCGCTTTTGGCTCGATCGTCACCTGCCGCAGCCTGCAATGGACAAGCCCGTGAGCGAACTCGAATTATGGGGCCCATAGGATGCACTCACGGTTAAACCAGCTAGCTTTCGGATTGAAGCATATGCTGCGACCGGCGCAAACTCCGCGCACTCGACGACATGTTCGTGTCCACGCAGCACCATTTTTGCATCTCCTTCGTTTCGATCCCAGATTCTTGCCGTCTAGGTGGCGAGATCATGCCCTGTGAGCTTGACGTATCAGATTGGCTTGAACAGACAACAGAACTTACCTGGTCACTCGATGCCGATAGCAGCCATTTCCCATCCCCTGACGGTACGACGCTCCGTACCCACTCGTCATGACCCCATAGGGTCCTTATGCAGTAGCTGATTGCAGGTGTCGCAACTTCAGCACCAGCCGAAGCCTTGCGGACAATTCTGGACACATACCCTGTTGACACCTCCCATATACGTATCGTCTTATCACGGCTTGCAGTGACAAGAAAGTCTCCGTTCGACACGAACTTGACGGAAGTAACCGAATGGTCATGACCATGTAATGTCTTTATATTTTTGTATTCGTTATTCGTGTCCCAGATCTTCAGCGAAAGGTCATTTGAGCAGGAGACTGTCGATCGAACAGCCCTTGAACTCAGCATACCGGAACAAGTTAACAGTTGCCAACATCCTGCTCACCCAGCAACCCCCCCTTGGCGTCAAAATCCAAGTCCATGACCGCCTTCGTATGGCCCTTCAGTGTTCGCTCACACTCGCCGGTCTCCCAATCCCAGATCTTGATGGTCGAATCCTCGCTCGCACTAGCTAGTATATTGAAGGTGGGATGAAAGACGACTTTGGAGATGGGGGATCGATGTCCCATAAGTGTGTGACGCTGAGGTACTCGAGGTATCCAGAGGGCGCTGGCCTTGGAATTCGAGCCTGATGCCCGCGGAAGTGTCAACTCTTGCTCCAATACCGCATTCCTTGTTTCTAGATCTTGAATCTGAATATCCGATAGAACCTTCTGTCAATATACCGTACCACAGATAGACAAGATGTCAAGCGCTTACCTTCTTCTGTAGCCTGATCAAGCTGGTCCACTTCTTCTCCAACAACCCTTGATATCGTTTGTTTTGGGGATCGTCTAGTTGTAGCTCTTCGTTGTTCGATTCGAATTTCAAGGCTTCGAAAGCCGAGTCATTACCCGAAGCATGGAGATAGAATAGGACGGCCTTATTGCTATGTGTAAGTCAAGTATGCGAGCCGGAACACAAGATATCAGCTCAGACGACCTCTCGCTCTAGGCCTCTAAGAACGCTCACAGATCATCCCGTTGTTTATCGGTGAGATAACCGGCCATGCCTATAAACACAGCCGAACTTTTCCAGGAGGAATATGTTCAGAAGACTATGCGGTGACCAGGCTGTCGAGATCTTGATGGATAGCTTGCAGAATGATCCTGAATAGTCGAGAACGTTTGATGGGAATGTAGGAAATAGTGCAGCTATAGTTGTTCCCCCCTGCCGATTGCTAATTTGTATCGGATATGTAGCTATGTATCGCTATATGCCCCCTGTCAACTGACTGCAAGTTGTAACAGCACGCAAAGTACGCAACGTGTTGAAAGTGGAATCTTTGAGATTACAAGTTTGCTGTATCACGAAATCTCGAGGATATGCCCATCAGCTGCAGCTGCATTCTTGATCTCCTCGACGACAATCAACACGCGCATCCCGGCGCGTTGCGACTGGTCATACATACCATCAGCGGACACAGCATCACACCGGGTCTACCATAGCCCATCGAGGTCTAGCTTGACCCGAAGCGATACTACGTCTTGCCATCGACTCAGGACGAATGTGCTACATGATACATATTAACGGTGAATCATCCGTTTCCCCAGATACACCACAGTGTTCACCATGTTCGTCATTACAACAGGACTCGATTCAGGCGAGTCTACCAAGACCGGGTATAAGGAAAGCGCCGGCATTCATCAATACGGCCTGCCTCCCTCCGGACCAAAGGTCAGCAGCCCGTCGCCTATATTGGTCATGCCCATCCCGTCGTTGCCTGCACCGTGTCCGGAAGAAATGTTGACACTGTTGGCGCCGCTCCTATCCGGCAATCCGCTCCCAGGTCGACCGATGTCAGGCCCTGCATATCGGACTCGGCTTTGGGCAGACGCAAAGCCATATAAGAAGTTCTTGTAGTAGTCGTCGTCGAGGTGGTTATCGAAAAAGTTGACTTTCATCTTGAAAAAGGCTGCAGACGTCAGGAGGGAATCTGACCCGGCCTGGTGCTGAGGTCCGATTCGTTGCACCTGGAAACGCCCAGCCAGACGTTCCTCTTTTAGCATGGCAGTATCGGACGGCTCAACCAGGAGAGTGACTCACGTTCATCATATCCGCAATCTCCTGCAATCCCCCCTTCAAGCTTCTTACACTCCGCATGATATGCTTGATGTCGTATACGTGAGGGAACCAGATGTGTAGCGCGTCGAAGAATTCGGACTCGACAGGTGGTAGCGGCGATGCGGTGAGCAGTTTCAAGAGGTAGCCGAAGTCGTATCCGCTGTGTGTCATCGAGGTGGGGAGAATTATCAGTAATCGAGCTCGAGGGTAGAGTCGAAGAGAAATGATGCTACTGACGAGTGGAAGCTAACCCATTTTACGTTGGAGAAGAGAACTAATCCCGACGTAATCAGGTGTTCCGCAAAGACGTCATTGTCGATCCCTTCGGTCTCTAGCCTCTTGAAATCGATTCCGGACTTCTGTAATAGCTCAATAGAGTCTTGTGCGTACATATCATCGCTACGGGTTTGGGCACATAGGGAGTTCGCGGTTGGAGATTATGTCTACCATCCGCTGCATCCAAAGGGCACCTCTTGACTCACTTCAGACTGAACTTGAAGTTGAATTGCCAGCAACAGACTTCTGGCATGTTCCCCTCTTCATCTGCCAGGGTCAGACCCAGTTGTATGATCTTGAGCAAGTCGACGTTACATCGCATCGTCTGGAAGTGATAATCGGATCCCGTACGAAACGTTCCTATGGGTCGCGCAACGATCCCCGGAAACTCGGTGTCCTATTAGGACGATGAAGAGTCGTCAGACTCTCGGGCATGCAGCACAGATGATGGGAGCTGCGTATCACTCACCATAGAGACGACCGGGTACTTCTCTATCGTCGCCCTCAGCGAATCCAGCTCTTCATCGAGGTTGTCCGCCCATACCTGCCGGAGGTACGGTCTCAGCACATATCTAATGATAACCAACGATGTGGGGTATGAGAGGGCCGACTAACCTCTCGTATCCGATGTGCCATCTTGAACACCTCCTTTCTCTCTTCCCGGAATTAGTCTAGGTGAAGAAGCCCTGCGTGATTGAGTGCTCGATCGCGATCGATAACGTGAATTGATGGTCCGTTTGTTGACGTTTTTCAGGAGGTATCTCAGCTATTATCAGGATCCGAAGAGTTGTCTAAGGGTACAAGCATACAGACTCACAGAGTGTCCGACCAGAGGCTCCGATAGTAGAGCGATATCTCATGCCGGGGAATCGCATTCAGGTCGCGGGGTCGCTCTTGGCCTGAGATCTCGCGCGCGCCGGCCGAGATCGACATGCGGTCTCAAGGAATGAAGACTTCGCGCCTCTTGATCTTGCGTCTGCCATGTAAATACACATCTTTGGAAACCACCATGTGGCATCTCAATGCAAGGGGTTCTTGATGTTCACTAAGGTTAGTTGGCAGGTGATTGAAGCGGGAAATGCGCTCATCTCGTCACGCAATCTGGTCATTATGCTGGTGATAGATTTAAGTCGAGGGTTTCTTTGACATCAATCAACCGGCATTTTCTATCATCGAGCATAACTATGTGATTGACAGTGGTGAGCTCCCCTCAGCCCAGACTTCGGATTCGACTGCAACCTCAAACTGAGATGGAGTGTCTGAGTGTCTGACATCTGCCAACTTGCTTTGGTCCCCGAGTTATCAGACGGTGACATTTGTACGGGCGATCTCAAACAAGGGAAAGGTACCATCAGGGCCTTAAGCTGTTGGAAGCCACTTTCAATGAACGGTCAAGTGGCAATAGATTTGGGTGAAGGTCTATTGCACCAGCAGGTGAACATTGCCGCGGGACAGCCGATTCCAATTCCAGGCGTTGGTTTTGATAGCTCAGACCTCCTTGAACCCAGAATCTTCACATTGATCAGCATCCCATTTTCTCCAGGCTATGCTACAGCACAGAACTATCTTCTCAGTTCGTCCGAGGACTTGCGGTGATATCTCGTCTGTCACTTGACGCTACACTATAAACGCTTGAAAATGAATTGTAAATCTCCAACCTGACGAGTAATGTTCCATGCCTAATCGTTTCCAGTTATCTTGAAGGGACGTGGGGCTGGTCGAGCGACACCGATCTCGAATAACACTGGCAGAGCTGTTTTATGTTGCCAGATCATCATGAAAGGTAATTCTAGGCCCGAACCCATCTCGGAAGAGATTTTCGATGGAACTGTCGCCTATCGCCATTGCATATCTAGCACGGCAAGGCTTGGCTACCTTGTACTTCACGAAAGTCATTCACCAATCCTCAACGTATTCTGTCGCAGATTCGTCCCACATTTGCCGTTCCATCTAGCTTGTCTCATGGTCAGTAAGAAAGAGTTACACTTCCGGTTTCGTGCAGTCCTAAGCTAGATCAAGGTGTATTTCAGGCACCATATCTGATACCGATAAGACTTTAGTCTAGGGCAACTTTGTTCATTTGCTATCTTAGCTCGAATTAATATCTCTGGTTTCACCATTGCGCTTGACAGAGTCGCTGCATAACGACCAATATTTAAATGGTATCGGACGAGATTTGGATGGTGTATGGCATTCCAGGATGGTAGTGGTTGCGGTGAGGACTGACTTTGATGTCGTCAAGGCGAGTTCCAGGCGGCAGATGGCTAGGTCGGCATCGAGGAGTATACAGGGAATAAGGAACGAAGATGCGGGCATGGTCCCGGCCGACAGACGGAGGTAGCTCGCAGTAAAATCGAGATGTTGCCAAGAGACGCTCCGATTCAAACGCGGCGAAACGAGTCAAGATCAGCGAAAATCATTGCCGCTATGATGATGTGATTGGAGAGACGGCAAACGAGGCTCTTGCTGGGTCGTACCGTAGATTTCCAGCAACCGACTTGCCTGCGTAACCATCTAGATACAGTCGCGATTACTCTGACTTGCATGACTTGAGGAATTGAGGAATGAGGATCGGTTCACCTGAAACCGCCGCCTGTGACCCGCTCCCCCCGCGCGCGCCCGTGAGACGTCTTTTCGGGATTGGCCGACGCCGATGGATGAATCTGATTCCGAGGGGACGGTAGCAGTGGGTGTGGGCGATCCCCGCTGACCTCTCTCCCACTCTCACTCACTCACTCGTCGTCTACCTCTTCTGCCCTTCTCTTCAGACATCGATCGAGGTCCAGGTATAGCTAGAGCCGTACGGTCGCTTGCAGAAGACTCGGTGGCCGTTTTCTGTAATCAGACTCCCATCTCGACGACCTTGCAACCTATCCCCTTCTCCTTTATCACAGTCCAATCAACCTTGCCAATCACTCCCGATAACGCCTCCTGATCACAAGGTAAGTCGATACTATCCTCCTAACCTGAATTCATCGCCGTGGAGATGTATCGAGAGATCATCTTTACTGGTCCTCTCTGCAGAGATCCACTCCGGTGTGGTCGTATCAGACAGAGGAAGAATCGGTCCATTCCAAGCCTCCTGCTCAAAGGACTCGGACCTAGACTGCTGCAACTACCTGGATCACTTTGGTGTGCGTTTTCTTGCTTGCCCGTTCGCTCTCCTCTAAGAAGTCCTCAGGTGAGTAGGACTGCAGTTCAGTCCTCAGGACAGGGCGAAAGCAATCATCAACGAGTATCGGGTTAACCGGTCTACATCTGGACGTTCTTCAGCTGATCTCGACCTCCCTTATCGAACCCGATGAGCGCCAACCATATCGAGGGCGGGGACAATCTCTCCGAACCAACTTCGCATCGTGCGTCGCTCGATCCGGCACGAACACCTCGTACCATGTCACCGCATCATGATTCGGACGACTCCCTAGTAGAGGAGTCTTTGGCGGATGACTTCGTCGCACAAACTCGACCCGTCAACGCACGAACGCCGTCGCCTCAACCGGCTCACGATGACCTGAGCAGCAGTTGGCTCAGCCTCAGCGACCCTGGCTCTTCTACTTCGGGCTTCCCTTCCAGCGATGACCACGAGGACGATCTAGGCGGGCTTCGGCCGGATAGCCCGGAGGGAGTCAGCCTGAACTTGAGTTCGAGCTGGATCGACGCCGAAGCGAGGTCGACCTCCGAACAAGCTTCTCCACGATCAGGACCTAGTAGCGAACGAGCACCCGGGTCTCACGGCCGTGACGAAGTTCACGGGGCACTTCCTGAGGGCCATCTAAGTACCGACACTTTGCATCGCGGCGATCTCATGTTACCATCCTACGGTGAAGGACAGAAGGAAATGTCGAGCATCGAGAAGGTCACGGCCTGGGTCAAACCCGCCGATCTTCACGGTACAATCGGCTATGATCACGCTGAGCAGCACAATGCCGATCTGATCTTTCCCACTCTGGACGCATCCATGCAAGGAACGGACATGCAGGGGACGGACTCTTGCGAGACCATCAAGCGCGCAACTCGCTTCAATCGATCCGCATCCGAGTCGACTGTCAAGCTCATGAGCAGTGACAATAGATCCGGAGACGCTCGGCAGTCCTTTCTGTCCGATGTTACCGACCCTGAAGGAGGCTCCGAGTGTGGCCTCGACCACGACCTCGAGGGAATCTCGGGGCAGCGAGATGCCGTTTCCGCCTCCGAGGGAGAAGAGCTGGACGAGTGGGATCTTGCCTCGATCGAGCGAGAGCTCGGAGTCGGACGAGATCAGACAGGAGGACGAGGTATCCGATATCAAGCGGAACTCGGCCGCGAAGGCAGGCTTGGCCGATACTCAGAGAGAGTCAACACCTCCGCTCGAGCCACAGACCGAAAGCACCTAAAGTCCAGGCATATAGATTCGCACGATGTCGGGCCATCCCAGTCACAGAAGGAGAGAGATCAAGCCGTGGGCAAATTTTGGATGGAGGAGGTTGGGAAACGCGCCGTCAGTCAGCCAGAGACTCGCGCATGGGCGGATGCCGTATCCTTGAACAATCGGTTCGAGGAGTCTTCACTCAAACGGCGTCGATATGATCGACTCAGGAACATGTGAGTCCCGGTCATTCACGATCCTGACACCTACTTGCAGTAAGCTGATATATGAAATCGTCGTCTTGATCGATAGTGCATTCCTGGCCTTGCCCTTCATCACGCTTGCCATCGTTGCGATGCTGACGCGGCCCTCCATCGGCGCGATCTCGCCTGCCGGACATTCTAAAGCCCGTCACCCTGAGAGCCATCCAGGCGGGATCCGGCCCAATGAACACCCTGCTCAACAAGCTGCAGAGTTTGAGGTTCATGACGTTGGAAAGGTAGCCGGACAAGCTGCGGAAGTCATACCAGCGGAGTTGAGGGTGATGACACCCGACGCCAAGCCATTCTTGATCCAGGTCGAAGAGTCAAGTGGCAGTAGTGGACTTGCATCCATGAAGCAACGTACCCGAAAGGACAAATTGGATGCTGCCGCCAAACGAATGGCGGACCAGTTCAGGCGCTTCGTGCCTACCCACTTTGCCGGAGGTGCTGTCAGCACCGATCTCTGGTCGGCACAGCGGATCTACCTTGGCATACGTTCGATCCGACTGGCTATCCATCGTGCTTCGGTGGCATTGATCGGTACATTGGCAAAGATCCCTAAGGGCGCTGCTGTAGCTCGTGCTCGCTTCAGTTACTGGATCGCCCCTGCTTTGGACAGGACCACTTCGCTTGTGATGATCGACGGCAAAGACGCCTATCAGTCCGCCCTCATGGAAATCCGTCAAGCCATTCAACACCATCGTAACAGCCTCGATCGCGCCTACTCGAGGACCAAGAAGAAGGCAAGCAGAGTCGAGGAGGGGATCGTTGATTTGACGTTCAAGACAGGTGTTCGAGTGCGTCGCGCGAATGCACTGTGGAAGGATCAAGCTTCGCGCACGGTCGACTCGGTCCGACAGACACTTGACTTGCTACCCAAGCGATTTGAGGTCACCATTAGCGGACCCGCGCACCTAATTCTAAGCAGAGCGCGGAACATCTCGGATGAAATACGATCCCGTATAATACGCCACCATGATCTGACCAAGGGACGTAAGATGGCTTCCGCTTGTTCTCAGAAGAAGGATGGAAGATCGTGCAAGAATGAAACGTCGGCTCTCGCCCAACAACAGCGACCGAAAGGCCGATTCTCCTTTCGTCGCAAGCATCAGCAAAGCGAAACGTCTCCTTGAACTGAAGTGAGTCCGGTCTGCCTCTACGGCACTGCAAGGGCTCGGCCTAAATGATCGTTGGCCCTACGAGGTGACGACGAATCGCAACGCCATTGTGGACCCCCGCCACAACGCTAACCATTATCGGCATCCTCCGACCGAGCGATCGATCGAACTCTGGATTATGTAGCTCCTTTTCCACGGTTGTATGATCTGTTGCTCTTCCCACGCCTGAACCGCTCTCTAGCTAGTTTTCTGTTTGTTACTGTTTCCCTGTATCGTTGAGCCTGTCTTATCTCATAAATTATTATCGGTCCTGCCTGACGGAGAAAGAGGACCTCTATGCGTCCGATGCGGAATCAAATCCAGGTCGACGATGTGATACTCCGGACTTCTCCACAAAGTCAACAAGCAATTCATCATATCGCAACTCGTCTTTCGACCTGCATCTAGCAACAAGCCTGCTTCAACGGATTCCCACATGATCAGGTGCTTTCGAAGGGAGACTTGTCGGAGCAGTCTGATCAATCAAACCTACAAGGCGACTGCGAACACTGGGCGATCCATAAGCAACATGTCGGCCGAGAGGAAGCATGATACCTCTGTCGGAAATGATGTAGCGAACCAAACGGCCGAGACCATCAGACGTAGCTCGAATCTGACTATGCAGGTCGTGTTGCGTCGAGATCTCCTCGAAGTGAGCTCGTCGGTGCGGGCAGGATCGATGTATCGCCCTCTCGAGGCTCACAACTCGATCTTCAGAAGCTCGAGTGGCCGGTCGGGCCGTTGATGGCCCAAGCTGCACATGCTGCCACAGCAGTCATGGTCAAATACCGTGAGCATGAGAATGTCAAGTCGTACGAACAGGATCTCGATAATATGCGCAAGGTAAGAATCTTCACAACGGTTCATAAAGTTCTCTATTGCGAAGCGGGCTCATCTCGTTATCACTTCAAAAGGCTGTGTTACAAGTGAGCTAGCTGGCGAGACAGAAGAAGAGATACGAAATTCAAGGAATTATGGCCCGACAGATCCCTGACGAGTCACAGCTTCTCTTTCTGCGAGACGCTTTGGAGACTGCCGATATCGGACATTACCTCGTGAGTAGACTTAGCGATATACATGTGATGTGCTCTTACATCGGAGAGTGGAATCACAGTGGACGGAACAGCCGTAAGCCTTTTCCTGGACCCTTTGCGGGCTCGTGACACTCAAGCCTTCTATCACAGCGAGAATATCCCGACTGCGCTTGCAATCGTACCCAACAAGCGAGAAAAGAAACTCAAGAAGATCCTAGACAGTTGTCAAGTAGAACTATGGCGCTGAATGGTAATCTTTGTGTCAGAACACGTATCGAGTCTCTGGTGTCCTCGCTCATGAACTTTCGTAGACATACAAGTACACTATACTATGGATACAGTGGCTATTGGTGAGCCATACCTGCCTACTTATCGTTTCCTCGAAATCCCGGCCAACGCCAAGCGGGGTCACGCCAAGCCTGTCCATTGGCGATTACTACCCAAAACCCTAAACACGATAACGCGAGCAAGCCTGAAAAGATGGTATAAAGACCGCCGTCTCCGATGGAATTCTGACGAAGCCCGGTTTGTCAGATGAGTCAACCCTGCTAGCTGGTCTGGAGTTGGGAGAGAAACGTACTCGGATAGGCAGGGCAACCTGTGAGGCAACGAAGGCGAACGTACCCCGAAAGAAGGAATTGCAAGCGATAGCGCTGCTAGACCTTCCAGGATTTGCATCCACCAGATATGCAAGCGTTGAGGCGTAGATTACCCTGAGATGACGGAGATAAATGTCAGCAATCGAAGTTATCCGGCAAAGCACATCTTCTGCTGACATTAGCGAGAAACCTCCAAAAACAAGCGCAACAATCGGCCCGGCCACATTGGTCTTCTGGTCACTTGTCCATGCGTACACCAGGAATGACGCGACCATGACCGGCATGGCTGTGGGATGCCTAGTGTCAGTTTTATGAAAAATACTGGACTCGATCCCGGCGGCTTACCTGGAACCGTACTCTTCAAGCGCATTTCTGGCTGTCCGACGCCTCCGTTCTTCTTCTTCAACTTGCGCAGTACTAGATCACTATATCGCCCGCCAAGAATGCTTCCCAAGATGTTTCCACCGCCTGCGAGCCAACGTCACTGCAAATCAGCGACTTCGCTAGTATACATCGCGGCAAGAGCGGTTGAAATTTACCGAAAGACAGCAGCAGCAAACCGATCTTGAGCGGGGTGTAGTCGTAGGGAGGGCTAAGGGAAGTTTCAAGCCAGTATGAGTACAGTAGCCTCTTCGTCTGGTCAGAGGAGATACTCACGCTGCAAATGTCACAGCGGCCGTAAACGTAATTGTGTATTGAGCGGCAAAGATCAATCCTGCAAGGATGGCGTAAGATCTGTCAGCTATGAGGAAGTTGATAAAAATCCCCGACTGCTCGACTGTCTTACCGGAACAAGTCACGGCCAAAAAGTTGTTGGGTCGTTTCAAGATGTGCCACATGGCCGGCGCCGGGTTGACGTCTGCCAACCGTAGTTTCACCTTGACGTGCTCTTCCTCGTCGTTGTCGACAGCCGCTGTCGAACGTTTTTTGCCCCAGGGCGTCAAGGCGCTCCAGACTCGTCGACGAGGCTCAAGAACGACCTCTTTCTGCTCGAGATCCACCTTGACTTGACGCTGGTCAGCGAGTTCCGGCACAGGTGTCTGTACCGCCGTCCTCTCGGGTCCTTGATATGAGTTTCTTGTGAGAGGGGTCGCAATTCCCGATCCGGCGATCCCGTATGCAGGCGTTTGAGGTACAGTCATATTCGCTGGCGTCTGATCGCCGCTCTTCAACCCCTTCTCTCGCTTCTTGATCCGTTTCTTCTCATCATGCACGTCCTGTTCCAGAGCTCGCTTGATGGCTCTCTGAGTGGCCTTTTGGTATAGCTGGGATCGTTCTCTCCTCCAGCTGTCCGGAAAGAAGATGAACGAGGAGAACGAGACGCCCCCAAACGCTGCCAGGAGGTAGAATGTCGCTCGCCAGGACGAGGCTGAAGTCAGAATACCCCCAATCACCGATCCAAGAGCAGGTCCGATCAGAGGAACGGCATAGTATACGCCCATCTGATAGCAGCGAAGCGTTGATGCAGGCCAGTCAACACCATCCCAAGCCGTATCGCAGCGAATAACACCTACTTTGGTTCCCCTCTCGTGCTTCTCATACATATCAGCTAGCGAACCTGCGCCTACGCTTAAGACGGCCGCGCTTCCGAATCCTTGCAACAATCTCACTATATGTTGAGAATCGGGACATCGATCAGCCACGATTTATGCTACAGTAGGAACGAAATGCCGGACCATGACTTACTGATGATCAGGACGGTCATGTTCTGTGCTCTGCTAGCGACGATGGTGCCGACAATGAAGATCTGAACGCGATAATCGATGCATGAATGTCGATATTATTCCTATCAGGTAGCAAACAAGAGTACTTACGGCATTGCTAACGAGGTATATGACCTATCGGTGCAAGCAAGAGCGTGGACGATATGCTCAGAATCAGAAACCATCCCCCGATAGATCACCCGCGCAGCTGACCTTTCTTCCCGTGACCTCGGCAATACTCGACCAGACTGTCCGAACACGGATTATCATATAAGCTCACCCAACTCCATTGCTCGTTGCTGAGCCTCGTGCCTCACGCATACTCACAAATCGGCCATCCGCCTTGAAAGAGGATGAACAAGCTCACGCTCAGACTCAGCTCGGTATCCGTGGCGCCCAGCTGTTCCCTAAGCTGTTCGAATGCTGGATTGTAGATCGATGCGCCTAGCGTGGGGGAGAGGGCGGCAAAGGCGACCATGATGAGGACGACGGTCTACGTTGGCGCAACGCGAAAGAAAGGCAGGAATAAGACAACGGCAGAATACCAGTCAATTTACTGATTCATATCGTGAGGGTGATACGATGATATGATGATCAAGAGATGCTTGCCTTTTTCCGTTCGCTCCACTCTCTCGGATCGTCATCCACCGGCACATGCTCAATATCCAGCACGATCGGCTTTTCCCCTACGGCCTCCTCGACGTCTACCTCTAGAGTCGAATGCGTGGCCGCAACCGGCGCTTCTTCCGACCGCCTCGATCCCTTGTTCGATGACGACTCGGGATCTGGTGGGGACGTCGAGGGATATGCTTGTCCTTCGGAGTTATTCGTCATGCCTCTTTCTGTCGGTCCGATCTCTGTTGAATTTGTATCGCGGCGTGCCGGCATGGCTCGCTCTGTCATGTCCTGTGGGGGTATCGTGGTTGCCATTCTGCAGGTCTCGGGTATATATGTCTTCGATTGTAGCTCAAGAGGACTGTATTATAACGTCGATCCGAGCGTCAAGAGAAGTAGGAGAAAGGAAGATTATGAGGGTATATACGGCGGTATGGTATGGGCGAGACTGAGAACCAGCCGGTCCGTTATCAGTCCAAGATGATGTGTGAAATAGCCACGACGATGTCAGAACGTACCAATCACTTGTTAGTTGCATGACCTTTGACTCTATCGACGACGATGCTGTAGGGTATAGGTATATATACGTTGCACCAAGTCGCATATGGTCGATCGGGTTTACCTCGCCCTTTGCCCCGAAATTTGACTTGCTCATCGCCGAGTTCGGTCAAACCCGACGACCAAGGGATCCCGAAAAGAGTTGTGGGATCCCGATCTCGCCATCCTCCCCAAAAGTAGCGTCGACTTTGATGAGATGGTGCAGGCAGAGTATCGTCGGATCGAGTCAAAGAGAAACATGGCGGTCACTTGGACAGGGAGATAGCAAGAGGATGGCTCCGTGTACGTGAGCGTGGTGATTGCTGGGCCATCAGCGCTCGTCGAGGAAAGCGTTTGTCGAATTTGTCGCATTTAGCGGGGGTTTCGTGCTTCGAGGATGATCGATTTTTATACGAGCTTACGAGCGCATGACAACGAGTGTACAAAATTGCGTAACGAGTTGACCAGAACATCTCGACGTCAAGGCAATGGCTAAGCAAACTCTTGCCTTGTGCTCTGTTGCACGCAAAATGGCAAGCTCTCTGAACACTCTGGACGTAGTTGATGATGGGGTAACGTAAGGTCAAAGAAGGTTAGCGCGGCCGCGCCCGCACAGCGGGTCACGCGTCACGGTTAAGGGTCCGATAAGGACGTCTCTTAACTGGCCGGTTAAGAAATGTCTTAACGTACCCCTTTGCCGACCCCCTTAAATGGCGCTAGCCAGCCCTCTATACGCGTACGTACACGCGCTTCTGTTTGGCTCACGCGTTTGACGCGTCATCGCAAGCGCGTCGAGCCCCACATAAGCAACAATCGACTCGAGAAGCTAAAATACTTACTACAATACTCAGTAATAAGTAAAACACGCCTATAGACATCTCTAGTCCCCCCTACCTCTCCTAATCCTGTGTACGACCTAACGACCCCCTTACGAACCCCTCACGACCCCGTTTTCACTCCAACAACAGTCCGTTTACGCCCAAAACTCACCAAGAACCTCGAAGAAGCCTAAAAATCACGAAGAAGCCAAAAAACAAGTATAAGCCCACTGCAAACGATGTCTGCTGTATGTACCCCTTACCTTGCATCTATCCAGTCGCTTTAGACTCTGACTGATGTCCTCGGGGTGGTCTCATGTCGGTCAGAATGATGGAACCCGTCAGTACCTTAACAAACACTTATACCACCCGTATCGACTCACATTAACAACCACGTTTGCCCTCATCATGTTCATCTAGAAGAGAACCCTGCTGCAGGTAAGTAAAAAGCTACCCGAAACTGTCTCTTGGCCAGGTCGCTTACGGTCAGTTATTGCTCCGATAGGTGGTGGTGCTCCCAACACGGGTGTCATTCGTGTTGAGAAGGGGAAGCAGCCGGGTCAGTTCAGAACCATATCACGCTCTCTAACTAACCCATATCGTTCCCTTAGCTGACCGTATATCCTGCCGCTACCTGTCTACAGTCCGACCTACAGGTGAAGAGCTTGAAGAAGAGGGCATCGATCCCAACCTCGACAACCCCACCGTCGAGGTGGATGAGTTAACCGACTCCGATGCGACTACAAACCCGGGCGATAGTAGTGACATATCCGCCGACGAGCTATTGACTGTCGAACAGGTAAGCCCATAGGCCGGTCTTATAGCACTCTTATCTGGTGGCTTACTCCCCCGTTCGGTGTCGTATAGGCTGACGCAAAGAGGCTAGCGAAGAAGAAAGCCAAGGCCGAACGAAAGGCAGCCAGACTAGCGATAAAGGCGGTTCAGCAAAACGTATGTTCCTACCTATCTCCTATCACACGCTTAACCACTCTGATAACACTGTGGCATCTTCACGCTTGGTTTAGAATTTGAAGCGCAAGGCAACCACCGACGATCTTCGGGCAGCCAATTTCAAAGTCGTATGTCAGCTTAGGGGTTAACAATGGCTTATATGACTGCTAACTCACCCTCTCACTGTCGCCTCTCTCTCAGCCGCGAACCGACACTGTAAGCAGATTCCTTCGGTGAAGGAAATTAGATGGGTACTAACTACCTCTTAACGTGCTCCATAACCTCAGGATATGGGTCGGTTTCCCCACATCACCGGTTCGACTGTCACCCCTAAGGACATCGTCCAAAGTCTCCAAGCCCAAATCAGGCTGTTTGAGGCCCGTTACGCGGCGGTTATTGAGCGTCGAGACAAGGTCGTACCTGTCGGCCCCACTCCCAACACCCAGAAGCTATCGTCGGTCGTCCATTCCCTCGAAGGTGTCCTAGACGAATTGGTGGCCTTATCGGGGGAGTTAGTGGCCGGTTTTAGGTCGGTTAAGGTTCTTTCGATGCTGCAGCAGGTCCAGTCGAGAGGTCGACTTCTAGACAGGGAGGAGTTTGAGACGAAGATCAACGATATCGAGGCTCAACTCCACAATCACGTCGACGACACTGGACGCCGCTTACGCGCCCTCAACCAAGGGTCCGATAACCCTGCGTTAGGGTCCACCGCCAATGCCAATCCGACCTCTAGCGGACCTCAAACTCCCTCGTCAAGAGGCATCAATCTGTCCGGTTTGAAGTCCGCCCTCAAGACCGATGCCGAGCTGCGTGCGATTGTGCTTGGGATCTTCAACGACCCCACGAACTTGAACAACAGCGGCCCTGTAGCCGGCCCTTCGGGGACCTCTAACCAGTCGGCTAATCCCCCGGCTCCCACTCACTCGTCCCATGTCTCCCCAGACAAGCGATCGCGCACCCGTACCAACACCAAGTGGTCGGTGAGTATAGCGTAGCCTTATCTACCGCTTATCTGGTCCGCTAACACTTGCCTTATCCACCGCTTATCTGGTCCGCTAACACCTTGTCAACAGTACGCTTGCCATTATGCTGTCAAGGAACTAATCGGGATGAGAGGTACCTGGGACGGTGATTCTATCACCGAGCAAGGTTATCTCCCGGATGGAGAATGGCCCTCGCACGAGGAAGACGACGAGGACACTGGCTTACCGGGCCCTCAACAGATCGATGTCGAACTGGCTATGGGTGGGACAAGGAGCGTTTGGAGGCCTGAGTGGAAGAAGATCGGAGAAGAACGGTCAGCAGCACATCACTTATCATGCCTTTATCCTACCACTAACCATCGAGATAAACGTTCGATCAGGTGGTCTCCCTTTGTCAACGAGGTCGCCGCTCGCGTCGTCAACACCTGGAAGATGACCAACGGGGACAGGCCCACGGTAAATGACCTTAAACCGCTCATTATCAAGTACTGCAAGAACCGGTCTGGCGTCCGTCCCACCCGTGCTGAAGAAGGAGGCGTCCATCTCGCGCGTCTGGTGAATCGCAAGCGAGGTCATGTGAGTCCTTTAACAGACACGATAGACGTGGGTTTAGGGTCGGTTATCATGCAGGCTTACCGTCGTTCTTGTTGTCTCTCTCCGTTACTTCCTCACAGATATCCGATGACAGGTACAAGATCTGGCCTCAGTCCCCTCCCAACCTGTCTCGAAAGGCCCCAGTTTACGCTCTGTTAAGGGCACCGCTGTTCTCGCCGACGTTGTGGCAGTGCGATGACCGCCAGAACCGAAGGTTCCCCGTCCTTCAACAGCCGGCCAATCAACCGGCCCTTATCGAGACGGATAGCTGGAAGGTATGGCGCCGATACTCCTTCGGTGGCAATGCAGCCCTGGCCGACGGTTGTTATGAGCTGAACTGGCCGTATTGGCTCTCTGACGAGGTAAGTCGAATCATTACTTAACTGGCCATAAACCGACGCTTAACCTGCCGCATATGTCTCCTATAACAGTGCATCGCTGCGGCTTCCTATCTCGACGCAATGTCTGAGGAGAAGAACAGGAACCAGCCCCTGTACCGCACACGATGGGTCTCTCCAAGGCGTATGTGGCCTCAAACCGACCCCAAAACGGAGGAGTTAAGGGCACCTTTGGCTGGCGACCCAACCAGGCCGGATCCCGCTGCTACCGGTGCGATTGTTTATCGGTCGATGGTCCGACCCCAAACCGCCGCGATATGGGCGGCCCAAAAGCCCGCTTTGTGGGCGTTGATATACCCGGATCCTCCTGTACCGGCAAGTCACGCAGAGCGACCGACGCTCGAGGAGTTGGTGAACGGTCCAAACGCGCTCGCTGAGCACAAGCAGACCTGGGCGAGATCCACCCAGTTAAGGGCCTGTCAAGTGCCCGATAAGACTAATGCCGAGATCTTGGCCCTGGCCGTCGAGTACGCCGTAGCTGATGCGGCCGCGCTGGAGGCTCAAGCGGAGGCGTTGACCGGAGCTCTGGCCGCTTAACCAGGCTCGATCGATGGTCTATGGGGGTGGGTTTGAGATGGGTAAAGGCCCGTTATATTCTTACGACAGCGGGGAATCGACTTACGCAAAAAAAAAAAAACTACAAAAAAAAGGAAAATACAAAACGACAAGGTTAGGGGTGAGTTACAAGCCACATACAAGGCTGTTATGCAGGGCCGATGGTTTTAATACCCGATTGACAACAAGTTGGCGAGGAGGAAGGGCACTAATCTAGACAGGCAGATGTCGGTTGTAAATAGCGACCGATAGAGGCTTGTTAACGGTCCGGTTTGTCTCCTTGACCATACCATCAATATTGTCCCTTGACTTCAGACTCTTGTACACGCTTGAACAGCCCAGATAGGGGGCGACGAGGAATGCGTTATCGGGCCTTTATCGGGCCTCAATTCGGTCAGAGATACAGGGCGTAATCCTGCCATTATGAAGGCGTCCAAGGGGATCGCCTCAAGAGATTGCCGAAATGTTCTAGATTGGTACAACCGTACCTCCAAGCGAGAGCTGTGTATGCTAACCATCAGCTATCGATCCGTTGAGGGGGCAGTTAAGGGTTTCCTCACTGATCGATAAGACATTGATAGGGATTGCCGGCAGTGGGAGGCATCGCATAACTGACAGCTTGCCGGAAGATGAGCCACAAGCGCTGTTGGATAACGGCCTCATGGTTGGTCACCTCGACGTCGTATAGTCCTGCGATAAGACAGAGATCGTCACCTGAAGCGACTTTCACAGGGTCGTAGACCGATGCCATTTGTTGAAAGTGGAAGAGAGTATCCCTGTATTCTGCCAGGTTACAGGTCCGATAATCGCCTGATTTGTCATTCCACACTCGGAATCGCTTTGTGGGGCCTTTGAGTCCGGTGTAGCGGGTCGACTTTTGACGGACAATTAACTGACGGGCTGACAGCCGGTTAATGGCAGGATCACCCTCTAATAAGTAATCGTGATCAGGATCTTCTAGTTTGAGCCGTTTCTGTATTGCAGGCCATGCGCGAGCTGATATGGCTTGGGCGGTTCCATGTGTGGGCTTTAACGTAGCGTTACTGGGCGCTGAGAACGCCAGATTAACCCCAGTTTCGAGTTCGTCTAGATCGGTGATCATTTGGTCGAGAAACTCTGCGGCTGCTGTACCCCGTTCTGTTGTATCCTCCCTGATACGGGTCAGATTGGCGGCAGCTAAGCGTTCCGCAGGAGTTGTTGCACCGGCCACTAACAATGCATGGAGCAGAGCAGCCGTAGCGGACCGATATTGGGCCTGTAACAGGGTAGTTTCGATCTGTTTACCATTGGTGTTAATCTGCTTGAGTAATTTGCCGAGGCGCTCTGCAGCAAAGACCCAAGTCGAATACACAGGTCCATGTAGCAGTATGTCGTCCACTATATGGGCGATTTGATGCCAGTTACGGGTCCGTTGTATTCCTGGATGTAGGAGGAAGACGAGGTCTTGCCACTGCCGGATCAAAGTCCGCAATACGGCCACCTGTGTTCGACTGATATTGGGCCTCAATGCGACCACATTAACCTCCGATAAGAGCAGGGAGCACCGCAGTTCGCTGTCCGTCAAAGCCGGGTTATGATCTCGGTGGCCAGGCGGTATGTTTCTGTTCATCTGCCAGATATCTGGCCAGATAAGGGGCACATAAACCTCCGTCCAGGTTCTCCACTGGGCAGACGTCTTGGTTCCGCCCTTGATGTCAAGGAAGCCTGAGGGGATTGCTTCATATATGCCTGTAGGAAGCACCACCTTGTCACGTACGCTTATCAGCCTCTTGTATGACGAGACAAGGCGCCATTAAGGATCCCATACCTGACGAATGGCTTTACTTATGGCGACAAGGTTTGCAGGGGTAAAGACCGGCTTCAAGACCTCTTTTGCCCGTCTGGTTGGGTTGACCCTTGTCGGACGTGATAAGGGTGGGTTAGAGGGTGGTCTGGGAGGCGCCATGGAGGTCGACGGTTCAGCGGATGCCTGCGATGCAGCCATGGCCTCCTCCAGGGTCATTGAGTCGTCCAGAACAGCGGGGGATAATGCAGGTGCTATGGTGCTCGATAAGGGTGGGTTAAATGTCGGCCTGACGATGGGCTCAGGGAATAGCTCCCCGTCAGTCGAATCGACTTCAGAGTCGTCGTCGTTGTCCGGCTCGTTAACGGTCCCGTATTTGCCCACACAAAGGCACTTCCAGAGGTAGGTTTTGTCGTTGCCTTGAAGCAGGTTATGCATGGCATCGAAGACGGTACACCTGAACTTGTCGAAATACGGCAGCAACATAAGGGCCGATAGGTGACCCTTAACATCCGCATAAGGGGACCGATTGAGGGCCTCTTTAGCCATGGTTGAAGTGAATTTGATGGGCCGATAAGGGGGTGGTTTGGGTCCCCTAGTAGTTCGGGGTAACTGAGCCCAGTCGTTTCGTTTAGCCTCGGCTTGGTTGGAAAGAGCAGCCTGCTCGTTATCGTGCTCTTGACGGGCCTGTCGTATGGCAGATAAGCCGGCTTCTTCTCCGAATAAGATACCCTGGCAGTGATGATGCGAATCGCGAAGGGGAAAATCTAAGGTCCATGCCGTTAAAATTATCCAACAACTATCCTACCCCTGTCTGGTCAGACTTACCCTGTGTAAAGGCCAGACGATCGTGTGTGGCATGGCAGCGAGTGCACACATCAGATTTACGAGCTTGTGACGAAGCTCCTATCAGGCCGATAGCAGCAGGCCTATCGGCGCACACGGCGGCCAGTGCAAGGTGACATAACCGTCCGTTAGGAAACTTGGGAGTCCGAATCGAAACTGGCTGAAACCAAGCCTGGCGTAACTCCATTACCAGCGGCATAAGGAATTTATGGTAATTGACGTGTCGGGGCTCTCGCGGACCTATAGACAGCAAGATAAGGGCCAGTTAGAAATTTTATGTTGGCAGATCGAACAAGTTGCAATGAGCGCAAAGATACATACCGGGAATAATGCCAATAGGCATTATCATACTCTGAACTGACCTCAAACCTTGCGGGAAATTGACGATTTGGAGTGAGATATGTCCAACAGAGTACGGCGTCGACATCATCGATGATGAACGGTTGACCCAATCCAGGTAGAGATTCAAGTAGATAACGGGGACATCTCCAGGCCTAGGGGGGTCGTGTAAGAGTGGGTTACCGTCCGGTCCTAGGATTCGCTCAAGTACTTCACCATCCCATTGGTCATGCAAGATCGACTCGGCGGGACAAGTGGCCTCGTCCCAGCGGACTGCTAACTGACGCCTATCCTGCCAGTTAAACGCTAGGTCTTCCATACCTGGATGAGCCAGAACTCGTTCAAGCTGATAGCGTAAGGGTATACGTGAAAAGTCCAGGGGGACGTTGCCTTTCTCTCCGTCCATTACCTGGCCACATGCGGGGCAGTTAAGAGGCAGGTTGGCCGGTAGTCGGGCTGAGCCAACGGCTGAATATGAAACTGGTGATGTGACGTCGTACAGAACCTCATGGCAGAGCATATTCGGACACACAGGGTGTACGATATTGGGCACATAGGTGCCGGTTTTCCGATGAACAGTCCGAAGGGTTTGTGCCGGCGAGTCGCTGAGTAGGGAGGGTGCATCACTGTTGACCATTAACCGGGTGCTATCGACCAGGTTAAGGGCCCCCCTGAGAAAGAAGTGAATCAGGGTTCTGGCTGCGCCCGCAGCTTCGATGAGAATAGCGTAGGTGTAAATCAAGCGTTCCATGAAGGTTGTGCTGTCCTGGACTTGGTCGAGGCCTATGTAGTCCGACAAGGGCTCGGTATCCCAAGGATTGACTAAGACCGAAGGTATGTCGTAGGGCCAATCGTCCAGGTAATCATGGAGCTCGGGGATATAAGGTAGAGCTGGCTCAGGGGGGGGCAGATCGGGGGGGTTATCTGGAGGGTTAAGGGTGCGTTGTGGGTCGTTTTCGGATGTCGGTGATTGATTAAGGTGGCCGGGATCGTCCAGCGAAATACCATCGAAGGGGGTATCAAAAGGGCCGTATTGCGAGGGGCTTAACGTACCACCAAGTGGTTCAGTAGGGGGGTGATAGGGCTGAGTTGGTGAGGAGGGGATGTCGAGATCAGGTGGTACGGCGGGGGGGAGTTGGCTGTTCTGTATTTCATTAAGTAGGTACTGCCGCTCTTCTGCCTCTCCTGCTAAGCGCCGGATATGAGCCAGATATTTTCTTCCAGTAATAACCCTGCCTCGGCGGGAACAGTGGCTGCATAGGCAGAGTCCTAGTCTGTTGAGGGGCTGTTGAGGAGCAAGGATAAGAGTCGGTTAAGGGACTGATAATTCGCTCACCACCTGGGCCTCAAGCATAGCGATACTGCGGCTGGAGTAATCGGGAGGAGTTGGAAAGGCGGATACCGACATCTGGAACGGTAATATGATGGTAGTCTTATCGTACCACTAACTATCAACTAGCATACGGGCTTGCAGCGAAATAGGGGTAAGAAGTGATGATCGACTTGATCATATTACAGACAGGCGCCACGAAGGCAAAAGACCCCCGCGTCCAAATCCATGGGGGTCGGATAAGAGCCCGTTAAGCTAAATGCTTAACCGTCGCTTCTTATCCTACCCTTATCCGACCCCAAAAAATCTTAACCGGCGCGCGCTGATCCCCTGTGCCGTACGAACCAGCCTGCCTGCCTTGGCGGGAGGGGAATGGGAGGGAGAGGAGAGGGACACAGCCCATCACATCGCAGAGCAGCGAGCAAGGGGAGAGGGAGAGAGGCTAGAGAGGTCATCATCGATCAGAAGAGATCAGAAGAGATCAAACTGATCAAGAAGGTGATCAATCAATAAAAAAGTGGGTTAGGTTATAGCGGCGACGACATCTGCCAGCAGTCCAGCAGGCGATCCTACCTTTTTCTTTTACCACTCACCAAATCGACTCGCGACTCGATCCCCTCGGAATCGAAAAGAAACGGAATATACCACCACCATTAGATCTCATAGACACAATATCTACCAGAACGACCTGGGGAACTTTTCAGGCATCTACATCGACAGCGGCACCGCAAGACACCTCGCATTGCTGCCGTGCGCAAAATTCCGCCTCAACCAGCCTAGGCAGTCGGTCGGACAACGTCGGTATAGCGACAAAAATCCGTGAGTCGACCTCAGCACGTATGCTCGATCACTTTTCTGCATACCGAAAGTCAGTCTGACCACAGCAATCTCGCACCGATCAGTATAGGCAGTATAGTTCATCTCCTCAACTGAACGAGCCTACAGCGTGGTGGAACGAAGACGTATACAGTCGAGAGAAAACAGGCAGGCCGATGTTCTGAGCGCACGGTGGCAGAGAGGTCATACGGTCGGAAGGAAGTGTAGACTTGCTTACAACTCGAGCTTCGCTGGGACGGCACAGCATTCCCCTGCACGAGCAAGAGCCTACGCAGGCCAAGAACGACCAGCTGGTAGTAGTCTCGATAGAAGGGGGAAACGAGGTTGCAGGACGTCGAGTCGATAGCTCTCCTCGCAAAAATGACCGCTGCTCAAGTACAGTCTCCAGTAATAGCCCAAGACTCGGTCGACAAGCCCGCCAGTAGCAGTTCACTGGCGCCAGTACACACGCAACAAGCACAACAGGCAACTCGACCGCATCCTCGGTCGAGCGTGAATAGTCACCATCACCACCATCATCAGTACAGGAACGGTAAATCCGGGATCAACCATCAGAACGCCAACGCCAACCTGAGGAATCATCAGGCTGGTCGGTATCATCATCGAGACGACCCGAACCATCGAGCCTCGTCCTTGTCTTCCACATCTCTGCCCCTCGCCTCGGCCTCGGGATCTTCTGCTCCAGCCCACCTCGCCGCAGCAGCAGCATCGTCCTCGTCATCGTCCTCGACGACCGCTTCCTCATCTTCCCTCCTCATGGACCCTTTCCATACGTTCGACCGGCTCGACCTCCAAACCCCTCGCGCATTCGTTGTCGTCGTTGGACTCGTCCTCCTCGGTCTAGCGGGAATGAAGTCTTACCAACACGTCGCCAACCGGGTTCGACAGAGACGTCGACTGATCGAGAGCGAAAAGGCGGCGGAAGAACTGTTGAGGCTCAACGTCAAGCACGGGGTCGTCGATCTCGATGGGCAGGTCATCAAGCCCAGTCAGAACGGCCAGGTTGCTGGTACGGCAAGCGGGACAGGAAAAGATGTGGCGGACGGCAAGAGACGGGCGAGATCCGGAACGTTGGAGAAAGAATCGAAGTCGCGGCCATCGGATAGCAACAACCCCCTCGTATCGAAATTGACATCGGAGAAATCTCAACTCAAACCCGTTCCCGAAGCTTCAACCGCTCCCCGATCCGTCGATGGGAACGATCTCTCGCACGAAGACGATCAGGACGAGCCCAACAAGGTCGCCAAGAGCGAGGCTAAAAAGGCCAAAAAGAAGATCAAGCGGGCGGCCAGGCTGGAGCAGAGGAAGAATTCGGGCGATCTGGTGACGGTTGCATCGAGGGAAGAGGGAGCAGACTTGGGATCTGATGAACAGCAGGACGCGAGGGTCGATGACGAGGCCGAGGCCGAGGCCGAGGCGGTCGTTAAGGGCGATGATGTTGATGAAGCAAAGCCAAGTGTCACGGGCCAGGTGATAGAGGACGTTCTGAGTAATGAGGCGGGTCCGGAAGACGAGGCCGGGAGCATGCAATTGGTCGAAGAATCGGGCGAGCAGGACAAGGCTGAGAGCTTGCGATCGGTCAAGGAGTCGGGTGAGCAGGACACAACGCCTACTCCGGTTGAACCGCTCGCTGCTGTCCGGGACCGAGAGGAGGACGACGTCGAGCCTAAAGAGGTTCCTGCAGAGGATCAAGGCTCGCCGGTTCCATTCATCCACAACATGCCCTCGATCGAGATCCAACACGTCGCCTTGCCAGACTCGCCTCCTCCGTCTCGACTGCGACGACGCGCCTCGGAAGTTAGCGACTCGGCAGCCAGTCTATTGAGCGGTGCTTCGAGTGGCCTATCGGGCAATCCGAACCTGCAACGAAATCTCGAACAATACCACTTGAGCGGCGTCAGCACGCCGAGCGATCAGCCCCAGCAGAAACGAAAGAAAAAGGCTAAACCCGCTGGCAAACCCCAACGAGCGATCCCGGGAGCCGAGAATTGGGTCAAGGAGAGCCATGAAGAGAAGGAACGCGAGGTCAAGGAGCAACTCGAGAAGCAGGTCGAAGAAGCTCGTGCTGCCAGTAGCTCGGCTACGGCTCGGGCGAGCAAGGCCGAAAAGGAGAATGAGAGCTTGACCACGAGATTGCACAAGCTCGAATCCAAGCTGTCCAAGGTGACCTCTTCGCAGCACGATTTGCGGGAGAGGGAAAAGACGGCATTGTGGGAAAAGGAAGAGGCGGTCAAGCGGGCCAACGAGGCGCAGACCGTGATGCAAAATTATCGAAAAGTCGAGGCTGCGCTCAAGCACGACGTGCTCCAGGCAAGAAAGGAGAGGGACAAGTTGTGGCAGGATTCGCAGCGAAAAGAGGCCGATGTGAGTTGTTGCTCTTCATTGGTTCCCCTGTTCTCCTCCAGTGCTGATTTGTGACCGTACGTTTGATTGTGGTAGCTACGCTCACAGCTCCAGCAGATGAATGCTCAACTCGCTCAAGCGGTCCATAGCGCCGCTTCCTTCGAAGCCGCCTTACGGTCCGGTGGGCGCATGCCTGGTACCCCAGTCTTCGGCACTCCAGTACCCCTCATGTCCACACCCGTTGGCCTACCTAATCATCACGGTCACATGCTGCTCGGAAACCCTCTCCCGAATCAATCACGAATGTCACTATCGACGCCACCTTCACCTCAACCACTGATGTCGGCCAATGGGTTGCCCTGGATCGACCGCAACATGATGTCCAGCCCGGGCGGCACCCCCTCGCGGAAAAGATCGCCTTCAGAGGTCTTTGGCTTGCCAATGGTACACCCACTCAGCGCTACGACCACCCCTGTGAGGGAATCTTCACTTGCCTGGACAGTCTTGAAGAACAAGGGCGAGAATGGCAGCAACGCGGCGGCGTCTAGCCCTGTCCCGATCTCCAATGAGCAGTCAAATGGCCAGGCTTCTCCGGCGCCCCGCAGCAGATCGGGTACTCTCGGCATTGATACGCTGTCCGAGCACAAGGACAAGGAGAACGAACCTCCGCTCGAGAACGGCGCATCCATAATGTCCGAGTCCCGATCGATGCCTAGTATCATCAAGCCCAAAAAGGAGGCGGATGTCAACGTCACATCAGAGAATGGAGACGACTCGGGACAGCCTGACAGCCCCGTCGCCGTTGACGGCAACGAGGAAGTACCGTTCTTCGTATTTCCCTCTCTACACCACGATCCGGAACACGTCAAGGCTGCCATGGCCGTCGAGAGAGGCCGTAGAGCCTCTTTGCAACGGGCGACGTCTGGACTATCGGCGCTCGCGTCCCCCTCGGCTAGTCCTGGCAAGTCGTTGAAACAGGTCGATCTCGATCACATCGCTACAAGCGACTCTGCCGAACCTGCCATCTACGATCAATCCAGTGCTACCAGCATGACGGATAGCCACGGGTCGACTGCCTTTTCGAGCGATCAGAGCCAACCAGGCGATGAACCGGACGGCCACGACACTTCAACTGTCAAACAGCCCGATCTGGCCAGGGTTAACGAATCGCCGGAGAGCCCGGTCCCCATCCCCGTCCAGTAATGCGTTCGTGGCCGACCTTCAGTCCGAGGTTTAGAACTCCGCCTGTCTCTAATTTATCTTTCATGAACCCTTAACGACCATCTTTAACCTGTGCATCCGTCCGAATGTATACCATGCGCATGAAGCAGACATATCATGATGATTAGCAGAGTTGCAGGTGTCATCACGATCTAGCCTCGAGCAAGATGGCGAAGCAGGACAGATCTTCGCCGCTGGTGAAACAGCATGGCTTGGTTCACATCGAGGTGAATCTCGCATCAAGACGACAATCGCAGTCGCGCCGTAATGCTTTACCTTCACTCAGTTAACACTCTTCCTCTATCACGACTGGGAGCAATAGAGGCATGCAAAGCTGTGGTCAAGTGAAAGACGAGCAATGCTCGGAGTCACGGTAAAGCAGAATGGCGAGCCACGACTCTCATGTGTGTTTCGGATCCGATCCCGTAAAAGGGCTTCCCTCGGTCCACCGATAATTAGACGATTACATGAATGGCCTATAGATTGACGGACGAGACAAGACACCATGGAATAGTATCCTCCAGTCACACACTTGCATCTCCCGACGAAAAGAGAGGCGGAGTAGGCGTGCTCTAGCCTGGCGACATTGTTGACCGAGACTTCTCCCTCTAGACGACCCACTCTTCCCGGATCCTGTACGCAAGGCGTTCCAAGATGTTTCCAGGTAAAAAGAGCGAGGTCTCTACAGCCTCCTTCCTCGTCGACCACCCTTCCTCCTGGTAGAGTCGGAAGGAATGGGGGTGACGTCCTCGATACGTCCGATCCTCATACCGGATCGGGCGAGACCTCGGAGAGCCGACTGGGCACCCGGTCCGGGTTGCTTGGTACCAGTACCACCGGTAGCTCGGAGCTTGATGTGGACGGCGGTGATACCGACCTCCTTGCACTTGGCGGCAACGGCCTGCGAAGCCAACATGGCGGCGTAGGGCTGGACATCGTCAAAGGTAAGCACAGATGCCACAGCCACATCCTCAAAGATCTAATGAGACTCACAGACGACTCGTCTCGGTCAGCCTTGACCTGCATTCCTCCGGTAACACGCGAGATGGTTTCCTTTCCGGAAAGATCGGTAACGTGGACGAAAGTGTCGTTGAACCTTTGCAGCACAAGCGCGATTCGTCAGCTTTGCCTGCTAGCTTTCCTTGATCAGGGAATTCGACTTACGAGGCGAAGATGTGAGCAACACCGAACACCAATCCGTCGTCGGACTGGGGGCCGAGGTTGGTGACGGCGTTCTCCTTGGGGGCTCGGACTTTGGGGGCCTACGAAATACGAGTTGAACATCCCATCAGTTCCGCTCGACGTGTATCGTTCGCTCCTCGAATGTATCAGTACTGACCATTTTGATAGTCTTCTTGTCGTCGAAAAAGAAGTCGGTGAAGAGAAAGGAACCGGCCGTCGACGTTGGGGAAATTGAATGAATGTTATCGACGAGATCAACTTTGAGAGATCGTGTGCCGTACGGCAGCATGCCCCCCTCAGCTCGAGACCACGCGGAAGTGAAAAATCCGCGAAAAAGGCGCTGAGACCAAGCGCGAACCGTCAAGCGCGAACGTACCAAGAGAAAGCGCATGAAATGCCGTTCATCATGAGACATTGGACATCACATCTGGTGGACGCTAGAAAGACAACCATCCTCCATCTTGATGGAAAATGCAGCACCAGTCGGTCTCCAAAAGAGTGACGGATGGTTCGCATTGGGCGCGGTATGAATGGGTGGGGACAAAAAAGATCCTGCCACCGGGTGACAGGCAAAAAGCTCTGGAGAAATGGCGAATCGAACACCAGACCTTTCCAAGATAAGCTAATTAGTGCTAATGGAATGTTATACCAACTAAACCATATCCCCATTCATGTTTTCGTTTGCTGTACAAAACATATATCAGTTTGACTTGTTACTCGTGTCGAGGACCCGTTTCATCGCGCTGTCTACGGAGCGCGGAGGCTTCCCGGGGGTATCAGGTGGATCCAAAGGAGGTTCGGCATCGACGGCCCGTAACAAAGGGACGCAGAGACCTCCTTTGCGCCAAAGCTTCGGCTTCCATGGATCGGTGGATCGCACACAAAGGTTCTACTTCTTCTTTCCCATGTCCGTCGTCTCACTTTGTCTACATGAGCCACAAGCTGCCACTGTACTAATATATAGCCGCTGGACGCCGGTAGCCTAGGCTAGTATGACCGGTCACAGCGCTCGCCTCTACCGCATCGTATTCCATTATCGCGCTCATTGTCTAACTTCCGCGAAACGCCCAAGATGGCAACAGCTCAAGATCCTGTGCAGGCAGACAAGGCGGCTTCCAATCGGTACTCGACCGGCAAAGTTTGGCTTCTGATGACCGTAGTCATTGGTCTCGGTCTCGCCAACGCCTTCGGGGCCCTGGGTAACTAGAGCTACAGTGGCTCCCTCCTGTCGCGCTCCTTCACTCATTCCCAGTTCTCATTCATAACGCTACACTCCCTTTTCAGGCGGAACTATCCTGCTCGGTCCTACCATACAAAAAGACTTCGACATGTCAACGGATGAGCTGCAATGGCTCGGAACGTCATTCTACATACCTCTAGTTGAGTCGTCCGCCTTTAGGCTCTTGACGCTGCTGTGCTGAAGGTCGTCTATTCTCCGATACGGCTTCAGGGATGCTTCTCGCTCGTCACCGGGAAGCTCGCCGACATATTTGGCGGCAAGCGCATGTGCTTACTTGGCATGGCGATCTTCACATCTTGTTCGGTCGCTTCTGGATTCGTCAAATCGATGGAGCCGTTGTTTGTCTGCCGTGGATTGTCGGGATTGGGCAGTGCGATGGCCTCCACTGCTGGATATCGTAAGCATCGTTGAGCCTCCGGAACGTTTTAGTCACTTACGATGATTACTATTTACAGCGATCATCGCTGACATATTTCCCGAGGGCAATGGGCGAACGCTCGGTCTGGCCCTGTACATTGCAGCCTGGCCGACAGGAGTCGGTCTCGGGACTGTCTGCGCAGGTTTTGTTGCCTATGATGACTGGAGAAAATATTTTTACCTCCACGGTGGTCTCTGTGGCGCCGTCATCTTGATGGTGTTGATCATCCTGCCCGATCAGCATCCGGATCATATCGACTTCCTTGGTCAGATCGACTGGGTAGGGAACGTTCTAGTGACTGTAGGAGTATTCCTTCTGCTCTACGTGCTCAGTATGGCTCCAGGAGCGAAGGACGGCTGGGGTACACCTCGTAAGCCAGCACGCGATCACGTCATCCGGCATTCTGACGACCTAACTATTCTGTAGACATGATCGTGCTCCTCATTCTGGCGGTTCTGGTCCTGGGGGCGTTCGTTGCGTGGGAGTACTGGATCGAAAAAAGGGGTCGCACTCCGCCTCTATTACCTCTGGGAGTGTTTACGCTGGATCATGGCAGAGTGTCTATCCTATGTCTCGTTGCTGTGAGTCATGCCAAAATCGCCATCCGGGAAGGATCGTTCGCTCAGGCTTCGGCTTGCGACCACGCAGCCCTTCAACTTTATCGGTTTCTCGGGCTTTATGCTCTTGACCACATTGTATTTCCAGGAATACCTCGAACTCTCTCTCAGGGACACAGCCGTAAGTCGCACTGGCTCTCCAACCAGAAGTGAGGCTGAAACATCTTGATGTCGACAGCAACACTTCATTCCAGGACCAATCAGGTAAGGCTTCCCTTAGATCACTGCCGAACGACTCATACCGACTGTATGTCATCATAGCGGAGCCTTCTGCAACATCCTGATCGGCTTTATCGCGCCTAGAGTTCGAACCCAGTGGATTTTGGCCGTCGGTGTATTCGTCAGTGGATTATCCCTACTATTGTTCGCCGCGATGCCAGTCGGAGCATCATATTGGGGCTACACATTGTTCGCGATGGTAAGTCGCCAGTACCAGGCGTCGAGATTCTACGACGTAGGACGAGTACGACTATATTTACACGTCAACGATACGGGTCTCTAGATGTTTTCAGTGGTCGGCGGGGATTTTGGCAAGTTGGGTTGCATTGAAAAGATCGCGCTTCGAATAGCTGATGCTGTGCGCCTTATTACGATGTTTCTGAATGATAGCGGGATCAGCAGGATTGATCTATATCACTCAGATGGTCAGGGGGCCGACGTCCGGGATGGCTGGGGGACTTTTCAACACAGTCGTACAATTCGGAATGAGTATGGGCCCATGCATCGCAACTCTGATCTTCCGTGAGTAAAGATCAGCTAGTTTTACACACACGACAGGAATTGATCTTTTTCGGGAGCAGGATATACATCTGAAGCTCATGCAAGGCCGCGCTCCAACCTGAGTTACGATGACGATGCTTTCCCGAAAGACAGCTACCTATACGGCCTCAAACGGGCTGCTTGGGGAATCGCTGGGATGTGCTTCTTCGGTAAGCATCTTACCCATATAAACACTCATCATGGTTTCGAGGGCTGATCTCAACAATGTCTTGCTGTTGCGATTCCAGCGGCTGCCATCACGCCTTTCGCGTTGCGAGGTATGGGCCATCCTCGAGACAGTTGCAAAGCACACGTCGAGTCGATACCTCCTCACGAACAGCCATCGGTTTCGGCGTCAGAGTCACTCGACGAGGAAAAACGGATCGAGTACCGCGAGGCTCTACCCCAATTGCAGAAGTCGTGAGCAAGTCTAGCGGAATGCTATTCGCGATGGCGATGTGAATCAACATGTGCAAAGGATGGGCTTTGGTTTTCGAATGTGGATGAATCAAAGATATGCCATCTTGTTTCTACTATCAAATTCTGCGCTTCCTTCTTGGCAAGCCCAGCCAAAGTTCACCCGTATCTACAACCATCAATATCAGGAAGTGAAACGGCCGAAACCCTCCGCGCCGACACGAGCTTGGACTGTTTGCTCAAGGCTGCTCATCCAAAAGACTCGAAAAGTACAGGCCGTCTCCGGAGCAAGACTCGCAGCCTTTATACCTTTCCGTACATAGCTATAATCCTGGTTGCTCTATTATCCCATCTAGAGTACGGAAATAGTTGTTCCCCACTGCTTCTCCGATACTGTCATACATCGTGGAGAAGCGTTCGATCGATGCCGCTATAACATCATTTGGTGAGGTCAGCGGTGCCATCTCCAAAGATTGCCCAGCTCATACTGCTTAGTGACCACATACTGAAGTCGATTGATATTTCTGATTCGATCTGAATGAGGATTGTCTCGTCTCAATGGCCTTTCAAGGCGCTGGTAGCGCATGCTCGTACGTAAGAGCACGCTCGATTTGCTTCCGACCAACCTCGCGACGGCCGGGCTCCATATCAACCTCGTAATGCATGAACATGTCTGTTTCCTCAACGATGAACTGTACTTGGTATCGCTGGCTGCTGCCATCTGTTACGTCTCGCAGTGTATATCAACATAGCTACGACTTCAAGTGAGGTCCGGTTCTCGCCATGGCGGATCAAGGCCAACCCATCGATATCGACGAGTCGCAAGACATTGTAGAGGAGAGGCTCGTCGATCTGTTTCCAGCCAGGTGAATTATCAGACGGTACTACGCCTTGCATCACTGCTAAATCAGTATAGAGCCTGTGTCATAGTGGAGAAGCTGTCGATCTCGATGTCAATCAGCTCCTGTCGTCTACCGAGAACATCGGCTTGAGGGTCTTGACCAGCTTGAAAGCTCAGCCAAAGAGTTGGATGCTGATTGCGGGCGAATACGCTCGAGCTGGTAGGATCGATACAGCCGACGAGCTACTCGCTTTTGCCATCAATGGTGAGTCGTCGGAATAAAGATGAGCCAGCCAGATACTGGAAGCCAACCACTCGATTGCCGCGGATGTGTAGAGAACTTTGCGGACAGGGTGTCAAACCCATCCGGCATCATCGATGCACTGGCCATGCAAGGATACCTGGCCCTTGTCCGAGCTCGCGATGCACCGAAGACGGTCTTGGGAGAAGCCAGTCAGTTTGTCACAGGTCCGAGTAGATCGTGCGGATACTCACGGAGCTGACAAGCACGACTCTCGCCATAGAATACGACCGACTGGACTTCCACATCAAGGCAGCTGCGAGCTACTATCAAGTTGCAGCGGATTGTTTCAGACGAGCAGACGTAGCTCTCGAACAGCTGCCCAGGATTCAGCCGTCAGAGTCTGGCAAGGCGAGGCTTGGCTTGTGGATGGGAAAGGGTAGGTTCTCTGAAGAGTCTTTGCATCTCTCCGCCTCGCTAATCGCCAAGAACTTGACGCTCGCCGAATTCTCCAGCTCTGTTGGCTCTCGCCAGGAGAGACTTCGCTCAAGCCGACCATCTCGTATCCCTTTGCCTGAAGAGCCAACCCAACAACCTTCTCGTCCTCATGCTTTCAGGCCGACTCTACCTGCAGACGCGGCGAGCGGAGCAGGCATTGAAGGCATATCAACAGGTCCTCCAGCTTTCACCCAAATTCGGCGTACCATCAAGGAGCGGGTCTCAGGGAGGTCTACACGGAGCCATGAAGATGGCATTGGACGAAGGCGTTGGTATGGATCCGCGGGTGGGGCTGGGATTGAGCTTCTGGCTGCTTGGCGATACCAAGAAGGGTACTCTAGCTTGGAAGAGGGCCATTGCGTTGGTAAGTCTGTTTCGTGTATCGCCTGATGAAGCACAATCGCTGAGTACCTCACTACCTCATTACAGAACCCCAAGAATCGAGGAGCGAGATTCCTTCTCGGTCTGATCGACCACAATGAAGCCAAAAACCCTGCTTCTCCCGCAGAAGAGCGCAGAAACAAGCAGATCACCGCGACCAAGGTTTTCGGACAGTTGTTCTCTGAGAGCAAGGGCAAAGTTGTTCCTGCTGCATTAGGCATCGTCAGGAATGCTGAGATTCAGGGACAGATCAGCAAAGTCAGTCATGATCTCGGTGGATCGATCGGAACTACAGTCAAGCTAATTCATTCGCTATTCTATGATCAGGCCATCAAGCTGACTGAACGTGCCATACAATATGCCGATACTGCTGCTCACACCCGACGAGCCCTATCTGAGCGGTGTCGACTTGCGCTCGTCGAGGGTGAGGATGGCGATGTCGAGACGTACTCTGGAAAGCTCCGGGCGGATCCTATTCCCGACGCGGTGGCAGAGATCGTACGAGCTCAGGTCTTCATCAAGTCTGGTGAGTTGAGATTGAGGCTATTACGAAAGATTCTGCTGATGCCATGGTACGGTATCCATAGGCACGGCTTTCTACCGAGAAGCCTTAAACGTCGTCGATATCGCTGTCAGCAAGCTCGACAAGAACGCCCCTCACGAGCTTCGCGTTTTGCATGCCCTGCTTCTGGCTTTCCCCCATCCGGGAATGTCGGCTGCTGAGCTGATGGCCAACAGCAAACGAGCTCGTGACATTCTCAGCCGGATTCATGATACGTACAAGCTCGCCAAAGGCCGTTTAGCGAAGGGGGAGACGCGTGTACATGCGCTGAGGGACTTGATCGACGACCCTCTGATCTTCGTTCAATTGGCTAAGATGTGGCAGCACGAAAACGTCGAGAAGGCGATCGAAGCGTATCAAACGGCAATCGAGATCCACGGCAGAGTCAAGGGCAACAAGGGCGAGTCGGTGATCGACCTAGAAGCTCATACTCGAGACCTCTCGGGTCTGCAGATGTCGAACAACCTGGGGGCGCTATACCTTGGCCAGAAGAACGTCGACGAAGCCATGCAAATGTTCGAGCAGATGTTGGAAGATCTCGGAGAAGTTACGAATGAAGAGGAAAAGACGTTGCAGACGGTGCTGCTATACAACCTGGGTCGTGCCTATGAAGAGGCAAAAGAGAACGTCAAGGCAGACGAGGTCTTCACTGGGCTATTAGCGAGACATCCAGAACACCTGCCAGGTGAGCAGAGTTCCGTTATATGCTGTAGCATCTCCTGTCTTACCCTTTGTCTCCATGCGGATCGCAGCCAAACTGCGAAAAGCCACCTTGACCCACATTGCCGGCAACTACAAAGAACAGGAGAATCTCTTAAAGGAAGCCAACGCATCTTACAACAAGGATCCGTTACTCCGAGCGCAAATCACACATCATCTCATCTCGCAAGAGAAATGGAAAGACGCTTCCGACTTTGCATCTCAGACGAGGCGGGCGAATCAGGACGATGTGCATGCCCTGTGCGCTTTGGGCGCGTATCACTACCACTGCGCTCGAGAATCAAAAGCTACCGAAACAGAGCGAGCTCGAGACTTTGTGCGATCGGCCGAAGCGTATAATCGAGCTCTAGAGGTGGACCCGAAATGCGCTGTTGCAGCCCAGGGGCTTGCCATTGCGATCGCCGAGGAGCATCTTCCTTCTCGTAGGGGTGCTGCAAACGGGTCCACGGATTCGCAAGGCTCTATCATGAAGACAAAGAGCCTAGACATGGCTCTAGGGATTTTCAACAGGATCCGCGACTGTCTGCCAGATCGCAGCGTCCTGATTAACATCGGACACTGCCAGTTCTTCAAGGGAGAAGAGGAGCAGGCCATTGAAGCTGTATGTTCAGTTTGCGGGCATCGTCCTTGCGACGACATACATATTGACACGCCCGGATTTATTTCAGTACTCTGCCGCTTCGGACTTGGTTAAGGGACAAGACACCTCAGTATTGCTTTTCCTTGCGCGAGCATATTATCAACTCGGTAGCCGAGAATCGAGCTTCCCAGCGATGAGCAAGGCTCTGAGCCATTGCATGAAGGCGGCTCATCTCAAGCCCCACGACATGGCTATCCTGCATAATATCGCCATGATCCAGCAAAAGACGGCTGAAGTTATTCTCGCCCTTGATCCATCCAAGCGGTCACTTCAGGAAGTTGAGCAGGTTATCGAGCAGGCCAAAAGCTCGACAATGTGAGCATTGAGATCGAGTCTGGCGCTGTCTGGCGCATCGCTCACATTCAAGTCTGTGTTTACAGCATCTTCCGTAACTTGTCGGAAACCCGTGAGAGGCCCTTGCCTTACGACGTCGATCTAGTCGACCAGCGATCCAAATACGGAGAAGGACTCTTGAGGCGAGCTGACGACCAGAGGCAGAAGCAGATGACTTGGGAGAATGAGCAGACGGAGCGACATTTGGAAGCTGTTCGACGTCGACAGGAAGAAAGACGCAAGCTGGAGCAGATCGAGGTAAGGTTTTGCAGCAAGTCCGAATATGGCGTACGCTAAGACATTCCTCTGTAAATCGCAGCAATCCCGCCGGGCAGAAGAGCAAGCTCGCCGTGACGAGGAGGCTAGGATCCGGGAGCAGCAACGTCAAGAAGCCCAGGCCTGGAGGGAGCAGATGCGAGCCGCCCAGGAAGACGAGGACAGGGTCCGGGCAGAAAGGGCCGAGCAGAAGGAAGGGAGAAAGTCAAAGAAATCGAAGAAGGACAAGACCGAAGACGGCTTCATTAGCGAGGGCCTCGGAGAGGAGGCCGAATCAAAGCCAAAGAAGCGCGGTCGGAAGAAGGCTGCAGACCCTGACGAAGAGCCTGATGCTGCAGGGAGTGGCGCCGAGTCGCGGTCTCAGTCTAGGTCTCGCTCGAGGTCAAAAGTCAGCCGCCATCTCGATAGCCTTAGCGCAGACGTGGGTTACTGATACTGGGCACATTTCGTAGCAGCCTCCCAAGCCAAAGAAAAAGCGGCCTGCCGCTGTTGATCCCGATGGCGACGATCCGATGGTACCTGACAAGCCGGCCAAAAGAGGCAAATTGTGAGCACGATTTGAGGAACAGTAGTCGTGCCAAACTGACAGATGACGGCGAACATAGCAAATCGAAGGAGTTTATTGAAAGCGATTCGGAGTGATCGGACCTATAAATCGTCCGCTGTGGCAGCCTCTTCCCACTTTGTACACTTTGCACATAGACGCATGCACACAGCCACACCGATGGGTTGATTATGCATCAAGTTCGATCTGACATGCCTATTGACCAAGACAAGTGTTCTCTTTTGGCAATCGGAGCGCGGCCGCCAGATCCGCTGCGGTAGGGGTAAATGTGTCTGTGTGGCGTGGTCGGCATTGATGCGGGCGTCTTTGCACCAGCGCTATCAATTCGCCGCCAACGCCACCATCCTCCCGTTTGCTGCTTGTTGATCGTTCACACCGGTCGACCTTATTCAACTGGGGGAGAAATTGAAGATCTGGGTCGATTCGCTAGACATTGCAGACGATAGGATGGAGGTTTGAGGTTTGGGTCGATTCGCTAGATGTTGTAGACGGTGGAATGGCCGGTTGATTGAATGGATTGAGAAAGCAAAACCACAAAGGCACAGTCACCCTAGTCAGTTGGGTAGATTCAATATCGAAGAATTGTGTTCGTCAACACTTGCTACATTATTCCACTCTCCGCTAAGGCAGGACTACGTCGATGTTGTATGTGGCGCCACCACAGGTGTCCTCGAAGAGCAGCGGGGTGGTATTGATGCGGGCAATAAATCCGGCTGTGACGTCAATCGATAGTGTGACTGGTATCATACTGTACTACCAGTAATGCTCACCTCTTGATCCTTTGAAAACAGGGCCCAAGACCCAAAGAGGCGCGAGCACAGATCGAACATCCTACATCCACTCCTCGTCTTTACATCTCAAGCTCAGATCTTTATCACGTACGCACCATAGCTCACACCTCACTAATCATTCAGTGATTGAATTCAACCGTCCAAAGTTCGACTTTTCATCCATACAAAACATGACCTTCGCAGGCTTCGCCGACATTAACAGAAGATCGCCTACAACGGGTTCTTTCTAGTCTTTTCTCTCTTTTATCGTCGCATCACATTTTGCTTGCATAGGAGACGGTTATCCGTGACCTTAGCGTCCGCGTCTGTATCCATGTCGATTCGATCCTCTACTTCTTGCTAGGGTCGGCAGTGTACCTCAAGTAAGGCTACAAGGACCAACGAAGCGTGGAGATACAATCAGCTTTCGTTTGTCGACATGACGCTGTACCCGCAGACAAGGCCTCGATCCCTGACGTACCTTGACCGACTTGTAACCCGGGAACAGCTGATCAGCCTCCTCCTTCTTGACGCTGTTGGCAACGATAACGTCCTGTCCCGGAACCCAATCGACCGGGGTGGCAACCTTGTACTTGGCGCTGACCTGCAACGAGTCGATCACCCTCAAGAGCTCGTCGACGTTCCTCCCCGTAGAGGCAGGGTAGGAGATGATGAGCCTGATGACCTTTTTAGGGTCGATGATGAAGACGCTTCGGACGGTCAGAGGGAGACCGAGGGCGTCGACGTTGGAGGCGTCGAGGGCGTCGAGCATGTCGTAGGTGGTGGCGACCTTGCGCTCCTTGTCGCCGATGATGGGGAACTGCAGCGGATATGATATATGTCAGCAGGTCTCTTTGACAGATCATGTAACCCGATAGAAGCCCCACGGGCACTCACAGACAAGGAAGAACCCGAGATCTCATCGACGTCCTTGATCCACTCGTGGTGGCTGGCAACATCGTTGGCAGACAATCCGAGCAACTTGACTCCTCGCTATTATGCAAACAAGTTCGCAAAATGGTGATATTAGCACCGCGTACTTTTCTCGATCAAGGGGGAAAGTCGGGAGGAAGCGCTCACCTGCTTGAACTCTTCGTGACGCTTAGCAAGCCCACCGAGCTCGGTAGTGCAGACGGCTAACGTTGAAGTGAACACGAAAGTTGAATCAGTCTTTCGTCCTACTACGCAGCTCATCTACCATATATTCGTCGAGATCAACTCACGAGTGAAGTCGTCCTAGATCGACCCAGATGATGCGATTCGATTCGGATGAGCCTCCTAGTTCCGACCCAAAGCTCAAGACGGCGGTCTGTACTCACAGGGTGGGAGAAGAGCATGACCCAGTCATCACCGGCCCACTTGTGGAACTACATATTTCGAGAGTAAGATTGAATAAGCGATCGGGGCCTGCAAGAAGAGGAATGTCGACGAAGAGGCAAAACAAGACGGGACTCACCTCGATGTCACCGGCCGAGGTCTCGGCCTTGAAGTCGGGAGCGATGGATCCGAGTCGGAGGTTGACCATTTTTGTTCTGGGAAAGGTGTTTGTATGGGTATGATAAGGGAAGGTTTTGTCCAAGACAGAGAGCAGAAGGAGGTAGGATGCAATATAGGATGTACTTGAATGTTGATGGTTCATATACCGATTCGGGTGCTGCCCGAGTGCCAGCGTGGAGGTCGATCCCCTCGATCACGCCATCGCACGAAATACATCCGAGACTCACCTGTTCGGAAGCAAAAATGCGGGTCTGGCAGACTGAAACGAGAATTGCATCGAGAAGGTGTTTGTCCGTGTATCTTGCATCTTGCAGCTTGTTAAGCAAGTCAGCTGGCTCGTGGTTCAGAGCTTGTGTTTACATAAGGCAGAAATCTATGAATGCTCGTTCAATATTGTCCATAAAGCCACGCCCAATCCATAATGTGTCTCAATCGCGCAAACAAATCTGTTCGCCAGACGACACTATCAGCTGGATGTATCAGTTGCAGGATGCATTGTAGATATCACACGTACCTTTCGCTGAACGAACAAAGATACGAAATCGTCCACCCAGACCTTGAGGAGTTGGTAAATCCCAAAGCAGTCGGAACTCTTGATGGTGAGATCCCGCGCGATCTCGGATGTGAACCACGTCGTGGCGAAAACGATTCTGCCGCGAATCGTCAGTAAGTGAAAAGACAATGATTGATCATATTAGACACTTACTTGTTCGCTTCGACCGGTTTGGCGTGGAAACCTTCTTGTAAGAGCTCACAAATCAGATCCTGAAGCCAGTTGCTCATCTCCTCGATACTGATTTCGTCGATCTGAGGTTGATCCTGGTTGTCGCAGGCTTGTTGCAAGATATCTTCAAACGGACTCAAAACGGACTCTCGGATGACGCTGTCATCTAGTTTCAGCATGAGGCTAGGATATAGCATTAGCTTCTACCGTACAAAGGGTAGTAGAGTAGAAAACTGCGAACTCACCTCGTCTGGCACAGTATCGAGGACCATTGCAAGGATTTCCAAGCCGACAAGACGCTGATAAACAGATTTTGGCGTTTCAGCAAGTCCTTGAGGACGTCTGAAGTCCTGCGCAAGTCGCAGAATCGAACTTTGGAAATTCGGGGATCAGCTTGAGTGGATTGCGTAAGTACATCAGATCGACCCACCCAAGAGATGTCCGATCGTTTTGGCCATCTTGTCGCGGCGAGCTACGAAGTTGTCGAAAGTAGGTCGACTAAAACCCTTGGTAGAGATGTCCATGAGGTTTTCCAACCCTGCACCGAGCTCGTTCACTTGCTGGATGACCTGCTCGGACAGAGAGCCTGCCACAGAACTGATCAAGTATCTCAAAATCTCCTGGTTGTAGGAGGCACAATATCAGCTAGATGCATGTATACGAGACCAAGACCGACAATCCCCGTACCTCCCAGAAAAGCGTTTCACAGCGATTGACCAGGTCTCCCACTGTCTTCTTGCGGATTTCTTGCTTGAGCGAATCTGCGAGCGATCCCCAGAACAGCAGGATCTACCGGGAATATTCAACGTGAGCGGAAGAAGCAAACTTCTTAACTCATGGTCGTGCGTACCATGTGCTGGACCTTGCTCATATCCCAACTTTCGAAAGCTTCCAATACTGATAAATCCGACGATGAGCTTTGATCTCTAAGCTTTTTTAAATAGCTCGAAGAATTTATCTCACATGTATTGAAATGCATTCTGACGTTTTCCCACAGCGTAGCGGCGGTTTCAGCAGGCATGTGCGCAGAGAAGTCTTCCATCGTCGGATAACCGTCCAGAGCTTCTACTCGGTTCGTAGCCGCCATGTTGGCCAGATCGCCTTCAGACATGTCCGCCATCTGGTTTCTGGACGTCTTTTCCGTTTGCTGGGCATCAAACATGCCGCTTCCAGGCCTGATCAGCATGTGTAGGTCAACACCCGTTGTCCCTCCGAAAGTTAAGGTGAGTCTCTCACCTTTGACCCATTTCTAACAAAGGATTTTTCGACTTGGCCGCTTGTGGCATCTGGTAGATCAGCCCGTTCGCGTTACCTTGCTCTTCGCTGAACTGGTTCAGTGCCTGGCATTGGCTCTCCGTGACAGGCTGGATACCGCAGTCTATCGTAGACTATATTTAGCTGCCTGGTATCGGGTCTTGCCACTTCACTCGATAACTTACAATGGTATCGACTCATACGCCGACATCCTAGCCGGCGCAAGTTACTCCTCGGGAAAACTCTCAAGAGAAGAGAAGATAGAAGGGCTTTTCGCGCGGGCTACAGGGACCTACGTAAGCTTCGATCCTTCTCGCTTGGGACTCTCAAGGAGAGGATGCTACACACTAGAAATCCGTAAGACCTGCACGACATCTCATACCCTTCATATGCCCCTTGTTTCGCCACAGTACAGTCCGCAGACGGCATATAATTCACCCTCAGCCTGCCGCATGCACAAACCCGTTAGCGGGGTCGAAGCTTTCGTTCGAGCGCTTCGTGTCTCACCAAGCGCGAGTCCACTTGATCTTCGCAAGCTCCGCTGCCTTGCTGTTGGTAGCACTCTTGACCTCTTCCGCTAGTCCCACCAATTTCTGATGACATATTGCCTCTCGTTCTTCCAAAGTCAACAAGGTACCCTGAGCGGTATGCGTTGGGAAGTCGACGTCAAAGTCCGAATCCAATACCGAAGTGGAGATATCGCCACAGCTTTCGTCCATATCGACATCTCGCTCTTCTCCAGTCTTCTTGCGTTTAGCGGGGGTATTCTTTTTGCTCCCTCCTCTAAGCCGACCTTTTGTAGATTCACGCTGTTCCTCGACCAGCCCCGGGCCGAACTTGAAGACTTGTGAATCCGCCAGGATCGGAGGGTCTGTGCTATTTATCGGTTGGGTGGTGACAAACTTGTTTGACGGTTGTCGAGCATAAGGTTTCTGAGCGTGTCGTTTTTCGAAAGTGCCCCCAGCCGAGACCGAACTAGACCTTTAGCACACGACATACACACTTTGTCAGAGGCGTAATAAGTGCTCATGTACGCCATCAGGGCTCACCTCGACCTGACGTCTAGCCCAATCAACGCGTTTGATAACGTCCCAGCCGGCGTGATCGGGAAAGCGCTACTGAGATCCTGGCTGGTGGAAGCCGATGCGGACATAGTTTCCGCGGTTTGAGGTTCCATCCAGATCGAGCTATCCGGCGTGTAGAACTGTCCTTGGCCATAGAAATTCTGTCCGATGGACCTTTCGAGAGAAGACAACGAGTCGTCAGCGTTACTAACTGAAGAGAGTAGCCTGTTTTCATGGCTTACTGGTAAGATTCAGGAATGTTATTGTTGTACGGAGGGATGGCCGCCTGTTCGCCCATCATAGGGTACGCCGACATAGGCACGAAGTTTCCATTCGTCTCACCCATCATCCCATAATTCGTTCCAGCAGTGACCGGAGTTGGATGATCGAGGATAGGTCCAGCTGATCGAGCTCCGGAGTTCCCGACCGTCGGGATGTTCAAGCTCAACCTCGGCTGAGAATCCCGTCGACCTTGATTGAACAACGTCTGGTGTAATCCTGGACCCGGGATCGGCATGTACCCGTTTTCTGTCTGCGGACGAGACGTAGACTGGGGAGCAGAGTTAGGGGCGGTGAAGCGGAACGGATCGGTCACATATCCAGGAGGTTGGGCATTCATGGTTTGAGGGAACGAGTAGGCAGCCGACTGATTAACCGATCGGAGAGGTGTTCCAGGAGCTCTAGCTCGACCAAGATCGCTCAAGGAGGCGTGATGAACATGCCCGGGCAAGTTCCCCCAAGGCGCATCCACCTGACCGACGCTCGAGCTTCTCTTTCCCAAGTCCCAACTAGCACTCGGCTTGCTCGTCAAGAGGAGTTTCGGAGTACTGGAGCTGGTCCTGAGGGAGAAAGGTTTGACCCCTTGATCATTGACGAACCCAAGTTGTGGGGTCGAAGCAGTCCGCTGCATAGCCGTACTGCTGTGGGTCGTGGTGGGGTTCCAGTTCAGCGTTTGTCCCGTAGGCTGAACATCCGTCGGGGATGCATAACCTTGGTGACTCCACGAGGAATGAGACAACGATCGATGAGGCGACTGGTCTAGATCCTGGTCGTCTCGCAGCATCTCCATCTGATCACCTGTGTCTGAACCTGCGCCGCTACCGCGATACGTATAAGGTCCGCCCATCCCGTCGCCACCAGTAAACGGCGGAGTAACGGCCGAGATACAGTCTCCGCTAGGATCCCAGAAATCTTGAGGTTGCATTTGATGGTCGAAAAAGTTGGGATGCTGAGGAGGTGGTCGATTTTCCGAAGTGTTGATGAAGGTAGGGAATGAGGCGGTTGGCGTGACTAGGTTGGCTTCTTTGTCGACTCCCATATTCAAAAAGCCTGCAGTAGCCATTCAGTATACGTTCAGGTCAGCTATATCAAGATTCCGTTCTCGAAGAACAGTACTTACCTGCAGTATGGCCCATCGAGGTGTCTGTAGCCAGACCTTGCTCACCGCCAGGCCCTTCTCCCAACGCGAATGGCTGCGTCATCGCCCGTGGTGAGGGATTCTCGCGGACCTCTTCTGGCAGTCTACCCTTATCCATGGCGAAAATGTGAAAGACAATCGAAACTTTGGAGCCGTAGAGGTATGGTAGTTTGCGTCGAGAAGGTCGGTGAATAGATGGAGAACCCGTACGTGGAGATGTAACGTTGGAAGGATTCGCGAGATCAACTCGACGAGATCTTTATTCCGGGCTTTTGTGCTGTATGCGGCCGCTCCACGACGAGATGGTGCAGATCGAGCACCAAATACACCAAATCGAGAAAACTCCCCGGTCGTCCGGAGTTGATTCGAATGCACGTGCCCTGTTGCTGGGACTACTCCTGTCGTCGTGGCCCTGTCACTGTGCAACAATCACAGAAACAACCGAGATCGTGTATATCTGAATCAGTTATTGTTCCACCGTCGATCCCTCGATCCCTCGAGTTCTCACCTAGCTCCGATGCTGACGTTCTAGTGTCCCGCACAGACGTGTGAAACTGTACACGACTCAGCCCAGCTTGAGGTGTGCAGCATTCCATCGATATCGAGGACATGATATTACAGTCTCCGCAACCACCGCAAAATACCTCACAATCATGTACGTTTGTAGGATGAAGGGGAATCAATCGAACAAGCCAAGATCAATCGCGACCCATCAAAAAGATCAAGAAGGATCGAAAAGTCTCCTCGATCCGTCCGCCGGCGGCCTTTCCCCTCCTTTAGGTGGATCCGCTTAGCGATGATCGCTGTTCAAGGAGCCCCCCGGTAAAAACCCGGCCCGTGCCGCTGGGGCCTTATCTTAGCGTCTCCTTTGTTCTTTCTGTCGAATCCGAAACTCGGAGAAACGCCATCAAAGGAGAGTTTGATCCAAAGGATGGTCATCTGATAAGGTTCGACACGGCACGCGCGTGTGGTCCCGTTAGCCCGTGCAAAGAATGTCTCATCAGGAAAGTTTGCGCATCAAAGCGAGCGTCCTTCTACTGCCTGATGTCGTTCACGGAATACGAAACCTTATTTACGGGGTCGTGGCGTTGTGTGCGTAAGGAACGGGTGACACTTCCTTTCCCGAAATCCACCTCGACGCCCAACCCCGTTACCACGGTTGTTTCAGTTCAAATCCCGGTGTTTCTCACGCGTCGCGAGCGACGTCGACCCCTCTAGATCTAGACGTCTATACTTCCCCATACAATGTACTAGCGTTCCTGTAGACATGTCGATCATCCATCGATAGCTGACTCACCGGCTCGGATCAACCGGAGGAAAAAGATTCGCGCGTGTCACCTCGCCTGCCTGCCTGCCTGTCGCGCCGTTTCATCTTTGCACCACCGATTCGATGAGACTCGGTCAAAGTTTCGGCGAAACTCTTCGCGAGAGACCGCGTACCAGGGGCTCGCTCGCCCGTCTCGTGTTTCATGTCGCATGCGTCATCATGATCATTACAAAACCGACTTTAGGACAAGGGTCCATCGCCCTTCCGTCGTTGTCAGATGTACGACAAGAATTGGTCGGCATCGTCATACAGTTGCCTCCAGTTCCGCAACTGGACCACCTGTTGAGGTGCGTCCAAGAGGTCCCACACAAATCGAATGTAACGGTTCAAGGTGGACCAATCCATACGTCCGTAAGGTTCGAACATTTCTAAGATCCTTTCCACCGTCTTGCGGTCCTCGCCCTTGGCATTGTAAGCCGCAAAACAGAAAGGTAGACCAAGGCTATATCGCGAACGCAACGTTCAGCTGTGACACAAGAGGGCGACTGGGGTGTGGAGCAGAAATACACCAGGCGGGACTCACTATGTGACCATCCCTCGGCCGAGGGCTTCAATGACCGTCTCAAAGATGAGATTGACGCTTTGGTGAACCCGCGAGACGCTGGTCTTGGTGTTTTGTGCATTGTGCGAGAGGAAGATGACGGCTGCTCCTATCCACATGATCCTCCCAGCGGCGATCTGCAAGGAGGATATATACAATGAGTGGTCATCAATGGAGGATTCCGTGCATCATTTCACTGCTCACCCGCGCAGAATACGGTCTCGATTTCGTCTCCAACCCGATCTGGTCGGCTTCCGCAAGCAACGCTTTGCAATCCCTGTGATACGTTTGCCATCCGTCTTCCACCTCTTGGTCCGAATACTTGGCCATCCGGACGGAAGGTACCCCCGCCTTACGCATGGCCGCATGTCGACCGATCGCAATAGTCGTCAAGACTCGGCCGAGGTAGTCGATCATCGGCTTGTCTAGCCCAAAGACCACCTCAACGTGTTCAGTCAATGAACGGGGTGCTGTAGGACCTGCCCCATGTAGATATTAGGGAGGTTGGTCAGGCGAAGTCAATTATCATAAATCACTCACTGTATGGCTCTGCCCACCATTCCGCGTGTGGTTCAAGAATCAATGGTGCATCAATGGTGAACCAAGATGCTATCACATTATCGAACCCGCCAGTCAATCGGAGTGTCTTTATATAGATCGTCAGCGATACGTACCGAAGACATCCACGCAAGTCATCTGCTCCATCAAGAACCTCCTGATCATGGTGTGAGACAGTCGCAGAAAGGTCATAGCCCCGCCTAGCTTGTTGATCAGATCGGCAGCGTATTCAAGGGAATACATCCAGTCTCGACAGGCAGCTATGCGCTAGTGATGTTGCACGTTGTGCATGTCAATAAAAATTCCGCATGACTTCGAGCATACCACTTACATCGCGATGAGACATGGCGAGACAGGCCGCTAAAGCGAGATCATCGGTGGAACCTCCAAAGGGTCCTGGCACGATATTGACTAGTGAATCCAGGAGGGTCTTGGCTTCTTGCCGGAAACCCTCGCTGAGCTTGACGATCGGGTTGAGGTGGACTTGCTCCCTAGACATGCCTGACGAGATAGTGATACGATATCCCAGATCGTATGCGGACAAGGAGAGGAGCGCCTGGCGGAAAGCGTCTTGCGCCGCACACATGCCAGGAGGAACGCCCAAGGCGAGTTTGGCGAAATGTCGACTCCAAGGGTTCAGTTCTTTCCTGTTGCCCATGGCAATCAACGTGTCCGCGGTTTCGGTGATGAAGTGTCGGTACTATAGCACACAATCTGCGATCAGGATGTCGAAGTGAATGAGGCGGCTAGTACGTGATCGCGACTCACAATGATTCGATCCCTGTCGATCGGGAAATAGACGCTGAGAGGGTCGAGCTCTTTCACGATCATGACCTCTCCCTGAGCTTGCTGTAACATTCGAGGCAATGTCGAATTACCCAAGAACGTGGGGTTCAATTCGAGCAGTTTTGTAAATGCCGGAGGGTACGAGTTGATCGCTACGGCCGGATGAGGAATAACAGCAATGCTGTCTACTTTGCTTTCCACCACGATCGGCCGTATGCGTCCCTCTTGATCCCGCTCCCAACGACCTTGTATTACTTGTCCGTTGTGAGTCACAGAGGCGGTATTGGGATATGGTATAGCCAGCTCTTTATATGATCGCGGAACCGTCTCAATCATCTTGACGTCTTCGTCAGGAATGTCCTGGGGAAATTCAGTGCGGTGCATTGATGGATACCTTTCTTCTTGATTCAGCGCGACAGCAAAGTTAGGCTGCCAGTGATGCTCAATCGGTCTCGTGGCCAAAGTTCGAGTCCCGCGGGCATTGTTCTCGGTCATCCGGTTTCTCATCCTCTCGCTTGGTGTGACGACGTCTTCCAGATAATTTGTCCAAGTACCCTTAGTCGTAAGTCCTGGCATGCCGAACTGTTCGGCCAATTTCGCTCCACCAATCGCAGGCCCGGGCTGTTGTTCAGGAATCGGGCCCCACTGGACAGGGTGTCCCTGCAACCCTGGTGGATCGATATCTGAAGGTAAGACCTTGCCCAGAAAGTGCCTATTCGGTAACTTTGGGCAGGCCTTTTCAGATGCGGGAAATTGCTGCTGCTCCTGTGCTTGCGTCTGAGGTCCTCCTAGCTTGGAATCATGCTGCACCTGCAGCGGTCCTGCGGGGAAATACGTGTTTAGATCGTCCGGTGGAGTCACGAATGTCGAAGACGTCGAAGCTGTCGTCGGGGTAGAATAAGGGTGCATCCAGCCGCCAGGGATAAGCCCGGGGTTGACCGGTAAGAATCCCGATGGCGGCTGGATCGTTTCGAGGGATGATACTGGCATCCTATCTCGGGACAAGCCGTATGGATCTTCGTATGGTCGCACAGGAGGCTGGACTATAACCGCCGGTTCGTTGATGATGGGAACGAACTCTCCCGAGAATTCCTTACTGTGACGCAATGTCGGCCGTCTGACCGAAGACGATGATGCTGGAGACCGTTGCTGAACAGATACCATCCCAACTCCGGTTGTCACTGGTAAAGATCTCGGAGGTGATCTCGTCCTCGTTGATTCTCCCTCTATCTTCCTCGCTCCTTTTGCCTCAGGCTGATTCATCTCGACCTTCGCATTCGATACCGTTCTTTCCCTCTGTTCATCGCTAAACCCGCACTATCCATCCCGATCAGAACCATTTACTATCAGCTTTCCGACCCGGTTTCCAACGCATGAATTCGTCGACAACGCACCGGACATCTCCTCCTCACACAAGGTCCGCAGATCGGCCGCTGTTCGTCACATTTGACTCGCCGTGTACGACAAGTAGAGCATCCAGCTGTGGATCTCGAATGATGTCTCCGTACTCTTCCTGACGGATGTACGGGTCGAGCCATATATGAGCACTAAAGAGAAAGCGAAGTCCAGGTTTGAGCTTCAGATATGGAGGTAGAAGGGGAAGACCCGGACCAGGACTCACTTGAGTAGCCCTTCGAACGCAACGGGAACAGCTAGGTTTCTCTTCCCCACACTTGACCTTGCTCTTTCGGCAAGTCACGCAACCGCCGAACGATCTCGAGGTGGATGGAGCTCCAGGTCTATCAGGATTCCGGGAATCGAAAGTCAAGATCAGATACAGCTGTCGTTTATATAATAGGGGGTGAAATACCACTCACGCGACAGTCTCCTCCTCCACCTTCACATCTAAGCTCATTGATCCCGCTCCGAACCACTCGTCATAGCCCTGTAATCGCTGTTGGTCCTGTTCGGCTCCCCTTCCTTGGGCCAACGGGACCCCAGCCATCCTTGATCCTCCCATATCTCCTGGACCGTTCCCAACGGTAGTCGTGACAGCATACCCAGGTGCCCGTGAACCACCCGTGTTCATTCCCGTCGTTCCTGCTGGAACCCAGCTTTCAGGACGGGCCTAAGTTCAGGACCAAGAGAGAAGTATGTGTATATGTGCGGTTTGACAGAAGGACGATGCCGGGAGATCCAGATGGTGAGGTGTGGCCCAAAAACGATACGTCACCGGTCCGAGATGAGACGTTACGCGGGCGAGGTCGACCACCGAGCAGATCGATACCGATGTGCCATATGTGCGTTTTATGTTAAATTAAAACCATCCGTTGCAGATCCCTAGATCAGCTTCCATCCGTCATCATCTTTTTCGTAGCTTGTGATGGATTCTGCCTGCAGAACTCGATTGTAGATACGGCTAACCCGCTTCTCGCGCTTTCCAAGAATTCATAGGGACGTGACATTTACTCTTACAGACGTGACTTTTGTGGGGTAAGCGGAAGAAAACGTTCTCGAAATCCTCCGACGATAAATTGTCCGGGTAAAGTTTCTCACGCGTAAGAATGATCATTATAACGTAAAGAGACCGTCAAGCCACGACTGTACAATCCTATCGAAATCTATCGACGCTCTATTTAGTCGTCTTCTTTTTCTTCGGCACGGCTCGTTGCTTCCCCTTAGCGTTGGCCTCGGGTTCCTCCTCGACCTCGTCTTCGACCTCGACCTCGCTCTCGTCTTCGTCCTCGTCCTGATTACCGCCGCAGAGTTTCTTGTCCTCCAATAGCGACGTAAAAAGTTTACGGAAAGACTCCGAGGGACCGGCGTCGTGGGAGTTGTCGGCGTCGTCGATGGCGACTGACTGGCGCCTGTGGCAGATCTCGTCTCGCAAGATCTTGATGCTCATCGCGAACAACTCTTGACGTTCGGCCTTCTTCGTAGCTTTTCCGCCGACAAATTCCATGAGAATTTTGGCGAGGCGGAGGGAGGGCTCGACTTCCGGATCTTGAGGCGAGAACGTCCATTCGGCGCCGCCGTCGTCCTTGCACGGGTAACCGTGCGGCTTGCATCTCCCGCAGGCCGTGAACGCCGAGTCGGTGGAGAGGGGAATCGCCGCTCGACAAATTGCGACGCCGCTGTAGGTAACGCACATCTGCAATTCGCGTTCGTCGATCACCTCGTCGTCGAGACCGTCGGTGAGCGGGATTTGTCGTTCGTCGTTGCCGACGCGGTACTCGGGGGGGCCGTTGGCGCCGCTGTATTTCAGCAGGCAAGTAGGACAAGCGACTCGCCAGCCGCCCTGGTAGTTCTTCTGTAATTCGAAAGAAAGTGAGCAAGAGAAGAATTGCGACGGAGAAAATCGAGAGAAATTTGTCGACTCACAAAGAACCCGTTCACCCTCGCCGTGTTCATCTCCCCGGTCGGCGTCAGCTTCGTCGCTCGAAGCCATTCAGCTTGGGGGGGAGGGTAGGGGAGGACCTCGAGATCCTGCTCCTCGACTACCCGTGCGTGAACTATTCAAGAAAAAGAGAACGTCAGTATATTTCGAGAGAAATGTAACGAGGGAAATTTACTTACGAAGTTTATGAACATCATATTTCTTCGTCTTCGTATTCTGGGGGACGAGAAAGAAACATCCCGTCTCGCAACGAATCGCCTTCATGCCCGGGGCGTCGAGATTTGGCGTCGGCCAAGGCTTGTTCGATTTTTTTTTGTTTTTTAACCACGCTTTTTGTTCTTTGACGATTTCTCGCCACCACCTTTGCACCGTCGGAAATCGAAAGTCCCACAACAACAGCGTCGGCTCGAAGTTGACGTTGATATTGTCGGCCTTGATGAGATTCTTGGGGAGGAAGGGGGCCGGGGGACGTTCTCGAGCATCAGTATAAAGGTCGCTGTTGTTCGAGGAAAAAGCAGTTGGAAAAAGTTAGCGAGGGAAATTTTCGAAAAAAGAATATCGTTGAACTCACAGCGGAGTGTTCGGCGAGTCGGCCTCCGCCGGTCTCTTCGACCCGGAGGGACCTGCTTGGGCGTTGCTGCAAATCGAGTTGATACCGAAATTAATCTCGAGAATATTTACGTCGACAAAAAAAAAAAAACTCACTCCTTCGCCTTCGTCTGCTCGGCCTCCTTAGCGGCCTTAGCAGCCTCAGCGTCCTTGGCGGCTTGAGCCTTCTCGGCGGCTCGAGCCTTGGCGGCGGCGACATCGGTGGCCCTGCGAATGAAGTTAACGTCGATGTGAATCTCGAGAAAAGTAACGTCGATAGATTAGAAAGAACGTGAACTTACTCCTGGTTCGGCTGGAGGGCCATGTGGGCGACGACCCGGGCGTCGTACTCCTCGTCAGTCTCACCCTCACTAAACACAACGAGAAAACTTAGCCGTCGACAAATATCGAGGGAAATTAAACGATTGTACTTACGTCCGCACCAACTGGTCCCCCTCCTCCTCCCTGTACTCCAGGCGCGCCCGACGCTCTTCCTCGGTCTCGGTCTCACTGCAAACACACACGGACGAAATCAAACGACGTTCGATATCGAGAGAATTCAGACGACAACTAAACTCACACGGTGGCGTCCTTGGAGTTTCGAGTGCTGAAGAACGTTATGTGAAACAGAATCAGATCGAGAACGGTCGAGAAGCATGACCAACGTATTCAAACTTACTGGACCATTGTTCTTGTTACAGTCGGAGTATGTCGGGTGAAGGTTGACGAAGGTGATGTTCGAGAGAGATGTATCTAGGTAATGAAGTGAATGTAGTAAGTATGTTCGAGAGGGGGGGAAAGTAAAATCGAGAGGGGGGGGTGGGGGTATATATGCTTCTCAGTTTGTTAGCGAGGCGTCGACCTCGATTTGACTCGATCGAGAACAAAAGAATCGTCTGTAATTTTAAACTCTGTTCATTTCGCTGCTCATGATGTCATGAGAGACGCAGCGACGCTCGATCTGTTCTTATTGCCAATTCGAGACGTCCGATAAGGTCGAAGCGACGTCAAGAGACGACTGAGAAGGTCGAAACGTCGTCAAGAGAATGAATTGTTATTGTTGTAGCGTCTGAAACGTTCCTGATCGACGATCTGCAAAGAACAAATCGTGAGAAGGTTTGCGACGGAATCAAAGCCCCTGTTACTCACGCCGTAGTATCCACGATATCAAAGAACTCGTCAGACATAAGCGAGAGTGATCAGCGATGACATAGTCACGAGACGATAATAACAATAGTAAAAAAACCCTAGCAGTGGGACCTCGTTTCAAATCTTGCGTAAGCGAAGGGTCCTTTGGCGCCATTGTTCTACATCGGGTGATTGTAGTAACTGCCCTGAGAAGCCGGAGCAATTCTTGAAGACGACGCCTCTGGGATGTAGTTGAAAAAATGTTGCGAGGGAATTTCTCGAGGATGAAATGATGAAAAAGGCATGCCAGGAAAAACAGGCGTCGACGTAGGCAGAGGCAGATAAGTGTAACTTTGAGAGCCATATTGAGGCGCGGTGAGGTGAAAGGGGCCTCGAGTGGGGTTGGAAGCTATACCCTGCTGAACACCTGACGGCGGAGGGTTTCGAGAGGAGTTTGACGCCTGAGTACTCCGAGCCTCGAGGATGTCTGCGGCCTGCGACTTCTTGTAGAGACCACAAGTCTTGATTGTATGGCCAACGACTCTGCAGTGGCCACATTTCCTCGCTGCTTTTTTGGCGATTTGCTCCTCTGCGTCCAATCGACGATTGACTGTCTCGTTGCCAGTTTCTAGACGTCCCGACGCTGTCAAATTGGCCACGATATCTTCCGTAGGCCCAAGTCCATTCCGTAGCTGTCCGTAGTCTCGCTTCTTCTGACCTTTGGCCTTTGCTTTCGCCTGCGACCGAACAAATTGGGGACGGCTGAGGGGTTCTTGAATAATAGCGGCGTCGGGAGACATCTCTCGAATTTCTCCGTCGTTGCTGTCGAAATAATCATTTCGAGGAAGAAAGACGTCCTCAGCCTGGAGAGGTGGGAGAATCTCGATATCCCCTTCAGGATAGTGGGTGAAGAATGTTCCCACAGTATGTGTGACGTCGACCCATTCCTTCGCCACAGTCCTGGCTTCTGCTTGCAAGTCTTTTTGTTGACGCAAATGCCAGAATTTATGAATTCTGGCGGGGTCAATTAAAGGATGCGGGTTGTCCGGCGCCAGGATTTCGTCGAAATCGTGCTGACACAGAAGGCCTTGCTGAAGCTTCATGCCTCCACTGCAGGGTTTGAGAGGCGTGGCATTGATACGAGCGGCTTGCTGCAGTCGATAAGCTCCGTGGAACATTAGCTTCAGACCGCGAGAGGCGATCAGGGCGGTAAGCTATGGTTTCGAAGGAGTTGTCAGGGAAATTTCCTAAGGGAATTTTCTGCAGACAACTTACCGACTGCATGCATTGGGGGAAATCTTTTCCAAAACCGATACTGTCAGTTGCGTGCGCCTTGAAGATGGCGCGATGAGTTGCCCTCATGTGGTTGAGCGAGGCATGAACGGCGGTAAACATGTCGGCATTTGCTCCGTCGATGGTGTTCTTCAACGCACGATGGAAAGACTCTCCTCGAGAAGTTGTAGTTTCTCCGAAATTGAGCGTCGTCAACAATCGATGGGCTAAGAAGTGATCGCCTTCACTGTGTTGGCCAATCACGTAAAGCCAGGCGTCACGAGTCTTGTCGTTCTGCAGGAACTCGTCGCTGTACTCATCAAGGAGTCTTTCGAAAGTAGCCTCCGACTTCTCAAGGCGCAAGAATGTTGCGGCTCGTTTGACTTTCTCGAAATCGTCCTTCGGAACAAGGGGCCGGAAATTTTTGTTGAGATTTTGTCCGAGATGCCACGCACAAAGCTGCTGCTTCCAGTGCGGGTAGACCAAGGTGAGAGCATTTCTCAACGCATCACATTGGTCTGTCAAGACAACTTGCGTCGGAAGTTCTCGACAGACATGTTTCAACGACTGCAGCGCCCAGACGTATTCGTCTGTGCTCTCGGTGGAGAGAAAACACAGTGCGACTGTAAAGGATTTGTTCGTCGGAGACATGCTGACGACATGTAGCATCGGCATTTGGTATCGGTTGGTCTTGTACGTCGCGTCCATGAAAAGAACGTAGCCGTAATGTTTCGCCAGAACTATAGCGAGGGGATTTGTAAAGAAGAGCGTCTGCAGTTCCCCCATTTCGTTCGATCGATAGCAATGGGGGATTCCTTTCTTAACCATCTCTCGAATGATAGCGTCGGCGGGCGTGCGACCTCCTCTAGCAACGGCCTTGAGGCGGTACTTGAGATTGTAAATCTCCTGGGGAGAGACGTAGCAATCTCTCTTTTCCTCGCTGGCTTTCTTGTGGAGCATTTCGACAATAGCTGGCGCAGAGGTTTTTTTGCTTGTGCTTAGGGCGGTGACGGCCAAGGCGACTTCACTCTCCGTCATGTGACGATGCTGATGGAAGGCGTACGAGCCAGTGAAAGGGTGATTGTGCTGAAGGTTTCTCTCCGAGAATTTCCAAAGACCCAACGACCATTTATTTCTGGCGAGGTAAAGTTTCCACTGGCAGCCAGTTTTCTTAGTTTTAACGATGGAGTTTTGTCTCATTCGTCCGTTCGCCATATATCGATGGGAATCTTTATGATGTCCGTTCTGGGCACAGACGACGTAAAGGTTGTTTGCCGCAACCGCCTCCCTACTGACTGCAAAGCCTTGCTTTTCAGCGACGGCTTGTATCGCTCGAAATGCATCGTCGCGATCATTGTAACCGGGATGATCGAGGATTTCTCGTAGGTATTGGGGGGCAGGGTGAGTGTTGGTATTACTTATGGGAAGAATTTCCGATGGAGCGGGGCTGCTGCGGTCGATCTCGAGGTATTCTATGGCTAGAATTTCTGACCAGGGAGGACTTCCCTCGCAAATTGGCGAGGATGACATGATGTATATGTCGGTGATACCATATTCGTAGTTCAGGGGTACATACACATCGACTCGCGGTACTACAAAGTGACCACGTCGTTGACGTGTGCTTGTCGGAGGATATCGGGCTAATTCTGGCGTCGGAGGATTTCGAGAAACTTTTCTTCCGCTTACCCCACAAAAGTCACGTCTCTAAGAAAAAACCTCACGTCCCTATGAATTCTTGCGCTTTCCCGAACGTTCTTTGAACCGTTCAAAAAGCGGGATCGTGGCAGGAACCAGTCCAGGTGACTTACCGCCGTCGGTGGGTTCATCCGTATTCGTGCCTCGTCTCGGCCGTGCAGGATGGCGGGTACTGCGCGTACCTATCGTTCTGGTTGGTACGCTGCAAACCCTATGATGTCGTTTGCTCAGCTTGGGCAAGTTGCGTCGGGTTGGATGTGGACAACGATTCGAGGGTGTGATGCGTTGAAATGACGAAGATCGATTCGGAGCTTCGGAGCAGCTGATCGAGGTCCGGATCCGCGAGAGGTCCAGGTTGATTCCGCAAGAAGGCGAAAATCACTCAAACTTTTGGACTATGATTTGGGATGTCGTAGTGTTGTTGCGACTCCCTCGGGACATCTGCCTTCTAATAGTACTTGATGACCAAGAGTAGGCAGAGGTCTGCTGACGGATTTGCTTCGCTCGACGAGAGCTGTAAGCGAGTGATCACGACGGGGGAGGGGGGGGGGGCAGACTGTTTGAGAACGCCACCTACGCTTTGATCTGGCCGTCACCGGAATCCGAGCTGGACTAGCTCGAGAGGCGAAGGGTGACAGTCGTGACGACCTTTTATTATGTACTGGCTTTCAATCATGGACTGTGTTGTGCGGCTTGCGACGAGTGATAATACGGCCAGCCTTTCTTCCACAGTCATCAGCCCAGCCAAAACGTGGTATAAAGATTCCGTGTTCCGGATCAGATTGCCACATCTCGCTCCTCTGTCTAGCTGTCATGACATGGTTTCCGGTCTCTATCTGACCTTTGCGCTGGATCTGGGCGCAAGGTACAGCAGCGAGAAGGAAGAGGAGGCCAGGAGAACGGCCGCGTTGATCAGGTCGGCCGTTGTCTCTCCCGCCGAGAGCTTGATATGGATTCCAGCAGGACCCCGCTTAGTAACACAAGCACAAGGTGGAAAGAAGAAACAGCGGAATATCTCGTACATTCGATATTTCGAGGGTGGTTAGACGTCACGCAAATTGCTGTCTCTGAATTCCGTCTCATAGTCCGTGGATGTGACACCGTGTTCAGAAGCGAAACAGACCAACCCCGAAACTCAAACAGGGGCACAGTGTAGTCCACAGAGCGTGCGGGAACCGAGAGCGATCGAACCTGTCCGTGTTTCGCGGCGGCCAGGTGGCAGGCCATACATGCCATACAGCCCATGGGCGGTCACGTCAAAACGTCAAGGCAAAGAAGGCGGGAAACGACGAGTAACAGCAGGAACGGGTTCGGATACAAGTGATCGTCGGGTGATCGGGTGATGGGATTGCTTCCTTCTTTGTCCCCCGGGGAAGCGAAATGAAATGGAAAAGCCTTCCTTCTTTCTCGGATCCGAAGGTGACATGGGGCGCGTATCTTGATGACCTAAGCAGGCGCGTCCTAGTGGACGAACGGGTGGCTGGCGATTGTGGTTGGTCGCTATGATCGTGATCTTGTCGCTTTGTTCTCGACCTTCCTTCCCTTCGAGGGCCTGGTTTACTCGGATCGATTTGTTCCTGAAGAGGGCGGAAGGACAGTCATCCCGCTTGCGCCTTACCACTACTACTGTCAACAACTTTTCGAGGTCGACACAAGGTGCACCTAGGCTGGGCCACGGCTCTCTTTCGGGTCTCTGCTATGATTAGAGACCATGCCGGTATGATTTTGAGCGTGATTTTTTGATTCCCGCTGACTGTGACAGAATGCGAGTTGACTAGTCACCTCAAGGCTAAAACTCCGATCTGAACCCCTCACTGCGAGAGGACGGTCTAATCAATGGCTTACAGGCCCTCCTTTTCGCCTACTTCGAAGGTAATTCGTCCGTTGAGCAGGGCAATACGTCAATTGATGTCAGTCGGAACCCAGAGATTTTGAATGCAACTTGAAAACGGTGAACGAGGCCCCCTTAAGATTTCGACATAGAGTAGCCTAAGAGCTCCTGGATTGGAAACCCTCATTCCTCCGTCTTTCCTCGTCACTCGGGTCATACCCCACCATAATAGTCTCCTCTACACCTCAAACCTACTAGAGAGTCGCATGAAGCGAGAGCCGCCATTGACTATCGTACCTAGAAATCGAGGTGGACAGCACTATTCACGAGAAGCGCGAGAAGGGAAAGGGAAAGAAGGCTGCTGGACAGTAGCAACGGGATGGATTCGAAATCGTCGGCGAGGCTCCAAGTTTGAGATAGGAGTCTGCTTGATTCTCTCAGTATACAAGTCTCGTTCAACTCGGACTAGCAGTCTAAGATGGTGCTGGACTCGGCGAATATCGTTGTGCTGCTGACCATAGATCATTGGTGAAGGTAATCTGTGCTGAAGAGCACTCCCGGACACTCTGCAAGAACCGTATCTGTGCGTCGCATCTTGAGAGGGACTATTCCAGAGGCTGGCTCTTAGTGTAGGATAATTGACAAAAACGCACATGCTCATCAGGCCCAGCGGCCTTTCGAAATCAGTGTCGCGGACACCATCATGGATTCTAAATCAGAACAAACATTGCACAAGAACATCCATAATGAATGTATCAGTTGTAGATGAGCCGCCTCGCAAAACGTTCTAACAGGTTCCCGCCTGACTTTGCCCCTTCGAACTGTTTCCCTAGTAGTTGATGTCGTATCAACAGATGTGCCTTCTGTTCATCAAAGCTCGAGGTGCTAGAGGGGTTGTTTGCGGAAGCGGGGACAGAGGGGTTGTTTGGCGAATTGACTTGGAGGCCGTCGACTTTGAGGCCATCAACTTCGAGGCCGACATTGATGGGATCGATGTGAGTGGGTGGTATCGTAGCCATATAGTATCTCTGGGTTTCTAGAATTCAACCGAGGGCGCACTTCGATTTATCCCGGTGGACTGTTCAGCCATCCGTCAGTCTGATTCATGGTCACATCTTTCCAATTCTTAACGTCAACACAGATAATATTAAACAAGCGGGAAGTCGCTCTGCTTCCTTGCTTGCGACAGCAGTACAACGATTGTGTAGCTTTCTTTGATCGAGGATACTGTAGGTCCCGGAAACTATCAAGCAGATAGAAGAAATCGCTTTTGGCGTGGATCTGCCTTCGTTGGCAACATTGGCGCTGGATATCGGATGTTTCGGATGCGAACTAAATAGGTTATCATAGCGTGACAATCGTCGGCAGACCTCTAGTATTGTTATTGCAGCGCTGGACATCCTAGCAAGGAATACCTTTTGGCATGCCCCCGACTGACCATTTCTACGCCACATCCGTCGTCAGATGATTCGTATCAGCCGCTTGTATGGACATCTCGAAGCTTGTGATACAAGTCAAATCAATCCCATCAGTAATCTGGAGGGCGAGATCTTTGATAAAGTGATACAACACATAAGTTCCAACCAATTCTGCACGATCAGCCACACAGTACAAAGGAGCCCAGGCCATATAGTTACAGCTTGACAGGATCCCTCTTGGCGCCCAGACGCGTATTGCATTTGTGAAACGGCCTGATCTCAACACGCGTCGAGAGAACATGCAGAAGGGCAAAAGCGGTCCAGATTCTGCGCAGACCCTTTATGCGGAAGGTCTTGTCTTTGAGCTCCCTTTACATATCGTTGACGTGGACATGCCGCTGAAAGGATGAAGGTCCACCTCTACATTTCTATAGACGACGAAGCGGTCGACAAAGGAGGTGGCCGACATTCTGGTTAGCGACGAGTCTACGCTCAAAGCCCCCGTTCGTCAGCCCCCGCCGCCGTCTCACCCGGAGCAACTCAGCACTCAGCCCGTCCGTTGCTCTGAGCTGCTCGGAGCCAAGACCATCTCGGAGGTCGTCATCATCAGAGGTCACTTGATCAAGGACCAGACCAGAGAGCAACATCATCATCGTCTTGCCCCTCTTCAGCTCAGCCTCGACTTATAATCCCTACGCCGGCAACTCGCCTCATCAGGTCGGCTGGATAGAGCTCGTCGAACGCCTTGGATCTATCTGCATCAACTTGAAAGACACCCTCGCAACAACATGGCTCCAAGGAAGGCAGGTCAACCGGCTTCGTGGGAAGTTGATGCGGATTCACCCAAACCGGAAGGAGAGACGAGGGCGAGGAGGAGTTATGCGGTGAAAGAGTTGGTCACCAGTGAGTGTCTTTGTGTCCTCCAAAATGGGCCAGAAGGATTTGGACTGGGTACAAGGCACAAGGCGTGCGTGCGAGGATCCGTTGATCTGTCGTCCAAGCGGTGGATACGGGCGGGATACCGTTCGGATTTCCGGATGCTCAGAGTATACATGAACTGGAAGGACTGGTGAATGATACAGTCGACGCAGATCTCCGATTCAGGCGGAAATCAGTCCTAATAAACGAAAAGAAGGTCGGAACAATCTCAAACGGTCTTGCCCTGATTCGTGTTTAGATGGAAACCGATTATCACCCTGAGCGCTAGCCATCTTGTCTCTCCTGAATCACTGACGACTATCCACTTTGATCACCCCTCATACGCTCTCTTGTTCCCATAGACCCCGCTCCAGGCATCCAGACCATCCACGACATCCTCCTCTACGCCGCCCGCACGCACGGTAACAAGCCCGCCTTAGCCCACCGTCCTATCAAGAACATCATCACCGAGACGAAACAGGTCCCGAAGACCGACCCCAACACGGGGGAAGAGACGACGCAAGAGAAGAAGTGGGAGTATTACGAGTTGGGGGGGTTCGAGTGGGTGGGGTATCAGGGGTTGTTGGATAGGGTGAGGGATGTCGGGTTGGGATTGAGGGAATTGGGTGTAGGGTCGAGGGGGCAGGAGTTTTTCAACATTTATGGACAGACCAGGTAAGTGTCTTCGTCCTCTTCTTTCTCGCCGAGGTACATTACCTCCGGTCACATGGCTGACTTAATTCCACCCCGACCTGCTTTTTCCGTTCCTCGTAGCCTGACTTGGCAACTCGTCGCTCACGCCTGTGCGCTCTCGGCCATCCCCATCTGTACCGCTTACGACTCCCTCGGTCCCTCCGGTCTCGCCCACGCTCTCAAAGAGCCTAACTGCAGGTCCATGTTCATCAACTCACACCTCGTCCCCGTCCTGCTGCAAATCATCGACCAGGTGACCGACCTCGAGCTCGTCATCTTTGACGGCGAGGTCGGTGAGGAGGACAGGCGAAAGCTGGAAAGTGTGCAGAGGGGGGAAGGGAAGGGTTTGAGGGTGATCTCGCTCGAAGAGGTCGAAGTGATCGGGAAAAGGAAGAGGGAGGAGACAGGAGAGGTCTGGATGGGGGAGAAGGCTGATCCGAACCAGACTTATTGTATCATGTATACAAGCGGGTCGAGTGAGTCCCGGGTTCGACTGTGGATCCAAGTCCGCCGATGTTTGAGTGAAATGAAGGCTGACCTTGCTTCGTCGTCTATTTGTTCTACAGCGGGTGCACCCAAAGGTGTTATGTTGACACACAAGAACATCGTCGCCGCAGGCAAGTTCGCTTGATCTCCACCCCCCCGCGCTATCGCTCTAGCTAACCACTCGTTTCTTCCCTGAACACACTGAATCGTGCTACTTTACCCACACCAACAGTCGGAGCGGTTTGGCACTTGCTCTACGAATATCTCACCCCGGAGGATACCTTCCTCGCCTTCTTGCCGCTCGCTCATATTCTTGAGTTTGTTGTCGAGACGAGTTGGATCTTCGCAGGGATTCCGATCGGGTACGGGAGGATCAAGACGTTGACGGATGCGAACGTTAGGGGTTGTAAGGGAGATATCGCCGAGTTCAAGCCGGTAAGTCCAGAGTAGACTGGTTAGCTGATACGATCGATAGCTCGGGAATCGGAGAGGCTGAACTCGAATTGGTCGTTTGCAGAGCATCATGGTCGGTGTACCGGCCGTCTGGGAGTTGATCCGTAAGGGCATCGTCGCCAAGGTAGAAAAGACTGGCAAGTTGGGCCTCTTCAACAAGGCCCTCGGGATCAAGCAGTTTGCGACAACCCGCAAGATTCCCGGGTTGGCTGGATTGACGGACAAGGTCGTCTTCAACGCCGTAAAGGCGCAGACGGGTGGGAGGCTGAAGATCGCCTTGACCGGTGGTGGTAGTTTGAGCGCGAGCACTCAAGAGTTCATCTCGAATGCGGTCGTGCCGTTGATCCAAGGTAAGTGCGAGCGGCGTCTGGCCATGTTCACCATGAGTCGTGTGAATGCTATCGCTGACCAGATTCTACATCTTATGTTGCAGGATACGGTCTAACCGAGTCGGTTGCCATGGCCGTCATCCTGCACCCGGCATGGATGCAGTACGGTGTTGCCGGTTGTCCCGTCCCCTCGACCGAGATCAAAGTCAGTAGACTGCCTATATTCTACTGATATGTGAAACTCGGCTGATGAAAGTCGTTCCGATTTTACTTGCGCTCGCAGCTCGTCGATGCCAAGGAAGCGGGCTACTTGTCGACCAACAACCCGCCGCAGGGAGAGATCTACCTCCGAGGACCCAGTGTGACCGGAGGATATTTCAAGCGGCCCGATCTGAACGAGGAGGTGGGGAGTTGTTTTTCCTCTTGGTGCACGCAGGACCGGACTGACAGACTTCGCTTGCATTTTGCTAGTCTTTCACTAAGGATGGCTGGTTCAAGACAGGAGATATCGGTCAGTGGAACAAGGACGGGACTTTGTCCATCGTCGAGTAGGTCGAGGGCCGCTTCTTATGGTTTTGGCTTGCGGCAAAGCTGAATCGAGTTGCGACGATCATAGCCGAATCAAGAACTTGGTCAAGGTACGTCGAGACCGCTATTTTTGAGATAGCGAAATGTATTGATACGGATTTTGATGCCGGCTTACAGCTAAGTGGAGGCGAATACATTGCCGTCGAGAAGCTGGAATCGGTGTACAAGTCCACCTCGGTCGTTGGCGAGGGCATGATCCTGGCCAATCCGCAGCATCGTCAACCCGCCATGATTGTCTGCATCCATCACGTCAACTTCCCTCAATTCGTCAAGAGCCAAAACTTGGGTGGCGGATCCGAGGATCTCGATAAGCTGTGTCGGGATAAAGAGGTGGAAAAAGCCGTCCTAAGGGAACTGAACGCGAACGGAAAGAAGCAAGGGTTTTCTAACCTCGAATTGTTGGAGAGCGTCATCTTGACGCCGGACGAATGGTGAGTCGACTCGCCTGCGCATCGGTTCTGGGTGAAAGATCAGCCTGAGTCTGACGTTGTCTCTGGAATGTGATCAGGTTACCCGGATTCATGTTGACCGCCGCGAGGAAGATTCAACGAAAGGAAGTAACAGAACATTACAAGGATTTGATTAACGTGAGTGCATGTCGAGAAAACGATAAGAAGTCGAACGAGACTGATCAGCATTGGGCTTTCATCAGTCTCATTACAAGTAAACCCTGGAGGGCCTTCCGATTACCGTTTTACGCTGTCTCATCTCTCGACGCCCGAGTATCGCCTTTTTACCGGTCGCTTTGACCTTGGCCGGATCCATCAAGCATACAGGAGCCTCGACCGGCTCGCTCCCTTCTATTTCGTGCTACCTTAGGAAGTTCGTGTGCCTATCATCTCATCTATACCATGCATGTCTACTAGCTACTTGCAACGAGTTACTATGTCAACCAAACGGTGATTTTCCAATCGAGGGGAAGTTGCAATAGCATCCGTTCGCGCATATCGCACTAGGCGATTGGAATTGAGCGGAGGTGTCTTGCTATCTCACCTTCTTTGATGACTTGGCATCGATCAACCACCTCGTCAACATCTTTCACTTGCTCCACAAAGACGGTAGTCTTGCACTAATTCGTCTCTCTCAGCCTAGATTCTGTAACCCTCTGCCAAAGTACGTTTCCACGTTCGTCGACCGCTCGGTGATCCGATTCGTCATGACCGAGGGACAGCGATAGTGTAACTGACAGATACTTTCCTGCTGCCCGCTCCCCACCCCGCTCACACCATATGCCTGGTAAACTCTCTGGCGGCGTCTTAATCAACTCGTAGCTCCATCGGATTCATCATGGTCGCCGCTCTCCTTCGTACCGCTGTCGCCAGGACCGCGTTCAAGGCCGCTCCTATGAGCAGGTCAGCTCCGCTTGCCGCGATGAGGTTCTCGGCCGTCAGGTTCGCCAGCTGTAAGTCGGACTCGAAGATTTGGAATATGATAGGGTCAAGGTCCACGCTAATGCTCTTGATATTCTTTGACGCTCTTCTTTGCGGCGTCATCAAACCTTAACATCTGAACACTCCCATACACCTCGACATGCTTATCTGTCTAAACTCCGCAACATCCTTTCGACCCCCCACAACCGTCCTTTGACACGCATCTAACCCGCCAAATCGCTGAAACAGCAAAGCGATACACCAAGGACCACGAGTATGTTATTCTCGATGATGCTACCAACATCGGAACTGTCGGGATCACGGATTACGCTCAACAAGCCCTTGGGGACGTCGTCTTTGTCGAACTGCCTGGTGTCGATACCGAGGTCGCTGCTGAGGGTGAGTCTGGTCTTTACTACTCTGGTCAATTTATGCAAGACATATTTGAGCTTCAACGTATGGCTGCATTCGTTCAGACGCTATCGGTGCCGTTGAGTCGGTCAAAGCCGCCTCGGACATTTACGCTCCTGTCAGCGGTGTCATCACCGAGATCAATGAGACCTTGAACGAACGTGCCAACCTGCTCAACAAGGATAGCGAGGGTGCTGGTGAGTACCGTAAAGGCTGTTGTAGTGTGATTGTCTCGAACAAGGCTCGGCCGCTGACCAGAAAACGATCGGTATTCTGTTCTTTTCGAATTTGCGATTCGGTGCGTGTATGATAGGCTGGCTCTGCAAGATCAAGCTTTCGGCTCCTCAAGAGTTCGAGACCTTGCTCAGCGAACAAGCCTACAAGGCTCACTGCGAGGGAGAGAGCTCGTAAAGTCTCTTGTAACAAGGATAGAGTGATGAGCATGAAAACGTTGTGGAAGGGTTCAGAGGATTTAGGAGCCGCTGACTGCTGGAGTTTAGAGGTCGTCAGACTTAAACATAAGGACCCAGATCGTTGTCTCCCGGACTCGATGGAATGCAAGACCAGTGCTCTCTTGATTGCATAGCGACAGGTGCAATAACGTTGATCAGACTCTGGACTCCCTCGACCCGATGATCATGTTGTGTTCCGGGACTGCGACACACAATCCGCACTATATTGCGGAGGCTCTCGACCAACACGAAGGTGGAGACGAAGTCATGGTCTTGCGTACGATGGGGCCTCGAGCTGATTAAAGATTGCAGACATCGAGGCCAGTGACCAAAGGACAAGCTGCATGTTCATGTCGCCACCCTTGTCCCTGTCAGCAATAGCAGGCATCACATGCTCAAAGTCGGCTTAATGCTGACCGAAACCCACCCTCCCAATTCCCCCGATCTTCAGCTAGTGGCGAACCCACCTTGCCTGCGCCTCGCTAAAGACCCCACCCATTTTTCCAACCATTCATGGTACCTCTCGACCCAAATATCCAACTAATAGCCAGACACGATCAGACAATAAGCCCATTTGGAGACTCGTGTCGACTTTGTCTCTGAAGATCTGAAACGCGAATCCTCGGTTCTCCGCGTTCATGGCAGTCCAGATGCACCATTCTGTAACAGCTTGACATTCGAGCTGATATTGTAGGTAGGCATGACGAATATACTTGGAGTGATGTCTGAGTGGCTGATGATGAGCTCACAAGCTCCGACTCGAATAGAGGAATGTCTTGGTATTCGTCTTTGTCTTCGGTCTTTTGGCTCTGGCCTCTAAAAGGATGAATGAGCACTACAACAACCGCAGGCCGCCTTTCGATCGATTCCATGCATCGTATACAGATTGAACATTTGCATGCCCAAATGAGATTGTGGGGGGATTGTCTCCTTTTCTCGCCCCTCGAGCAAACGCACACGTAACTGGGGCAGAGCGAGAAAGAAAGACTGGAAAACCGGAAAGAACCATCGCATACACCGACGCTCTACGCCTCCTGTGCGACCGGTCGTCCACCGGTCCTTCCACCTCCTCGTCCACCCCGACCACCCGCACCTCCTTCCCTCTTTTCCCTCGGCTCATTGCTCTCGCCCTGAGCTTTTCGGTTCATGGCGAACTGGACCGCTTGTGATCGGAAGGCCAATCCCCGAGTGGTCTCGATCAGGGTTTGCGTCGGAGTAGGGTGAGGTCGCGAGATGTGGAGCATGTTCTGCGTGAAGGAAAGGGTGATGTCAGTAAGATGTCGCAGGTGCAATGCGAGATTGGCCGACTCACGGCTTGCAGATCGATCTTGGCGTCGATTCCCATCTTGGAATCCCTGATCAAGTTGACGATCCATTTTTCACCCTCCTCGGCCGACAGGTTCAGCCTCGCCGACAAGTCGCTACGAAGCGTTTGTCCAAAATGAGTCAGCGAGAATTCCAAAAAGGCTGGTAATCCTTCTTGGACTCACGTGATATCGATCCTCCTGTGAATCTTGCAATAGACCTCGCTGACCAACCATCGGGCACCCTCCATAAACTCGTCGACGAACCCGTTGAGGAAGAAATCGTTCTCCAAGATCGTCTTGGCGTCCTTCAACTGTTCCTGAGCCTTTTCGAAATCAAACTCGCCGTACAGGTCCGAGAGGAACGACGTGATCGGGTCGGCATAGTGGTGGTTCTCCTGGAGGACGATCTTGGTGATCTCCTGGATCGGGTTCCTGATCTGCCTACCGGCGATGGTGACCTTGTAGCCGTTCGAGTTTGTTCGGTGGGTGAGGATGGCGGCGGCGACGAGGTATCGGGTGAGGTGGGGACACGAAGTTTGGAGCGTGTTGAGGTAAGGAGGGGAGAGGAAGATGTCGAGCAAGGCGGCCCGTCCGTCCTCGTGGTTGAAAAAGACAAAGAGACCCCAGTGGAGCAACCAACTCCTGGCTTGCAACTGGACGCTCGGTTTGGCCTGTTCCTCGGTCAAGGGGTTGTCGATCATCTCCCTGAGCTCCTTGAGTCCGGACAGCGCAGCGTCCCATTCACCCGCCAACGTGTCGCTCAACAGCTTTCCCCAATGAGCCGACACGTTCAGGTCGAGCGAAGGCGAGAGGATGAGGAAATGGTACAGGTACGACGATGCTCCGAGGTAGTCACCGTACGTGTACTGGTAGTGTCCGTAGTAGTAGAGCGCGTTGACCTGTTCGAGCGTGAGCCCGTACTCCCTCTCGAGGAGCTCCATATTCCTGAGCTTGTCCACCGCACCCTTGAGTCGGTCCACCACGGCCGGGTCCTCGATCACTCGGAGGACGGGAGCGGCGGATTCCTGCAGCGAGGCGGTCTTCTGGATGGCGAGCTTGCGGAGGTTTTCAAAGTCTGCCAGGGCAAGAAATCGAGGGACAGTAAGCCATCAGCTCTTGATGTTACAAGTGTTCGCAACCGCATCGCCGAGACTCACCGGGAAGACCCTGCTTGACGCCATCGAGGTGCTTGACCTGATCGGCGAGCTGTTCGGCATAATCGATCAAGTTGGTCCCCTTGGCCAGCTCGTACTGAGCCTTCTGGACCTGCTCGACGGGGTAGATGACCGGGTCGAGCTCTGCCAAGTGCGCCAAGAGGGGGAGGGCGAGGTGGCGGTCTAGGTAGGGGATGAGGGTCTGTTGCGGGTTATAGATGTATTTTCATTGGATTGTGTTGTATGATTTCAGCGGGATGTAATACGGAGGTGGGCGGGTTTGGCGATAGTTGATGCGTTCGGGGGTGTTGTCCGTTGTGGAGGATTCGACCAAGACGAGTTTGCAAGGCGTCCGAGATGTTCGTAATGCATATCCCACAAGAAGCAGAAACCCGGGATTGTCAAGACCGCCAGAACATAATCCATCCCCCGTTCCGAACCCGTTGTATCGCAGGTCCACGATTTTATTGACCCGAATGTCAGATCCGCAAGGTTTCGAGTAACGATCCGAGATGTGACGTGATCGTGCACGAGGTCGCCGAAGATTATAGCAGATCAGGTGGTACGGTCGAGATTGCCAAAAAGGCAAGTAGATTGAAGATGAAGGTGGGAATGCGTCCAGGTTTCGGTTCGTTGTGGTTTAATATTGATGTTCAAGGTCGAATTCAAATCGAGGAGGTTGAGGTGCGAGTTCAAGTTGTGGGCGGATGGGGAATAGGATCGTATATATAGGAAACGGTCCGGAGTGTTCTCCAAGACCCAGAATTTCGAGGTGAAAGGCAGCCAGCCGGAAGAAGGACGAGGAAGAGCCAGTATATGTCAAAGTAGAGTTTGCGTGACAAGATAAGATAAAAAACCGATACATCAGCCTCCTCGCTCGTCCAAAGACCGACTGCAACTACCACGACGACATCTTCCACTCGGTACTGACCTGGGTGAGATCGTATTCGGCCATGATTGCGTGTATTCTTTCTACTTTTCAAACTAGGCTTGTCTCGTCCTTTTTTTCCTTCCTTGCTGCGTGCGTGTGTGTGAAGTCTCCTTTTTCCGCGTGACGAGTGACGAGGGTTCGGGCTATCTCTTTTTGTGCCGTATGGAGTCTGTACGGACTTTGGGGTAGGATAGGAAGATAAGGGGTGAGGAGGAGGATGCTGATGGTAGAGATCGCTTTGCTTCAGTTCGATCAGGACAATAATGGTCGATGTCGTCGTGCTGAGTGCTGAGAGGAAAGAAGGGGGGGGGAGGGTCTTGTCACGTGAAAAGTCAGAAGAGAACTTACGTAAAGAGGGGGCACCCACCCTCCTAGGTCGATATCGGTCATCAGCGAAACATCTACCAGCTCGATACATGATACGAGTAGGGTCGACCATCCCTCGACATGAATCCCGACTACCTCTAGAGCACACATCCTACACACACAGAGACACAAGATGAGCTCGCTAGAAAATGAACCACCACCGATGTCGTTCGCCGATCCGGCACCACCGCCTTGGCGACGACCCCTTGCCCACCCGCTAGCGACACACGCCGGAGATCTAGGTCAGTCCATATCTCATGTGCTGCATATGATTCGCTTGCTGCTATCTTTGAAAGCTGATCCCATTCGTATCACCTTGAACTTCATCATGTCGATGCTTCCCATCCTATAGGTTTCCCGGACCACCACCCAGCGAGACCGGGTTATGATCAGAAAGAAGACCTCCTCACCCCTCTCTCCGCCAGGCAGGGGTACGCTCCTCCCAACCCTGATCCTCCGGGTCCTCTGCCTGCCCATAACAGCAGCGTCAACAGCAACAACAACAATGACATCTCCAAGACCAAGAACCGAGATGACATCATCGCGCAAATGACGCAAGGGAGTAATACCAGACCGATCGGCCTCAACCTCAAACCCATGCATCTTGCCCAACAACCTACCACCAATATCCAGCAACCGCAACCACCGGCGTCTCGATGGGGTCCTCCGATCACGATCGGCATAGAGACTGTCAGTCTGGCAGGACCGATCTATGAGAAGCTGAAAAAGGAGGGGACGGTCGGGAGGTTGGAAGCGATGGCGAGGGATGTGGAGAGGGAGATGGCCAGGATGAGAGGGGGAAGTGAAGATGAGGGCGGGGTACCGTAAGTGCGCGTTCGAAAGGTTGTCTCGCAATGGTAGCTGAAAAAATATCGTCCTTCTTCTGGTCGACCTCTCGTAGACCCCACACTTATCGTCCCCCGACTCGGACCATCCACAACCCGCTCATGCGTTCCAACTTCCTGACTGCGCTCGCCAACCCCGCTGTCCCCCTGTCCGGCTCGAAACTCGGGAATGTCAACGTACCGCATGGGATCAAGGGAGAAGGCATGTTGGAGATCGGGTGGGAGAGGGGAGTGGCGGTAGCGAGGATGGGGTGGTTGATAGGGGTAGTAGGGGGGTTGGAGGTGGTGAGTCTGGGTGTGATACCCACAGTCGGAGATGAGATAAAGCTTAGATGAGAAACGCTCCCTTTTTGATATCGTGCGCACATCCTTGTAGCAATCGTTACGAAACCGACCAGGCGGACCAACAGCTACCCCGAGCTCGAGGTCTGTGCCCGTGCTCGGATCTGGTCCAGGTTCTGGCTCGGCTGCCAGTCCGAACACGAATACTTTGACCCCCGGGTCTACCAATACTCCCGGTAACCCAATCTCGGGTTCAGGTGCAACAACGATGTCGGCGGAAGAGACGTATACGCTCGAATTCACCCGGACGTGTTTAGGATGGATCAAGAAGCACCTGAACGAGATCGTACCCGGACCTGCGTCTGCATCGGCAACGACAGCGTCGGCAGCGTCGGTATCGGCCGGGGAATGTCTTCTGGATGACGAGGGGAAGAGGAAGGTCTGGGTGGAGAAATGGGAATACATGCGAGTGCAGTCTTTACCTCTTCCTACCTTGAAACGGAAAATAAGCTGACAAGCGTTTCTGGTCTGCGGAACCTATACAGGCAATCACTGATGATCCACCTGAAAGACCGATCTTTCCTCGACTCCCTGACCATGCTCAGGTGGTTTACGCTCGAGATCCAGTCGACGCACTTGGTACCCCTCACGTTCATCCTCGACCTGTTGGACGGGATGAAACGCGCCGTATTGAGACCGGTCTTGTTGGCGGACAAGGTGTGGGGGAGGAGGTTGATCAGGGCTTGTCTGGACAGACTGGGGGGTGTGAAAGGGCTGGGGTTGGGGGAGGCTACGGAAGGGTTGGAGAGGTTTTTGGTCGGGCTGGTTAGGGTGAGTTCCGAAAGCCAGTCTGATCGGGTTGCGTGATGGCTGAAGTTGGAGAAACTATCGCGCAGACGGCCTGGATGATCGATCGTGACTACTTTCTATCACCCCGCACCTGGAGGGCGCACAGGGATACCTTGCACAGCCTCGTCTTGCCTCCCCGACCGACCGGGACCGTCCCGGACACCCGTCGACGGCGCATGGAAGCCGATTTTGAGAGGCTCGAACGGACAAACGACTGGTTATCGATGCGCATCTCGAAACCGGCCGATCGACCCGCTGTCGACCGGGAAAAAGACAGGCAGAATATGGTAGATCATGCACCTACACCGACGTCGGTAAGCAAGGTGTTGGACAACATCGGTCGTCCTGACGGGGTCAAGGGGACGGCGAGGGTGTTGTTCGGGAACGATCCGTTTGGCAAAGAACGCCGCACCGGGACCAGGGCGAGAATCAAGGACGTCTTGGAATGGATGACGCAGAGGGCTGCGATAGACCCTCGATCTATCATCACCGGCGTCGCTATCGTACGAACCGTTGTACTGGACGACTTTCCGGTCGACGTGCCACTCGCACTCGACCAGGCGAAGGAGAGGAGCAGAAGGTATCATCTCGTCTCCGAAGTCGTTCTCGATTGGATCCGGGAGATGAGCAAAGACACGAGTCGACATTCGGGTGCACAGATCGATTCTATGGTCCAAGTCTTGGGTCGACTGATCCGGGTGGGACTCTTCGAATACCAAGATTACCTCGGTCACATGGTCTCGATCGGTGGGCAGGGCGAACCTATCGACCGGACGTTTGACCGAGAGATCCTCGCCAGACTTCCATGGCACGAAGAGAACGCGTCGGCCGAGTTTCAACGTCGAATGCTGCTTTACGGATCAAATCCGGAGCTTCAGCAGCAGGAAGATGAAGAGGTCGAGGGTTATGAAAGCGGGCTGAGAGAATACCTTGCCGACTGGTTAATGAACGACGGCGAACATGTTGTCGGCGATAGCCTGCTGCCGGTAGCGACCCTCGCCTCGACTCGCTGGCGTGCTTGGACGCGCGTCAGAATCGAAGTTGTGAAACGTATCCGAGCGCTCGAGGATGATGGCAAACTCGGCGGTTCTTGCCTGCCACGGATGTTTCTGGCGAGCCTGAGCGTGCTCGACTATGAGCTCATTCTCGAGCTCGTTGACCGTATCGCCGACATACCGGCCAGCAATGATCGGGTCCAGCTCGCCTGCATACAAGCGCTCGAGGGCAATACGGTAGTCTGGGACGCTCTCGATGTCGCCGACAAGGCCAAGTCTCTGGCGCAGACATTGCAACGTCAACGGTCCGATACGATTGCGCGTAGATATATGCCATCGCAAGCCGAACAGGATTTGAATCAGCTATTCGATGCCAATATTCCCGCCGAACCGTCCGATTCGATCACGTCAACCACTCAACTCTTCCGTGACGTGGTTGAAATCCACCGTCAACCTAGTCTGGAAGCTGTTGACCGCCTCGCCGAAGGTCTGGTCCGAGAGTTTCCCCGTGATGGTCAGGTTGGCGAGCAGGTTTGGAACCTCGCCCTTGCAGGTCTCGCTGACCTGGATATCACCTTGCTACAACCGGAAGGTGACAACAAGACGGTCGAAGCAACGTTCCGATTACTGCAAAGCCTGGGGGAGCATTACCCGGGCGTGATGGATCTTGCGTTTCGAAAGTGGGCCCGATCCATTTTGAGAAAACCCACTGTTGCCACGGTCAACGAACAGTCATGCTCGCTCCTGCTCGAACTGGTCGCCCAGCGAGTCATACCGATCCGTAGCGTACTCGAAGCACTGCTCCTCCCACTCTGGCGATCCATGGCCGCCTTCGTTAGCAGTGCAAATCAGGCTGTGCCGGAACAATCCCGTTTCGTGTCTGTGCTTTCACGGGCCATCTTCCAAACTCGAACCTCGGATACTGCCATGAGTGTGTTCACCCGGCTCGGCCTGGGCACCGAGCTCGAGCTGGCTTTCAAGGAACCTAGCATCGCCACAGCGGTCGTCAAACACTTGCCGTTTCTCGGCATCATTGCTGTTGACACCAAATCGAACCGACACATGCCACAGTTCTTGCAAGAGCTCTGTCAAGTCGTGCCCCTCAAGGTGTTCGCTTTTCGCGAACAGGCTGTTGTTCGTGATGCCGTTGCCAAATCACCGTTCAGTTGGGAAGGTCATTACGAGGCTAAAGAGCTGGTCGAAGCTTGTGTGCAGGATCTGCTGAGCGCCTCCATTATGGTCGGTGAGTGAGAGGGTGGCAAAGCGTTCTAGAGCCCTATGTGACGAATAGCTTGCTGCTTCAGGTCAATCGACACTCGATACGTTTCCTCAAGACTGGCCAAACCTGACGGTAGTGGCGGATGCCGAGCTCAGAACTCGGTTACAAGCCGCTCTAAGCCGTACTCTTTCAGCTTGTCAATCCGCCAATACGGTGCCAGGCGAGAGTTTATTGGTCCTGTTCGATACACCGTTGACGATGGCACACAAGACGCTGTTGTACGGGGCGTTTGGGGAGTCGAGCTTGTCGACGGTACGGGGGGTGAGTGGTTTGGGATGCCCGTGTCGATTTTATAATGGGTCTACTGATACTGCCTGTTCACATAGTTCCTGGTCCAAGCCTTGACGCACCTGACTGAAATGTACCTCATCGCGGGGGACGACGGTGGCCTGTCTTCTGCGCAAATGTCGGTCCGTGCCAGAGATATCGTCTGGATGCTAGCATGCGCATGGACAGCCAGCGATTCTGCCGTCACGGACGAACCAAACTCGAGTGCTCACGCCATAAGTGGCGAGACGTTGGTTGCATCACTGAGCCTCGTCCTCAAAGCTCTCAGTCAGGCACCTGGATCTAGCTCGTCCCGTAGATCTGTTGCCGATGGTGTCAGGCTCGCTACAATTCGAGCCTTTCGTCATTTAGACGGGGCTGAGCTGGGCGAGGGCCACATTGGGGCACGGTTGTACGAGTTGCTGGTCGCTTCCGCAGCCAAGGAAGACATACTTGCCTATGTCCTTGATGGTCAGTGGATCCGAGTTTCGCGTTGTTGTTGTCTTCCACCTGTTGATCGAACATCAATTCTCGCACGCAGAGCTTCCCGACCCCCAAATCGATCCCACGCTCACCTACCTCAAGTCGCAACTCGCCACAACGCATTTGAATACCACTTCCTCTACTGATTTGTCATCTGGCCTGGAGACGAATCCTTACTTCAACTCTGTCTGGGAAAACATCTCCACCCGAACATATGACGACCCTTACGAAAAGACATCTCTCGAGAATTCCGATACTCTGAACATAGCTTTGTTCAACCCGAGTTACTCTCACGAGCGCGCTACGACGCTTCCAATCGACCTCGCCTCTATTATGCGCCGGCCGGCTACCGAGCGTGATCTGGACGTCGGCACGACCACGCTTTCTCTCTTCACAAGGAGCAGAATGTATGACCTTTACGACCCTTACGCAATCGACAGATTCGAGACTGGAATGGAGGACGAGAACGATAGATCCGCCCTCGACCGTGCTCCGGCAAACATGCCGACGGGGCGCGCGGAGCGATCGACATCGGGGCATCCCCGCGGATATGGAAACGATCCAATCGAAATTGACGACAACAGTCCGCCGAGCGAGGTCCAGTCGACCAACGCCATGCAGGTGAACAATAACAGCGGCAACAAATCCAGAAAACGACCTTATCCGCAAGAGAGCCCTGTCAAGCAGCCAACATCGCTTCCATTATCACAGCACAGAAAGATAGAGCGCAAGGGAAGCGGTTCGGCAGGGAAAGCAATTGTACCGCTCAGAAAGGGCAAGATCAAGAAAGATTGAATCCAGCAATGTACGGTGTGATGAACACAAGGAGCCTCTGTGGTCTTTACCCGAAACGCTCGCTTCGGACTCGCCACTTTCTTCCTCATCAAATATGGGCACCCTAGGTGGGCCAGTTCAAATCGGTTTGGTTCAGCAATGAACATGGACGAATTGTACGACGCAGATGGAGCACACTCAAGTTGGACTCACTCATCTGACAGCATACCAGAGTAGAAGAAGGGGTCCAAATCTAAAGCCGGCAGGGTGTAGACCGGGAGATGAGAGCAAGCAGATGAGGTGCACTCCCCGATCGCTGTCCAAGGTTGGGTTACACAGAAAGAGACACAGGAATTGCTCACGGGAATGTCTATTGATAAGATGTTCTGGTCAAACTTCGTATTGCACTTTGTCAGCGCTTTGACGGCCTGATGTGCAGCACGGTTGCTCCTCAATCGGTCCTGATCAAGACGCTTTTTGACCTAAAAGTCTTCGCAGACAAGTGCATAGTGTATATGAGGAGCTGCCCATGAATCTCGAATCATGTATGGCACTTACGCTGATGTCGCCTGGACAAGTCAAGTCTGCAATCAATTCCGGACCTGTGCCTTTCACGGCCAAGGGAGGCCAAATCTGAGAAGCGATCGCCGGGGATGACTTCCGCTTATCTGCAATGGCATCCATATCTTTGAGGTGGATAGAATCTGGTTGTTACGGACCAGCCCAGCTAGCGCTAGGCACGACCGTAACACTGGCCGAGTGGATGGCTTCCAAACGATCCATTTCTTCGAGTCACAAATGTGAATGGAAGTCAGAAGGCGGCGAGCAGATACTCTAATTGCTACGACATATGCATATCAGTCAAGGATCAATTCAAATCTCATGGAGTCGACGTACTGTTACAAAAATTACCTCATCCACTTGCTCGGTTTACAATAATACATATTATACGAATCTGAAGAGCCCTTTCCAACCTTGACAATGCCCCCAGCATTCAGTATCACCGCTTCACCGGGGCATCCCCATTCCGAGCGCAGGAGGCGGGACATTGAGACTGGCATAAGGCACTTCAGCCTTACCTACAGAATAACAATATCTCCGGTAATCTAGACACATATGCCAATCAATCAGTATGGTAATACATCAAATCGAACGTGCCCCAAGATAGGGAAAGCCGTTTTCTCACCTGGCTTCGCGAATGATGGGTACCGCTGCGATCCGTATCCCATGACGGGCGGTATATCGATCGAGTTGCTCAATGGCATCGCGTTCGGGTACGCAGTGTGCGGGGTGGCGAACGGGTTCATTCGTACGTTGTTCCCCGCGAGTGCGGAGAAGGTGGTGTAATCCATCGTCTGCGCTGGGTCTTGTGGCATCATCGTCGGCCCCATCGTAGGCTGCGGACCCATTCCCATTCCCATCGGTTGCGGTCCCATCGTATGCCCCATGGCAAGTTGAGGAGGCAAGGTTCCGAACTCTCGGCTCATATGATGGGGGAGCGACAAGTGGTGAGACAAGCCTGGCTGATGATATCCCGCCCCTCCGCCTCCGTGGTATTGCGACCCTTCGTGGTACTCCCTCGAACGCATGTCCATGCCCCTATGAGCGGGTTCTTCGTGCATCGAAGGCGCTCGTGGACGATGTCGCCTTGGCTGTTCTTGATGATGATGATGGTGATGATGATGTTGCTCTTCCCGATGATCGTAGCGGCCTCTGTCCTCTGCATGTATGGGATGAGACCTCTCCTCTCCTTGGCTATAACGTTGCCTTTCATCCCCGTGCGCCTGCGGAGGCTCCGAAGGATGTCTCGACCTCGAAGATCTTTGTTCTTCTCCATGTCTTCTCTCCGGGGAAAGCATTTCCCTCTCCCTTGACTGAGACAGTGGGGATCGCATGTGACTCCGAGGCGAACGGTAATAACTGCCCATGTCATCCTCGACCTGAACTTGATTACTGAAAGACGCTCTCCGTTGTGGGGCAGGGATGGGGATGGGTACGGTTCTGGGGGAATCTCGAGCCGAGACATCAGGATACGCATGAGCTTCGGGAGAGTAGTGTCGTGGTTGGGGAGGATAGTCGTATGACATGGTTGCGGTCAAGGTGGCGTGGCGGAAAGCCGCACTCAACAGGCAGGGAGCTGTTCGACTTGATCACCTTGCATATCGATTCTTTGTGGGTTATCATACAGATACGAGAAGCAGATCCCCTTTATAATTCCATGTGTTCAGAACCCCCTTTGTCCAGAAACTTCGTCATTCAGGTTCGAATGCGCCTCCTTTATTCGCGTGTTTCATGTTGCGACGTCAGGGCGCGCGCCACACGATTTCGCGACGCTGGGTAGCAGAGGAGGCCGGTATCGTTGCAGCCGGACAGGGTGTCGATCCAAGAGTATCAAGTGTAAGTATCGGGTAGCAAGGCCCCGCCGAGTACCAGATACACCGCTGCGGGATATATTTGGACTAGATCGATGTTGGTTCAAGAAGGTCCTTGTTTAGCCATGAATACCCCAAGCGCAGCCTGTGCTGCATCACCAATGGCCTTGTTGGCCATCTCGGTGTCTAAGGAGAGCCTACTTACAAGACGGAGAAGGCCTGGAAACCCGCTTCTCGATATTCTCCTAAACAAGGTCAGATCTGACACAAAAGACCAACAGGCTCTCACAAGTTGGGAAGGGTAGCTGACTGCGACGTCGACTCTGTTCGCATGTGTGTAGTACAGTACTATGTAAAGATGAAAGCAATCGTCGGCTGACTCAAGAGGTCGTACAAGTCAAAGTACGGGTGCGTGCTATCCCTCTTTCGAAATCCCCGGCAGCAGAAATCTACGGCCGTCCCTCTATCTTGCATCTTGAATCTGTCGACAGGAATTGTAGCTCGCATATGCGTGCCTGTCGCAGTGTCGGGTCTCCTCCAAGATCGCTAGGAGCCCTAAGCCGTACCCCGAAGAGCCTTTCTCATCCTCTCTCTGTGATGTCGCACGACTAATTCCTTCCACAAGCATACCGGAACCTTGCATAGTCTTTTGGAAACATGAACAGATCGTATACTGACAGGGCGACTGTGCGCCGGGCTATCGAGACAAGTCGCAGGTTTACAACTTGATTATCGACAGAATACACAAAGAGGTAACGAAATCAGAGAGAGGAGAGAGAAGTGAAACCGGGAGACGGGGTCCTAGACTCCGGACGTTCGGGCGCAGCACAGAATGCCTATTGACCTCCCTATAGGCAGAGGGCCAAGCCGAGACCCATACATCCGAGTACGACGGCTCCGATCCCGGCGTGTGAGAGTTCCCTGCCAATAGAGGCTGCCGAGTTGGAAGCCGACTCGCTGGTCTCTGAAGCGGATTGGGCGGTGCTGGGCGTCGAACCGGTTGAGGACGCACGGCTGATAGCACCAGTACCAGAAGAGGTTGGGCGTGAGGAGAGGGCGGTGGAAGACTGCGCAGTGAACGGATCGAGACGATCAGGGCTTGACCAAGTTACCGATCATCACTCTAACCACTCACCATCGTTTCCAAGGCCGATTTGCCCGCAGCAGCCGAGCTGGTGACGTTGGACCCCGCTCCAACAACTGAGCCGGTAGCGTTCGCAGTGCCATCTGACTGCGGCAATACCGTGCTGCCTCCAGCGAGACCCGTCGAAATTGCGGTCCCACCCAAAGTGGCTCCGGCGCCACTAGGTGCGACGGAGGATGTAGCGTTGATTTGGGAGAGGATGGTTCCGTTAAAGGACCCTGACATGTTTTCCAAGCTGTAAAGGAAACGTGAACAAAGGGTAAGTATCACAGAACTGGAAGAGTGGGAGAGAGAGAGTGTGTGTGCAGGAAGCGAGAACACTCACGTAAACTTGGCGGAATAGGCTGTGTGCGGGTAGGCAGCCTCGGTGGTATCCTTAAGGTTCTTGCTGGTGAACCTGATGAAATAGTAGTTTCCTGTACCCCACGGCGTGGGTCATCCAAGTTACTCGACTTGTCTTCTCGACAGGCATGACAAGCTTTGGCTTACCAGACGGCCCGACGTTGGGGTCGACGGCCCAGTTGACGGTTCCTACTTTACTGACGTCGATCTCCTCGGCGATATTTGCCAACCAAGATTGTTGAAAGGTAGATCCGGTAAAGAGGGCGATAGAAGAGGGTCCGATGTTGCCCAATAATGGGTAGACCCCATCGTCGACTGCACACACACACACACACACACACACACATATCATCGTTGGATCAGCATCAAGGAGAAGGAGTCCGAGTGAGACGAGACTCACCCCAGTTGATGGTCAGCGTCTGACCGGATTGTACAACCGTATCCGCCACAGGATTGGTCACATAGATCCCAGCGAGAACTTTACCAGCCAGGAACAGTCCGAAGATAGAGGAAGAAGCCAGGAGGTTATTGAACATGGCGAGGTGAAAAAGAACGCTAGGTCTTGTAAATCGACGTATTTGCGAAGTTGCTATCTCAAGAAGATGTCCAAGTAGTGGCTGCGGGATGGCTTATGTCGATTGAAAGGGCAGTCCGGTAGTCGAAGGATGTCGGTCGGTTGGCCTTGATGGTGAAACTTGATTCGGGGTAACGAGTGTAGTAGGTCGGATGTGTCTCAAGGAGTGACGTTCACAAAGGAGTGTGGTGTAGGTTTTGAAACGATACGAGGATATCTATATCTTGACCGGATCTGCTTCGTATTCCAGGCCATATGATGGACCGATGAGGATCAAAGGCAAGGGGTAAAGGGGGGGGCGATGACGGGGAAAAGGTAGGGGGGAGCGAGGCAGGGGGGGGAAGAGGATTTGCAGCGCGCGATCAAGGGGTCAAGTAGCAAGTGAGCTCACGAGTCGTCGAGATTACAGCCAAAGTGACCAGGAAGACGAACACATACCAGAATAGAAAAGGAGGGTGACGAGCCTGTCTTTTGCATGCACTTGTCAGCAACGACTTCCTTGCTCCTTTAGAAAGTCGACGATGATATGATGATGAGTACATGACGAAACCGGCCTAGCCCCCCCTCGTGCGTGCCCCCGTTTGTTATTGATTCGTGGACTCGTGATGGTTGAAGTGGATTCTACGCTCTACCTTCCAACGACGGGAAAGAATTTCGAACCCATGTACCACCCTTTGTCATATAACGTCGACTGTATAGAGCAGCTAGACCAGACACACGAGCGATCGGCTTCACGGGCATTGAAAGTGAGGAGACGAAGGCAAGGGGGGTAAGAGGAAGAGATAGGCGAGCGAACCTGGCTAGAGAGGTAGTAAAATTCACATTGATGTTGTACATTTTTGGCTTACACCGGCGGGGATATGGTTTAGTTGGTATAACATTCCATTAGCACTAATCAGCTTATCTTGGAAAGGTCTGGCGTTCGATTCGCCATTTCTCCACGTTGTTATTTTTGTCCTTTTTGCTATATAAAGACCGTGAAAGACGTTGGATGAGATCAGCATAAGACAGTTCTAAGGACGAGTCAGATCCGTCAAACTGAGTTGAAATGGAGAGGTATTGGTCATTGCGGGAAGTGACTATGTTGTTGAGATAGTCAGCATGATCAATGGAGGCATGAGGCGTATAGAGGTTGATGGACGTGTAAGAATTTCTGAGTTGTCGAGTCTTGCAGGTTGAGGAGGTCAGAAATGACGCTCGAGCCCCGATCGAAAAGGACGGCTTTGATCGGGAATACCGCCCTAGGATCTTTCAGGTTGCGGACAAAACGAGTTGCCACAGCGACGTCATGTCATCGCCTCTAACCCCTGTATGCAGTTTGGTATCATCAGAGAATACATGACAGAGATTGCGACCCCTATATCAACGATCGATCGCTGCTGCGAGCCATCTCGTCGCTTGTGGGGACCCACAACCTTGGGAGGCGCTTTTCGCTCGAAGCACCTCCTCGAGCGAGGGAACAAGAGAGCAACCAACATCTCCATTCCAACCTTTGCACGTCTCGATGGATTGGCAAAAGTCGGAACCCAAGATAATTGAGTACGACTCTCGATGAATATTCCCGAAACAACGAAAATCATTCTGCCATAGCTCACAAGACCTCTTTCCATCGACATCTGCCATGTACGGCGGTCTCTCGCGACCCACAGCGCTCGACTCGGATTCTCCCTTTGCGATCGCCAGCCACGCATTGAATGACAAGAGCACGCCGACAGCCCCTACGCTCAAGATTCCTACGAGACGAGCTCCTCCAGGTGTTCCTTCGCCTTCGTTGCATTCCCCTGGGCCGGGAAGTGGGCATTCGCAAGGACAGGCGCAGGTTCAGGGGGATTGGAGGCAGCCTCACGGGCCCGGGCCTCATCCGCAACAACAACAGCAACAGCAGGGTCATCCAGGACCGATGCAGAGTCCAGGAGGGAGTGGAGGTTATGGGTTGAGAGAGGGTGCGAGGGATGCTTATATGGGAGCAGGAGCGTATGATTCGAGGACGGGGAGGTATGGACCTAGTGCTACGCCGGCGTTTCCACCTCAACATCAACAACAATATCAACAACAACCGCAACAACAACAAGGAGCTGGCGGACCTCAGGGAGGGTATGGGTCGCCTCAGACTCAGTCGAGGCAGCCGGGAGGCTATGGACAACCTTACCCACAGCCGCCGTATCAGCAACCACCGCAACAGCAACAACAGCGACCCGTTACAGCTCAACCACCGCCTCCACAAGCACCTACAGGTCCTTACCCTCTCGTCGAACGTCCTTCCCGCTCTCCTCAACCTGGTCAACAACCCCAACACCATCAACAAGCATACCCCTACGCTTCATCCCCGGCCGCAACAAGCCCTCCACAGTATCCAAATCCGACCTCATCACCCTACGCCCCCCATCACACTCATACTCCCTCTCCAGCTCAACTAGCAAATGCCTCGGCGGCTTCCCCGGGATATTACCAGACGACGAGTCCGGGTGCGAGCGGGCCGATCCCTACGGTGGTGAATCCGAATCAGTTGCAGACTCGCCCGCCGGCCCAAGCACAAGGACAGGGTCAGGGGGGACAGGCGCCGAGAAGACAGGATTCGAAGGATAGTGCCGGTGGGCAAGAGTTGTGGGAGATGTACGTCGCTCACCTTCAGCCATCGATATCCTATCGTGGACTCGCCTGACACCTGATCGTGATTCACAGGTTCTCGTCGATGGATCTAAGGCGGACAGGGCAGTTGGGGAATAAAGAGGTCATGGAGCTCTTGTCCAGGGATTCTCGGTGGAGGATCACGCCCAGGGAAGATTGCGTCAAGATGGTGAGTCCCGCGAGTTATCGCCTCTGCATGGCAAATTACGTTAGATCGCGGAGAGTCGTAGCTGATCAAATTGGAATGCACATGTGTCCTGTTTGCGGACTGGATAGCTTATGAGTGAGTCTTCGAAAGGAGGCAGATATGGAGGTAGATTCGAGACATGGCTAATCGGTAAATTCCTGGCGACTGCAGGTATCTTCGATAGCGACCGAAGTGGCTTCATTAGGTGAGCGGCCTGTCCGCTCGATGAAGATCGATACGCTGGACAATATTTGCTAATGCACCCCCGGCTATCGTCATATAGCTTTAGCGAATTTGAAGGTCTATGGGCATATATCAAGGATTGGCACAAGATCTTCTTGCGGTTCGATCGGTAGGTGTCATGTGTAAACCGTAGAATGACTGATCTTGAGCTTACTTGTCGGGGGTTGCCGGCCGCTAGTGATAATTCTGGAACGATCGATCGGAGCGAATTGGACCAAGCTTTACAAAGCTTTGGGTATCCTTTACCGAGGGATCTCGTGAGGAAGCTCGAAAAGCGGTTCGGTAAGTCTTCACCACGTATCGTACAAAACCGTGTGAATATGCGCTGACCCGTTCATGACTGGGCATCTTACAACAGCCCCTCCGAAAGATAGCGGAGGCTCGGTACCGCGTGGAATCACTTTTGACAGGTTCTTGATGGCCTGTGTTACTGTCAAGCATTTTACGGAGGCTTTCCGCCGGAGGGATGCGAGAAACGAGGGAAAACTGACGATCGACTATAATACATTTGTGAGCCCAGCTGACGCTCCAACCAAGGCTGCATCGTGAATACTGTTTGCTGACAGCCGGCTGGGTTGCAGATGGACCTCGTGATCGATGCGCCAGTTTAGGGAGTTTTTGCATTGAGACTAGCCGTTCTTGTCATCTTTAGCACATTGCATGGGACGTCAGTCCCCATATACCCATTCATTAATGTGCATATGCGCGTATCGTTCGGGTCAAGGTGGCGAGGGAGACGAGACGAGATCATTTCGGTGGACCGCGCACAGGCTGTCAACCTGAGATCTATGCTTCTACATCTCCGGAGGCGATCACCAGCTCCGAGGACGTTGCGGTCACTGATTGCCGCTCAGGTGAAATCTCGTCAAATGGTGTCAAGCTACCCCTCCACCGTACTAGACTATATGGAATGGCATATCTGTCAGAATATCTCGCAGAAGTACGAGGAGAAAGGTGAACTTGCGGTCTGTATAGAGGAGATCCCCAGGACGATTGCCCAGCTGGAAGGATCGTTCCCAGAAAGCGACCTGTCTGAACCGCCCCCTGGAGCTATAGAGGGAGCGCTAGGCTGTTTGACTATGGATATGGCGGAGGATGCCGAGGACGCACTTCGACGGCGTCTCTGTAACGAAATCGATCGCGCGAGATCATCACGGCCGAGGAGGAGGAGCAGGGCTTCGAGGCAACTGGGGGTGCAACTATCGACACCCCACTGGCCCGTGTCCAAGAGTTCATGCGGTCCAGAGTGGTCCATGCTTGCCGTTCCGACCGCAAGACGGTCGCTTCTGTTGAAAGCGGTAAAGAGGAACTTGGCAAAAGCCAGTCGCGGAACATCTTTGGATTACGCTACGCCTGATGATGTGATGAAGGGCATAGAGCCCTACTTGACAGAGGACGGGTGAAGCTGACAGTCCCAGATCTGAGCCTCTGTAATCTCCACCGGAATAAGCGTCGGCTTCTGAACCAGCTTCAGAAGAGAAGGGCAATGACTAAAGTCGACGATTTGTCTGTGCAGTGAAAGCTCACTAAAGCATCTCGTGCGCATCGATATATCGGTATGGTCGTGAAGGTAAGGCAGATAGTAGGCAAATGTACAAAATGTGGTCTGAGCTTGTCATTATGTAATCAGGAGCGAAAGTCACCTCGCATCCTGCCCTACTTCCGCTTCTTGTTTCCCTTGCCATTGGAAGCTGGAGTACCGTCCCGCGAAATCGTCACGGTATCTTCTACCTTGCGTCGCTGTATAGCAGATTCTGACTCGTCAGCGTTATCCACAAAAATCTAGTAACCTCCACGAACCTTTGGCGCTGGAGCCTTGCCGTCAGGCTTGACATCCACATCTTTGTGGAGACAGGTCAACAATTGCGCGCAGCGCCTCTTGAGCTCCTCGGGGGTTCTCGATTTGATGAACCAATTGAAACTGCAAAGGAAACATCCTGAGACCGATTTATAAGATCGTTGTAACCTGGAGGCTTACCGGAAATCAGGCCATTCGCCAATATCCCTCTTCATCATGTCGTAGGCATAATCGCGTTCGAGTCCATAATGGTTTAACCTAACCAGCAAGAATCGATCCTCATCCTCGCTATATTGCTTCCCCTTGTTTTGACCGTAGCTGATGTCGAGCTTCTGCAAAGGGAACCTGGAGCCACTGATCTTTGCGAAAAGCAAGTCCTTGTCCTGCTTCAGCTTTTCCCGTCGTTTCTCCTCGTCATCGTATTTTCGCATGTAACCTTCCCAACCTACAAGCGATTGAAAAACGTCGTCAAACGCGATTCCACCTAGTGCTCTGATTAGAAACTCACCTGGAATCTCCTTGTATCGCTGCCAGAAGACTTCGGCATATGTCTCGACATCTTCCTCGGTCTTGTTGTCCATCTCGGCAGCGATCGCCGCATGTGCGGTTCGGCCATACCTTCCCGAAAGCTCGAGGAATTTTCGTAGTTCGGGTTTGTTCCAGTTTGTGAAGACCTGCTCCACCAGTGCTGCTTTCTCTTCTCGCTCTTCTTCAGTCAGAGGCTCCGCTGCACCCAACTGTCGATAAGCGATTGATAATAATGAGCTGTCTCCTAAACGGACGCTTACCGGCATCGATCAACGCCTGGGCGTCCTCCTTCATCTTGTCAGCGGCCTCTTCCGAGGCTTCCCCCTCTTTCACCTCAGGCTTCTCTGCTGGCAAGTTGTTCTCCTTCTGCAATTTCATCTCGTGGTCAGCTCTTAGGATCATACTGCGACCCGCGGGCCGTCGAGACTAACCCTCCAAGCGTTCAATTCTCTTTCTTGCAGCTCGGCCAAGCGAGGTGGGTAGAATTGATGCGGTTGACTAGAGACACCTTGTCAGCGCTTCGACAGTGTTAGTTCTAGGGGTAAAACCACTCACAGGTCGATCTGTTTCGGTGCTTTCGGCACTTTTGGCTTATCATCCTTGGGAGGCTGGTTGCCCTTCATGGCGTTCGAGAAATACTGGTCGACGGCATAACTGACCTCCTTGGCCTGACGTTTGCCAAGATCGATCCAGCCAGGTCCGCCAGACTGTACGCGCGTAGCCGACCGCTTAGCGTCGATTACAAGCAGGCCATATGTTGCGTAGGGCACTCACTTTGATACCACCGTAGTTCTGGCCCTCCCAGGTTCTTGTATCGAGCTCGGGCTGGAAGTTGGTTAAAGCATCCAGGTTCATACCCTCGTACTTCTTGTTCAGGACGGCGGTCCTTTCCTCTCCTTCTCGAATAATCTTGTCGATGTCATCATCGACAGTCAAACTATTTCCATACATCACAGGGACATTCGTTGTAAGCTAGGTGGTCAGAGGAGCGAGAACGATTGTACTCACCTCTCCTTGGAACTGATGATCTTGCCCGCTCCGTGTTGAATCATGTCCAGGAGGTCCTCCTTGTTTTGTGCAGCTGTTTAGTTGAATCAGTGAGGGTCTAGATTGTGCCGTTCTGCGATCGCATTCACCTTTCGCCGCCGGTTGAGCTCGACCAGCTTGGATAACCATCTGATCAAGCTTCAGCTTTTGCATCGCTCGTTCAATAATTCGCTCCTCAATTGCATCCTGAATTGATACCGAAGTCAGTACAAAACAGGACGGCTCGAAGAGATTGTTGTACCGACTTTGGTGATGAATCGGTATACATATACCTGCTTGGTCTGACCGATACGATGGGCACGATCCATGGCCTGCAAATCGGCTTGAGGGTTCCTATATGCAGAATAGCGTGAGCGGACGGTCGTTGGCCGGCGCAGAGGATAGAAGCAGACACTCACCAATCGCTGTCAAACAAGACGACGATATCGGCAGTGACCAGGTTGATACCCAGACCTCCGGCTCGTGTCGTCAACAAGAAGATGAACTTTTCGCTCCCTGGCTTGTTGTATTCGTCGATAGAAGCCGTTCGCGTTTCGTGATCGGTACCTCCGTCGATACGACAGTATTCTACACACAGCCACTTGTCAGCCCAAGGGGATTTATGTCACGCAACAGATATACTCTGCTTACTGTATCCTCGGAATTGACAATAGTCCTCCAAAATATCCAAGACACGGCTCATCTGCGAGAAGATCAGGACTCGAGAATCTTTCTCCTGCATTCTCTTCAGAAGTCGGTCGAGGATCCTCATTTTGTCAGAATTGTCGACTAGATGCTCATCGGTGGTATAAGGCGGACCGGGTTCCTATGAGGGTGATCGAGATCAGTTACTCGACCGTCTTCATTACAGCACGTAAGGTACGAACAGCTCCATCAAACACTGTACAGGCGCGACACGTAGATCCGTCAGTATGGAGCGAGTCGTCTGCGTATATCATCTCTATGTAGCTCACGGTAAGGATGGTTGCAACACTTTCGCAATTGCATCACAATGTTCAATAGCCTAGTCTTCCCCTCCTTCTTGCCAGCGGCACCTGGAAAGTCGTATATCAGCAGACGGATCTCGAACATTTTCATCGAGCACGAGACGAACCGTTCACAGCATCGATATCCTTCTCCAACAAGCTCTTGTACCACTTCTTCTGCATGTCGGACATCCCGACATATAAGTTGATTTCCTTCTTGGGAAGCAAGGAGTGCTCGACCTCGGCCTTGACTCGGCGCAGCAAGAAGGGTCGCAAGACTTTATGAAGTTGGGTGACGACCTGTTGCTGCTGTTCATCTGAATCTCCCTTGCCTTTGAACCAGGTGTCAAAGTCATCGCTGGAAGAGAAGACATCTAGAAGAGCGGGTTCTAATCAGAGCTAGCAATTTCCCACAAGTTGGGGCGGATGCGCTTACCAGGCAGAATGAAGTTCAACAGCGCCCAAAGTTCTTGCAAATTGTTTTGCAAGGGCGTTCCAGTGATTAAGAGTCGACCTCGACTAGAGAAGCTCCTGACGATCTGACTCAGGAGCGAGTCGACGTTCTTGATTCGGTGCGCCTCGTCGATGATGATGTATTCCCACGCGTATCGCTGCAGGACCGACTTTTCCCTAAGACACATCTCGTACGACGTGATTAAGACGTCAAAGTCGGACGTCATGATACGCTCCTTGATCATCACGGCCTGTTGTGAGAGCGATATCCCGGTCAATTGCAAGCGAGGCTGAAGGAGCTTGTATACCGGTCACGCTTACCCTATCCTCCTTGGCTCCCTGGAGAACGATCGTGTTGAAACCCGGAACCCACTTGGCCACTTCTCGGTCCCAGTTGTTCAATGTCGATTTAGGCACTACGATCAAATGCGGCCCGGTAATATCGCAACGGAATTTGAGGTGTCCCAAGAAGGAAATCGTTTGCAAAGTCTTTCCAAGACCCTGTTATACATGGCATCCCGATATGTCAGCTATCATTGCCACGCGGTGCTCATGATTTGCAGGCAAACCTTACCATCTCGTCTGCCAAGATTCCGTTGATACCGTTGTGATGCAGCGAAGCCATCCAGTTCAGTCCAGCGACCTGGTAGTCTCGCATCTTGCCCCCCTTGACGACTGAGAATTCGTTTGAACAGATGAGCACCAACCTATAAGAGCCACATGTCCTGAACGGTACTCACATGCCGGGCTCTCGTCATATACGTAAACCCCCTCGTCCTCGTCCTCGTCGTCGTGCTTGATCAGCTCTTCATCCTCTTCCTTTTCAGATTTGCGATGTCTCGTCCCACTGGCAGAGGAAGAGGTAAGATGTCAGATTCGAGAAGGTCAACAAGGATTGTCGTACGACGATACTCACGCGGCCTTCTTCTTGCCCTTGGCATCCTTCTTAGCCTGCTGTTCCTCAATCATCCTCGCGAATTCGGGGTCGCGCTCTTTCTGCAGATTCATCAAAGCACACACGACAGAGAATGAGTCTAATGTGCTGCAATACGACCACGTTTGAACAACTGACTTTGATCTCCAAGAAATGCTCAAACAGCTCGGTTTGGCCCATGAGGTACGAGAATCGCTTCATAGAATCGGCAAGCTACCGCCACGAAAATATCAGACGGTCAGCCAATATTCGACAGCGCCTCGCGGATTGACTCACTTTGATCTTCTCTAGGTTACCCTTCTTCCCCTCGATAGCTCGGTTCTGAGCTCGACGCTGTTCTTGCTGTTGACGCTTGCTTGGGGTTGCGATTTGCTTTGACGTGGTCGCCTGTTGCGGGGCGGATCGAGAATATTGCGTAGTCATTGAATCATGGGGTTTCAAGTACCAGCAGAATGAACCAGATGTTTGCCATGAGGACAGGTTGTGGAAAAGAATAACGAAGTGTCATAAGTCAGCTCTCCCGCTCATTTCGTAAACAAACCGGTATCGAGCGGCAATTCGAGCTGACTCACCTCATCGTCCCCGTCCACATCCATGGCATCTACTTCCTCCTCCTCTCGGTTCTCTTCCTCCGGGTCGATATCGCCTGCCTCGGAAGTAGGATCGTCATCGTCGCCGTTCTCGTTCTGAATTTCCTTGCGGAGATGCGATCGGTTTCTAGGTTGAGGTGTGACCTAGGTCGTGGCAGAGAACCGGAAAATCGCAAGTCAGCATTGACTTTCGCTGCAGGATGTGAAACCTGCCAAGAGACCACGAGAGGTCTCCGAAGCCATCAGATATCGCCTTGAATCGTTATACTTACAGCTCTTGAATCAGTCAAGGATACTGCTCGACTAGAGCCATCGGGCAGGATGTCCGAGAACTTATCTTCCTCTTGCAATTGTGCATCGGCGTCGGACATGATGATAATACTTTTACACAGAGCAATATATCGTTCGTGATTCAAGCTCGTGTTGTTTGAAACAGTCGGTCGATCTAGGTCAAGTTGGTAAATTATAGCAAGAGTGTGTGTACTACCTTGATGGCCGGGGGCAGGGATGCTACTCAACCGAGCCATGTTCGTTACGGACATGAGCGCGTTTCCTAGTTGAACACGTCGTTTTGATTAATTGAACTTGGATGTCCGCGAATCGACCGCTCTTGACCGAGGGGCCATCGGCATCATCAGGTCAACATCCACACCCTCAGCAGCCGGTTACACCTCAAACTCGAGATCAAAGCAATAAAATCGACCCTGCAGCTGTGTTAAATCCTTGAAATATGACCGTATAGACGTCCATCTTATCTACAACCAAATCCGACATCCGCGCAGCCGATAATATGCCTCTGATACGGGATTCTGGAACCCTAGCGATCCGGTGCTTCAAGAGCGTCGAGCACTGCGCAGATCGGCTAACGGGAGCTGCCGGACCAGTCTTTGTAGCCATTTGCTGGGTCCTCATTGTGCTAGGAGGAATTTCTTTCGGTATGTCCATCGCTAGTCATGACCTATCTTCGGGCTTAGCTAGACGATGAAAGGGAAATGCTTTCGCAATGAGCGCTAATTCGACATCGGTGTCGCCTGTTCGCAGTCGATGTCATCATCATACATAAACCGCTCTCTTTCCTCCGAATACTTTTCCTTCCCATTGCCATCTTGATCTTACTCAATCTCTACTCGCAATACTACTATGTCATCCGTACGCCTCCCGGCAACCCTCATTCGGTCGTCGAGGAGATCAAGCGAGAAGCTCCGTGGATGATCGAGAAGGGTAGCGATAGAGAGCATCGCGGGATGCTAGCGGACGGAACATGGGCAGGAGAGAAGCTGAGGAAGTGCGGCAGGTGTTTGGGTCCCAAACCGATCGTGAGTCGTAAATCCCATCACTTGATTCCTCCTTGAAGCTGATTTTAGAATTACCCCGCAGCGTACGCATCACTGCCGAGTATGCCGAAGCTGTGTCCTGGTCATGGATCACCATTGTCCCTGTCAGTATGGTTGTTCATGAGAGACACAGACACGAGCTGTTGCTTACACGCTCACTATATGCCAGAAAAGGGATCAATCAATGCGTAATTATTCTCGGTCGTCGATCTCCCTTGAAGAACGCGCTTTCTGATTATGGCGAATGAATCATCAACAGGTTGGTCTCTACAATCAACGATACTTCGTTCTGTTCATGTGATTACCTCCTTGCGAAAACGAGTGCAGTCATGGCACTGGCTGACTGGAAGGTGCTCGCGATGTTTCGCAAACGTTGCAGGGCATGGCTATCCGTTTCCTGCTGGACGTTCGCTATCTTGGGCTACCAAGATTTCTGGCTGAGCATGTCCTACAAACCAGCTGTCAGTACAATTCTCGATCGCATAGCTCTATAATTGCAACCGCTAAACACCTTCCTGATCTGGTTGTTCTTAGTGGGTTGCAGTGACACCCCCCATCTTGTTCACGCTTATCTGGGTTCTAAGCGTCGCACTAGGTAAGCTATATCTACATTGCATAATAACTTTCCAGCATGGGGTCACAAACTAAATCTTTCCATTCATACCCAGGCTGTGCGGTCCCGATGCTACTGGTCTGGCATATCTACCTGATATCAAGAGGCGAAACCAGTATCGAAGGACATGACAACGATTATTTTACGACGAAAGCAAAGGAAAGGGGTGTGGTAAGTCTGGCTGTCGCGTTTGAAGGGAAGAGCTTCAGGACTGAAAAAGGCATGGCTTCAGACATATATAAATCCGTACGATTTGGGGTCGCGTCGCCATAACCTGGAACACTACTTCAACGTCGGACCGGGCCGATTGTAAGTGTGATTTTCATGTTCTCAGGCGGTGCCGCTGACTGACGGCCATGTCAAAACAGACCATACTACACCCTCTTTATGCCTTTCCGATATCCTCCATCAACAAGTGGTTGGCGATTCCCTCTTCATCCGATCGCACTGAGTCGTAGACGACGAAACTCGGAAGTTCCGGAAGACGACCGTTACGGGAACGTCGTCGTCGGTGACGAAGACGAGGGTGAATTGACGGATGATGAAGGAGGCGGAGGTGGTTTGTGGAGCGAGGATCAGGAGGAAGCGCCTTGGACTTGAAGCAGCCACCGTGACGATATAAGCGGTTCTACCAACTAGCTACCAACTGTCAACAGCAGGAATCATGTGATCATCAATGTGTCCATGTCGCGGTACCCTTTACAGAAGGGACGTCGAGGTATAGATTAGGCAGCACAGGGTATAAGGCCGTGTAGGTCGTCATTAACAGAGTTGACCTGTTCGAGAAGTCGCTTCTTAGGGACTCGGTAGATCACGCTCAAATGACCGTATGTCGTATCTCTGGATCAAATCGGAACTAGATGCCCATTCGTTACAAAAGGCCTGATCGTTATGGCGGTCGTCAATACATCGTTAGCGGAAGGCGTCGTGGCGGTTCTATGCAGTAAAAAGTGGATTGATTCTATGCTGAGCTGGAAAAGGTCTCCCGCGATAAGCTTACGGCTTGTCAAGAAGAGTTCTTCTCTTGCACTTACATTGTTGTCATCTTCTTGTCAATTTCAGGACGTGCAGTAACTCAATGCCAGCGCGGCGTTTGAGTACGATCTGTCAGGTCGCCCAGCAGACATACGATCAGTTGCGCTCGCATACACTTCTGGGCCTGCGCAACTCACCTCGCCGTCGAATCCACGTTCAGCCATTGTGGCGATAATCTGTTTGGGTTGGTTGGCGCTTACGGCGACGAGATATAATGTGCCGCCATTCGGGTTGAGGATGCGCGGCAGCAGGTCAAGAACGATGTTGGTGACGACCATGCCGTCGGCTCCGCCTGCCCACGTAGCTCCGATTTCTGCCTCGAGTTGCGTCTTGGTCAACTCGTCCTCTTCTGTTGGTACGTATGGCGGGTTGAATACAAATACGTCGGCGCCACCTGCAGCCTCGATGCGTTCGAGAATGGGCGATACGAGATTAGTGTTGATGGGGTTCAGGGAGGCCTGGTTCAGATTCGAGGTAGCGAGCGTCGCCAGGCATGCGTACGGATTGATGTCGGTGGAGAGGAACAAGGCAGAAGAGGGCTCGACAATAGTTGAGAGGAACGTAGAAGCGATGCCTGATCCGGAGCCGATTTCCAGGCAGATCGTTGGCTTTCTCGCCCGAAGTTCAGCGGCGTCGGCTTCCAAAGCGTCGAGGAGGATGAAGCTGTCTTCGGCAGGGTCATACACGCTGTCGTGCAGTTTGCCATAGTCGGGGGTTGGTAAGAGAGCCGGAGTGCTCGTTGAGGTAATGCTAGGGATCTGAGCACATGGCGTAGATGCTGCTGAGACAGCAGTAGCCGTCGAACCCATGGCGATGACAACGACTTGAGCCTCGGTATCCGATACCTTGGGATCCTCAAGCTCCACCTTGGGCAGTACAGCGGCCTCGGCCTCTTTCAAGGCAGTCGCCTTGTTCGAATTCCTCGCGTCCAACCAAGCTTCCCAACAATCGTCGTCGTCGTCATCCTCACATCCGATGTGCTTGCTACTAGACTCTTCCTCGTCACTCGACCGATCGCTGTCGGTAGGTGTGGCGCCACCAAAGTACCCTGTCATCTCGCCGGAGAACAGTGATGACCCGAGTTCGCCTTCAGCCTGCCACGAATCGTACATTTCCTGCTGTTCTTGACCCCATGTACCCGAGTTGCCCTCCAGCCCAAACTCGTCGCAAGCGCTTCCTCCACCGTACGAGTCGTTCGAGCACCAACTTCCCCATGCTCGATTGGTTGGCACTGGTTTCGTGCGGATTTCAGTCTCGCGGAGGATGACCAGGTCGTAGTCGTCCTCGGATTCGAAGATGGTACCCATGCGGAAGGACTCGCTTGCGAGGCGACCGGCGTAGGCAGACATCTCCTCTTCTGGATTCGAGAGGCATCGACTGCCCCGCTCGGGCATTTTGCAAGCCTTTTCCTCTTCGCTGGGGGGTTCGAGCGGAGAACGATCATACTCGGTTCGAGACCAGGTAGGGTAAAGAGACTATGACGAGTTCACAGGTCAGTTCAGAGATCAACTCATGACCCGCTCCGCAAAACTCACGCAAAGAGCGACCTCGCCGGTAGCCTCAGGGCATCCCGGGAACCTGACCCTCTTGCTCAGACCGACGGCCTGCACATGCCCTAGAACCGACGACCTCTCCGAATCCGTGGGCGTCAAGAGGTCGACCGTTTTGTGCCCGAAACCGTACTCTCCCGCGTAAAATTGGATCTTCCCATCGTGATCATCCAATGGCGGGGTGAGAAGCCCGCTCAAGGATCTAGGTGAGGACGGAGTGGATGATCCCGATCGGACCTTTGTCGGACAGAACTTCCTGCTCCTCCGATCCCGTCCTCGGCCATGATCGAACAATGCATTTCTCAAGAACCCGCTGAGCTCGGCGAGCGGATCACACGACTCGACGCAGTCTCCGTCGGCCAAGTGTTGATGCACAAACGGGGACCAATCCGATCGGCCCCGTGTAGGTAGAAGGAAAGGCAACGTCCTCCACTGCCAATCCACCTCATCCATCTCCTCCACCTCTTGCGGTTGTTTGCGTTCCGTCCCGCTCAACAGTCCCGCCATCATATACTCTTCGATCTCCACCTCGACTTCGACCTCCAGATCCAGCTCGACCGCAACCTCAGCATCGTCTTCCGCTCTCGCTACCAAGAGCACCTCGGCTTTCTGTTTCTTCAAACAGCTCCGCAGAGGTACGGCAGTCGGACTAGGGCTCCTGCGTTCGCTAGACGCCATGATCCTCACCCCCGGGATCGCTCCGTACGCAGGAGACTCCTCGTCTTCATCTTCTTCATAGTCGGACATCGTCTCCTCATCCTCCTCTTCGTCTTCGTCGCCGTCGTCTTCCCCCTCTTGCGCATACATCGATGCTTCGAGAAATCCCACCCGCCCGTATCCCAGGTCAGGCTCCGGAGCTTCCCCCAGATCAATCGTTTCCCCTAATCCTCCGGTTCCAGCTGAACAAATTGCCACCGACATGCTTGCTGGTAGTCAATATGCTTATTTCTTCCTGATTGCACTTAGCAAAAGTTGGCTTGACTTCGATGAAGATAGGTCGATGAGAAGCAATAGGTATCCCGTGGGCGAAGCTGGGTATAAGTATATAAACGCCTAATCCGGTCGACCAAGAAGGCTCAACGGGAGACGAAGAAAGGTAGGATAGGAAGGGTCTTGATATTGTGTCCCGATGACTGTCGCTGTCGATTCCGACCGTGAAAGATCTTCGAGTCGAGTCGAAGTGGAGCACCCGAGTACGGATATACCCGAAAGTGGGAGGAGGTAGAGAAGAAAGGGGAAAGTGCGGGGAGAAGGTGGCAAGGGTGGGTGGTGGTTGAACGTCTAGGAAGTCGACCTAGGGTTGATTAGGGAGATTGAGATCGACATGGTCCGTATCAATCGTTGATGTAGAAGAGGGTAGCGAGGTAAGAGGGAATTGGTTGCCGATACAGACGGAGAGTGTTGATGGGATTTGTTGATGCCGGCTAATATTATGAGACCTGAAACGGTGCTCTCCGACTATATATCACGGTCTTCGTTCGTGATTCAATCGAGTTACGTCCAGATGATCAGAAAGGGGAATTTCGATGTTCCCGTGACGATGGTGTTATCTATTCGCGGCAGATGGTGAAAGTAATGACGGTGTCGCAAAGAACGTAGTTCGAATGATGATGATGATGATCCTTCTAGCTTCTAGCGTCTATCTCTATCTCGGCGAGGGTAGTCCAGGCAGCGTGGTTCCAGAACGAGGTAGGAGGTGGATCAATGGCTGCCGAGGTGAACGTCGGTGTGGTCGATATCCCTTTTGTCGTCCGAGAAGCGAGAGATTATCGCTGTAGCAGCTGTGTACGGCTCGGCCGAAACGGTTGATCCGGGATCGCGGATCGTCACACGAGCTTGCGAGCTGCCGAAAGGGTTGATCCCTTGACGACAACCGATCCAACCGATAGATGAGGATGATCTCTCCTCTTGTCGTTTGCTGTGCTGAAACTAGCTCGACCTCGTGCCTGTTCTCCGCCGTCCAAGTTGATCTTCAGATGATGGTCCCCTGCAGCTAGATTGACCGGTAAATAGCCGACTATGCCCGAAACCGAGTGATCCCTATGACCAGGAAGATGTAAAGCAGGTGTCACAACGGATCAGCTGAGGTCCCTATTGACTCGCACAGCTCTGCTGTATCATAGTATGAAATCTAGGTTTTCATGACGTCGTGACGTCGAGTATGGCCATAAAAAGAGCCATATCGTATGCCAAGCTGACCGAAGAGCCAAGCCCGAACCACCCCACCCTCCCGGCAAACAACACCCCCCTCGAACTCACCTTGGATATATGAAACGCCGAGCCACCCTGATTGTACGGACACAGAGATGTGCTGACTGGTGCTGGCTCTCTAGGTAAACGACGACGATGCTTTGTGGACAATGGCAGATGGTCGATATCGCTGATGTCGACGTCGCCCATGTTACCCCTATTCACTATTTCCCGCTCTTGGGCGATAAAAGCGCATCATTGCAGTTTCGCGCAAACCACGAATTACACCCCCTCGCATGGGTCACGTGATCGCTATGTCGCATGATATGTTTTCACCGATTCGAGATTTCTGATCTACAACTCGAACCGATGTACCACCTTGCCTACCCTCACCTTCACCTCGCTCACATCCCATCCGTCCTTACACACCCTCCTTACCTCCCCGCCAAATTGTTCCTCCAGCCGACTCACCAGACCCGGGTGGAAAGGGCTCTCCTTTCGCGCGTCGCGAGACAAGAGGGACCAGGCGAACGAGGTATGGAATTCTGGGTCGAGGTGGTATAGAGGCAGGTGGTGTGTCTTCAAGAAAGGGTGGATGATACGGTCTTGTATACGTTGGAGCTGCCGGTAGTAATGATCGTAAAGAACGGGTTCGAACGAGATGTATCAGACTTGAACGGATTTAGGCACATGCTTCGAAACTCACCTGTTCATGACCGACCCCGACCCCGAGCGCAAGAAACCCTCGACTCTTGCTCCCCGTTCCATGCCTCCCCGACTCACTCCCTGCTCCACTCTCATTATCGCGTCCTTCCTTTTCGTCGACCCGCGATGATGCCGCCTGTCCAGCGTTGAAGTCGGCCCTGATCTTGTCGGCCTGAGTCCCGTTCGTATACGCGCGGAAACCTCCTTCCAATCCGACCTTGAGCGGACTACGTTCTACGACCCCGCTTGTGACATCGGCGTTGACTTGACCAGTCCGACCCAGTTGAGAACGTAAATGCGTGAGAAGGAGAGGGATTTGAGACGTCCGCAGAGGTAATGGGTGGGTCAAGGAGATGTGCAGGTTGGAATGAGGGGGTCTAGGAGTAGCTTCAGGGGTCATGACTTTCTTGTTCTTCGCCTGAATTGCGAGGTCGAGGTCCCCAGGCAAGGCTAAAGTCTGGCTTTCTCCTTCGCTTGTCGGGGTTGAGATCTTCTCCGTCCCGCCTTCAAAGATGGGATGGATCAGAAATTTCCCTGTTCCGGCTTCGTCATCGATCCATGCTTGAGCCTGGACTATGATCTCCTTCAAGACCTTTTTCAGCGCCTTGCCTAGCTTGACTATGCTCGTGGCGTCCGATTCGGTCATGATAATTTCGTACCAAAAGAGATGGAGTGATCAGCTTAGACACGAACTAACGCAAATAACATAGTGGGGCTCGGGACTCACGCTCGAGGTAGACGTGTGCGGGGTAATCTCCTTGAACCCAAGGTCGAGCTCGGGTCCGGCCTTGATGCAGACTTGGATCATCGATCGGGGCTAGATTGCGGAATTTACCAGGGTCACAGGTTCGATCAGCTTGCGATTAAAATGGGGAATGACGGATCGAGGCTAACCCGTCTGAAAGGTCGAGTTGAGCTTGGGCAGCAATTTCCTTGGTCTGCCATCCAAGACAGAAGATCAGCGAGGCAGAGCAAAGTGCGGCGTTGAACGATATAGCGACTCACTTCTTGATCACTTCGTCTTCGACCTTGCTCCTCTTGCCCGTATCCAAATTCGAGCTCCCGTTCGGCCTGGTTTCACGCTTAGCATCTTCAGTGCTGCTCGACCTCGACCGTTTGCCTATAATCGCCGATTCGGTGGGTACAATTGAGGGTTCCGGTTCCGAGTCGGAATCAGCGTAGTTGAGGAGGTCCATGCATAGCAGCGACCGAGAGTCTGTCCGAGTGAATAGAGATAAAGTTTCGGTATATCAGTAGCCCAAATAACTGTTGCAGTTGGTTGTTGTGTGCTCAAGGATGTCTCCGATGGATGCCGATCGGCATTCCCCGCACCAGCACATGACGTAAAATACGCGTCGCCTCATCGCATGCTTCACGTCTCACATTTCATGTCGATGTTTCATGTCGAACGATTCGACGTCTTCTCAAGAGGGAACTTCAGGATATATAATTGCCACTAGCCTGAAGTTACAGAACGGCTTGGGATTCATCTTACTTGAGATGGCATATATCTTAGCCTTCAAGGTCTGTTCCGTCCCGGTTACGAGTGTCTAACCTTTTACAAGGAATGGGACAGGCCAAGAAAATAGTGACAGCGACAGCTACAGCATAATCGCGGTCCCTGTAACAATCCCACCCTTCTAGATTTCACAACACCCAATCGTAAGCTCTGCTGCTACTGTCCCGTGTCATACAAAGGGTTACAGTAATATTAGCTTGGATAGCTGATCGAATTTTATTCAAGCAGCTTGGCGTGAATTGGCTCCGTTTCAACGATCTGCCCAGAAATCCCTGTATTTCCTTCGATGGATGTGTTAGGATTATCCAGGTGTACCAGATTGCATGTGTTAGCAATCTGTTCGAAGCATGACCACAGGCGGTTTCTTGCTGCATCAACGAAATTCGTCGCCTTCAGCGCGTCATGAGGGCACATTCTGACAAGCTGATATCCTGGCCATCTTCTGTGATTTCAGCTGAAACAACACTTACAATCTGCCGCTGATGCTGACGAGGGATCGATCAGATGTTCCTCAGACAGAACCGACACGTGGTGAATAAAGGCACCCCCAACAATTGGTCTCCTCGTTGTCAAGCGGGTTTGAGAATCTTCCTTACCAAAGAGGTTCATGGGAGGTGTCAAGCCTGATCTATGACCAGCATGATGAATCATTCATTCACCTCAAGTTCGTCGCCGTCCGAGTTGTGATTTTGGTTGGATCGGTAAGTAAAGCAATCCTCGATAGGTTTTAGATCTCAAGTTCCTCTATAGGACTCGCTCGAGATCTAGCTTTGCTATTCTCTTCAAAAGATACATCACCCTTAGCAATGACCTTGTACTGATGAAGTGGTAGAAAGTGCTTCCTGTTGATGGCGAGTTCGTACGTGATTCGATCACAATCGGGGGGTGAGCCTGTACACAATCCAACCACAATCGCGTATCATCGTAATCCACTCAGATAGACAGTATATCCAATATCTCTAATAGGACTATCATGCATGTTCCAGCTTTACTCGAGTCAGGATGGTCAGATTGAGGGATGGTGAAAAGTATGCCCGCCGCCATCGTGTTGTTGTGCATATGATCGATTCGCATGTCTCATATTGGGGCGGCCACACCTCGTCACTCAAGGTTTACTTATGAGCGAGATCCTTTCAAGGGAACCGTAGCTCTCTACTGCGGCATACCATGCAGGTCGGGACGGCTTGCAAGCCAATGACGTCAAATTAGGGAATCTAGGGATTCGAATTCTCCATACCCATCTATACACAAACGATCCACACCGGTCGACTACCTGAAAACCCTGCTCAAACCGCTCCTCACAGCCCCACCCAACAACTGTCCGCCTATCCCGCCGAAGTCCCCAAAGGGGTTCATCCCGGAGGAAACCTTGTTGGCCCAACGTTTCCTGGCATCCCTGTCGGCGTAACTATGAACATTTCGACGTAAGCGAGGGAGATGAGGAGAGCGATGACTTCCGTTGAAATCACTTACGTGAATCCGAGCGCATTAGAAAGGTTGAAAATGAGCGCCAGGATGACGATCGGTAGGAACCTGCAAGTCATCGTGTTAGCGCTTCTTCGTTACAAAGTGGATGACTATCACCAAGAGGAGCTTACGTACGAGATGTTGAATTTCAACAAGGACACGAAGAACAGTGCCAACCAGCCGAGAGGGAAGATGTAGAGGGCAAACTATTTCGAGACAGGTTTCAAACAGGATCTTTCAGCGACTGTTTCGTAACCCCACTTGGCGCAGACCTAAGAAGCTCACCCAGAACATCCTGCAGAGCAGTTTCATTTCTTCTGATCAGCCCCCGCATTCTTTGAATAGTTCAGTCTGTGAACCCCGCTTACTTTTCGTCAACGGCGTTCGCCGGTCTTGTAGCCTGATCACCACCCATAAACCCAGGAATCAGCCATCTTGCCATCAAGTCTCGGAGCTTGAACTCGGCCTGGATCTCAGATGGACATACATCTCGGCATTCGAACACCCAGGCGGAATCGCCATTCTCGTCCACTTCGTTCCAGTACCTCAGGCCGACCAGAGTTCGACCGGCTACGTTCTGCCAAAAGCGTGGATATGGTCAGCATCAGCCTGGGATGCAAGATGGACTTGTAAGGTGCAAGAAGGAAGGGGGGACAAGGGGAACGGACCTTGACGTTCCAGAAATCGAGAGAAAGGAGAACGACCACGATGACGATCTGTCGGTATCAAAGAGACCCAGATTCAGCCAAGAGAGTCTGTCAAGCGCATCAAACCAATCCCGTCGACCCACACTCAAGACGTAGTTGTCGGTGAAAAGCCCACATAACACGTAGACAGCTAGCGCTGCTGACCGGAAAAAGTACAGGGCTGCGAGGACCAGCGGGTGGGAAGAGCTCCTAAAGATTCCGGCCTGTGTGTTCGAAGAAATCATTGGATAATCAGCTTCGCGAACCTTTACAGAAAGAGATCATGGGCGAAATCACTTACGATCCCCATCTCTGCATCATTGGCACTGCCTCCTTGTATGCCGGATGCTGCATTGTTATTGTTGCTACTATTGGCAGGTCCTGGTGTCAGGACAACCGGATCCGCACGGGGTCGTCCGGTGGATCCGATGTTGCCTGATGGGAAAGGATCCTCGTCCGGCTCGATGGTCGCTTCAAAGAGGGGAGTAGAGGCAGACATATATTCGAAAATTGACGGTAGAGTCTTGTTATCGAGGACGGAAGAGATGTGTAGATGATCCCTTTGAGGTGTTTCTGATTGAGAGTTTGGTCTTTGGCGACGGCGGGGTGGATATGCTCGAAGTTTGACTTGAAAGCGCATAGAATCTGATTGGCATGCGTTATCAAGTCGAGACACAGAGCCCGACTTTCGTTCACGGAACGGGACTTCTGAAGTCGCTCAAACCGCTAGAAAGTGAGCAGCCACCTCGGTAACCGCTTAACGTCCTCAGTTTATGCAGCTTAGCGATACAGCCGCATCAGATAGACAGGGACTTCCCTTTGCATCAAGATGCGAACTTCCTGGATCCTCGCTTGCCTATTGTGGTGCACGGTAAACATCCGAAATCTTCAGCCAGATAGTCGGAATCTACCCTGACCTGTTTACCTTGCCATGGCCTTCCAGATACAAGTAGCTCGAGCTAGCTCGGAATCAGGAGCAAGCTCCATTGAAACAGTCTCCCCACTCAGGACCCAGCTTGATAGCTGGAAAGAGACGACCTTGGCCATCCGAGCGAACGTCATCCCCTCCACTCAGGATACCTTGTTTTACTGCAAATGTTCGTCTCTCTCCCTCGTTCTCCCATACCAACCAGCTCAGTCGACCCGGTTGGCTCATGGAGCTGACGAATCCCATTGCATCTATATCGTAGGCATGTGTTTCGACAACTTCACCATCGTACCCCTTTACATGCCGGACAACCCGTCTAAACCGTGCCTGAGCTGTACGAGGCAGTTCTGCTTGGACCAGAAACTTCCCATCTGCCGAGGTAAGCCAGGGTTTTTATTTCCTCTGCAGGTTTGGGGCTTCGAGGGCCGAATTGGGGACCACTGCATCGAAGTAGACGCTGATTAGACCTTGTCCTGCGGATATTTTCAGGAGCGGAAGTGCCGGATCTGGATACTGACACCGGGACCGGAAAGGAGGGGGACGTCGAGGCCAGGTGTTTCAGTGAGTTTGAGCATCATGCTCATGCGAAATCTCACTTCTTAGAGTTACGGCCAACTGATCGTTTGCGATCCTTGCCGGTAGAACGAGACTCTCCCCGCGATCAACTGGTCGTGACTTGTTTCATCTTGATCGTCGTCGGTCTGTTATTGACGGCGGCCATCCGGAACCGGTGAGCAGCCTTTCAAGTTAGCGAATGTAGACTCAGTGCTTGCATGCTTATCGTATACTTGATTCTAAACTACAGGTTACAAGCCGCTATAGCCGAACGAGGTCGACCGACAGATTTACGCGAATGGAGCGAGGTTCGTCCTAACATACACTGCTACTGTTATCGGCCCTCGCGCGTTCCAGCTGACCGCAAGCTTGCTTTTGATCGTTCTGTAGGCACTGTTACCGACCAACATGCTGCAGACCCGTCAACTAGGCGCAATCCCAGCCTGGATAAGAGGTGTCAACACGGGGGGAGGTACGGGGTACGGGAGGGTCGGGTGATCGCACAGGTTGAATTTGTTTCATGGGCGTTATAGAGGTTTTTGGTGGCGGTTGTATCAGTAGTGCATCTTGTTTCGAGGCATATATAGACGAGGTAATAAAAGATAGGGGGTCGTTGTTCGGACGCCGTGTTTCCGGAAGGGAGGGTGACGTCATTCCTTTTCCGGAGAGAGGGTTTCCCGCTCCTTCCCTTGGACGAATCAACAACAAATGTCACATCCCACCTCTTTCACCTTCTTGCTTCCCCCAAGGTCTCTCAGTCTTCTTGCATATCCTCTTTGAATTCACCTTACCCACACACATCACTACAACGAACATCGAACCAGTCAGTGCTGTTGCCAGAAGTGCCGAAGTCCTCAGCGTAGCTGAAATGGCGTTGCAGTGTCTCCTATCCCAGAACTCCTTTTGAACCTGCCTCAAAACCCCATCTTGGCCGGTGAGAAACGATTGTGTCCTCTTCATCGATCCATGGGTAGTTGACCTATATCTTCCTGGTTCCTGGGTGCTGCATGTGCAGTGGGTCTACCGGTGACCTTGGGCATAACCTCTGGCTTGATCTCATCGTCGAGGAACCGAGGAGCCAAGTCGGCATGGTACGAGGTGGGTCTCGCCAATTTCCTATTGCGAAGTGTTCAGACACGCTGGAGACGATACTGATAAGCTACTGCTTTGTTTCTGGTAGAATCAACTCAGCCCTCCTGGCCAGCCTCCCAAGTGGGCGTTCGGACCTACCTGGACTGCTCTCTATGCTGGCAAGTTTGGAACCAGACTCGCCATGTCAATGCTCAGCTAATAGCGAACTCGGTGGCCTGTGATATTAGCGATGGGATACGCCTCGCACTTGGCTTGGAAGGCTTACGATAACGCTCTGACTCCCAAGGGAACGTGAGTCCTGCCTCCCCACCTGAAACCCAAATGGTAACTGTAAGCTGACCTGCGGCCTATTCTACGTCCTCCTTAGCGAGGTCGCCGTCCGTTCCCTCGAGCTCTACTACGCCCAGCTCGGTCTCAACCTCCTCTGGACCCCGCTCTTCTTCGGGTTGCACAGGAAGGGTCTGGCCCTCGTCGACATCCTCGCATTGACGGGAACGTCGGCTTGGTGGGCAAAGTCGTTGTTCGAAATCGGACCCGTCAGGGTTCCCGGGGTTGGGGATCTTAACCCTGGATGGTTGGCCGTCCCTTATCTCGGATGGTTGAGCTACGGTGAGTTGAGGGGCGGATTTGGCCGGATTGCGCACTTGTTTGTGAATGCTGATTGAATCGTTTGCTCTCGACAGCCACGTACTTGAACTTGGGGTACCTCGTCTTGAACCAGGACGACAAGCCCAAGAAGTACTAAACTGGTCGTCATCACAATGTCGACTACACAGGGTCGATTCCATCATTGTAATACGAGACAGGTACTTGCTGCGAAATGAAAGTCGGAAGAAAATGCATTCAGATTCATACGAGGATACCTGGTCCCCACAGTACAGGCAGGATACTAGCTCTACAGTAGCCGCCCGCCAATTCTCGTATATGAAGCGTTTCCTATATACGTTACCGAGAGATCGCATTGATATCAACAGCCTTGACATTGCGATGGTCGATGAAGCGAACAAGCATTGTGGCTTGACCTGTGGGCGGGACTGAAATAGCGTGCCTCGATATATCACTCGAAACTGAAGAGGTACAGCTATGAGATGGGCTGTTCGCTACCTTGGCAATCTGATTGCCCCATATAGACCCTAAGTACAACACGAAAAGTCAAATCTATAATACCACACGATCCGCCCGTGGCCTTGCATCATGGCCTTGGCTGCTTTTTCACCAACCGGCCCAAGGATTCACCCCCAAAACCCCAACCCAAAAACTTAAGCCATAAATCGTAGCTATCGCTTGACCCATCGATCGACCACCTCCCACCCGCTCCCTTCCACCCGCTTCATCTCGGCCAATACGTCCTCGTACTTTTCCCACCACCATTCGTGGGTCCCCGTAGCGTCTGCGCTAGGGTCGGATCGGAGGTGTTCCCAAGGTTTATCCAGGCTGCGAGGTGTGATCGAGATGGGGAAGTCATGTCAGAAGCGGCTAGATAGGTGACAAGCGACGGGGCAAGGCTCTCAACGACCAAAAATGACGCCCAGGACTCACATGTAGTGCAAACACCTGATCTCGTCGTCCCTCCAAACCCCGGGATGTACCTTCCGTAACGTCTTCAAGGCGTTATAACACCATCCCAAGCTCTTCCATTTTCCCTGGAAAAGCACAGCCAGGGCGTCTTGGTCCGGAAACTTGAAGCTCGGGACTTCGGGGTCGGATTGGATGTAATTCTCGATCGTGCGGCAGGTAAGGTGGGAAGGGTGGAGGATGACGAGGCCGGAGTTGAGAAGGGCGTGACCACGGGAAGGCAGGGTACCAGAGGGAGTGGGAAGGAGTGGAGAGATGTTGGCTGCAGGGGTTGGGGAGGACAGGGCGGTTGGGTGCGTGAGGGGTGTGTAAGCGCAATTTTCCGGGACCCTGTAGTTGTTCCATCACAAGAACAAAGCAACCGGAACATATCAGCGCAAGTGTCCCACCTTTATAACACGCCATACAGCACAATATGGTGATCCTGGCGACGCTCACCAATCCTCCGGGTAAGTAGGTATTTTTCTCGGATTACAGGTACACGCATGTGCCGCGGCGATCCATTCGGTAGAGGGCAAGGGGAGGGTCATCAGCTCGTCCATGTTCTGAAGGACGACCATGTCGCAATCGAGGAGGACTACCCGCTGCGAGGAAGAAGAGAATGAGATTGGAGTTTAGGTAAAAACGTGTGGATTAAGAGTTGGACACGGAACTCACCTCCCACTGGACCAACTCGAACGCCCGCAACTTTGTCCACGTGTCCCCAAACCTCTCGAAAACTCCTCCACCGCCGTTGGCTCCCTCGTCGACCGGTCTCAGACTCTCCACCTCGACCATCTCCATCCCCCTGCCGGCGATCACTTCCCTGCTCTGCTTGTCCAGCGTGGGGGTGACCATGACCACCAACGGGTACCGACTCTGAACCGCTTGGAGGCATGATTGCAGTACGACGAGACCTTGCAGGTATTGAGGTTTGGTTATCAGGGTGGTCCAGCATGCTTTGACGGTGGTCGCGGTGGGTGAACGGGATCGAGTCGTGTTGGGCGTCGTGGCTGGCGTGTCGTCGAGCATGTCGGTCCCGGTCGAGTCGTTGATAGTGGGCGAAGTGGACCTGGTGGTCGAGATGGAAGAGGACATCGAAGTGGGGTTCATTCCGGATGGTAAGGTGTGAGTATATGTATATATTCCGCACGTCGATGGGGTCACCCTCGATGATGTCGTCGTCCCCGGCTTCTCTCTGAGTGTTTATTCCACCAAAGAGCAGCCTCCACCCCCGATTCGACGATCTCGATCATTTTTGATTCCGCTCCCCGTCGCACATGCATGCATGCCCATGCCCGTATTTCTCTTCCGGCGATCGTCCGAAAGCATCCGCCCTCCCTCGGGGGACAAGGGTGACCTCACCTATGGCTCATACAAGCGCATTCGAAGTCGAAGAACGTCCATCTGTATATATCTGTATCTGCACAGGCTTGAGATTCGACTCATCTCGTCACCCGATCACAAAACGCAATCAAGAAAGTGACCGCGAGTATCTGACATGAGCAATGGGAGACTACAAGGAGCGGAGCGATCGGCCCCGGAGCCCGGATCCGCGCCCGGCGCATCATCCTTGTGGATCTACATTGACGCCGATCTCTTGATCTCTTGCGTTGCTCGTCTTGAATCTTCGCGTGTGTCGCTATACAGATCGGCCAGTCTCCCAAGAGCCAAGACGGATCGGTTCTGACAACCTTTACAACGATCGAACATGGTACAAGTCCCTTTGGCGCTGGAAGCACGCCAGTCCGAATCGGCTGATTTTGCCCAGATCCCAAACCTTGGAGGCGGAAACGCAACCTTGCCGTGACGCGCCGGTATAGCTTGTTTCACTGTCCAGTACGCCATTACGTTCGAAACCCGATCATCGATGTGGCAAGAGCCGTCCTAACAAGGTCTGGGCGATCGAGGTAGTCAAGACCTCGGTCTAGACATCGTTAGAGGCCATGTCACCTAGCTCGATCTAGACTTCGGTCGAGGGTCCACTTGCGTGGCGTGTCGCCAAGTACATTCCGCCGTTATTTCATCTTGGGCCACGTCTTGGACCGAGTCTACTTCGCTCATCACTCAGGAGACTGGGTATAGTGTGTCTCTCTTTAGCGCGATTGCTGTGCTGTTGTGAGCGCAAGGCGAACATAGTCCAGTTAAAACAGTTACCAGCGTTCTTGATTCGACGATAAACATATATATTATAAAGTGATTCATCCACCATCAATGGGGATATGGTTTAGTTGGTATAACATTCCATTAGCACTAATCAGCTTATCTTGGAAAGGTCTGGCGTTCGATTCGCCATTTCTCCATGACTTTTTGTCTTTTTCGGTCATCATCTCCGTTGATCGCGGCAACTCCAACTTATCGGCGACAACTTCCATGCCTGTGCAACCACAGGACCTTTTGTATCTATGTAGATCTCTGTACACCTTTTCTGTCGGTCTTGAACTTGTCTTGTGCGGATCTGTCTTGGCACATATACTAGCAGCTAGCACAGCGGGGCGAGGGGCCCGTTTAGACGTTACGCGCGGTCCGTTTGATGCCCGTTTAGAAATGACTTTTTTCCAGCCCTCTCCGCAAATTTCAGCAATTTTCATGTCGCGAACTAAACCCCGTTTGGGGTCCGTTTAGGGCTTATCAAAAGTCAAGCTTACGTCAGCCTTGTTTGGGGCCTAACCGGGCATGTATTCGACCTGTTCTACATTCATGTAAGACCAACTATGTTCATACGTTCATACCTCTCACTTTACCACTTGTACCAAATCCTAGTAATCGACCTACAAAGGTACTCTAAACCCACCTCAAACTGACAACAATGAGCGGCTTTAGACACAACGCTCCAAGGTGGGATCAACAGTACCCGTTGTCACTTGGGTTGGACGAGATATTGAAACGAGTGGTACGCTAGATGGTCGTCAAACGGGCCTCTCTGAACCCCCACTGATTACCAGCATCAGCCAAAGCGAAAATTTGGCAAGTGCTACTGTACCAAATGTGGACCGGGCGGCGTCGCTATCTTAGGACGGACTTATTACGCCCATTCAGTGGCCGAATGGACCCTGATTGACAACCGGGAATTTGCCAGGCAGAGAGATCTGGATCGACTCGCCGCAGCGACTCACCCCCCTCCAGCTCCCCCTGAGCCAGAAGAGCCAGAAATGCGGCCTATTACACCCCAATCAGAGGGTGTTGATACACCGTTTGAAGCACCAGCAGAAATGTCCCTGGGTGATCATCTTCGGGCCTTCAATGACTTCCCCGAGAACATCAATCCTGATGTGGAACGGTCCTCAAATGACCATCGAACGGACCAAACCGGCCCAGCACTGCACACAGCTCCTGGTCTACACGACATGATCGACATCTGGCCGAACGATATTCCTCAGTGCTTGCAAGACAGCCCCCTTAGTCAGCCTTTATCAGGTCTGATTAGCGACCAACAAACGGCCGATTTGCCTTTTGTCGAAAGGTTCATCTACACGGTATCGCTTACGCTGGAGGCTGTCGGCGTACCTAGGGATAAAGCAGAATACGCCCTCAAAGCCATGATTTGTGTGGCCAATATGACACTGTTAAAGGCCCGAAGAGACTTCACCGACGAGCAGATCATCGACGACTCGCCCGCACAAACTCTCAAAACAGTCCGCAAGCGAATGGGCATCGATCTGTCTACAATCGCCCATCCTGTTTGCCCAAACAAGGACTGTCAAGCAGTGCTGTATGAAATTACCACGATGTCGACTGCCGCTGGGGCTTTGCAGGGGGTAGAGAAGTGCCCGAAGTGCGGCCTAGACTGGGCCCAACCGGGCTCAACTAGAGGACCATCTACCCCTGCAGTATTTCCGACACTTCCCCTCACCAGCGAGATTGAGAGACTGCTAGCATACCCAGGGGTAGAAGAACTGGCCTTTAACTGGCGTGAAAGGCACGAGGTCGACACCCAACTGGCTAAACATGATTACCCCGACCTGAAAATCTACCGGGACCAGACGGATGGCTCATATTTACATTCACTGCTCGATCCTGACGGGAACAGGGTGGATCAGGGCCCGTTTGAAGGGGTAAAAGAGATATTTGTGAATCTGTCTCTCGACTGGCTCAACATCAACTCGTCATCGCATGGACCTGGATATTCTGTCGGCCCAATCCTACTCCAAATGGGCAATCTTCCGCAGTCAATGAGGGGGCTTCAGGCCATGGTTATGTGTTGCGGTTTGACTCCAGGTAAGCTTTGTTGATCGCTAGCCATTCGTGTACATTGGGTTTAAACGTACTCTTAACAGGCCCGAAAGAACCCAGTAAAATGACCCTTTGGCAATTCATGCTTCCGATCATCATGCAACTTCGTCGGACTTGGGAAAAGCCAGTTTTGATCAGGACGCCAAAGCACCCAGACGGGGTCTTATGTCGCATTTATCTGGCCACAATCAGTTGTGATAGGCCAGCCTTCACGTCGCTCGCTGGGTTTACCGGACAGATGTCGAAGGATCACATTTGTACGCGATGCACCCTTACTGAGGATGGTTTTGCGGCCAATCAAGGTGCGTTTGATCCTCGTTCCAGTTTCACATGTATCGCTGACGGCTGTTCCAGTTGGGGAGCCTAGAGATTCGGTCAAACAGGCTCGTGATTTTCTAGAGAGTGAAACCCGAGTCGCAGCGGCGGTCGAAGAGGCCCGTTTAGAGCACGAAGAACGCCAAAGAAATCTTCAAATCTTGTTTGACGCAGGTCGGGAAACACACAGGTCTCAACCGCGCGAGTTAGGGGCCCGAATACCCCCCGCTCATCGCCCCATGCCTTTCAGCAGGCTAGCTGCACAACGTGTAGCCAATCTACCTCAAAACAGGCCTTCACCGGGCCACTTGAGCGCCCTGTATCTGCTCCCCTACGTGGCGACTGCAGTTGCTGGCGTTTTCGATGCCATGCACAACATCCTCTTGGGCGTGAACAAGACTCTTTGGCGATCATGCGTTGTTCAGGGCGAATACAAGACCGACAAAGGCCCGGTTGAGTCTGGAAATCGATCGGCATCGGAAACTGAGACTGATGATGTGGAGTCAAATGGAGAGGGCTCTACACGTGGTTCGCAAGGCCTGTTTGGGCCCCGTCCCCCCCGCGTTGCTACCCTACGACTGGATGATCGAGTCGGTGATAAACCATTGACTCTGACAGCCCATCAGTTGTCTTTGATCAAAGATACAATCGGCACTGTGAGTGGAGCTTTAAAGGACCGTTTAATGTGCGTTTATGCTGAGTTTCAATACATCTGCACAGGTGATTACGCCTAGCAATCGATCTGTCTTCCCACGTCTGCCATCGACATTTTCGGACCTCAAAGGGGGGTCAATGTCGGCCGTTCAGTGGCGGTGCTTCATGGAGTTTTATGTCCCATTGATTCTCCCCGAAATTGCCCTCTTATCCCGCTCGAACGAGGCCCGAAACACCACCAATAGGGGAAAGTCAAATACTCGGATCACCCCAGAAGAGGTCGAGATGCTGCTTCTACTATCGGGCATCAATCTGGTCTTAATCAGGCCCGAAATCAGTGAGATACAGCTGCAAGAAGCGGAGAAGTTGATCAAGCGCTTGGTACCTCTGGCCCTTAAGATCCGACCGGGCCTTAGAGCCACCCGTAACCTACACCAGTTAATACACATTATAGACGACATCAGGGCGCATGGGCCTATCTACTCGCACTGGTGTATGTGTGGCGAGCGATGCGGCAAGTGCATCAAGAATGGCAACACCAACAAAAAGACCCTCGAAATTACTGCAATCAATGCCCGTTTAAAGGCCAGTACAGCCGGTCTCATACAATCAGTCCTGTCACGCTACACAGAACATCCAGAAGATCAAGAAGCGGTACTCAAACTGGCCTCGTTCCAGTCAGGTTTCCTAAAGAACGACCAGGCTCGTGGGTCATCTGCTTCAGAGCTCTATGCCGAGATGCAAGCCGACGCAGCCCAAGTAGAAGCTGGCGTTTATCGGTCCCTGAACGGCCGACTTCTTGGTCCACTGAAGGTTACTCCAGCACCGCTGTCCTATCTTGAACCCAACCTGCGTCCTATCGTACTCCAAACTCTCATGAACAGTGAACAAAATGACGGGAATGTTACTTACGCCTTCCGTGAACGAGGGGCTGAAGTACCTCAAGGGGAAGACTTGGACAACACCTATTTCATCCAACGAATGGTCAAGAAACATGCCCGATTGGACACCCATTACAAAGGCTTCAATACGTGGAATTTGAAGGCTGATCCTACAATTGCCAACTTGGAGTCGTTCAGGGATCGAATGGCCATTTATCAGCCCTCTCGCAACGTACTTTACTGTACCTATGACTCGCCATCCTTGATATTGCTGGATAACATCCTTACGGTGAAGGCTGCCACAAACGGGGGTCAATCGCGGGAGTTTGTACTGCTTCTAGGCCGTAGAAGCATTGCTTACAGGGGAGAGACCGAGCACGTCTACTCAGATCAGTCAGTATCAATCGACCAATCACTCTCACAGCTTCGTGTTAACCACCCTCTTATGTAGCCCCAATCTGGGTGTACAAATGTGGGAACCCAACCAGTTCGAAGAGGAGCCTTGTTGTTGGGAACTGAATACACACACTCTCACTGCCTTGAGACCCGTCACCTTGCGATCGATGCGGGCCAATCCAACCCTGAATGACCCCCGTTTAGTATGGGCTAGTATTCCTTGCACTAGGGTCTGACTTGATCCGACTTGATCGAGCCAGTGAAAAGACTTTCTCATCAAACAGGCCGTCTTGTTGTTCGTTTGGGTACCGTTTGAGGCCTTCTAGTTAATCATGATAAATCGATTCGGAATCGCTTACGAGCTTAGTATCTTATAGCAGATAAGTGATCGCTTCTCAGGTGAGCGCTCAAAACGTCTGAACGGACATCGAACGCTCATTAATCGGACCCCAAAGACTTCTATATATGCTACAAACAGATATTGATACATGTCGTAAAGAACTCGTAAAAAGACACAGCACCTCGTAAGTTAACATTATAAAACGGGCTCTAAACCCGCCTCTATTGCCTGCGTTGGCCCCCATATCGTCGTGAGAAAAGACGTCGTATACTTACTTGGTCGTGAAAAAAGGCCGTAACGTAAGTCGAACACAAGAAAAAACACGTCGTCGTATCGCCGCTGACTCGGCCCGTTTAGTGTCAGTTCAGACCCCACTGCTCGCACGAACCTCAAGTGCAGGTGACGCCGGTATCCTCCTTGTAGAATTGGATGGCGGCGGCCTTGAGCTCGAACGAGTTTAAAGTGGCCCCAACCGGGCTCTGATAGACCCCGATCGTGTCCCGAATGGCGACGTTCGCGCCCTCCTCGAGCCACTCGTCGAGACTCTTCATCGCGGCGTCGTTCGCAGACGGTATCGGATCGGGGTATATACGGGCCCAAAGTTCGGGCTTCTGGGTCTGGATCTTCGTCCGAACGTCCTGGCGAATCATCGACCGGTAAATCACCCACAGCCTCGGGTCGCTCTCGTTGGGGACGTTCGAGTCGTTGGCCGAAGGGGGCGCCAAGTCGTCCCGTTTGAGGTCCGTTATGGGCCAGAAGCGTCGGGGACCACACCAACGGTTGCGCCAGGTCGCTTGCTTCCCCTCTTGAGTCACTGCGAACTCCCGGTCGATCACACTGGCCGCTTTGATAGCCTGATGCAGGTAGTTGATGGTGTGTTTGATGGGGGTTGACGAGGCAGAGTATCGAACGAGAGGAAGAGGAAGAGATAATGTTATCGAGTAAGTACTCAAACACAATCGGTATCTTAACGGGGTCTGAACAGGCTGGAACATACCTCGTCGGACATCCAACTCGGCCAAACGACCTCCCAAGCCTTCTCGGCCTTCTCCTTACCGAGTACGATCCGCCGGTACGTTTGCCACGCGTCGACCCCGATATCCTCGGCCTCTTGATCCCCGTTCGCGGGCCGTTCCATGTCGGGAACCCCGGGGTACCTCGCGTCGAGCCCTGGCTCGTCGGCCTTGTAGAACGACGGTGCGAAGCACCTCTGCCTTAAGTACCTATAAACGGCCCTTTTTTGACAGTCATGGAGGATCGATTTCCCCCACATCTTCTCTCGGTCGGCGCAGGTCTATACGGAGATGAAGAAGGATCTTAGAAAACAGAAACGGGCATCAAACAGGGGTTAAACGGGACTGACTTTCAACGATTGACGGTCCGACCACGTCACCCTCGACTCTCCACCGGCCGCAGAGTCCTGGGGGGCTCGACCGGCCTTGGTCCGAATCGTCTCCGCGTACTTATAGATAGCGGTGACTATCGTATCCCGTCCAGGGACCGGTTGATCCCCGTTGAACTCCTCCCAATCGTTCTTGACGTTGGCCACGCAGGCGTCGATGAAGGGTGCCCATTCCCTGTTTTGATACACGTTAGTTGAGTCCGTTTGGAGTGCGTTTAGGGACTCACGGCTTCTTCACGTTCTTCCAGTCAGGGCGCCAAAACGTCACCTTCCCTTCCGGTCGAGTGATCTTGACGGTCTGTCGACCGTCGCCGCGAGGAACGGGGAAGACAGCGGGGTCTAAACCGTCGTTTTTCCACTCCGGGTGGGTGCCGGTTAACTTCGTCTTCATCCCGACGAGAAGCTTCACCGTGTGGTGAGCGTGTGCCTGCAAAACGAGGGTTAAACGGGGTCTAAACGTATGCATCACAAGCAAGAATAGGCTTACTTCCAGGACCTTGTTCCTCCCGGCCTTCTCCTTCTTCTTCGGCGACGACGACGACGAAGCACCAACGGGCCCCGATTGGGCGTTGGTCGGGGTCGAGGCGCGGGCGCTGCCGGTGATGTCCCGAACGAGTTTGGCGAACTCAGGGTTGCCGTAAAGAAGCTGGAGGACACCAGCAGCGTTCATCTCCCCAACGAGTGGCTTCGAGGCCTGTTCGACGGCCGATTCCGCCTTGTCCTCGCAGTCGTCGACTCGCTTGCGGAGCCTCTCGATCTCCTCGTAGCGCTCGTCGAGCTCACCAAACAGGGCCTGAACGCCCACCAAAGTCCCCTGAATCTCCCCCAACCCAGCCGCAACGACTCCGAGAACAGGAAGCGTCTGCTTCAACGTCGACACCAACTCCTTCGTCTGCAACTTCTCAACCTCCCTCCCTTCGGCCATCAAACCGACCGCATCAGACACCTTCTCGACCAACTTGTTGACGGACCTTAGGCTCTTGTCGAACCGGGTCTTGGCGGCGGCGAGGTCGGCAGGCTTCTCGTAGGGGGTGGAACGGGTGTTAAACTGTCAAGATGGGTGTGACCGTGGATCACGATCAGTAAGCAGTCAAACAGAACGATCTCATAGGCTCACGAGGTCCTTGATGGTAGTCTTAGGCTATAGACAGAAACAAACATCAAACGGGGATTGTTCAGGCTCGATAACACCTTCCGAGAAGCCCAAAACAACAACATCGAGAACTTACGGCGGCAGGCATCTTGAGAGGTCGTAAAAAAAGATAGTAACGTTAAGGGGGTCGTAAGGGGGTTCGTATGGGCTAGTAAGAGGTTCGTAAAGACTTTGTTTGATGTTTTATAGACAAATAACGATTTCGAGTAGTATGTAGTAAGTTGTAAGTCGATTCGAGCTTCTCGGTCGAGTATGAGGGGGGAGGGGCGACGCGTACGGGGGTGCGGATACAAATAATCGAGAACAATAAGACCGTGTTCGAAGCCCGTTTAGAGTGCGGTTGAGACCGGTCTACAAAGCGACATAAACTGGCATCGAACGGGGGTTAAAGTGACCGCGTGTACCCCCCCGTTTAGAGATTTGTCCCCTAACAAATGGCGCGTCTAAACTAGCCCGTTTAGAACTCCTCTCAACGGGGGTAAAACGGTCCACGCGTGAACTCCTGTGTAGCAGTAGTATTGGACGCTGGTAACTTGGGTTTTGTTTACGAAGTGCCCGATTGTCGCGGTCGAGACCGAGCGTCTTTTTTCTAAACGAGTCATATCGATGCCCAAGCTGCCATGCAATTCATCTCGCATCTAGTCAAACGTTCTAGTCACACCGGATCTGCCAGAACTAGCCTAGAGTGCGGCTCTCTCGTTGTTCTGAGGCTATATAAGCGGGTCATAACGATAGCGACTGTCGACCTCGACGGCATTCCTGGACGAGCAAGACGATCCATTAGCACATTTCTGAAAGCCCCTCCGTGCCGGGCGACAACATGACTACCGTAACATCGCCATCGAGGCGGAATGCCGGCTTTCGTAAACAACTCTTTACCCTCATGTTCATCCGTACGGTCGAACCTTTATCCATCTGTCAACTATTCGCCTACGTCAATCCGATGACAGAATACCTCTTACCTTCAACGGACAAGGCCGATATAGGCAGGTATTCGGGGGCGATCGAGAGCGCTTTTGCGATAGGGAGCTTCCTGTTCGCCTTTCAGTGGGGAAGGTTGAGTGATCGGATCGGGAGGAGGCCGGCGATCTTGATGGGCATGATGGGGATCGCTCTGTCGGTCCTCGCCTTTGGGCTCAGTCGGAACTTTTATTTTTCGCTGGTCGCTAGGTTCTTGGGTGGGTCATATACAGCTTCAGTTGGGTGTCCTGAAATTGAATCGGATCGTTGGAATGCAGGAGGAGCTTTGTGTGGGAACGCCTCGGTCATCCGAGCGACATTGGGAGAGATCACACCGCCCGAAGCCGAACACTGGGTGTACCCGTGAGTCAACCCTGCTCACGTTATTACTATTAATCGCCTCTTTAGTCCTTCACATCGACTGACACCTGCTTTTAATGACAGTCTGTATACTGTCATCTGGGACGTTTCCGTTATCGTCGGACCCATACTAGGAGCTACCTTGGCTGATCCAGCTCGACAGTACCCGGGGACTTGGTTTGGCAACATCAAGCTTTTCCAGGACCATCCTTTCCTTCCCCCTTGCGCTCTCATTGCAGCTATGGCTATGGCGGCTGCAGCGGCAACGTTGTTCGTATTAGAAGAGGTAAGCAATATGCCTTGAGCTGCACTGTCACTTGCGCTCAATCTGTTCCATTTCACGTCTGTAGAGTCTCGAGACGCATGAGAGTTTACAAGCTGGGGATGGGCAAGAGACACCGGCTTACGAAGACACGGCTCTGTTATCAACACCTCGACGAAGGCCCGCTTCGATATCGACCACGCAACTCTTATCGTACCCTGCTGTGCAACAGGTCCTTGCAGCCTTCTTCCGTGAGTCTCGCTGATGCGATGAAACAATGGACACCCATGCTCACCGCGCCTCTGCCTCGATCCTATAGTGATGGCCATTATCAGCATGGGCTTCGACGCCCTGTTCGTCCTCTTCTGTTACTCGCCCAAGGACATCTACGGTATCGAGATCAAGCCAAGCGGGATCGCTCAAGCCTTCGCATTCAAGGGCTTCTTCTCGATCGCATTCGCCGCCTGTATCCTCCCGCTGCTGCAACGTCGACTAGGTGTCCTCAAGCTTTACAACGCGCTCAATCCGTTCTGGGCCGTCTCGTTTGCTTTGCCGTTGGTCATGAACGTCCTGGCGAGGCAGGAACACGGGTGGGTGGTCGATGGCGAGATGAGAAAGATGTGGGCTTTGATGATCCCGTTGATGATCACCTATACGCTCGGAGATCTGGCATGGGCGTGAGTGCGAAGCGATTTCGGTTTCGATAGAAACACTCTAGGGCGCTGACATTGAACGATTACACTGCGTAGCTCTCTTTCGGTCATCGCCAACAACTCGGCACCGGTAAAAGGATGCCTGGGGGCTCTGAATGGTATCGCCATCTCTTGTTCGAGTCTCGGTCGAGCTGTCGGTCCCGCCTTTGGAGGGTGAGCTTCGATGTCTGCCTTCACACATACCTGTTCTCACCGCTCACCGCTAACATGTTTGCGACGCAAATAAAAAACAGCCTACTTTACAGCCTGAGCGCGAGGTCTCACATCCCCGTTGTCTGGATCGTCTTCATCGGTCTGAGCGCATTGACGAGCATTCAAGGTTGGACTCTCCAGCCGACCGCTCGAGCTCTTTCGGACGATGAGGAGGGCAAGGATGAGAGACCCGAGTCGGGTAGCGCTGGATATGGCGCTCTCGAGACCACCGGTGAAACGGTGCGTAAACCGGTGTTCACGGTTGTCGAGGCAAAGACAAGGGCGGAATGGTTGGAATGTGTCGGTATCCGGATAGAGGGTCAGTTCAGCTTGTCTCGTTGAGCACGAGGGGGGTAAAGTCCATCGAACTGAATTTCAAACCTCTGGTTCGACAGTGTTTATCGACGAACAGGGATATGACATGGCCGATGAGGTGGACAAGTATGACGAAAAGGACGTATCGGTCCATTTCTGCCTCTACGCGCAGGATGATCCAGAAAAGGCTGAGCGGGGAGAGAAGGGCGTGCCAGCTGGGACGGTCCGGGTCGTCAAGAGTTCTTTAAAAGTCAGTTCCGACAAGGGATTCTGCCCGTCCGAAATCGAAACCCGAGTTCCTGATGACCTGCTATCTCCTTTTAGCTCGGACGACTAGCCGTGTCCAAAAACTACCGAGGGTACGGGCTTGGGAAGAACCTTGTTCAGGCTGTACACGACTGGGTGAAGGTAGAAGGACATAGGGGCTATATCGGCCAAGAATCAGCTAGCGGCGGTGACGAGCAAGGCGCAGGGAGGAAGGTGACGATCAAGTTGGAAGCGCAGGTGAGTCCCATACGAGGCGACTCCTGACGTCACAGATCCGCTGAACAGTTTGAACTCGTTACAGTTACACGCGATCAAGTTTTACGAAAAGATGGGGTATCACATCGTCGGGGAAGAATTCATTTGTGACGGGCGTGAGTGATCCGCGTGTGGCTCAGAGTCAGGGCTTCGCGACTGATCGCATATCGATACTGCTTGCGTCTTGCATAGAACCGCATATATTGATGGTACAGGATTTCGAGGTCTCCTAGACGGGGAGTCACGCATTGATAGTAATCAAGAGCGGGGCTGTCTACGTCAACGACGACGTTGTCCTCGCAGCGTGTACATACGTGTGTGTGTCACATGTCATAGTCATTGCTTTTAGGTTTCCCTCGAGTCTCAGCTCTCGTCATCCCCCTCCTCTTTGACGCAGGTTTTGAGTGAAATTGGCCGAGAGCGAGCGATTTGGACTGGATTCGAAGGATGAGGATGACCTGCCTGCAAGGGCTGCCTTTGTCGATTTCCAGCTTTAATTAGTCTTCCACGTCCCGACTTGATCTCTGATTGTCGTCCTTGTATACCCTGAACCTGTCGTCGAGGTAGATCTCGTCACGATTCGAAGCGCATAATACGGTTCTGAGTCGAAGTCTCGCCGCGTTGACTGCCTGGATTCCTGGACCTAGCCCGTTTGACATTCTTATCCAGACCACACAAAGGCAACGGATCAGATCCTTATATATTTCGATACTCTGCCTTCGATCTCGAGAACTATCAACGCAGAAGATCAGGCCGAAACGGCACCTCAATCGACCGATCAGTCATCGAGCTGCAGTCCCTCCCTCTTGCGACCGAATAAACCCGCCAATCGCCAGGAAGTCAATTCGACATCCGGGCCACGACCCCTAATCCATCTCTATTGCGATCCACGACGTCGATCCCCGAAGACAGCAGCAGATCCAGTCAAACAGTCCGGAACCTATTACCTCGAGATAGAGCTCGTATGAACTCGACATGTCAAACCAGGAAAGCAGCAGTAGTGATAGCGGTAGCAGCGAAATCAAGGGGAAAGACGTATCCGTATCGTCTGACAAATCGCTCGAGGTCGATGGCGACAACGATCGGGACGTGTTAGCGTATCAACAATCACAATCACAACCTCGACATCAGCAGCAACAGGCATGGAGCCCGAGCAGGAAACACGGTCTGTCACTGCTCGATACCCGGATATCTGACCGACCTGCGGATTATGAACCGCCTGCCTGTCTACGAGGTCCACCACCGCCCGACCTCTTCCTGAACAACACTTACGACAACATGCACGATCACGATCACGACAACCACGCCGGTCCCTCAACTTCTAATCACTCGGCCTACTCTTCCGAACGTTCCAAACGCCGTCGACTCTCCCTAGCCGATTTCCGTCGATCAGAGGGACCTCAGATCAGGTCGGCTAAGCTCCAGGCGTTATGGACTTCGTTACCTGACGACCTACCTGCCCCCTCGCCGGGACCTACGCCGACGAGTCTTATGCACCTTCCAGGGCAGGGGACGATAGGAACGTTGAGTCCGGAGCGTGTGGAACGGTTGAGAAGGCTGTATGAGGAAGAGCTTAGTAGAAGGATCAGCCTGGAGGAGAGGGAGTCGGCGAGGTTGTGGGGTGGGGCGGATGATCTTCCCGAACCCAACGCTCCAGCCGTAGCGACCACCTCTTCGTCATCGTCCTCTTCGACTTCGTCGATTACTTCGGTCAATGCTGTGAAGAAGGGGATCAAGTGGAAGGATTTCAGGAGATTCTTATGGGACCAGGAGGAACAGCTGTGGGATATCTTCTGCGATCTCGATCGGGACGGAGATGGAAGACTGGACCATAAAGAACTGAAGGGAGCTCTCAATCGTAGTGGTCAGTACCAGCGTGCCATTTGACATCCGACTTGTGTTCTGAGCTAAAACATGATATTTCGCGGTTCATCAGGCATTCAAATGACCGATTCAACGCTTTTCGAATTCGTGCAATTCCTCTCGTCATCATCACCAGCTTCTCGACCGGAATGTCAACCCAAGGATAATCCTCAGAGGGAGCGAGAGCGGAAAAAAACGCAGCAGGAAAGGACGTTTATCACGTTTGCAGAATTTCGGGATTTCTTGTTATTGCTGCCCAGGAAGGCTAGCGTGGCGGAGATCTACAAGTGTGAGTACTGGAGTATCGGAAGATCAGAGTCGAATCGAGAACTGACGGAGGTCCTTGCGGAATCATTGTGCGCCATTTCGTGCACAGACTACCAAGTTCGGAAACGAATCAACGATGGGCGAGGCGCGGCCAGGCTGAACATGGATGGAGATCTGAGCGTCTCGTTCCCCAAACCTTCCTCTTCATCGCCCACAGGCCAATCATCGGCCTCATCTTCGAATACCGCGGCACATCCTCAGGTCGTTTCTGGTAGCCATGCAGATACCAGAGCAGCCGACAAGGCGTCACCGCCGGGTCACCAGAAACACGCCGTCATCAGCTGTAAGGACCGTGAAGCGGGAATGGTGGATGGGTATGAGGTTTGCGAGGACAATGAGACTCAAGGAACTACTGAGCCATCATTAAAGAGGGCGGACTGTGCACAAAGTCAGCATATGCATGATGACGATGAAGAGGAGGAAGAGGAGGGGGTCAACGGGATCGGAGCAGATGTTGCTTGGAAATTCTTGTTGGCTGGAGGTATCGCCGGTGCCGGTGAGTGAAGGACGCCACATTGTCGAGATCAGACTGACTGACAGGGACAATCTGGGCTATCAGTGTCCCGGACGGCAACGGCACCTTTCGACAGACTCAAGGTGTATTTGATCACCTCGACTCCCGTTCCAGCAGCTATGAGGGCGCCAGCAGATCCCAAGGCGCCGGTGACCATGACGAGTCGGATGGTGGAGCATTCTGTCAAGTACGGTAGTAAAGGTGTCGGATACTTGGTGGATGCGGCCACGCGAATATATAGAGACGGCGGTGGCGCAAGGGCGTTCTGGGTTGGGAACGGGCTGAACGTGACCAAGATCTTCCCGGTGAGTTCCAGTGTCCTGCGTCCCAATTTACGTGCATCTGCTGATCAGATTGCCTTGCCTCAGGAATCCGCGATCAAGTTCTTCTCGTACGAATACTCGGTTAGTATTTGCGACCTTGACACATCGCCTATTCGCCGTCCTGACGCTTTTATCCCCGCACAGAAACGCTTCCTCGCTCGTTATTGGGATCACGTTGCCGACCAGACCGAGATCTCCGGGACCTCGAGATTCATCTCGGGAGGGATCGGTGGAATCACCTCGCAACTGATGATCTATCCGGTCGAAACGCTCAAGACACAGCTGCAGAGTAACCTCAACAAGGAGGCTCCACCCACCAAGGGTGCGATCGTAGAAAGTGCAATGATCAGGACTGCCAAGGGAATGTGGAAGCGGGGCGGTATGCGAGCGTACTATAGGGGCCTGACTGTGAGCGTAATATCTGGTTGTCGCGTAATGACTGTCTGCTAATCATTTCTTGGCAATTCCCTTAGCTCGGCCTTATCGGAGTCTTTCCCTATTCGGCTATCGACATGAGCACATTCGAGGCGTTGAAGATTGCGTATTGCAAGTCGTTTGGCTTGGAGGAGCCTCAGACGGTGGCAGTCCTATGCTTCGGAGCATTGTCCGGAAGCATAGGTGCCACCAGCGTGTATCGTGAGTCTAGTAGGGTTGATATCCTCCTGTATTCGCCTCTGAATGATTGCGCCTGCCTTGCTACAGCTATCAACCTCCTTCGTACCCGATTGCAAGCCTCGGGCTCTCCAGGACACCCCCAAGTCTACACCGGGTTTAGGGACGTCCTCAGCCAGACGTTGCAACGGGAGGGTTGGTTCGGGCTCTACAAGGGTTTGATTCCAACATTGGCCAAGGTTGTGCCTGCCGTGTCTATCAGCTATGTGGTAGGTTCAAGCGGTGTGAAGCTGATAACATGCGAACGTCGCTCATCAGCATACTTTTGTAGGTCTACGAACACTCGAAACGATCTTTACATCTCTCCTGAGGTGAAACGCGCCACTACCATCCACATCATGATCATCAGCACTTTCGTCACGCGCGCACCAACCTCTTTCTCATGAAGTTAAAACGAACATTTTTACTCGCTTCATTTGCGAGGAGCATCACTGTATTGAAACAGACAGGCTATAGATCGAATCAGGCAAATGAGCATAGAAAATTGGTCCATCTGAGAAGTGCCGGGACCTTTCTGGTCGGCATATCAAGTCGATCCAATGTTGCTCCCTCTCTCTTGTCACCCTGGCTTCTCGGAGTCAGTCGGGCCCTATCTCTCTGCTGTTTCACGTCATCACTCGTCTGGTATTGGACCCTTGGCTCTCACAGCGCTCTTCTTGTGACTATGTATTTCCTCACTCTGCTGCGCCCGCAAACCCCAGTTGAGGAATCTTGCAGATTCACGGCGCGAAAAATGGGCGCCTTTTTTTCCCAGCAAGGTGTCGTCAATCAACGGTCAGGCCATTCTTTTGCGTCATACCGTTCATACCATGGACAACGGCTCGTCGGAGGACATGTCAATGTTTTTTCTGGGCAGTACACTCGACGTGCTCTTCAGGCCATGCTCAAGGTCGTAACCGGTGAGTAAATTACCAATGTCGTCACTGGTGATCACACTACTGACAGAGGTGGCGTACCCCTTCATGCTGAGCTAACTATCCATCCGCTCCGATCTCAATTCAACCCACTGCATCGATGATACGACTCGCGTATTCGTGTGACCTGATCGTGCAAGACAAGGCTGGGTCTTGCTACCTCCACCTTGGTGTGAAAGGAAAGCTGGGTAGGGTTACACATCGCAGTGTCAGGCAACCGCTCACCTGGACACCTCTTCGACGAGTGTACCACACGCCTGAAGCGTGATCCATTATAATTCATGGAGAGCTTATGGGTTGCACGTCGGCGTACTTGCTCCGCTTTCGGCGACCATGATTGGAAAATCCAGGCCTGTCGGAAACAGATTACACATAACCATCCATCTCCCTGTCTAGTCCTCATCACCCTCGTTTTCGTCCCCATCGCCATCTCCTCCCTTGTCTACCCCGTCCTTCTTCGCCTGCATCTTCTTCATCTTCTTTCTCCACCGTTTCCTCTCCTTTCCATGCAAATCAGGAGGAGGGGTCATCCCCGTTCTCTCTCTAGCTGGGTCGTTGGCGGGTGTTAGCGGTGTTGAGGGATTTTGATTTGCAGTTTTAGATGTGGGAGTGGTGGGGATCCTTGGTGTTTCCGAGGGTATTGTGGAGAAGATGTTGTTGATACCGGGCTGTAGCATGGAGAATGGAGTCGATGGTGTTTGCGTGTAAGAGAGTTTGAAAGGGTTATGATGGGTAGGGGTGCTTGGGAGCTCGAATCGAGATTCTGGGTTGAATTCCGACTTCGATGTTGACGGTGCCGTCTCGCTCGTATTTAGATCGTTGGACAACTTCATCGCCTTCCCAGAGGTTCCTCCTCCTTCTGCCGTCTGCTTGACCTTGCCGTTCATCGGTAGTGGTGCTACCGGCTTGGCCTTGACCTTCCCAGTCTGCTTCTTGGTCGCAAAGGCATCTCGTGACAATTTGCTCTTCTTGGTGACCACCCTCGTCCGGCTTTCCTCTTCGTCATCATCATCATCATATCCTGCGGGCACGTTCTGTTGAGATGCGTTGCCAGCGGATATGGTTCCCGAGGTGGACGCAGATGGCTCGGCGCCATGTCTCCGTTTGAGAGCGTTTGCTAACGGTAGAGTAGATGCCGAGACGGCATTCGAGGTGACCGACTCTGGGCCTGCTGTACCACCCGAGATGATTTTCCTAATAGTTTACCACATCCCATGAGATCCAAAGACACGGAAGACAGTAATCACGGCAACCGGACTGACCTATGTCGTTCCCCCTTTCTCAACGCTCGATTCCGATCGATGATCTCGTCGGCCGTCTCTATCGTACTCGAAGATGCATTTTTGCCACTCGAAGCTCCAAAATCTCGAGGGATCATGCTGTCGATCAGAGCAGAGAATTCGTTGTTGAGCCGCTCGAAGCTCTCAAAGTCGGTCGTAGTCGTGGTCGTAGATGCCGCCATTATGCAGATGGTCGTGTACAGGAAGCACGCTTGTCGGAGCAACTGAGCCGTGGTTTGAATTATCTCAGAGACAAGATGAGGTGAGGATGGGTATGAGATATCGACTTGGGGGGATTCGCTGCAGATTACCATTATAAATTGGCAAGGTCGCATGAAGAAGAAGTTTGAATCGAGATTGCCGAAGGGGTCCCTTGAACGTTCGACTTGATATTGCATAATCAAGCCCAACGGACCGACGATTTATGCAATTCGACGTCGCCTGTTCGACCTTGCAGGTAATACGTGCAGATATCTCTCAGCTATTATACATAACTAACATACCGCCGAATCCCTTGAGATTCAGCATCGCCATCACTCATACCATGCAGATCAGTATTGTAATCGTCGAGCCAGGTCCCGATGTCAAGGTGACGCAAGAAAGCCAAGGCTCGGACGTAGAGACGCACTTTGAAGAAGTGATCAACGTCCTAAGAAACCTGCGTCGGGGTGGAATGGAACCCATGTCGATCGCTTATACGGAACACGACTGCCTGATCACCTTGTCGACCAAACGAGCAGACTGGGACGAATACTTCGATACAAGAGATCCGGATACCGGCGAATCACCCCAGACTACGAGATCGCTGCTCGCCGACAAAGCCATCGATTTGGGAATGGGTACTACCAGCGACTCGGTCGACGACTTGGCGCAGAAAGCCATTCTAGCTGGCGTGACCGTTGTTACGAGAGAAGGTGGAAGACGAGCGGCCTTGACGAGGGAAGAGGTCTCCGAGGAAAAGCAGACGTGATCATAGTGAGCTCGCTGAAGGTCCGTGACAAGTGGTACCCCCGCGATGTGCACGGTCCGGCCGTGCTGATACATGGTCTGCCTTGTCTGACAGGTCACCCTCCACTGGTCACATAGAAATCTCAAATATGGTCTCTCTTTGGATCTAGCGGCCCGGTGGTAGGAATCTTGTTTACGCATGATCACGCAACAGTACATCGGGTGCTTAGCGTCAATAATGTCGAGGATCATTTCCGGGGCACAGAATTTTTCCTTGTCGTCAAAACAGTGCCGTCGGAATGTAGATGAGCTTCTCTCTTCGGACTACCTACATCGCTTGGCCTTCGCGGATAGTTGTCTCGTTTCCGTGATAAACTTGTGAATCTCGACCAGGTGTCTTCGATCATGCAGGCCGCCTTCGCTGCCACTTTCAAACGATGTCCTATCCTTGGATGAGCTTCATCGCTGTCATCAACGTTATCCAGCAGATGATCTGCACCGTTCATACCGGCTTTGTGATACAGGTACTATAGGTTTGATCGTCTGCTCATACGCCCACGAAGTCGACGGCCCCCACGGCGCGCATGGTGAAGTCCTGTTCAGAAGCGACTACGAAATACCCAGGAACAGCTACGTGAGATGGCTCCTCCTACATGCATGGGTAAGGCGTCTTCCAGGTCGAATTCTGGTGCCAGTCCGGCGCATGCGATTCTCCGGGCTTTGGTCTTGCCAAGCGGGACGCTACAATGCGTGCGCTAGAATGAACGACAAGTAAGAGGCGTTGAGTTGGCTTTCGGTACACATACGCTGCGGATGGGATCGGAGTATTGGAACTGTCATACCCATAGGTATGAAAAGTCTCATAGGGATGGTGTAAATGTTCATGTCCGAGGTCAGAGAATCATTCAAGGATGTTGTACAGAGCGAGATGTCTACGCTATCGACGACCGGTGTGTGGCGAGACGCGAGACGAGAACAAACAGTTGAGGACGGAAAATACTCGGTCGGCGTACTCTATGAAACGTACCTGCTCTAGCTCCGGACATTGGATCTCTCGGTCCCTCATCCCGCTCGTCAAGAAGATTTGCGTTTATGCCATGTCACGGGGAAACGCCTTGTACTTGGCATTCCGGCTGCCGGGTAAATCGACGGGGAGCATGACGTGATGTCGGAAAAATGCGAGCTCGCAGCTGAGAGCAGCGCCCTTGCTTGTGACGTTCCAGTATCATGTAGGACGGCGAATGGATACGACTAGCTACTAGGTACAAGAGGAGAAGAGACGAGGGAGACAAAGTCGAGGCGCAAGGAAGCCTCGCCTATCGTTCGCGATTCACCGGTTGGAATACCGGTCAAACGTGGCACACGCGCGCCATGAAAAAGATTCGATCTGTCGCCTGAAACGCGGGATCTGCAAGGTCACACACAGCCAAGCGGCAAGTGGTGGGCGCTGTGAGCTGTCTGGCCGTGCCTTTCCTGCCCTCGCACCTTTCGGTCAATCTCTGCTGCTATTCCCGCGTTTCAAGCTGAGCGAGAATGGGTGCAGGAGTTTAGCGCGAGATTATATTGGAACTTTAAAGTACGTAGAGTCTTCGATCGTGCTCCCGAGTTCCTCGTAGCGCTCGTCTATTGGCGTCGCCAAGACCGAAGCTTCAGCTCTAGATTCGAGCATACAGGGCATCTTGGGTAAGAAGTACGAGTATATAACGTGGACGGTGAAGCTTGGGTTCGCCTCATTTCCCTTGCTCGAGTACAAGTGGTTGCCTTCAAGCTTCACATCCGTCCAATCAGACTATCCTTTCCTAAACTCACATACATACCATGCTCGCTCTTTCCATCCTTACAACTCTCCTGGCTAGCTTTGTCACGCTCGGAGCAGCCGCCCCTGCTCAACCTTCGCGTAAGCCCGTTTGTCAATCTGTCTCTTCGTCGCCCCAGGACTGATCGAAGCCTCGCAATCGCAGTGGATCAACCCGGCGACCTGACCACCGACCTTTCTCAATACGAGATTGGGGGATCCGAATTTGAGAGGCGTCAGACTTCGTGTCCTCGATACGAAGTAATCAGCGCCCGAGGTACTGGTGAATCTCAATCCTTCCCCAGGGGCAATGCCGGGACGGTTCGCGGAATCTTGGCTGCTGTCCCCGGTGGAAGGAACTACGAGGTCGTGTGAGTCGATATCTCATCTGCCTGTCCTTCTTTCGGAGGCTTAAGCCTGATCGATTATTATGCGGGTCTTCCAGCTATCCTGCAACTAGCAACTTTGCCACCGGTCCTGCCACTGGCGCGAGGGACCTCATCAGCCGAGTCACTACCGTCCGTCGTACTTGCCCCGACACCCAGTTCGTCTTCATCGGATACAGTCAGGGAGCCATGGTCGTGATTACCGCCGAGAACGATGGTGGACTGCCCGAGGGTTCGGTCGCTGCAGTGATCCTTTATGGAAGGTAGGACTGCGATGTCATTCAGACATGCGTTCGATCGGTTGACCATTCCTTTTGCATCAGTCCATACTGGTTGCCCAACCGTCCTGAGGTAAGCACCAACGGCAACCATTCATCATCACCGTTTCTCCGAGTTGGTTGGAAGGCTGATGAATGCCATGACATTGCAGAACGCTGGAAGCGCTCGAAGCGGGCGAGGGATCGCTGCTTTCGGCAGCCGCAACACTACTCCCAGTAGCTACCAAGGCAAGACTCAGGACGTTTGCAACAGTGAGTCCATCAAACCTTGCTTTCCATCGTTGATGTATCACAAGATGCTCACCTGTGGATTTCTCTTCTACAGCCGGGGACAACATCTGCACCGGCTCTGGCAGTATCGCCGCTCACCTTGGATACTCGGGATCCGCTTCCGAGAGGGCCGCCGTCGAGTTCGCCGCTGGAAAGCTCAATGCTGCGCTCGGTGCCGGTGGATCTACCCCTACCAATCCGACTCAACCCCCTACTTGCACTTGCTGAGCCGGTATTGGGCACAACGGCCAAGCAGGTCTCTTTTCTGGCAAGAGAGACCCTTGATCGCTAGTTCCTCGGAATTGATGTCCGCTATGAAACCCCAAATGATCATATTATCATTCAATGGAAAAGTAATGCTTTGTTTGTGTGCGTGACTAAGCAGGATTGAATCGTAAACTCCTGGACTCACCTTAATCTGGATGCTGGCATGATGATACTAGGAGAGGCAAATGTTGTATTGCGGCCAACAATTGCGATAATGCCCATGCGGCATCTCTTAACCCTCTACTGAGACTAAGCTTCAAGTGGTACAAACGCGCTGCTCTGGCAGACTGTACCATGGTTTCGTTATTATTGGTCGTGTGGTACAACTCGACAATGCTGTCTATGCGACATAATTATTGACCTGCACAGCCTGGGCAACTCTTGAGAATCTCGTGGATACTATACGAAGAGAAAGGCGCATCCTCAACATCAATCCATCCCTTTCAAGAACAAAGTCTGACCAGACAACTCACAAGAGGTCACAATCCATGCAATAATCCTTCCTACAAGTAGGGCATCTGCGAAACCAGGTGTGATTAGGTCAGATGTCGTTGCGCTTCACAGTACGGGGGAGTATCTTACCTATACCGCCCCGTCGCCGAAACCCCTTCCTCCACATGCGATACACCTTGTTCTTCTGCAAGCGACTACCGCAACGCAATAAGCGAGTTAGCCATCATCGTTCTTCAAGCAGAACGGAAGTCTGTCTCACTTCGGGGAATGGCACATCACAAGCAAAGCACGATATCTCCGCCTCTTCCGTGAGATCCGAGTCGGCTCTAGGAGGCCAAGAGTTCAGTCGCATACCATAGTGGTCGTATTTGAGACCCATACTCACATTGTACCGTACGCATGTACTGGAAACAAAAACCAATAGCTGTAAGGGCCGAAAGCGATAGTTCAGCGAAGGAGCCTCATCAGTCAGTCAGACGCCGTGAACTCGCCTTCGTGCCAGATGTGGACTGGAAACAACCATCAACCCGCACACCTCACAGTCCGTCGGTACCTCACACGCCTTGGCGCCGCATCTCGGACATAGATACCCTCCCCGCCTGATGAGCCCATGACAAGCACACAGCCCTACAGCCCCTGGTCCAGCCAGTGGTAATCGGGTGGGGAAACCCATCATCATAAGGTCGGCTGGTGGTGCTTTCGACCCGGAGCCTCCTCCGGCGCCTTTCGTCCGTCGTGCTACGCCTTCCATGGCGGACTTCAACCCGATCGTGCCCTGCATCGTCGTTGCCGGTGCCTGTACCATTTCGAACAACAGTTCTCGATAATGCGCCTCGTTCAGCGCGACTCCAAATTTCCCCTGAGTCTTTTCCGTGATCAGACGGCAGATCTTGAGTTCGGCGGCGAGGGCGATGATGGATACTCGAATACGGCCAGAAAGCAATTTCGAGAGCGTCTTGTGGATACTTCCTGGGTCGGTCGTCGTCAGCGATGAGAACAGGATGAGGACTTCGAGTGACGATGTCGATGGCAGGTGGCTAGGGCGTTGGTCAAGCCAGATGAGCGATCCACCTCTGAATGATCTAGAATTGCTCGTGCCGGTAGACTTACTTCATACTGCTCCGAGCCATATCCAGTCCGTTCTGCAAGCTCGGTTCTCCACTTGGCTCCAGCTTCCGTTTATCTGCAATGGCTGCCAAGATCGCGTGCGGATTCCCTAAAAGAAAGACAAATTCCGGATCAGAGCTACGCTCAAATTCCGAGCACCATCAGACGAAAACGACTTGCCTCCCATCTCGATGATCATCTCGCCCAACCCGTTCCGTAGTCCAATAATACCGATCTATCAGCAAAGTAAATTGGTCAGCTCGATTCAGAAAGGTGATTCGGGTACTACCGCCTGTCTTACTTGACCGAGAGGGTTCTGGTCAAACCACTCCATGACGAACCCCCGCAAATACTGTAACGTTAAATCCCACCTGCACACCCAAACCGCAGGCCACAAAGTAAATCCTACAGATCAGCATCGTGAACCAGAAAAAGTGCAAGACAGGCAAAGATGGCTGAAAACTCACCTAGTCGGCCGCATGTCCTTGTCATTCATACTGATACTGAGGTCGAGCAAGATGTACATGTGCCGGATAATCGACCGTCTCAATGAGCTTTGTGATGTTTGAGCTCTAAAGTACGCCGAGTTCACGCCCCAGACATTTGAATCGATTTAGTCATCCGCGATCTGATGCAGAGGTATGAATGCTGAACGTACCTCCGCCGACGACCACGCATCATCAATCCTTCTACGGCCGCTTGAAGTCCCCCGCTTTCGTCTTCCTGTACGGCATCCCATGATCGGTTGTACGATGCTTCCCATGCATACGATTGCTATGGTCGTCCGACAAATTGTACAACGGCAAGGCAAAGAGGTGTAGGGCAATAAGATCAGTCGGTTTTGATGACTGGCATCGAGCTTGGGAGACAGAGCTTCACAGAGCGAGAGCTCGACTTGAGCGATTGGATCTTGCCGACTCACATCTCCAACTTTGCGTTTCTTCCCTCCCTTTTCTGCCATTCCCGTGGCGAAGTCTTCTTCCTCTTCTTCTTCTTCTTCCTGTGCTGCGTCTACCTGCATCGCTTCTTCACCTCCACCTCCCGCATTCGGCGTCCCACTCCGACTCGCACTCCCATCCCGTCCCAATCCCAGCTGTTCACTGTTCTTCGCAGCCGACCGGTCGTTCAACCCAGAGATAATCGCCTGACCCTTGGCTTTACTCTGAGCGTTGAATGCTACCCTCGGACCGTTGGTCTGAACAGCCCGACCGGGAGGCAGCTGGTTCTGCTTGGACTGAGGAGGTTGGTCCGACTCGGAATCCGAGGATACGATGGCTCGGGTCTTGCCCTTCTGAGCACGGCTAGGGCCTGTGACGACATCGGAATCGTCCGAGTCCATCGGAATGAGCTAGCTGGCCTATACTTGATCTATAACAAGGTTCAGAGAGCTGTCGTGGTCACGAGAGCAGAGGTATGCCCGTAGCATATAGGTGAATTGAGTTGCAAACCGCCTTTGGAAGCTGCTCAAGCTCCGGGTCGCGCGCAGATCGATCGTCATCGCAAAGGTATAGTTCGGCTCGTTCATGCACACTGTACTGTGGTATTGTATGTGTATAATATGATCACTACGAAGCTGCTACTGCTATTATCTGTTGCTATTAGATCGAATCCGGATTCATGTACAAGAATACCTTCCCGTCTCTCCCTCTGTCGCCGATCCACCCTGACTCATCACCCCGTTGAGCCGCCTATTACCACCTTGTCCAGATAAGATGTCCGGAACCCAATCTACCAGCCAGCCTCTCTCTTCCTCTCCCTTGCGTGATCCGGCCGTCTGACTGTGGGGTTGCCTGAGTATGCATACCCTCGCCTACCTCCGTCGCTTGAGCAATCCGGCGATGAGGATCCCCCCTACAGCCGCTGCACCAGCAACAAGCCCGATCCCTACATAAACACCCCAACATAACATCAAGATCAGCCTTCCACTCATTTTATACGGCCTTGTCCTCCGAACAATTTGTGCAAATCATATAACTCGCAAGGGAGATATGATGATCCAGAGGGGGAGGAGAGGGGAACAGAGGGGAGACTCACCGATATATCCTTCTTTCGTCTCTGCAGCGTCTATCAGACCTTTCAAGCTCTGTGCTTGACGATTACTCGGTTCGACGTGGAGCAGTAGGTCTGATTTTCCGATTCCGCCATCGAGGTGTAATGATCGTGTCGCACAGCACAGAGAAGGGCAGGGGCAGAGTAGGATGAGAGTCCGATTGAGCAAAGATCAGCGACTTGTATCAAATGGAGATCGGAGAGAAGAGAGTGATAAGGCATCAAGAGACTCACCGTTAAACTTTCTGGCCATCCCGTAGTTCCCGAGCTTGTAATACCCCAAGGCGATGTAATACGAACATTCTCTCCGGTATTCAGGAGCTGTCTGGTAAATCTCTGTAAGATGGGCGAAAGAACACTATCACTATCAGCCCTGGACAAATATGCCCGGGAATGGGATTGTCGACTCGCCTTGTAACAGCTTGATCCCTTCTGTTTGTAGTTCCCGCTTGGGCGATTTCACCATTCCCCATGCTATTCGTGAAAGAGATTTCCCACCGAGGCCATTCCGATTCAAACAGGATTTAAGATTCGCGCCAGTATTAGCAGTCAGAGAGAGTTGTTCGAATATGAGCACAGTCATTTCGGCAGCAGGATGCTTCCAAAGCAAGAGATAGTGTGGACTGACCATAATTGAACTTGGTCTGCGTGGACACGTGTTGCTGTTCCTGTTCCTTTTGGTATTGCGTCCTCAATACCTATCCTCAAGGAGGTCGTCAAATCAACCCATTCGAACAGACAATCATTTCGTCTAAGCAGGTGGACGCAGTAGATGGGTGGTAAATACGAGGCTCACCTCGAGTTCATCGTACGCGAGGCTCTCTTGAGCGTCCGCTGCGTAGGGTAAGTCGGTGGGCATGGCTGTGCGGCGGTCTAGATGTCGGTTTCGTCTGGTTGTTTCGCGGATACGCAAAGGGGTAGGCTGACAAGAGCGAGGCTAAGAACTGAACTGTAGATTGTGAGCAGGCAGCAAGAGGAAAGGAGGATGATGATACGAGGTCGCATGGTCAGCAGAGAGGTCGGACGTCGTTTGGTTGTCGATGACGAACGAGGCGACGAGCGACGGAGCCGAGGGAGAAGATGTTCGGAAGCAAATCATCAGACATGACATGACATGCAGGGGGAACAATCTCATATCGTCAGCCATCAAGCTACAACCTCGTCAATCGCACACTTGGACACCATTGAGACCACAGTACAAGGTAGTGAGAGGTATCGGTCGTGACATTAGTCTTCAATCATCTACCAAGGCAGAAACAACGAACCCGAACGGACCCGGCATCACTTCACAACAATAATGACAAGCACAACTTCGATACCTTTCGAACGATACGAATGAATGATCAGCCAGGAAGTTGCGCACGTCAACCTAAACTGGCCCCAGTAGGATAGTAACATATCTCGAACAGAGAAATCCCTTGGCTCCACTAGGTGGCCACTAGCTCCACGGCGAGGTCGTAATCTAATCAGCTTTTTGCGGAGGGAAAAAAAAGACAAACAAGACGTCATCGAGGTCCTCCCCCTTTGACCACTCAGCGACCCTCTCGGCCTGGCCCGAATCGCAAACTCTTCTCACCCTCGACACTTCAGCGACTTGAGGCCTGGGAGTTGCGACATCTGGACCTTCTGGCTTGGTTGGATTGGACGTCTACGTCTGGGTCGCAAACCGAAAGACCACCTGAACCTGGATCGCCAGCTTGCCGTCGACCATGGTGAAGACGACTCACAACCCAGATCCATCGCTGTCTACGGCCTCGAATCCCTCCAAACGCCACACCTCGATCTCCAGAAACACCCTCGCTCACAACCTGGCTCCTGATGATAATATCCGCGCCGAGTTGGAATCGTACGAGATGAAATCCCCTGCTCCCGTTGATACCTCTGGGTCTGGGCATGAGGGTTCACCAACCCCGCCTCCTCGTGCGGGAACAGGAGCGAGAACAAGAGCAGATCCATACGATCCGATTACCCGAGGACCGGCACAGGGAACCTCTTTTATCCCCTTCCCTACCCCTCCGGACGCCCAGACGGGAGAGCCTGTACTTGACATCGGACCTACCACCACTACCCATCCCTCTTATAAGTCTTCTCCTACAAAGGAAAAGTATAATGAGCAGAGACACCGACCGAGTAATATCTCCAAGGCTAGGGAAGCGCTTGGAGAAGGTCTGGGAACACTGTGGGACTGGGTCAAACCGCCGGAGATGCCTGTGGATAATATCGAACTCGAGATCGAGGAGGAGGACAAGGGGAAAGAAGAGGCCGAGGTCGGGGAGAAGGGAAGACATAGGCAGAGAAGAGGAACGGGTGCGTCGATGGCGCGGAAAGAACCCGGCGTGAATGGAGGAGGTGGAGGGAATTCGGGATCGAATGGCAGAGCGAAAGGCAAATTGATGCTCGAACGGACCAGGTCGAGGACGACCTCGGCGATCGGGAATGGGTTTCATCGGATCCGGACGAGGACGAAGAGTGGGCGAGAGTCGATCCGGGCCGGGTATCCTTATACTCATGGATCCGGGTGTGGCAATGGAAATGGAGAGGCTGGAGTGCAGGAAAAGACGTCCGGGTCAGAAGGAGCCAGGGCAGGGCAAGGTGTGAAGTGTGTGGTCGTGGACAATGATGTTTGGAAAGAGGACGAGAAGGTTGAAGAGGAGGGCGAGGGCGAGGTTGGGTCGGGGGAGACGAGGACGTCGATGCAGAGTGAACGGAGACATCATTCACCTCGTCACCACCACCACCACCATCATCATCACCATCATCATCAGCATCACACACACTCGCCTGCACATGCCGCTGGGGGCGCAGATTCGGGGGAACACGCTTGGGCCACGGGTTCGCACATGGAATGCGGAAGACGACCCTCGCTCTCGTCATCGACCATGGCAGTACGTCGGTGGTACACTTGGGCGACTCACTGCCTCCAAGATTTTTTCGCTACGCGCTTCGATGATCCGGAACGAGAGACACATTACCTCCAGGAAGCGTGGGTTGGACTACGTCAGAGTGCCATGCCGACGAGTTTGCTGTACATCCTCGCCTGGGGATTGACATGGGGACTTTCGGGGCGACCGTTGCCAGTGTATAATCGCTGGGCGTTCATCTTCACCAACGGGTTTCTCTCGGTCCCGCTGCCGTTCTTCGTCGCCATCGACCTCATGCGGAGGATCTCTTGGCTGTACCAGTGTTGGGTCCTCCTCGCCAGCTGGGCGTTTGCCTATGCCGTCCTCATCGACATGCACGTCTGCGGGTATTACACCGGGCACGCGGAGCAATGCATCAACAGCCCCAACTTTATCGCCCTCTTCTTCTGGTCGATCGCCCTGCCCGTCTTTGGGTTGTTGGGGTTGGGACAGAAACGCTTGTTTCACCTGATCGGACTGTTCATATGGTGTGCACTGACCATCTCGCTCATCATCGCTCCTGGAGCGCCCAACTTGATGATCAGGAATTTGATCCTGATGATCACGTTACACGTGTTTTTGGTCGTCATGAGCTACTTTTGGGAGAAATCGAGCAGGAGGATGTTCATTCTCCGAGCTCAGATCAAGGATCAGTATATGAAGACCGAGATGGCGAGACGGGCAGAAGCATTGGCGAATCAGAGCTCGAGGAGGTTCATCGCCTATGTATTTCACGAGGTGAGTCGCGGTAAGACAGCCGTCTGCTCTTTTGAAAGCATCTAACCCTGATAACAAATTGACTAGATACGCGGGCCTCTCAATCGGTGCGCTCTGAACTTTGGCCTGTTCGTGGACGAACATGTCAAGGAGGTCAATCCTGAACAGCAAGAAATGGTCGCCAGCGTCAACAACGACTTCCAGCTCATGTCAAGGGTATTGAACGATGTCCTGAGTCTCGATAAGATCCGTCTTGGAATGCTAGAGCCCTCGATCGAACCGTTCAGGCTGGACCAGGCCGTTACGCTCGCCGTCAACGGGTTCAGATCACAGGCGAATGCGCTCGGCTTGCAGCTTCAGCTTGAAGCCGATCCGAAGATATCGGAGCTCGTGCTGTTAGGGGACGCCGGAAGGATCCAGCAGCTCGTAGGCAACCTCATTGGGAACAGTCTAAAGTTTACGAGACAAGGCGGGGTGACCATCATTACTCGGCTCCTGGGCATCGCCGGTCGCAATGCCTCCGTGTCAATGACGACAACGCCGATTGGGCCCGATGGCATCACACCTGTGGTATTACCGTTGGAGGAATTGAACCAACCCAATTCGCTTCGGGACGTCTCATCGAAAGGACCATCTTCTAGCCCGACCGCTAGCTCGATATCGTCTTGCCACTCTCATTCCCGTCGGAGCTCCGTCCGTCCCGCTCGAAACCGTGCCATTGTCCGTTTCGAAATTCGCGATACTGGAGTAGGATTCAGTTCGCAAGACGTGGACGAGAACAGGCTATTCTCCGAGTACCGTCAGACCAAAATCGGTCAAAAACAGGGAGCTAGTGGAAGCGGCTTGGGACTCGCACTATGTCGGAAGTTCATAGAGGTGTTTGGGGGAAGATTAGGGGTCGACAGCGAGCCGGGTAAAGGGTCAACATTCTGGTGGGTGCTTGTCAACTTTCACGGTATTGGAACACGAGCAGCTGATCGAACCCGCTCACCATTCTTGCAGGTTCGAGATTCCCTTCCCGATTCATAGCGCAGCAATCCAGGAAGAGGTTTATGTATCGGAAGCAGCGGCTGAGGAAGTGGTGCCGCTTACGACCGGCTCGCTGGAAGAAGTCGAGGTCACATCAGCAGCCAAGGTGGAAGACCCGATCGGTGAGAGACTACGATGGCGCGATTTTCCGATGGCGTTGGCTGACCTGTTTACGATCGGTTGATACAAGAAGTTGTTCCGACACGGGAACTTGCCGCGCCTCCCGAAGTCCCACAGAGCTCAGATCTAGCCGCGGATTCGGCTTCGAGGGGAGACGCATCACCACTTACCACGCTTGCTCCAAAGGTCAAACCCTCAGCTCCATCTGCGGACGATCCTCTCAGCCTAGACTGTCTTGTGGTTGACGATTGCCCGTAAGTCAAGGCACCCCTCGCGCCATCTTGGATTGACATTCAGCTCATGATCACTCCTTGTTGCCGATCTTGCAGTATGACCCGGACCTTGATGTCCAAGATCTTGCGTCGGATGGGCCATCGGGTCAGTCAGGCGGATGATGGCGTACCGGCCCTCCAGATGATCAGGGAGAGAGAGGAAGTGGCTGCAAGTAGCGGGGACGGGGGGAAAGGGGGTTTCGACGTGGTCTTCCTGGACAAGTGAGTCGAGACCGATTCATGTCGAGCGTGGTGGCATCGGAAGAGAACGATGAGCTGACATCATGTTCCGCTCGACTAGCATGATGCCGGTGATGACGGGTGAAGAGGCTGTAAGAGAGTTGCGTAAGCGGGGCTGCAGAGTGTTCGTTGTCGGAGCTACAGGGAACGCTTTGAAAGGTGAGCGCGTCGGACGTCTTGAAAGTCAATCCGGAATATCATGTTGACCCACGAAGACCTGATTTTGCTCTGTCGCGCTGCTCGTCATGTCGTTTCTGTATCCTACAGAGGACCAAGACGCTTATGTGGCCGCAGGCGTGGACGAGATCCTCACGAAACCCGTCTTTGCCGACAAGATCAAGCGGGTCGTCGGGATCGCTCTAGAGAGGAAGAAGGCGAGAACAATATCTTTGAGGGCCGATACAAATCAACAGCAGGTGGAAGGCGGCCCGCCGATGTAGCAGGAAAGCGAGGAGAATGATGGGAAGATTTCGAGGGCGGAGTCGTACTAAAGGCACGAGGAGCGCTGAAAATGCGCCTGCCACACTGTATCCATTTTAGCTTGTGAACGTGTTACTGTAATCTAGCGCTCGTCCTCGGACTGATCTGCTCTCCCCACGACGAGTTTGCGTTATTGTATCGAATACAGATTTCTGTTGGAATTTGGTGCTTCGCAAGATGATCAGCATACCAGCTCTGATCATTGGAGAGTCTCTGATCGAAGTCTTCCCGTCTCAAGAAAAGTCCCCATTCCCTACAAGATCTCGAGCCGACACTTCCAAAAACCTCTTACGGACCTTCTTGGGACGCCTCGAAGCTGACTCGAGTGCTTCTTGTCAAGCAGAACTCAAGATAAGCTCTGCTTTGAGCTCTCTTCCGTTCCGATTTTACTCTTTGAAATGCTTGGGATCAATCCGAGATACCGGAACTGGGCAGACTCTGGTTCTTGAGCGGATCCCAAGAGGAGTGATGCGGTGTTGCAGGATCGCTTCGCTATTCTATTCGATCATGGAAGAAACGACCATGCTGAATCTTTGGGCATCGGCGTTGCGTTACTCGCTTACTCCATTACTCGAGAGATTCTAGCGGTGGATCTGAAGCCATTTGTGCGACCACAGACCGAGAACGCTTCATCTCGGGCTGAAACGCGAAGACGTCAGGTTACCCCGAGTCACGTGAGATGAAGTCCGCCGTTTCTTGTCGCGGTCGGACCCGATCGGTCATGCCCGGCGGTTTACGTCACCGTACGTCAGTGGCTGTCTGACTGGGAACCGCTTAGGAGCTCAGGGGATCCAGGAGACAACGTGGACAGTCCGTCATCGTAGGAAACGCCAGGGGCTACGGTAGGGGGATGCAGGGGAATCTATCTTTGGAAGCTTCCACAGAAAGTTGTGCAAGTCGAAACGATCAGGGAAATATGTTTTGGGAGGGACCCCTGCCGCAGTCGGTCGTTTCGAGGCTGGCTAGGACCTAGGGGCAGAGGTTGCTGCGAGAGGCGAAAAGTTTGAACGACGGACGTGTTTCAGTGGTCGCAGGCAAAGGGAGGATGGCTGGCCGGGAAAGGGCCGGGGGAGGGGGAGGGAGAGCGGTCAAAGTCGGTGACTAGCGACCTTCTCAAAAAAGCGCGCCGTAGTAAACGTCATCCCTTCCATCCTCGTCGTCGGGTTGTCGTCATCATCCGTCATCATCATCACATTTTCTCATCCGGTCGTCCCCCTTAGTTGGGCGTTGGGCCGTTTTGCATTCCTTCCTCGTTATCATATCTCCCAACTCGGTGGTTCAGATGATCAATCAGCTCTGGTCCTATTGCCTCTTGTTCTATCGAATCAAGTGATACCCTTTGCAATCGTTGCTGCCATTTTGCTGTCTCTTGACACCCCCGACCTCACCTCACTCGAGACTCAGATACCTGGAAACTTATATACCACAAACCCCCGGCTGCGCAAGCCTTATCGCGGACACCCATCACCATCCCTTTCTCCTCCCCCTCCCTTCCTGAGCAAGACCTACCGCCACCATGCCTCTCAAAGACGCATTCAAGAGCATCAAGGCCAAACTCGGGTCCAACACCCCCTCAGGGTCCGAGACCCACGGCACTGCCTCCCCGGCAGGGTCGAGCTCTCACACCCCGGCTGGGTCTGGGAACGCTTCCCCAAGAGTCTCGGGGCAGCATGATAGAGTAGACAGCAGGAGATCGTCGTTGGCGAAAGAGAATACGAGGAGGGATTCCAAGCCGAAAAGCCCGGGACCGGTGGATAGCCTGATGACCAAGGCCAAATCGCTGAAATCCTCCGCCCCGGGTGGATCCCTCGCCAACCCGAACGCCAACCCCAACTCGAAGAACGGGAAATCCAACAACGGCCTGTCGAGGAACGCTACCAAGGTCCGAAGACGTAAAGCTCGGAAAGAACAACGCAAGAAGGAGGTGGCCGAACGGATGGAACGGGAGGGGTTGGGTGGGAAGAAGGGTAGGATGGCGGCGAGGGCCGAGGCGGGGAGCAAGTATAGAAACGAGACGTTTGGATTTTACCCGTTGATGAGGAGTGATCCCAAGCAGACCGAAAGTGGGTAGACGATGGTCTTGAGCTCTGGAGGCTACAGCTGACTCCCTGCGAATTTGTGCAGAATTCGAATACAAGGACATGGCCTCGTTGACGGAGGATGATATCGGGACAGAAGTAACGTTGAGGGCAAGGATCGATCATGTGCGACCGCAGAGTGAGTTTGGCGTTTTTTCCCCCTTGGCTGCCGTTTCTTGGTTGAGGAGGCGGTTGTGGGGATGATTATCAGAGGGAGATTCCGCGCAGGGTGTGTATCTGGCTTGAGCTAACATGCTGGTTCTTGTGGCTCGTCATGTTGAACAGGCTCCAAACTGGCCTTTATCGTCTTGAGGTATCAGATGGAGAGGATGTCGGCGGTCATCAGCTTGGACGAGAGCGAGAGGGGGCACACAAGTCACTCGAATGGAAACTCTGATAACAACGGTGCCACGGCCAATTGGATGGGGACGCAACCGACCGGAGGAAGTCGGCTCTTCGAGGAAGATCAGGTCGTCTTGATGCAGCAACCGCAATCGGCCGGGTTGGTCGAGGAGGAGACGTTCCATACGCCCCAGGGGGAATCGTTTGGAGGACAGGTCGGGCAGGCGCAAGGAGAGGCCGCTGGGGTGGTGGGCCTTGCACCGCCTTTGCCTGTTGCCGGATTGGTCTCTGCCGTCCAGGCCGCTCCTGCTCCTGTCGTTGCCGTCTCGCAGCAAGAACAGACCGAAGTCACGAGCTCGGTCCCAGTCTACCCTACGCCCACCGTTGGCGGACAGGATTACGCTGGCGAACACGCTGGACAAAGGAAAGACCTCGGCGAGACCGGGGTCGCTCAGCGGGATTCTCGACGAAAGTCGAGACACCCTGATGAACTCGCCTCGGTCGACTCGGACGATTCGAGTAGCGGTGATGAAGAGGATTCGACGGATTACGATACCGAGTATGATCACGATCACAAGGCGGGGGTGGTCACCGAGGAGTTTATCCGCTGGATCGAACACTTGCAGAAAGAGTCTTTGGTGCACATCACCGGGACGCTTCAGAGGCCGAACAATTCTACGGGAGAGATCAAAGAGGCCTCGCCGCATTTGAAGAAGATGGAGTTGAAGGTCAGCAAGTGTTTCGTCGTTGGGAGGGTGTTCGAGCACGCGCCGTTCCAGTTCAACGAGATCGAGGGGCACCACGTAGCCAACGAGGAGGAGAGGAAGACGGGTGCGCACTTGAAGAGGGACGAGGAAGAGTCGGGTCCGGGCAAGATTAGCGTGAGGCAAGAGTTGACAAACAGGACGTTTGACTTGAGGGTGAGTGCGAGCGAGATCCGATTATGATGAATGCCTTAAGGCTGTGGCGCTGACTTGATGCTATGATGTTGCAGGCCCCAACGAATCAAGCCATCTTCCGGATCAGAGCGTCCGTTTGCAAGATCTTTAGGGATCATCTGGATGACCGCGGGTTCGTCGAGATCCAGACGGCCAAGCTACAAGGTAGCGCTACCGAGGGTGGTGCGAGCGTCTTCAAGTTGGATTACTTTGGACGACCCGCTTATCTCGCTCAGAGTCCGCAATTGGTGAGTTGCGCCGCTCCGAAGTTGGAGGTGAGATCACAGAGAATCGAAGCTGATGCCAGCATCGTTTGTCATTCAACAGGCCAAACAACAGGCTATTATTGCCGATATGGGCCGGGTTTACGAGATTGGTTCTATCTGTGAGTTGTCGAAGAAGCGCTGTGAATGTAGCTCCTTTATCTGACCTTTACCTGCTATCAGTCCGAGCCGAGAACTCGCAAGACAAGCGACACATGACGGAATTCGTCGGTCTCGATTTGGAAATGGCAATCGACACCGACTACCACGAGTGCATGCATGTCATCGACACTCTGCTTAAGGCCATCTTCAAGGGCGTGCAGGAGCGAAACCGCAAGGAACTCGAGGTCGTCAAGCAGCGGTTCCCCCACACCGACCTTGTCATCCCGGACGAGACCGTCATCCTGCACTACAAGGACGGTGTTCAGTTGCTCCGAGACTCGGGTCACAAGCATGAAGACGGTTCCGAACTTGCCGATGACGAGGATTTCGATACGCCTACCGAGAAGCGACTGGGTGCGCTTGTCAAGGAAAAGTACAACACCGATTACTACATTCTAGACAAGTTCCCTACCGCCGTTAGGCCATTCTACACCATGCCCGACCCGACCGATCCTCGATACAGCAACTCGTTTGACATTTTCGTCCGTGGCCAGGAGATCTTGTCTGGGGGACAACGTATCCACGACTCGACCATGCTCGAGGGTAGGATGAAGGAGAGCGGTATGGATCCCGAGGTCTTAGGCGAATACACACACGCTTTCCGACTCGGTGCACCACCCCATGCAGGAGGCGGCGTTGGTGAGTCCAATCCTTAACAAAATCGATGTTGTGATTGGAACTGACCCGTCAAGGCATGCAGGTCTGGATAGATTGATCATGTTGATGCTCCAGCTCGGCAACATTCGATTCGCATCAATGTACCCACGCGACCCCAAGTCGTTCCCCGATAGTGGCAAGCCGCCACCCATGCCTCGACCCAAGATCGGTAGGCACGGAACATTGCCAACCTTGGAGGACCTTATCGCCGCCTATGGAGACTCGACCAACACGTCTTGGGTCGACCCGAGATACACGATCTGGCGACACCTAGAGACCGGAGCTGCCCTCGGTTACGTTCAGGCCAAGCACAACTACGGCGTGATCTGGGGACCTCCTCTATGTGCGCCCGAAGATACCGAGGACGTCATTCAGGCCTGGCTGGAACATTGCGATGAGATCAAGCTTAAACCCATCTGGTGCTGTCTGGACGAGCACTCGGCCGAGATCCTTGCCAAGCGATACCGATGGAAGGCGGTCAGCTGCATCGCCGAAACCCGGGTAGATCCCAAGCATTATAACGGCGCCCAAGACTCGAATGTTAGCAAGAAGATTCAGGGGGCCAAGAAGTCTGGGGTCAAGGTGACCGAATTGGAGGAGGCGCCTGGCGATGATCTGAAGAACGAGCTTGATCACCAAATCGCTGAATGGTCTTCTCACCGAGAAGGCACGCAGATGCACATCTCGGACGTCTCGGGTGACGCTCTCCTCCGGGACGCTGGGCACAAGCGATTCTTTGTCGCCAAAGACGAGCACAACAAGGTGAGTCGCGGGCTGCGCGTATAAGGCTTTTATCGTTTGTCCGACTGACGTTGTCGCTCCCAGCTCGTCGGAATCGTCGTCCTCGCTCGACTATCGCCCCAGCATGGAGAACAAATCAAATGGTCCCTGCAGTTCCCGGATGCGCCCAACGGGACTTCGGAGTACATGCTCTCGGAAGCCATGAAGTCGGCCTCGGAATCGGGTGTGACCAGTCTGACGTGAGTATCGTCGTAATCGCGACATGATACGAATGAGTTCGCCGAGCTCAACCGCTAAAATCGTATAACTCGGCAGTTTCGGAGCGTCTGCAGCCGAAAAGATCGTCCCGATGAAGGACCAGAAGAGCCTGAGCATCAAGGTCCTCGCCAGGGCTTACGAGGGCATCAAGTCTGCCGGAAACTTGGGCAACAAGACCAACTATAGACATAAGTGGGGCACGACGGATGAGCCACTCTATGTCGCTTACCCGAAGCACGGGCTCGGGACTCGAGGGTGAGTGCTAATCTGATGTGAATCCTCGAGGAGAAACAGGACCTGGTCGCTGAGTTTTGTACATCATTTGGAACTCGATAGTATCCAAGCGATCATGGAGACCATCACCGATGAGCATGAGAAGAAGACGGACCACGCTCACGATCAGCGAAACCAGAGGAGGGTCGATGAGAGCGAAGTATGATGCTTTAGTTCTTTTTCCTATCCCGCCCGAAACCCTTCCAATTTATAATCAACCATACACCAGACGCACGCGCGTTCAATTTCTTGTTCAGTTTCCCAATGTATCACTTTATTGTCAGTCGCACACAGCTATAATAATACACACAGACAGCACAGAGAGCAAACGGCAGTATCTATCGATCCCTTGTGACGCCGACGGGTAGCCGTTCCGTTACAGGCTGACACCATGCGCTAGCGGGTGACCGCGGTACTTGCAATCGTATATGAGGACAAGGGCCAAACGGCCTGTATTGCCCGATGGGGGAAAACTGACTGCTCATGATTGCTTCAGCTCTGGACCCACCGGATAGCTGATAAGTGGAAGTTGGATCTGCTAAAATCGTTTGTCTGGCGAAAGCTTTGATCACCACCAAGACGAGAGAGATACATGATCCCAGTAGGTAAAACTGGTCTGGCTGTAGCTAGCAACAGGTCTATGCTGAAGACATACGAAACGGTCTCTCGATCAAAACAAGGTCATTCTTCTCCATACCAGCACATCAGAATCGGCAACCGCCGAAGTTACCACATACAGTGCGCGAAGTCTGCTATGCAGTCATCAAACCAACTTCAATAAAGTCTATTCGATATTGCCTTTCCCGCTCTTTTCAATCTCGTTTTTCCTCCTCTTTGCGTCTCTTATCCTCCGGCGTATTTTGGACATGTTGTTCCGGACTTGACATCGGTAGCATTTCGCCACTGTGTCCCAGTTCACCTCTTGGTCGTGGCGTGTGCTTAGGTGGATGTGGATGGCCGTGCAATAATGATTCTTCCAGCCTTTCGAGCGGTTACATCTTCTGTAATGTATTTTGAGTTCGTTCTTCTTGCAAACCACATGGCCGCTCGTTTCCCCCTTGCCGATCACACACTGTATATCTCCCCAGATCTGCATGTCATGCTCGTCCCCTTCTGTGATCTCCATCTCTTTATACCAAGTTTTCAGCCTTTTTTTGGTACGTGTGTCGACATCTTTCCACAGAGCACGACATGGCCTTGAAGTGACCATATTAGACTGAGATGGATCTGATATTGCTGGAACAGGTGTACTCGGAACGATCCTAGACTGTGGTATCTCGTCATCGTGCAGAGGATGACTTCTCGAGTCTGATGACTGCGTTCTTCCGGCCTCAACTGTGTCGTTGTAGACGACAAGGGATTGATCGCCGACTGTCTGTAGCCAGCTCAATTGTTGTTGTAAGCTCGCTTGCTGCCAGCTCGTCGGTTGCCAATGCATGTGGTACCAGTACATTTGTTGCCAGCTGTCAAAAGACATTGATTGTCCACCATCGAGATTGCTAGGCCAAAGTTGCCCATCAGGTTGGTAAGCAGTCACGTTGAGCGAGGCCGTCTGTGGATGGGACAATTCGAACGAATTCTCATCGTACCCGCATATTCCAGCGGTCTCTGAAGGTACCCATCCAAAATCGTACCGATGCTCTGGAGCTGTCCAAACAGTCGTGTCATGATATGTTGGCTTCTGAGGGGGCCGATGATTGTACTGGTGACCGCCATGGCTGTAGTCGGACATGCTGCTTAGTTCAAAGTATGAAGTATGAGTAGTACAGGTAGAAGACTGATACCAAAGCATTATGGGTATTGTGACCTGGAGTCGAGGCAAGAGCTCTCTTTATATCTCTCCCACACGCCGAGCGCTCCGCGAAGCGGAAAGAAGGCGTATTCCTTTCATTTGCCACCGTAGTCAGCAGACCCGCTGGATGGAATTTCAACAGGATGGCCCCGCAGGTTTGACGAATAGGTTCGACGAATCGTCTCTCCAATTTCTCTGCTGAGTCGTAGGATCACAGATTGATGTTGTGTGATTTGCCATCTACCCTATTATCATGAACGCGCTGCAGTCTTCTACTTAGGGAACTGTACGTAATTTCTCATTGCTGAACATCTAGCTAACGCTTCAACGACCGTAGGAAGTGATAATAACAATTTCTATAGTTTGACTAAAGCTTGCGACATGATTGTCTAAAAGGAGAACAAAACAGTCTACCGAGTAGAATCAATTCTCATGTACAAGTACCCATGGCTTTTTCTCATGGCAGACTAACCCCATACAGCACACCTAATCTGCTAGTGTTCCCAAGCGATATCATCCCATCCTGACGCTATCTCCCTTTGATCAATCTCCCGAACCTTCCCGCTCGTGTTGTGCTCTTTTCCTTTCCTTCTCGATGGCACGAGTGACGCCTATGCTCGTCCGCTTAGTACACTTGGAGCATGGTGCCTCGTTAAGCCAATCTTCTACCTGAGGACTATCGCTTAACGCGACAAGGACTGCCCCGCACTTCTTGCCAAACTTCATTTCACCCCCGCAGATCTTGTAGTGGATCTTTGTGTTGTCCGGGTGTTTTGGATCAACACAGCCAATTTCTCCGCTAGCAATGACGACTCGCATGTTCTGCCGGAACTGCAGATCATCCGGCTGACCCACTTTAATACCCCCTTTTCGGTACCATTACCGCAGTCTGGGCCATGATTTCTCACACATGTCTCCCTTGCCTACCATATCCGGACTCGTAGTTGGCTTAGGTGCGATCGCGACGAATCGATTCCCGTCGGATCCAGGGGATTGTTGCGGTGTTCCACCCACATCCTGATGATTGCCAACCCTTGATTGAACGTACTGCGAGGCAACTGATTTATCAGAGAAGAAGTCGAAGGCGGTGGTCTGTGAATCCCAGCCATTCTGCGACCCTGATTGCGGATCAGAATCGATTGGATGGAATGCACTGACGGACGGGTGAACAGTAGTCCTAGGGGGATTCATGGATGAGTCAGAAATCCCCGGTGGAGCCATGTCTGAGTCAGAATATCCGTATCCGTATCCATACGGGACTTCAGAGAATGCCAAAGTACTGTAGGGTGGATAGATCTGTGCAGACATATGCGGATACTCTGGAAAAGTTTCGGCGCTCAAGTTGGTGGGATCCGGATACTGGAATCCTTCTGGATACTGGGAGTCCTCCTGAGACTTGTCATAATATTGACCGTTGCTGAAGTTCTCCATTTCGGTATTTGCAAGACTGAGGGGCGTGTATTGGATGGTTAACATAAGAGCGGAGGCAAAATTGGCCTGCAAATCCTGAAGGTAAGGTTAGGACTATCATGTGCATTTGTCTCTCAGGATAGACTGCACATGGACAGAGACTTCATTAACTTGCCCATCCTTTCATGGATGTCGCGAACAGCAAACACGTAACAATGACTTTATGAGTACGAAGCGGGGTTACAGCTGCGAGAGCGTGTGATGTATACTCCTCTGTCTTTTAGACAGCATTGCATCATGTTGATGCAGAAGCTGGTCATCACCACTGGCGCAATATTCAAGACGCCGTAGGAATAGCCCGCCTTCCCAACTGCATTGCACAGAAACCTTAGCGCTAGATAAGGGTCTCATCAGTGACAGTCATAGCTATTTGCCTTAGTATTTATCGGGGATATCCTCTCAGTAAGTGTACCCAAATGTTATCAAACTGAACGGCGAAATACTAACCAGCTGAACTTAACTAACAACCGCGAGCCTGGTAGAAGGTACCAAGGCTGTATAGACGCTGACATCGTGCAATTCACGCGTAGGCAAATCCCATGGGTCTATATCGCAAGCAGATAAAGTCATAGATCCCCGTTTGCCGCTGCATGCGCCTATTTGCTACGTGCTAGACGACCTTGTCCGTGCTCATCGCAAGAAGCAAGCGACGACGAGCCGGTGAGATAAATTTGATACAGCTACGCTCTCCCCTGTCAAGAAACTTAACAAGGAGCCCCGCAGAAAGATCATCGATGACTTGCCTGTAGGCTTCTGCGTAGATTTGGCTGCACAGAAGGTGTAGTGTAGCATTTTGTTGATATCGAACTGATCTGAGGAAATGGCAGCTTTCACCTTGTCATGAGACTAGGTTTGCAGGAATTGCAGGGCGCGCTTGTCATTCGATCGATCGAAGCGCGGAAATAGCCGGTTCGTCTGGATGTGAAACATCAAAAAAGGCGTATTCGACATCGACCTTGTGACACCCAACGCGGTCGGTCACAGACACCCAGGATGGCCTCAAAGTTTTGAACTAAGAACCTTCATGTATACTATGCCAGTCATTCAGCGGCGGAAACCTTTGTCGATGTCGATGTCATAGTCGACCTTCCGGTTATTCGAGAGAACTACTAGCACTTATGCCTAGGGCCGGCGCGATTGTCACAACCGGAAAGGATGACGAGTGCAATCTCGAACTGGCAAAGAGTATATAAAAGGTCAACAACTCACCTACCTAGACATCGACGATCTCGCTATCGTAGCCATTTAGAGAGCTCATAGTCAGGATCGAAGGGCTCTCGCCAGGTTATATCGGGTCTCCTAAAGACTGGTGTCCAAAAGCCTAGCCTGATAATCACATAGGGACTACCGTCCTTTCCACGAAGCACAGCATGTCCGATCCTTCCAAATCTTCCAGCCTTCTCGGCTACCTTACCCCACCTACCGACTCTCTCACCAATAACTCCGCACCCAATGCCTGGCCAGCTCACCTAGATCGACTCGCCGTCACCCTGATCTACATCATACTCCTTCTCGTTGTCCTCCCTCCTACGGTGATCATCTCGGTCACTCGGTATTATGCGTTCGGACCGATGCACAAGGATTGGGATCTCAAAACTCAGGTGATGAGCAACGTCATGTACTGGTTCATCCTCTTTCTCTTCCTGTTCAAACTCCCAGGGAAAGATAGGGGGGAAGACAAGGTGGCCAAGACGATGAGGAGGAAGAAGATGGAAGTCGAACAAGTGGTCGTACCGCCTTGCGATCAATCGTATGTGGTCGGATGGGCGAAACATCAGATGGTCAAACCTATGCCTAGGCCGGGGTTCATGATTTGGCCTACGAACAAGGCTAGTTCCGGGTCCGCGGAAGCCAGGGGGACAGGTCTGGAGAGGGCGAAAAAGGGGGAAAAGGTCATCCTGTACTTCGTAGGAGGAGGGTTTATCAGTGGACATCCGCTGTTGAGCCATCTGGCTTGGACGGTCAGCGAGTTGCTGGACACTCGGATCTTCTGTGAGTGCACCATCGTCGTCTTCGTTGTCATCGCCCCACCCTGATCAGACGATTGACTCGACAATCTCCTGTTCATTGCAATTCAGGCGTCAACTACCGTAAATCCATTCAACCCGATGCAGCATTCCCCGGAAACCTCCTAGACGCGCTCTCCGGGTACCTATACCTCGTCAACGAGCTAGGTTTCGAGCCGGACAAGGTGGTAGTCATGGGGGATAGCGCAGGAGGGAATACGGCTTTGGGCCTGGCTAGGTATCTGGGCGAGCTGCAGAAACAGCAAGGGGAGAGTGGGAGGAAGGAGGTGGGGATGGTAGGAGGGTTGATCTTGTTCTCGGTAAGTCGGGCGGATTAACCGGGGGAGAGGCTAGGTTATGAGGACGGAGGGGTGGACTTGATACTGATTCGAACGGGTGTGTGGGGTTAGCCTTGGTGTGATATGACCGAACAACCTGGGACGTCGGCCGAGTTCAACAAGAAATACGTGAGTTCCCCCATCCTCGCTGTACTCTAGGTTAGCAGCTATAAAAGATGACTTGTCTGACTGACGATTCTCTCCAATGGATACCAATCTTGCGGGTTTTCGTGAACACAGGACTACGTCTCCAGCATGGGCTTCAACGCCATCGCCGCTCACACTCGACACTATCCGAACCATCTACGTTCTCCTTACTTTTCGCCGGCCTTGCCTTCTCCTGACGGTTCGCCCCGGTTCTCTCACCTGACCCAAGGTCAAGGCAAGACTGACAAAGGCAGTGTGAATGGAGAGCAGAAGAAGGGGACAAAAGTCTACGTACAGGCGGGCACGGCAGAATTGTTATGGGATCAGGCGAAGATGTTGTGTCGGGGGATGAGGGAGGAAGGGGTAGACGTGACTTTGCGAGAGGTGAGGCGCTGTGATTTCGTGTCCGCTTTCCTACTTGTTCTGGACGAGATGGCAACATCGCATGCTAACCCGACGCAACTTCATTTACATTGTCTCCAACTTCCAAACCAATCGTGCTCTGGGCGATCGTTTGCGATTACGGGACACGTTCTATAGGTTCCCGGGGATATCCACGTGGGGATCCTGTTCAACCTGGCCAAACCGCTCAAGGCGACCCGGGAGGACCTGCCCGAGTTCTGGAACGGTCTCGATTAGGATCGACAGTGGTTCTCATTTCCCCCCGATGACTTCGTTTGTAGCTTGCATAGTCTGGTCCCTGGTCGTGTGCGTGTCGTTTGTCATGAACGATGATGATGATGTCTCGAGGAGGAACTGGTGGTCGTGATTCCGAGTCTCGGAAGAGATGGAATTGCCGCCGAAGCTGCTGTCGACCAAAAGACGTCATGAGATTTCCTCGAGGTAGACCGAGAGCGAGGTCCTCGATGGCGAGGGCGATGGTCATGGCGATCACATATAACAGCAACTGTTCACTGCTTCAGGAGGTAGCTAAGACGTCTACCTAGCCACCCATCATAATCCCAGACCTCTACCTCGAACACACGATCCGATATGGCTCCTCGCAACATTACACCCAAGGACACCGTCGTCACGTAAGCACGCCAGATCCACAGAACGTATTCAAGGTACACAACTCACAAGGCACTGACTCTTCTCTTCTTTCCTGCTGGAACCGTGGTAATTGCGACTGCTGTAGCGTCTCGTCGACGTTTGACAAATCTTCGAACAAGAAGAACCTGCTGGATGGGAACGAAGAGACTTGTTGGTCATCTCAACAGGTACGGACCGATATCTGTCCCTGGTCGTGTGACCCCCTGCTAATTGGGTTGACTGCTGATACTGCATTTGACAATCACAACCATCTACACCTCAATTTTAGGGCCTCCCTCAATCGATCTCCCTCAAAGTCTCTAAACTCACTCCTATCACCCATATCGCCCTGACCTTTCAAGGCGGGTTTTCAGGGACGACATGTTCCGTCTACCTAGCTTCCGATCGACCGGGAAAGGCATCAGAGGGGGTGGATCTGGGGTTGATCTTCGGAGGCAAGATCTATCCGAAGGATTCTAATGGGGTGCGTCGCTGTATTCCGGAGGTCGGGGCGGGATCAAGGCTGATTCGTTTGTTCTGGGTTATTATCATTTGTTATCTTACAGCGACAAGTCTTCACGTAAGCACCTCCTTCTCCTCGTCCTCAGCGTCCCCAGCTCAATTGAACTTCTCGACTCCTCTTGCTCCTTCTAGCCTGCCAATCCCTGAAGCCCTCCCGGACACGTTCCACGAGAACGGTATCCACATCGACTCCGAGACCAACCAGACGACCGCAGAGAAAGATTGGATCAAGGAGGTAAAGCTCGAATTCGAAAAGAGCGCGGATCCTTGGGGCAGGATCGTCGTCTACGGGGTAGAGCTCTTGTCGGATTACACGGGAGAGTTCTGAAAAGGGCAAAAGAAGGGGGATGTTTTGTAATTTTCAGTTGAAGGGTCCGGACATATGCATAATGACGAGACGGAGTGGAGTGATGGGGTATGAGTCTATCTACACAACCGGGAAAGATGCTAAAAAAGGGAACGAAATATGCAGACAGAGCCCGGAATTAATGAAGACCATGCTAGTAATGCTGAAGGTTTTTGTGTTGTTGCAGATGCCCCAGAAATTCGTCTTCCGAGCTCGCAGTCGCAAAGCTGACTGGGTAGTCGATGACGGCCTTCTAGGTCGTAGGTGTCGGGTGCGATGTCGAGTGCAAGCCTCAAAGCATGAAAGGATGACCGTGAAAGAGGCAGGTCCGTATTCCCGTCGCAAGAAGCAGCAGGAGGTGTTCCGACCCAGCAAGCAAAGGCGTTTCCTAGCCTGATCTCGCCTAAGCAGGGCAAAACAGGATGGACGAGCGCCACCCTCAGCAAGATCGCTCATCACGCCCGCCCTAGCTGCTGCCGGCGCCTGTCCGGTCATGAAAGCCCGAATTTCGAATCCGGACGTTGGACGATACCCTGCTCAAGCGTAGAGGGTTGACGGATGACCACGATGGCGCTTCTTGCTCGCTCGTAAAAAGACGGGCTCCGGTGGCCAGCGTCTCGTCTATCCAAGCGTCTAGTCTCGGCGCCAACGTTGACCACCGAAAAGCGGGCCCGGTACGAGAAGGCCCATGGTGTACGTCCTGGAGATCGATGTCAATCTGACGATCCAAGCTTTGTTTTTGTTTTGCTGTGGTGATAATGGTTGGTTCGTATTGAATGACAGTACGTGGAAGAGGTAAATCGTCCTGATCGATGCGAATACGATGCGATGCGAGGTGTGGCCAGATGCAATGTGATGCGATGCAATGGAATCCGAAAGAGAGGCGAGGTGTGGTGATGCGATTCGATGCGTTGGGATGTTTCGGGTCGTAGTGCAAGGCGAGATGTGCTGAAGAGAGCAGTGGTAATCCAAAAGGAGTAGAAGGTTCCAGCTGAAGTTCATGGGATGTTTTTATCCAAGGTGTCGTGCTGGATTTCCGGTTTCGGCGCGGTTATGGTCGAGAGTTATGATGTTCTCTCCGTGTCATGGATTGTGAAGCCGGATCGATGTCGCTGGCAAGTACTCGACGCCCTCGAGACTGTCCAGAGGACCCAATCGGAGGTCGGAAGGTTATCGTCTGATCCTGTTCGGTTCACGACCAGAACTTCTCCTCGTCATAATCCAGATCCTACACCAGAACCGAACCGAATACCCGGACCAAGCTCGGCTCTGGCCTAGACACTCCACCCCTCGCCTGATCCTGATCCTGGTTTAATCCTCCTCCATGAACAACGCTCGACCTCCTCTCGACCTCCCTCGTTCGTTAAGCATGACGACCACGTCCACCTTCTTCCCCCTACCCTCTATTCTCCCGTCCTTGTTTTCCAGCTTCATCGACTTCGAGTTCGAGCCTTGAGCAGACCCGCCCTCGTCCCCATCCTGGTTGACCACCTTGTGAAACCCACCCTCGATCGGACGGACTGGGCAGGGGAAGGCGACGATCAATACGGATCCTAGGAAGGTCGCTGTGAAGAGCGTTTGGAGGAAGGAGCGGTGCGAGGGGTTGAAGTATGTTTTGAGGAGGGGTGGCATGGCGGCAAAAAGGGGACGAGGGTGGAAAATGTGCTGGACTGATCGAGGTCAGTCGTGGAGAGGTGTGGGCGAGTGGGATGAAGAGAGGGTAAAAGTGATCGTCTAGATATCTATCGATCTATGATTTTTTGAGAACACCCGATGCGCTGTTTTCGCTAAAGAATCGGTATGAGCGCGTCGATCGTCGTCTCGCCGTGAGTTTGACGCTGGGCCGACTCACCTTGGGATCCAGCTTGTGCAGGTTCAGTTCGCCGTCTTTGCTGACCGATTCAAGGGTTGGTGTATAGTGTACAATAACGAACTTGATGGTCACTCAAATAGTAGCAGTAACCAAGAGATTTCTGTGAGTGAATTGTGAATTGTCTGATAGGACGGACGGACGATCTCGGAAAGTGGCGGAAACAAGCGGACATCGAGTGATTAGCAAATGGGGAAGGGAAATGTGCTGATGTCCGTTCTCACGAGTAGCAAGCTACTAACGAGTGATATGCTACCCCGGATCACATCGATGCAGGACACCGTCGACTAGATCTCAGCTCTGTTCTGGGAATAGCATCTCGCATCTCGTCATCTCAAAGTGCTCACTCACCGAGTCATCCGGGACCGAACAGGGCGAAAAGGGCGATCGCATGCCGAGTGCGAGTCGTAAGCTTGCTGGGGGGTCTATCATCGTTTCGGACATCTCCGTCGATCTTGCGACATCCAAGGTAGCACGAGGTTCATCTGATGGTATCCTCGTGTCCTGTGTACTATATAGCTATATATGGAGAAAGTACCGATTCACTTATGAATTACAACCGATGACCTGGAAACTTTTGCTTCATACTTCATATCTCATATTCCTTCGGTCCAGGCTTCGATCATAAAAAAGCGATAACTTCACCGCCATGAAGATCTCAAACAGATTCTACCTAGCGTTATCTGCGCTGAACACGGCAAAGCTGATAACATGCACCCCGGTCACCCAATTGCCACTCAAGCTCGATAACAATGATCATAGGTTCAACCTCGACTCTGACATGCCTTCGCACAAACCAGCCCATCCTAGGCTCCTCGACCCAGCCCTCATCCGAGCCCTGACCGCCCCAGACGCAGACATCGAATTCGACGTCGTCGGGCTGTTGAAAGAGCTCGACCCGTCCATCGCTGAAGAGCTGGACGAACCCAGGTTCATCTGGGTCTTTGATGGGAGTGAAGATCAAGATGGAAACGGAGTTGAAGGCGAGGGTGGAAGGTGGATGACGGAGGGGGACAAGGTGGTCCTAAGGAGACAAGGGAAGAAGTTTGTCGATCTGACTGGGAGGGAGGGGAGATGGTCCGGAGATAAGTCCGGGTCGGGATCTGAGGAGTTGAAGAGCAAGAACCAGAGTGAGTCATAAGGGAAAGCTACTTTATCCAGAACCTACTTAACTCTGTTCGGCGAATCTCACCTCCGTTCACCTCCGCTTGGGGGAATTCAACTCTTGTCTTTCGCACCGATCAGCATGGCCGACGATCTCGCACCAACCTCTCGTCCGCTCAATCTTCCCCCATATGACCACCCACTCGATGTACGACGCCTTGAAGACGTTTTCGGGCTTTTATAGCCGATATTATAGGAGTGAAGATGGGAGGAAGAGTCAGGAGTGGTTGTTCAGGGAGATCCTCAAGGTGAGCGCATGTGTCTTGCATACGGCTCGAAGAGGTTATAGTACCCTCGGGAGGTCTTGCGTTGCAGGAGAATGCTCGGCTGACACAACGTATCGATTGCAACTTCCGGGATACTCGTGGACAGATCGTAGCGAACGCTCCAGACGGCATGCTCCTCTCTGTCGAGACGATCCCGCACGCCTACCTCCAATCGAGCCTGATCGCCCGTTTCTCTCCCGCTCAACCTCGTCTCCCTCCTTCGACGCCTCAACAACCGCGCAATACCTCTGACATCCCGCACGCTCATCCTCATACGGTCGTCGTCGGCGCTCATCAAGATTCCGCCAACTACCTCTTCCCGCTCCTTCCAGCTCCTGGCGCGGACGATGATGGTAGCGGGTCGATCACCATTTTGGAAGCGTTCAGGGGGTTGGTGGAGATGGGTTTCAAGCCGAAGGACAAGGTCGTAGAGTTTCATTGGTATGCGGCGGAAGAGGCTGGGTTGTTGGGTAGTTTGGATGTGGTGGATGTCATGGTCGGGAGGAACGTCACTGTGGACGCCATGCTAGAGTTTGTGAGTAACACCCCGGAAAACCTGACATTGGAATTTCCGTAAACCAGCCTGGTCGTACTTACATACGTCGATTCTCACTGCAGGACATGACGGCGTTCGTCAAGCAAGGTTCGAACGCTACGATCAATATTATTAGCACCGAAGCGGATCCGAGCCTCTCGGATTGGATCATCGAGGTCGCCGAGGAGTACTGTGACATTCCCGTCAAGCGCAGCGAACTGTTCAAGGGAGCCGGTGAGTAGAGAATCATCTCAAAGTCGTTGTGGAGGGAGTAGAGCTGATTGTCTGGAATCGCGATTGTTTAACGCCAACCCGCAGGCTCGGATTACATGTCCTTCTCCCGAGCTGGCTTCCCTGCGGCGTTTGCGACCGAAGCGGACCCTATGGCAGGGCTGTTCGACCCGTTCGTGCATACCGTCGCCGATCGGATGGATCTGTCTACAGGAGAATTCAGCTTTGAGGTGGGGTTTCAAAAGGCATCGAAGCGCAATGTATAATGAATGGGCTGGGAGGGAGTAGCTGATCCCGGTTATTTTCCTTTGTAGCATATGCTCCAATTCGCCAAGTTGACGGTAGGGTTCGTCGTCGAGCAAGCGGGATGGAATGAGGATTAGCTTTTACTGTATGAGCCGTGAGTCGCGCCATTCAAGTTGCGCATTATGTTGTGGGGTGTGATGAGACAACCGAGCCCAGCAGAGACCGGCAGTATGTGTCTTGTCATCATGGGCCTTGTAGATCAGGCGTGCGCAATGGTAACATCACCGGAAAAAAATCCGTCTGAATACTTTCTACATGCAAGAACCAACCAAGAAGACAACATCTCGACAAAGGTCTTGGGACTGTTGCAATCCAGTCAGATCAGACGTGTGCGGGAAAAGCAGGGCTCCATCAATGAAATCCATTGGCAAATTGATATCTTTGAGGTCACGGCCGGCCGCTACTTGGAGGACCAATGGAAGCTCGTTGTCCTAACCGATGTCTCTCGTCTTCTACGACTATTTCCGGGCTGCACCCTGCTCCGGAACTAACGTAGAGTCCTTCCTGCATCTTTGCTCCAAGCAGGTCCAGACAAGGGAACGACATGCAGCAGGCCGGCAATAAGAGCAATGTGTTCAAGGGTTCAAAGTGGGTTGGCCGCGGGGGGGATGGTGATCAAGGTCATACAGTAGGTCCACATGATGAGTAGGGAGTAGGTGAGCAGTCGAGAGGTTTCTTTAGTGGCGGCCTGTTCTGGCGTGCCGGAAGTATATCCATCGATGTTTCGGAAGTAAATCTTACTTTTCGGTGATATCCGAAGCCGAAGGAGGTGATCGATCGAGGAATGACAGACAGAGCTTCGTAGCCAAAAGGTCTCGAGGAGGTTGTGGGTCGAGGAATCCTCGAAGATGCGTCATACATCGCCACCACCATGATCCTCTTGAGAAATCCAGGCCGATCTCGAACATGTCTGTTCTCACTCCGCTCGTATCGACCTGTCGTGGTCGGTCGTGTAATCACCTCGCCGATCTCGACAACAACATCGACCTCGATCGAGGATCCTCATACGGTACCTACCATTGACCCGCTCGACTCCCATATCCTCGCATCTCTTCGGCATATACTCTCACTCCCACTTCTACCTCGGGATGTATCTCGACTACGACATACGCCTACGATCACGAGCTTGTATGAGATGTACGACCAGTACCGCTCGAACGCGCACAGGATACTGGAGGATTTCGTGCTTGTCACTGAGGAACACCCGAGAGGAGATCGTCGTGCGGTTGCAATATCAAGCTCCGATCCAGGATCCGTAGACGGATTGCCGAAACCCGGGACGAACTCTGAGGAAGGCGATGGAACCGTCCTCGTCGTTCATGCTATGCTCAAGCGACATAGCGATAGAACCAGCGGGATAGAGGATCTCCAGATTGACAAGATGTCGGTCTGTTCCGGGTTCGTCTTGAACGTAAGACCTAGCTTAGTGGGAATCGATAACAACAGCGAGGCTAAGGCCATCAACCGTGAGGAAGACGGTAGAGCCGAGGTAGAGAGAGGAGAAGGAGCGTTCGTGATGACCTGTGCTCATACGCTCGAAGAGGTACGTCTCTCGCTTTCCTCTTGCTCTGAGGGGTTTCCAGTCTCATGGAAACTTCAGATTGGTTGCATTGAACTGTCGCTCATTCTATTCTATCCTGCTTTTACGATAGATGTATAGACACCTTCCGCACCCCCACCCGCCATCTGCTCGAACTCCAACTCCGGAATCGAATACCAGTCTCGAGACTGAACGTCCGATATCGATGTCTTTCATCCTCACATCTTCTGGTCTCTCAATTCCGCTGGAATCATGTCTATCGAGTATCCCTCGGTCGGACCTCGCCCTCTTCCGAGCTCGCCACACATCAAATAAGCCAGAGAAACGACTGAGATTAAAAAGCCTACCGATCACCCCCTACCCAGTCCCGATCGGTCAACAAATCGGAGTTCACCTCTTCAGCGGGTTAGATGACGGGGAACCTGTTGTCAAGCTGAATAAGCGACATTCTCTTGTCGAGGGAGGTGGGAGCGATAGGGATCGGGTGCAGAGGACGTCTTCGTGGATAGGAGGAAGAGCGTATAAGCGGTGGGGTGTAGGGGAGATGCTTGGGTATAGGTCTTATACTGGGCAGGAGGTCGAGGTGAGTTTTCTTTCTACTTCACAAGTCTTTCCTGGGTTGTAGCCTGCTTGCTTCGAATACGATTGGATGTCGAAGCTCGTCGTTGTTCTGCTCATGCAACCGTAACTGAGACCCCACTTCCCCCCAAACTTCAGGCCGGCTCTTCGCATACCCTCCCGCACCTCCAAGTATCCCCCCTCCCGACCCCCGGCTCATCAGGTGGCCCGATCATTAGGCTGGATACGGGCACGGTCGTCGGTCTCGTATCCGGTCGAAGGTCAGATAATCGCGTGGAAGGCGAACGAGGATGGGGAGCGGCCGCTGAAGGGATCTTTGAGGTGAGTTCGGGGGGTAACTTGGGAAGGCCCGAAGAGATTTGAGCGTCGAGCGGGAGCGAGTGGAGTCTATGCGAGCTGATACGTTGCGAGGGTTGTTCACTTTAGATCTTTGGATTGCCGGGGTTTGTGCCTGCCAGTAAACGCAAGTAGATGGTTTGATCAAGATCGACACAGCGATCAGGAGTTTGCATCAGCCGCAAAGAGGAAGGAGCATTCTCGATGATGTCGTCAATTTTGGCGTATGGCATGCCGGCATTTGCATTCAACATTTGCTTTTCCGTCAACTTTGCGCAACTCGAGGTATGAATCTTTCGCTGTGTGGTCGAAGAAGGAACGCCAATACCTTGTCAGTGAAACACTGAGCTTGTGATTCTGCACACGGGTGAACTCACCTGAAACGCATCATATTCCTCTTTTTGTTCCAAAGTTCCCACATCTCGGCGAACAAGTCCCACAATCTGGCCTTCGTCCCCGTCACCATGTCTGCGCAGCACGTCATACTTGTCAGGGTGATTTGACACGATTGGCAACCCTCAAGCGTCCACCAGGCTGACTGGATAAAGCAGCCTTTGCAATTCTACGTTTGCCGCTGCTTAGTGTGATTCAGGTTGTAGAATCGGTATACCAACACATGCACTACGTTGTGCATCTACCGCGCAGAGAACCATAGTTCGCAACATACTTTGACAAGACTCAATACAAAGTTCCTTTTACTTCGACACAGGTCTATACGTAATACTCGACGGTACGTCCGAGGATATTTTCGCGAACAAGGCCGCTTCCAGTCGGATTCTTCTTCTCGTCATCTATCGCAAAGCCCCCACAAACGAATCGAGATAACATCAGCAAACGGCGACAGCCTGGTCCTACCGAATCATCAGATTCTCACACTGTTCCTTCCCGGTCCTTCGGATCCTCTCTTCAAGCCACTCCCCCTGAGTCGGCGCTGGCTCACCGCTGTCAATCCTGCTTTGAAAAGCGTGCTTGCCCTCCCGCTTGACGACTGGCGATTCCCAGATAGGATCCAAACGGACGTCCAATTTGGCTCTTGCGAAATGGATGAGGACATAACGAACCAGACCTGCTTGGTCGTCTGGGGGGCGGATGACCCGGTGGCGCGTGGCTTTCAGGACGCCGCCGGACAGGACTATCGATGAATGGTTTCAAGTCAGGTAGTGTTCTACGCCGGGTGGCTTTTGTTGCATAAACTTACACTCCAGGGCGTCCGCTACATTCACGACGGCACCTCCAGGAACGTGTTTGACCCACTTCCAATCGTTTTCAGGGGTCAAGATCTGAAGCGCGGTGACGGGCTGCGAAAATAGCAGAGAGACAGTGTTGTCTACCATGGCCGAAGTCAGCGAGACGGAAGTAGTAGTATATCGTTGGAAGCAAGGCTTACAGTCCGTATGACCCTTCGACCAGATCCCAGAAGTCGCTTCCTCCTCCGCCTTGTCCCGAGGTGTATACCTCATATACCGCTGACAGGCCGCTCCAATAGGCGAGCGGTGATCGTGCAACTTCCACAGCGCGTCGGGCTCGAGCTCAAGGGTCAGCGAGATGAGCGTCAAGATCCGGCGGATAATATGGTGGTATGTGTATTTTGCGAAGGCTTCGATTTCGGGTATGAAGGGGGCGGTAGTCTCGGGATGTTGAGAGGCGGTATGAGCGAAAGACTCGCTCTCGAAGTTGTAATGCTGGTAGTCACGCAAATGGTGAGTATGCCTTTGGCATGTGGATTTAGCGGTTCCGATCGACAGACCTCGATATTATCAGGGACTCCGCCTTCCTTGTTCCAGATTCCTTGAAGTTTATACCCTCGGTAAGATCCCGCCGACATCTTGGCCGTGAATCGTTCTTTGACTTCTCGCGGCGTCCCAGTGGTTAAATGCTGCGCTATGGCAAGCTGACGAGCGATGGTAGCCGGAGAGACACCTAGACCGGTGACAAGCATGAATCCGTCCACGCTCAAGGCCTTCTTTGTCTGTTTGAGGAGAGTAGCTCGGACGTCAGGGTCTTGCGAGTCCAGTAGGGTCAGATCGATCGTCTCCAATTCTGCCCAGTCAGCTTGTCATACAAGCGCGAATGCGTCATGTCAGCATGCAGTCCGTGAGCAGGATCGGGCATTCAAATACTTACAAACCGATTTGGTGGTTTCGGGCTCGACCCACGGGGAGAGATTCGGTCGCTCAAATAATTGCCGCGGTTCTCGAGCGTCTTGAGTTCGATTAGACAGTTCCGCAGGGGCGTGTTGTACGTCGACCATCTTGCTATGTTGACGAACTGCGCCTACTTTGTCAAAATTCTTCTGCAATGGAACTTGGATTCGTAGATGAGGTCAAGGTAAGCACTCCTCTTATAACAGCCTGCATTGGGGGACGTTGTGGCGTTAGCGGCTCAGCATATGAACAGCCTCGGCGTTGGCGATCACGCCATTCTGACCGATAAGAGATTCGGTGAAATCTCAGCCAAGAAGCTCGGAAAGTGACGTGCTTCGGCATCGGCGACCTGGTACGATGGGACATCGAAACCACACCTTTGCAATGTCTGTTACAGATCTGTAGAAGAGAGTTCACGTTCGCCTTGATCATAGACCGACGGTATGGCCTGCTGATGCGGCGCACAAGGTTTCACCTTCTCCGATGGCGTGACCGCGCGCTAAAGGGGAAGCAACGTGATCTCGTCAACTTGCCTCATGTCGCCATCCGTTGCTACCACTTGATTTCTGGTTGAAGACCGAGCTTCCCCTGTGCAAAGCCGGGCCGACGAGTGATACATCATGGATAATCCAGGTGACGTGAGAGGCCAAGGCCGAGGCCGAGGTTGTTCTTTTCCTCTTGCCTCCTGGTATCTTATCGGTCGCGCTCCTCGCGCGCGAGATGTACAAATACTCTGCTGAGCACTTATTTCGATCATCAACAATATCTCCAGTCGACGTCGATGTGGATCCCTTGTGACCAAAGGAGGAAGATCTTCACCAAGATGGCTACAATCCAGGCGTATCAAGAGGCTTCCCGGCCGATTGACGACAAGACCGTTCTCGATCCGGAGCCTGCAGCGTTTATCAATCCCAACGCCCCGACCGAACTAGTATCCGAACGGAAGTGGTACTGGTTCATATGGGACAGTTTCTCGAAACCTCCTGCGGGTATGTGGAAAATCTCTTCTTCCCTCCGACTTCCCAGTCCTAACTGTCCATCCGCGATAGAACGTAAACTCCTGATGAAACTCGATTTCACATTGCTGGTCTTCTCGGTGCTGGGTCTCTTGATCCGATATATCGATCAGACGAACTTGTCGACGGCATGTGAGTCTGTGCTCAGGTTATGCAACGTGAAGAAGAGCTAATCTTGAACCATCCATGTTACATGTGGCCTATAGTTGTGTCGGGAATGAAGTGAGTCGCTCTTGCTGCTGTTCCCTTGCGCCCGCGCTAATCATCGCGTCGATGTCGTAGGGAGGAATTAAATGGCTACGGCTTGCAACTGAACTATGCCACTACCTGCTGGACCGTAGGATATGTCATCGGCCAGGTGAGGTCCGCAACCCTTAAGCGTCAATCGGTGCTTTCCTCATGTCAGTCTTGTGAAAATATTGCAGATCCCGGTGACGATGCTGCTCAACCGAGTATCGCCTCACTATGTCATCTTTTGCCTCGAATTCACTTGGGCCATATTGACGCTGTGCACGACGTGGGTAAAGAACTGGTCACATGTCTACGTCATCCGGTTCTTTGTGGGACTATTCGAGTCGGGCTATTATCCTGGTTTGTGCGTCAAGCGTTTCCGCCTTCGCTTATGCTGGGATTGTGGGCTAATCTTCGCATCCGCCAGACTGTTCATCATCGGCTCTTGGTACAAGAAGGACGAACTAGCCAAGCGTTCCAACATCTTTCAAGCAGCCACTGCTGGAGGTACACTGCTGTCCGGAGTCCTTCAAGCGGGCGTTCATAAGACCTTGAACGGGAAGCTCGGGATGGCAGGATGGAGGTGGATCTTTGCTATCGACGCTGTCATCTCCATCCCGATCGCTTGTTGCGCTTTGTAAGTCTTGTTTCTGGTTCCATCTTTTCTGCATGGGATCACTCATTGAGCAAATGGTACCGTTCCGACATGCACGATATGCAGCATCTTTATCCCCGATTTGCCGACCAAGATCAAACCCAACTGGATCTTTAACGCAGACGACATCGCTTTAGGGAATCAACGTATGCAATTGGCCGGTCGGGCCGGGCCACAAGCGGGGGCCTTCAACTTCCGATTCTTTCGAAAACTTTTGACGGAATGGCACATCTGGTTGTTTACCATAACGTATTCGCTCTACATCTTCGCTCAAAGTAAGCTTGATGCCTTGATCTATCCGGGAAAAGAGAAAAGTCACATGTTAACCTGTTTGTGCGCGATCGTAGACCCGCAGCAATCGATGTCATTCTGGCTCAAATACTCTCAATCGCCTACGTATACCGTCGAACAGATCAATTAGTAAGCTTCTTACTCAAGGAGAATCTTCGACCACATATCTCCCGCGCCGTTACTCACCTTCGCGTTCTCTTGTGGCGGGCGATTCTCTCTACTCCGTAGCTATCCGAGCGGGATCTGGGCTACCCAGATCGTCTCGGCCCTCTCCTTCGCCTGGCTCTCAGACACACTCCTCAGGGGTCGGCGATGGCCGCCCTTGTTATTGGTTGCCATTTGGCATTCCGTAGATACAGCCATACTCGCTGGATTGCCTGTTTATCAGGACAATCGGGCGGTCAGATGGGTTTTCTATTATTTATCGGGGGTTGTCAAGTGAGTCACAAGATTCTGATAAGGGACCATGCTGCAAATGAAGCTAAGGGGTCGAAGCTGATCAGTGGGACTCGCGCTCACCATTTTCTGTGTTCATGCTCTTGTAGCGCCACTCCGGGAATCTTGTATTCATGTAAGCCAAAGGCAAGCTCCCTCTTCATCGCATCACACAGCTCACAAGCCCGTGAGATATCGCCTCATATACGACAGGGTGCAGCGAAATCATAGGCAATTCCTCTGAGAAACGCGGAATTGTCATGGGTACCTTTAATAGTGTTGCCTGTGAGTTATATGCATTACTGAGGACACAGTGCTCTCGCAAAGACGAGACTGAGCTTATTATTTGTCCTGGATTCAGTCTCCTTCAACTGTTGGTTGCCTCGTAAGTCGCTTTCTCGGTTTGCTACACGAAAGGCACTAAGAATACCCTTTTCGTGGAACCTGATCGGGGTACCTCTATTCAGTTCTCCTGTTCAAACAGACCGAGCAGCCACGAGTTTTGAAAGGCACGATCGCTGCGTCCGTCGCCTCGGCGCTTCAAGCGGGTTGTATCCTAGGTAAGCCAATGCACAGCCGGGAACAAGCTCGAGAGAGACGTTTGCATGGGCGATGACTGATCTGAGTCTTATTTCGACAATTCATGGGTACAATCATAGGAATCTTGTATCTATCAAACAGGGACTTTAGACGCAGCCGGGATACCGAAGAGTCGCTTGTGGCGATCGACGAGGTGGAGACGGACAGCAGCAAGGGTTCGAGGTTAAATGTCGGCTTGTGAAATCAGCGTGTCGACTTTGGAATGAGACCACTACCGAGTGGAATAAGGACCTGTTTTAGATTAGAGCCTTGAAGTAGTATATGAATCGATGCGCAGGTTCGGCACGAAGCGCTGACCATTCGCGATTGCCCTCCGCAAGACTCTTGCAGCCCGCTGCCCTCGCTCGTTTCTGCAGACATTTGTAGCCATTTTTGCTGCAGCAGAGAGGAACGAGCAGATCTCTCCATATGCTGAGAGAGAAAGATCGAAGAAGATGGATAGGAAGATTGACCAAGCGACCAAAGAGATCAAGGATATGGTTGAACAAAAACAGATTAAACCCAAAGGCGTTCGCGAAATCCCCTTTTATCAGCGACACACCCTCTCGTTCACCAGCATGAAGACCCGCAGACCATCTTCAAAACGAAGCACGAAGGCGATGAAGAAGGGAGATGGGTGGGAGCAGGAAATTCGATTATCGGACGGCGCACTTGTCACAAGTCGCCATGATTTGCCACCTGCATCCTGACATTGCGCTTGTCTATTTGACACGTCATGCGGACTGATCTATCACTGTTTCTTATCAAAATAAGCCTCGTCAGCACCGGACGCATACCGCTCGTTCGATAGCATCATCAGCGTCCACAAGCTCACAAGGTAGCTTAGAGGCTCAATCGCATCATGTACAGCTACTTCAGACGCTCTCCAACCATTCTGGATATTCTTCATCATGTCAGACCCACAATCAGATGCAGATAGAGTGAGACCCGAACTTCCCCCAGGTATTCTACGCGAAAAGGAGCTGACCTTGCGTTCCGCACCTCGCCTCATAGATTCGACAGAGACGACTCGCAAGACTAGGAGGAACCCCTTCGAATACATCAACAACCACAGGTTCAAATGTCAATACTAGCAGCATCAACTCGAATGCGACATCGACTGGAAGCGTAGGCGGTGTAGGAGGTGGAAGTGATAGCAGGCCCGCCTCAGCTCTGGATCGATTGAACGCAAACGCTTCTCAACCTAGAACCATCGCTCAAGGCGGTCCTTCATCCTCGTCCTCTGCGTCTACATCAAAGCCATCTACTCCCGTTCAAGCTCGACCGGGTTCGTCATTGAACGTACCTCCGACATCCCTCAACTCAGCAGCATCTTCTTCACTGTCACCGAGTTACTACAATACGTCCACCTTGAAACCCTCTTCCTCCAGCTCTACACCGATCTCAACTCCGACCGCTAAACTCAATCTCAGTGCGAATGGGAAACCTGGTACGACTTCAAGCGGGGCAAGGAAGCTTCCTTATGAGGAATACGAATCCAACTCGATCCTCCACATCCTCAATGTCTCACCTGAGATGGTCGTCTCCGAGTTCCCGGAGAACAAGAATGGCAGGATAGGGAAAGACGAATCGGATACGCTCTTGATAGCGAAGCTATCGGTAGAGACGAAAGAAGGAGAAGAAGGCGGGGTGACGATCTTTGAATACCTAACGGGGTGTTGGAAGAGGGTACATAGGGTCAATCGGGAGGGTTTGCGGATGGTGAGTAGCTTTCATTACCATGCTAGTCTGATCTGATATACCAGGGGGATACGCCAACTGATCAATTCGCTCTATCTTTCGGCTTGCCACGATATCAGGGTTACTCGGAAGACGAGTTGATCAGGTGGAAAGAGACGATGGATAAATTGAAGGATTTGATCATCAGTTATTGTGGGTATACGTTGGAGGATCCGGGGATGTTCCCTCAGCCGCCTGGGTGAGTTTTTGCGAGCTCTGGAATGTCAGGCTACTCGATAAGGGGGTCAGGGTGGATCCTGAGAGGTACTGAGGTACTGATTGTTTGCCCTTGTGAACTGTTAGGCGACCTGTAGGACCGGCCGAATTTCTTCCACTCCTCCTCGCTTCCAACTCTCAAGCCTCAGATCCGTACTCCACCTCCACCTCCAACCCATCTTCCACGCTCGCCCCCCTTCCCCCAACGCTTCCATTAACCCCAGCCGACTTACCAATGTTCCTCTCGGACCTGAGCAATAGGTTCAAGGAAGAAGGACTGGATGGGATCTTGGAGAGCGTCTGTAGCGAGTTTTTCCAGGGGTTCTTCAAGCGGCAGGTGGATGGAAAGCCGGTGGACCTGCTCAGCCAGGAATGGAGGGCATGGGTTGGGGGAGTGGCGGTGTTGACGAGCGTCAAGGGGATTGCTGCGAAGGTGAGCGAACTTCCCGGCTAGGAATGAGGTCGAGGTTGGGGTCTGGGGGCGGGAAGCTGACATGTGTGCGGAAAATGTAGTTGCCGAGCTTGAAGGTCTGGTTCGAGGAATCAGCACAACCGGAGCAGATCGAGTGGTTCTCGCTGTTAGGCCCGATCACGCGGTTGAGCGTTTTCCCAAGAGAATTCGTAAGTGCCTTCTTAGGGCCATCGTTCCGTTCACCTTCTTCCAGGCTGACACGACCCTCCTCGCCCTGTTCAGCCCACGATCTACAAGACGTACTTCCTGAACGCCGAAAGCCGGAGCAAAGACGATATCAAGGCCAACCAGCTCACCCTAGGTCATACGCTCGTCAATCTCCAAGACGACCTCTTCCAATCGTACAATGCTATCGTCCGAGCATCCCCGGAGAGCAGAGAGAAGTTGTTGTCCTTCTTCGCCGAGGTCGTCAGGAGGAACGTCAAGAGGAGCGGGATGAGGGTGGATCATCGGACCGTGGCCAGCGATGGGTATATGATGAACATGCAGGGGATGTTATTGAGGCTTTTCGAGCCGGTCATGGATGTGACTTATAGCAAGGTAAGCATCCAGTCGCTGAGACTATCCAGGTTTCCGGCTGTAGAAAGTCTAAGCTAAGGCTGATGCATCGTCTATGGCCTGGGTTTCGACAGATCGACCGGATCGATTCAGATTATTATCGACATAGCAAACGAGTCGATATCAAGGAAGAGACCAAGATGAGGGCCGCACAGGACGAAGCCAACGAGTATTACTCTGAGGATAATATGCAGACCGAGCGTGAGTTTGCTGAATGCGCTTTGACGCTCATGAGATGATGCCACAGGCTGACCGTATGTTTGCCATTTGGTAGCCACTCCCGGCAGCTCGCCATTCATCTCGGACATCTTCTTCCTCTTGCAGACGTACCAACATCTCGGACTGAACAAGACCCTGGACAATAGGGACCGAGCGGAAAAGAACGTCAAGGAGTTCAAGAAGGATCTGAAACGCTTGGAGGCGGAAAAGGCCGGTTGGCAGGCAGGAGTGAGTAAAAGAAGCCGATTTGATTCGGCGAGGAAGATGGCTGATGAGCTGATCTTATCTTCGATCGATAGACCCCTCAAGCCATGCAGGGTGAAGCCATGTTGACCAAGCTGAAGGTGAGTGTCTGATTGACAGTTTCATCGTGAAGCCCGAGCTGAGACTGAGACAATTGCGCAGAACGACATCGACGTCCTTAAAGCCTCGGTCTGCGCCTATGACGCGGCCCTCTTGAACAAGGAGATCATACAGAAGAATATTGCGTTCTTGAGCTTCAGTATGACTTGGCTCGTCAGACTAGTCGATCCGCGACATGCTCATCCGGCGCAGACGATCGAGTGAGTTCAGATCGAATACTTCTTCCAGGGGGTTGTGCTGAATGACAGTCGGAATCGTATTCTCTCTTAGGCTGCCCCTGCCGGACGAAGCGCCTCTTCGATTCCGTATGCTACCCGAATATCTTCTCGAGAACATCTCCGATTACCTGGAATTCGTCGTGAAGTGAGTCGGCCCGCGGTGTAACACTCCATGACTCAGGTATTAACCCTATTAACTCATAGGCATGCCCCTCCTGAAACACTCGACAAGATTGACAAGGATGTTATAATCACTTTCATGATCGTGTTCCTCTCGCCAAACTATGTGAACAACCCTTTCTTGAAGGCAAAGTTCATGTCGGTGAGTAATGAGCTCGGTCAGCTCAATAGAGCAGGCGATACTGACGACTTTGAGATGTTCAGATGCTGGCGATCGGTGTACAGCCATGGGGATACTTCCGCAAGGGTATCTTTTACGACAACCTGGTCGAACATCCATTGGCTGTGCAGCATTTGATGCCAACTCTGATCCGCTTCTTCGTCGGTGCGTACCGAATGACAAGCTCAATCCCGTACATGTGCTGATGTATGGCCTTCCTCTGGCAGACGTCGAGATGACTGGAGGTCACACGCAGTTCTGGGACAAGTTCAATTTCAGGTAAGTGCATCCGGACAGGTGCGACTTTCCTTACAAAGCCGGCTTACCTGAATCTCCCGGTAGACGAGATATCGATTCCATCATCCAGGCCCTTTGGAGCAATCCCGAGCACCGGAATGCCTTTGTCAAGACCAGGCAGTAAGTCTTGCCCATACTTACCGCTACAAGAACCGCACTCACTCGTCTCTACCTGCCAGCACCGACTTTGAGCTGGTGATCAAATTTATCAACATGCTGATGAGCGATACTACTTTCCACCTGGACGAATCCCTGACGGGATTGGCCAAGATCAATTCGATTCGAAGCGAGATGGAAGATCGGACGACGTGGGAAGCGAAGCCCGAGGCCGAGAGGAAGGAACTAGAGTCGCAACTCTCGTCGGCCGAGGCGAACACGCCGTTCCACACCATGATGGGGAGGTCGCACGTGAAGTTGATGAAGGAGTTTACTGCAACGACCAAGGAGCCGTTCTTGACAGGGGAAATCGTCGGACGATTAGCTGCTGTGAGTCGTCAAGCGGAAGAGCGAGGTGGTCTCAAACGTGGTTTGCTGACTTCTATTCACCCTCTTTACCCGTAGACTCTGGACGAGAACATGGTCGTCATGGTCGGACCCAAGATGCAAGAGCTCAAAGTGACCGACCCCGAGAAGTTCGCTTTCAAGCCCAAAGAACTCTTGGCCGAGATAACCCAGATCTACATCAACCTCGGAGACAGCCCAGAATTCATCAGGGCCGTGGCAGACGATGGGAGGTCGTACAGCAAGGCGACGTTTGAGAGGCTGGTCAGGGTTCTGAAGAACAGGGCTATCATGCTGGATAACGAGATCAAGCAGGTTTTGGCCTTCTTGGGAAAAGTCGAGGAGGCCAAGGCGACGATCGAGATCGAGGACGAGAGGGAGATTCCGGACGAGTTTTTGGGTGAGTTGAATTGGCGCCTTGATCCGGTTGGGTGGGGTTGCCAGGTGAAGCGACATACTAACGAATTTGATCCTCGCAGACCCGCTTATGGCTACGCTCATGAAGAACCCGGTAATCTTGCCTGTCTCGAGGGTAACGGTCGACCAATCTACGATCCGGGCGGTCTTGCTGTCGAACAACAAGGACCCGTTCAACAACGTTCCGTGAGTCTGCCATTCTCGTTATCGAGGATAGAACACGATGAAGGAAATTGAGACCTGTCTTTCATCGCGCAACCTCTAGGCTGAAGTACGAAGATTGTGTACCGGACGAGGACTTGAAAAAGCGGATAGACGCTTGGATCGCCGAAGGGAGCGTCCGACCGAGCAATCTGGACGAGCCGGTCAGCATGGACGTTGACGAGGTCGCGAACCGCCCAGAATAGGGCGGTGGGTGAGGTTCGGGCCGGATGCTTTGAAAGGTAGAGGTGTCACTGTATCTTATGAGACGGCTTTAGGCATGCTGTTGTGTATAAAGTGGGAAATTACGAAGCGCATACCCCCTTATACCCTCGACGCAGCTAGTCCCTTATCAGTTGAAGAGGAATCACTTCGGGTCGGAAGCAAATTCTTTCAAAGTTGTTGAGCATATCCATTCTGCGTCGACAGTTGATTGATCGTCCAACGTCCAACATTGTACTTTGGGCATACAAGAGAAATACCAGGATTCGGTCAAACAGTACTAGAACGTAGGAACGTATCAGGCCATTCTCAGACCATGTCGCAAAAGACTGTAGGAGTTCTCGGTAGGTCATGAGGTCTGGATAACGTGTAGCGATGACGTTCCAGATTGACCTTACTTGTCGTGTTTCTCGGTGGTCAGGCGGTGGCCAGCTCGGCCGAATGCTCTCCCAACCCGCCTCTCTTCTCGGAATCCCACTCTTGTTCCTCGATTCGGGTGATAAGACACCTGCCAAGCTGATCGCTCCTCCCCCAGAGGGACACTCATCCCACCTGGACGGACCCTTCAACTCTCGACCTCATATCCTCGAACTAGCTGAAAAGTCGGACATCCTCACCATCGAGATCGAACACGTCAACGCTGATGTCTTGGCCGAGGTGGAAGAGAAGGGCAAATGCGACGTACAGCCTAAACCGGCTACGATCAAATTGATCCAGGACAAGTATGCCCAAAAGGTGCATCTAGAGAAGCACGGGATCGCCGTGGCTCCGTTTTCCGCTGTCAGTCAGGACGCTTCGAGGGAAGAATGGGAGAAGCTGGGAAAGGAATTGGGCACGCCAATGATGTTGAAATCGAGGACGATGGCTTATGATGGCAAGGGGAACTCTCCCCTGGCTAGCGTGTCTGAGGAGGACGTCCAGTCGAGCTTGACCCAGCTTGGAGCGGGGACGGGTGGGAAACAACTCTCGCTCTACGCGGAAGGGTGGATGCCGTTCGTAAAAGAGATCGCCGTCATGGTCGTGAGGAACGTCGAAGGGCAGGTCGTCTCCTACGACGCCGTGGAAACGGTCCACAAGGACTCGATCTTGAGGGTGTGCATCGCCCCGCTGAGGATGCACGATTGGGATAGCAAGAAGGCGGGAGGAAAGTGGGAAGAGAGCGTGAACGTCCGAGCGAAAAAGTTGGCGGAGAAGGCGGTGGGCGTGTTGGATGGAGCGGGGGTCTTTGGAGTGGAAATGTTCCTCATGCAGGATGGTGAGTCATGCTACATTGAGGTGGAGCTCGAGAGGACTCCCTAATTAACCATATTATTTTTTCCTCGTGCAGGCTCGCTCTTGATCAACGAGATCGCACCTCGTCCCCACAACTCGGGTCACCACACCATCGAAGCCTGTCACACTTCTCAATTCGAAAACCACCTCCGGGCCATCCTCTCCCTCCCACTCGGCTCCACTTCTTTGCGAGTCCCCGCAGCGGGAATGGTCAACCTGATCGGGAGCTCGAACAGTATGGAACCGATCGACAGGGCCGTGAGGACCGCCCTGGGGGTGACGGGAGCGAGCGTGCATCTGTATGGAAAGAAGGAGTGTAGGAAGGGGAGAAAGGTCGGGCATATCACCGTGACGGGAGAGAATGATGCGGTGGTCAGGGAGAGGATGAGGACGATCTTGAGGTCGATGGAGGATATCGACGAGGAATGGATCGGCAAGACCATCGGATCGTCACCATTATCGTCCTCGGCGTCAGCATCACCTTCGGGCGCGAAATCCCACCCTCAACCTTTGGTCGGGATCATCATGGGCTCAGACTCTGATCTCCCTACTCTCCTTCCCGGAGCTCGGATCCTGGACAAGTTTGAGATTCCATACGAACTCACCATCTGTTCGGCCCACCGGACCCCTCAGCGTATGGTGGACTATGCGAGGAACGCGGCGGGCAGGGGGTTGAAGTGTATCGTCGCCGGAGCTGGGGGTGCGGCGCACTTGCCTGGGATGGTCGCTAGTGAGACGGCTTTGCCTGTCGTTGGGGTGCCTGTGAAGGGAAGCGTATTGGATGGGGTGGATTCGCTTTATAGTATCGTACAGATGCCTGTGAGTCGTCGCGGTCACACCGAATGCACTTTGACGATTCCCTTGCTGACCCATTGCTGACTCCTATTTCCTATCTAGCGAGGAATCCCTACGGCTACAGTCGGGATCAACAACTCCACCAACGCCGCCCTGCTCGCCATCCGGATCATCGCAGCTTCAGATCCCAAGCTGTTGAAACGGGTAGAAGAGTACGCAGAGAGCTTGGAGGAAGAGGTCTTGGAGAAGGTCGATGCGTTGGAACAGATGGGTTGGGAAGCTTATGCGTCAGAGAGGTTGAAGAAGTAGATAGTATCATGACGAATATGTAGTGATCTAGACTCGTCGTTGAGATTTCCAAGATGATTGACATTCGATCAATCGACCCGTGCTTCACTCACATTCCCTTTACAACTCATTACCATGCCTCGACCACCCTCTCCCTTTTTTACCCCGGATCATATTCGATCATGGTCAAGCCCGCCTGATAGCTATGTCAGCAAAGCCAGCACCATTGGCTCGCAACAAACCCAGCCATCACCCACCCCTCACAATGACAATGATGAGCGGGATCTGCTCAACGGCAAAATCTGTCCCCATATCTACCATCGCCAACACAACCTCGTCTAAGTCAGACAGGAGCAAGACATTGAGTCGAAGTGAGATATCAAATCGGAAGAGGAGGTCAAGCTGGAGGAGGATATGAAGATAGAGCAGAATGTCAAGCCGGATCAGGATGTAAAGATGGAGCGGGGCGTAAAGACGGAGCAGAATGTCAGCAAGATGTGAAGATGGAAGCGCGGCTCCCGGTCCGGGCAACGTGCGACGGGTCGGACTTGTTTCGATGTTCAACACTCTTTCGATCGATAGCTATGCGAGAGAACGACTACCTCTTCTTGACTTTGCTTCTGTCGTCAATTTCTTGTCCTCTACAAAAAACATCAAGGAATCCACACCTTTTCCACAATGTCCCAAAATCGAGCCGCAGAAAACGCCGACCTGATAGCTCATCTCTATGAGCAGGTCTTGACACAGGCAAAACCATGGTTGGCCACAGCGGACGACGATGTTCTGGCCGATCCTGCTTCGAGACCGACGGATGGGAGTCAGAAACGACCTGCCATCGTGAATTCACAGACGGCAGAAGAGTTGTCCAAGGTGCTTGATCTTGGGATCGTCTCCGAGGGAGTAGATGATGTGCCCGAATTTATATCCAAGGTTCGATATCCTTCATTGCGGTCAACTGCAGCTAGCTCTACGTTCTGATTCCTTTTGATCCTTGTTTTTGAACGACAGATCTTGGACAACTCGGTAAATACCACCTCTCCCGGGTTCATGGACAAACTATACTCGTCCCCTAGTCCACCAGGGTTGGCAGCCGACATGCTGCTCTCCATCCTGAATACCAACTCGCACGTCTATACCGTCTCGCCAGCTCTTACCGTCGTGGAGAAATACACGGGCAAAAGGTTGGCTTATGAGTTTGGATTACGGGAGAGCGTTTCGGGAGGGGTGACTTGTCCAGGAGGAGCGCAGTCCAATGCTACGGCGATGTTGGTTGCTAGGAACATCAGGTTTCCGCAAGTCGTCACCGATGGGGTGGCGAGCCTATCCAAACCTCTGGCTGTGTTCACCTCGTCAGCAAGTCATTATTCGATGGTCTCCGCCGCTCAAAACCTCGGACTAGGGGGCAAGTCTGTAAGAAAGGTCGCTACGATCAACGACGCTATGGACCCAGACGCACTGGACAAGGAAATGCAAAAGGCCGTAGACGAAGGTCACATCCCCTTTTACGTCGGTGCGACGGCGGGGACGACCGTTCGAGGAGCCTACGACGACCTTCGAGCCATCGCGGCCGTAGCGAAAAAGTACGGGGCGTGGTTGCACATAGACGCTTGTTGGGGAGGCGGAGCGATCTTTTCCTCCACTCACAAGCACAAGCTCGATGGGTCCGAGTTGGCGGATACGATCGCTATCAACCCGCACAAGATGTTGGGGGTCCCGTTGACCTGCTCGTTCTTGCTAGGAAGAGATCTGAGGACGTTCGTGGTGGCCAATCGGTTGGAAGCGGGGTACCTGTTTCACGGGGACGCCGAACTTGCCCAGAGCGATGGGAGTACCACGAACGGGCAGGCTCAACCGAATGGCGTTGGGGAGGAGGATGAGGATTGGAGGAACAGCGCGAGGATCCTCAACGCCCCTCATCCGGACAAGGTCACCGATATGGCTCAGTTCACCACTCAATGCGGTCGACGACCAGACGCTCTGAAGCTTTACGCTCATTGGCGGTACTACGGGACGGACGGGATCGGCAAGCACATCGACATAGCTTTCCAAGGAGCCAAAACCGTACTCGATCTAGTTCGACAGAGTACGACCCTCTCGGCCGTCGAAGCTGGTGATCCTCCCTGTGCGCAAGCCTGTTTCTATTATTCCGGAACCAAGGGCAACTTGGGGCCCGAAAAGAGGATCACCAGGGAGATCGTAGAGAGGTTAGTGGATTATGGGTGGATGACGGACTTTGCACCAGGAAAGAACAAGCAGGAGGAATACCTCCGGGTTGTCTGCAACCGGTTGAGCACGGATGAGGTTGTGGGGAACCTCGTCAAGGCGGTGGAGATTGTCGGACGACAGGTCGAGAAGGAGTGGAATCTGTAGCGGAGCGGGGCGTATCGATCATCATCAGTCATGAATATCAGTGTTACAATGTCAGCGTTAGGGCGATCTCAGTGGCTCTGTTGACACCATCAGATTCTTGCGGTCAGGTTTGTTGCCTAACCGGTGCTGATGGAGGGATGACTTCACGTTGCCGTCATCGATAAAGGATCTCAGTGCCGACCTGAGATTGATCGTCTTGGTCGTATGACATATGACTTGAAGATTGACACCAAACATTGTGGTTTATCCCGTCAACTTGCCCAAGTGGAGAGGTTGACACACTTTGCGGATCAGCCACTTGCGGGGGGTGAGGTAACTCGGTTCTGAAAGTTTGTACTGGTAGTTTCATTGTACACTAGCTTAACTACGGAATTCGTCTGCTGTGCGTTGGATATTGATGGAGATACGTAAAATCGGATTTTGTTACACCTTCACGAAACCAAGGTCATTCGCAGCGCGCCCCCGGACTTTCGCGCGCGACGAGTACATGAGCGATCATATTCTTGCTCTCTGGTCAGACCGTCTGACCCTTGCCACAACCAGACTCACTTCTACCATTAGCTATAATCCCTCGCTCACCCTTGGATTAGTCAGTCGATGGCTTTGAGCCCATTCTCATGCAATATCCACGAATCGCATTGCGGCTCCGCGATACAAGCGAGCCAAGCGAGAGGTTGTTAACCGGGCTCGGCCAAGACCGGGATCGTCAGGCACCGCCGAGCACGCATCAGAACATATAATCATTGACCTTCAGGTTCTTCAGGGATTCGGAAGTTGAGTCCCCGCCTGTCTCTAGATCGCACAATACCGTCTTCGCTTAGTACCAGTCAATCTCGAAGATGTCGTCCTCTCCCAAGCACCTGAACGTAGGAGTAGTCCTATTCCCCATCGCGCTGCCCCTCGAGTCAGTACAGCAGTGCAACGCCGATGTTCGTGTCGACGCAGAGCTGATCGCCGAGGCTTCTGAACTGCTGACAGCTTCGTTGGGTAAGATCCAGAATTCAGGATACCTGCAGTATGGATAGTGCACAATGCTGACTTTGCTCATACGGGCTGACCCTCGCAGCCCGACGACCCTCTTCTTCACGCTGGAGAAAAATGGCGTCCTCAGCTCAGACCCTCCTTCTCACACCTTGAAAACGATCTACCTGGGTCCGACGCTCGATTCCATCGAACTAGCTGGAGGCATGTTCCTCACCCCGAACAAGACATTCGACGAGGCCTTGAAAGCAGAAGGCGAGGACAAGCTGGACGTGATCCTGATTCCCGGTGGACGAGGAGCTAGGCTCGGACCGGGCAACGCCGAAGCCAGGACGTTTGTGACGGAGATCATCCCAAAGATCGACCACGTCTTGACTGGCAAGTCGCGATCAAATAGCTAGGCAAAGTCGTAAGCCAATGATTGGACTGCCTTGCAGTATGTACTGGATCGTGGCTGTTGGCCGCGACGGGGTGCTTGAAGGGTGAAAAGGCCACTACCAACAAGATCGCTTTCAATGAATGCAAAGTCTGTTCATCCCTCTTTTTATCCTCTCTTCTAACGTAAAGTGTTGATTGCTGATTGGCCACCTCTGCTACCGCATCGTATTGTAGGAGGCTACCGCAGAACACGGCGTTGACTGGATCCCCAAAGCTCGATATGTCCACTCCAACAAGTTCTGGACCGCCTCCGGTGTCTCAGCAGGGATGGACATGGCTTGCGCTTGGATCGAATCCCTAATTGGAGCGAAGGATACTGAAAGGGTACAAGCTTGGGCAGAGTATACGTAAGTTCCGGTTCCAGTCGTTAAGTGCCATCGCATGAAATCGTCCGGCTGACGAAATATCGATTTGACGAATGCAGTGCTGCCGGCGAGGACGATGACCCTTGGGCTGCCAAGCACGGGCTGTAGAGCTGCGATTCTAGGTTTGATCGAGGTCTATTTGAGAAGGCGAGAAAGATCCCTTGTGCGCCAACACATGTTGTAATACCGACACCTGCCACCACTCAACCCCCAAATAGCCTTGACTTAAGTCGAGCTGGACAAAATGCCTCCTGCGATGATTTCTCGCTTGTCGGAAGCGTCGTGCGCCAGGCCAAATCCCCCACAGAGAGACAGACAAGACGTTTGATTGGATAGGGACGATCGATTTGGCTCGCTTTTGCAGTTGCCTTCTTGAGCTTCCCGCCGCTCATCGGTCGCGGCGATACCCTCTTTAGGTGACTGATAGTCGGCGCCGAACTTGTGTTTTCACGCCTTTCGATCGGTTCCTTCCTGGACTTTGCGGTGTTCTCGTTGGGTGGAACGGACCCCTGAGCAAGCTCCGGGACATGTTGTATAGTTGGTGTCGTAACACGGTGACTCTGTTCAGCACATCGCCTGCTTGCGAAGTCGCAAGAGCTATCACTACAGCCAAGACATGATAGTATCAGAACCACGAGAAATGTCGTCTTCGATTACGATCAGGAATATCAACTCACTAACCCTGATCGCTAATTCACAAGCATAGTCGCTTGGCGGCCGCAATCCCAAATGATCTGAACTGAGTTCATCTCCCATAGTTCAACCAAATCGAGTTTTCTTCCTCTGAGGTCTAAACAGCCCATCGCCGGAAGAGATGGAGCGGTGCCTCAATCTCGCTGACGGGGGAGGCATCGACGATGTCGTTGTGCCAGCGGGTGAAGAGGTCTCGTATGCGTCTACATCTACGTCGATGACTACGGATTCCGATTCTGGCGGGCGAGAGCGCTTCGAGCCTGCTATTGTTGATGATGACGTTGACGATGTAGTTGCTGTTGAATTTGGTATGCGTGAAGGTGTGGAATGTATTGAGGATGAAATTTTTGTTGTCCCGCTGACTGGCACCGCGGTGAGCGCGGTCGTCGATTGCGGAGCAGTCTGGGTCAAAGTCACACTGGTCGACGCTTTCCCATTTGCGACGATTTGCCGCCGGACCGTGTTTTTCCTCAAGGCGGGTACGGACGAACCTCCAGCGGCGAAGAAGTCAAAATCTCGCCCCTCCTTCCCTTTCCCTTGGTCCTTCTTGCTGTTGCCTTCTTCGTTGTCATTACTTCTGCTCTTTGGAGAGGACGCGGTAGTCACTGCTGCCTTTGTTGTTGAAGTGGGAGCACAAGGACGAGTGACGATCGCTTTCACGGGCGTCCTTCTCGTCGTCGTAGTCAACCTCGAAGACGATGACGACGTTGTCGGAGACGAGCCCGCACCATACGTAAAAGGTCTTCGAAGATAGTGACCCGGGTTTTCCGCACGGGATTGTTCCTTGATCTTCCCCATCATCGTCTTGGGAGCTAGAATTATCAGCCAGACACGTTTGTCACGAATGCGGTTTCAATACCGGCAAGACGAATCAGTTCAAGATCAGCTCGGCCGGTCTTTTCCTTCGATCTCCATCTAACCAGGCCTTCAAAGCAACTCACCTGCAGCAGACCCTCCTCCTCTCCTCCCGAAATGCCACCCTCCCCCTCCTACAACTGACGGATTCACAGGTCCTTCGAGCACCGTGACGATTCGCTCTGATTTTCGGGAAGCTTCTTGTTGATACAACATCTTCATGTGTTCAGCGGCGTTGGCTCGGCGTTGTGATTCTTTCTCCAAGACTTTCTGTAAAGATCCGGGATATGGTTTGGGGTGGCGATGTGATGTCAGGAGGATATGATCGTTTCAGCGCCAGTATCAGTTAATTTTCTATCCGTTAGGGTCTAAAGTGAAAGTAGGAAGGGCGACCCTGAGACTGACCATATAGACCTTCCGCCAACTCCTAGGTGCCTCGGAACGAGAATTATACTTGGTATACACCTCGGGGTCCTTCTTCCGGAGGATCTCTTTCCAGAGGTCTGTGGTTTAAGATTACAAATACGAATATGCGGACACAAAGTTGGAGGTTCAGAGTTGGTATAGGATGTGGGGTGGAGAAGGAAGGACTTACGGTTCGTCTCCGTCTTCAAGATCTGATTGTCCGGTATAGTACGGTATATCAGCCGAGGTGTCCAGTAAGATCCGTCCAGATCGCAACGATACAGCATTTTCAATGCAGCCGAGTGAGCTCCTGTTCAATATAGTAATATAGTAATGAATATAGATACGCTGCAGCGACTTACCGGACTGTTATCCTCGATCTGAGCCAATTGTAACGGTTCCATCGTCTGGAAGAACAAGGGGTGTTGGTGATACCGCAGTGGACCGACGTCGTCGTATCGGCTAGCACATCTCATGACCACTACATGGTGAACAATACAAGGTCAGTTCAAGATCAATGCGTTAGAAGCCAGTCTTCTGGACGTCATCAAAATAAGAGAATGCTATACTTACCGCCTTGACAGAAATCGAGCAGCGTTCGGGGTCCGACCGGACCTTGATCGTGTTCCTCTTCATACTCGAGCCAGTCGTAGTTACTGTCCTCCATCCTCAGTGCGCAAGATGGTGGGTAGGTATCGTGTCTTGCGTACTGGAAGTTTGAAGTCGGTGGTTGACGAGCACGTTGAGCGAAAAAAAGGTGAACATCCCTGATCATCATATCCAGACCGATCCCTCGATTTCGGGAGTAAAATAGAAAAAGGGATTCTGGGCTAGATTTCTAGCGTTTCTAGGGCGCGGATTCCAGAATCCTAGCAACACTCTCTAGCGGTCCTTCGTGACGTGGAGCGGGGGTCAGCAGTGCCGTCATAAACGCTAGAAATCTGCCGAGAAAAATCGCGAAAAAAATGTCTTGTTTTCTGGGTCATTCCCACAAAGTAAACAAGATCCTGAATATGACGAAAGCTGACGTCCGGGGGGGGATCGATTGGGAGCTGAGAATGCGAGCTCTGCCAGACGAGGAACGATCCGGTTACAACTATGACGTCCATCCCATTATTGAATCCCATTGCTGGCCATTCTCGCAGGCGACAACAGGACATATTGTAGTGATCGAGTACTTCATACCCTCAGCCTACATATCAAACATGTCGCAAGTGAAGTACAGCGATCCGGGGCTGACCCTTAACACCGGTGAGCGCCGTTCCGACCCTGGCCATCTTGAAACACCACCTCGAACCTGAACTTATTCCCTTCGCTCCATCGCAGCCGCCACCATCCCATCCCTCGGACTCGGGGTCTACCAGCTCGAAGGAGAAGAATGCAAAGAGCTCGTCTTACAAGCCTTGAAGACGGGGTATAGGTTGATCGATACTGCGCAGGTGAGTACGAGTTCCATCAGCTCAGAAGCCAAGGAATTTATGAGCCGGTCTTGATCTGGTATTTCGTGCTTTGCTAGTTCTATAGGAATGAGAATGCCGTCGGACAGGCTGTACGCGAGGTGAGTCTTCTTTCTTGACATTATACGTGTCCTCCCTCCTCCGTGAAAACTCTCAGAACCGATGCTGATCTTCTAAACCGATTCTTACCCCTAATTCTTACCCCTCATACATCTCTCGAACAAATCTCCCATTCCAACCTGTTCCATATGATGACGGAGCAGTCAGGAATCCCTAGAGAAGAGATCTTCATAACGACCAAAGTGCAAGCGGGAGCGCATACGGTGGAAGGGTGTAAGAGAAAGGTGGAGAAGAGTTTGAGCGATCTGGGTTTAGGTAAGTCATAGGCTGCATAAGTTCGCGCTCGATCTTCTCGTGATCTTGTTCATGGAATGAAGTTTCTCGTCGTATGCAAGCTGATCCGTATATCCTCTGTTTCTTGGTCACATCGCTTACATTATTGTTGCTCGGGACACCGTTCTGCGTCCTCGTCCTACATTCCGCGGTCCGATTGTTCACCTTCGACAACGATAAAAAACAGACTATATCGACCTCTTCCTCATCCACGGCCCGCTCATGGGCCCAGAAAAGCGAGTGGATACGTGGAGCAACCTCGTCGACTTTATGCACCGGTCCGAAGGGAAGATAAGGGCCGTGGGGGTTAGTAATTTCGGGATCGCCCATCTTGAGGCGTTGAGGGAGGAGGGATTGGAGATCCCTAGTGTGAATCAGATCGAGGTGAGTACCGCAGAACCTGACTCGAAATTCATGGCCTCGATAAAAGCTGATAGCGATCGGATCCCTTTGCTTTTCTGTCTTCCGACTCGGCCTCGTGTGCATGTAGCTCCACCCGCACCTCCCTCAAACGCCCATCGTCGACTACTGCAAATCCAAAGGCATCGTAATCCAGGCTTATTGTCCCTTGATGAGGGGACAACAAAATCAGGCGTCCCTAGGAGAAGGAGCGGGATGGGCGGGGAAGGCTGGGTTTGGGTGGGATCATGAGGGATTGAAGGGGGTGGCTGAGAAGGTGAGCGACTGATCGTCATCATCCGGATGCGAGTCTTCCGACTAGAACTGACTCGTTTGAGGCATATGATGACCAACAGGAGAACATGACGATAGGACAAGTGCTGCTGAAATGGTCCATTCAGAAAGGGTCAGTCCGGTAGAATGTCATATTTTCCTCTTGATGACCTCGCTAACACAAATGTTCCCATCCCGCAATTCCATCACAGATACTGCCCGCAAGCCAAGACGTCCTCCCCCACCCGTCTGAAAGAGAATCTGGACGTCCTCCATCTCCCGCCGCTGAGCGAGGAGAGCATGAACGAGCTGGAGAAGATGAATCTGGAAGGTAGAGAGGAGGAGGTAGGGAGATTGGCACTCGAGTGGAACCCGGTAGATTGTCCGTGAGTTCCGTTGGGATTTGAGACAAGTGGTCTGGGAGGCCTGGTGGTTGTCAAATTCAATCCATCTTCAACTACACATGAGGCAGCAACGTCTCGACTGCAAAATGACTGAATTGTCATGAGGTACTACAAAACGTTCCATGCCCACGCTGTTACCGTAAGAAGCAAGTCCCGTCGTTCGAACACTATCAGCGCCACCGAAAGCGCCTTGAATAAGGACAAGGATAGTCCAAACCTGAGGGTCCTCATGTCATCGAAAGTGAAAAGAATAAGGGTATGGGGAATTGCAAGGGCAAGGCTAAGTGCCAGAAGAATCACAATGCGTCTCTCCAGAGTGACCGAACCGGCGTAATAAATTCCAATCGAATCCTAAATCTAACCTACATCTAACCTACATCTAACCTAAATCTCGACGTGCCAGCCGACCCTCCTACTTCAAGCAGTCGTCATGCTTTCTATCCGCTAAGCGTTGTCATGTCGTTCTCAAGCGCCGTGCCGGACCTGGCTATCAGTGAAGAACAAGACTCCCTAGACAACCGAGACGTGTCCAAAAATCCCACTGGTGATAGTGCCGGATGTCGTGTTCAAATATCAGCGAGATCTTCCCCTCAGGCCGATTGATGGTCAATCGACCAACGGTAAGAAGGACTGCTACGGCCATTCATTTTCCTTCCGATTAGGTTGGGATCGAATGACAAATTTGGCCCTCAATCCGACCCAAATCGTACTATTCTGTACCATCGATACCTGATGAAAATTACGGGCCACAGGGCAACGTGTGGTCGGTGTTCGTATGTTCTTAGAAGACCTCGATTTCTTGCTGGGAATGTCTGTCTATGAGACCGTAAGGTACTGTATATGAACCCTCAGAAATCGAATTCGTAGTCGGGTCATGATCATGATCATAATCATCGTCAGTGTAGGGCAGGCCGACGAAGACGAAGACGGTCTGGTTGATGCAGAGACGATACCGTTCGTTTTTACCCGGAAGACGTTTCAGGACGGAGAGTGCGCTCGTACTCTATTCGATTCTGTGGTCTGTGGTCGGCTTGACGATCTTGTCCCAATAACGACAGGTTTCATTGGAACGCTCGCCCGCCGTCTTTCCTGCTGGTGGGGAGTTACAACGGACGCAGCACATATTGTACATACACCAAGGATTTGAAAATCGACTCCGCTTGTCGTTTACGAGCCTATGAGCCTACGAAATTGATTGATGAGACGTGACGCGCGCACATACATCAGGGTACCAGGGTCAGATCACAGAAAAGTATGATATGTGATGGTGATGGGTGATAAGCGCGTCGATGGCGCAAGAACTTTGGTTTCTGGTTTCAATGCTCCGCCACTGATCACTGAGGTACGGGGCGAATCGAGGACCGAGGTCTTACGGTACGTGTAACGTGGAGGTAGATATACGATCATATTTAGCATCTCGATCGAGTACGAATCACATTATTGAACATCCTCCGTGCGGTGCAGAGGCGATTTGTACGACACGTGATACGCTATACACTCGATGGTACGACGTACGATGGACGATGGGCGTTATCGAGATGCTCAGATCAGGAGATCAAGAAAAAGCCAGTTGTTCCAGTAGCTAGTAGCTAGCATAGCTAGTAGCTCGTAGTAAAAGCAGTGGCTAGTGGCTGTGCTTCAAGTATGGATTTCCGATCGCAGTCATCAAACACCAAAAACACGTCCCTTCTCGCAGCAGACGGATCCTTTTCCTTTCGGTCTTCGGTCTCAAACAAACACACTTCCCCCGCGTCGCACCTCGTTCCTCCACCTTGCCCCCCTCGCTCTTCCCTTGTTGTGATGATGCAACCCACTCATCCCCTTGAAACGCGACGACGCGGAGATGGGGGTGCCCTCCCGGGCTCTGCTCCCCCTCAGGCTGTGTGCCACGTTCCTCGAATTCCTCGTTCCACGTTACCGCGCGCGCGTCTCTCCTGCCTTGCTACGCCGTGGTCCTTGCTGTGCCGGCGTGATCGCAGTGCGGAGTCTAATTTCGGGCCGTTGATGTGCTATTTTTGGGACATGGACAGGTGTGTTTTCATTCAGCGAACAGGAGGAGAGGGAGGAGAGGGAGGAGAGGGGAGAGGCGAAACAACAAATCAGAGCAGAGCAAGGGGAGGGAGGGGCCGGAGGGGGACGTGTTATAACAACCCACGACACAGCCAGGACGAGGTCATTCATCAACAACTTCGACACTCTCTCTTCATCTCCCATCGATCGCCTCTTCTCTCTCCTCTCTATTCTACTCGACTCGACTCTACATATTACAAGCTACGAACTACCATCTACCGTCCTCTACGTGACCTCGACCTCCTTCAAACGACACCTCTACACATCAAACCTACACACGAAAAAGCAAGAAAAACAACTCTTTTCAAGATGTTCATGCCTACCCTTGCCACCCTCGCCGCCTTCACCCCCCTCTTGACCCGGGTCAACGGACAGGTCACCGCGACCGGTCCTAACGGTCCTACCAACCCGTCCGCTCCTTCTTTCGCCCAGGTCGGAAGCAAGGTCGACCAGACGAGCATGAGCAGGTTGATCAGTCTTAACAGCGTGAGTGTCGAGGAGGCGTGGAGGTCTTGTTGTTTCCCGCGACGAGACGAGGCTGACGGGCGAGGTTTTCTTTTTGTTTCTCAATCACCATGCATCCTGTCCTTTCCTTTGATCCTGCCTCCTCTTCTTCCCCTCTCCACCTCTTGATCATCATCTATCCCACCTGGCTCGACTCCCGCAGGTCAACGACTTCTGCGTCTTCGGTCCTCCTACCAACGACAACGAGCCCATCGGGAACATCGAGGAAAAGGTCGTCGCCTACTGTTCGCAGCCCAGGAACGGGGCCAGGATCATCCCTGACGGAGCCTTGAAGTCTGCTCACGTGAGTTTCGGAGCTTGCGGGTTGTCTTTCTTCCCTTCCGGCGGTTTTTTCTCTTGTTCTCGTTTGCGATAACAAGGATCTGATTCATTTTCCGTCTCTTTTGTCTCGCTCTTGGGAATTGTAGTACGTCAAGACCCCCCTGTACGTCCAGATCTCGGGAACTTGGGATGGTACCGCCGTCGACATTGCCGCCGGTGACTACGGTGGCGAGTTGGACCCTCACGGTGCTACCGGTTAGTCTCTCTCCCTCTCTCCCGCTTGCTTTCCTTTTGTCTTTGCCGTAAATACGGGACTGATGTTGTTGTTGTCATTATCGGTTATCGGTGTGCAGGCGAGGGTAACCCCGTCGGAGGAAACGTCACGTCCAACGTCAGCGGTTCCGACGTCTTTTACGAAGAGTGGATGATGTACGTCTCTTCGGACGCGTTCTGTCTGAGGATCTGTACCGCCGACGACCCCAAGAACAACATTACCGCTGCTTTGCAGTGTGAGCAGTGAGTGCCGGTCTGTCTCGGAAGGCATGTTGAGGAAGAACGCCTAGCTGATCCATTCGATGGATGACGTCTACAGCGAGCTCGACGTGATGGGTTGCAACTTCGTCATGGCCATCCCTTACAACCTCCCCGAGACTTTCGACGAGTGCGAGGGTGATGCCGCCGCTCCTCCCGGTCTTTACCCCCAGCCTGACGGATCGACCTCGACCTTCCGTCAACGATACACCGGAACCTGGACCCAAGACGCTACCACCACCGGAATCTTCACCGTCGGAAGGACCGTCACCCCCGAGGCTCCTTTCACCTACCCCGCCACTTCGTCCTGTACCACTTACTCGAGCGTTTCCAACGGGATCAACACCGCCAACTATGCCGTCAACACCATCATCTCTGAGGGTGTCATTATCGGATCGTCCAACCCCAACCCTTCGGCCGCGACCGGTTCTGGATCGTTGGCCATGTCCGGTTCGTCCGCCATGACCACCGGTGCCTCGTCCGCCGCCACCTCGGGTGCTTCCGCTTCGGGCTCGATGTCCCGATCGGGTGCCATGATGACCACCGCCAGGACCACCGGTGCCACTAGGGAGACGAGCGCTGGTGCCGCCTCTGCTTCGACCTCGGGTGGAAGCTCGGCCGCCATCAGGGGAAGCTCGATCGATGGCAACGTCTTGGCCGTCGCTGGAATGACCGTCGCCGGTGCCATCGCCGGAATGGCCTTGTTGCTTTAAGCTCCCAAGCTTTGATGCAATAATGCCTGGACCTGGGACTTTACCACGACGACTACGACTACTACGATTGTTTCTTCCCTATTTTGGACTCGGACACGATAGATACGAGATGGACGCTGTTCTTTCTTTTTCACACGATTCTTTCTCGTACTTTATCATCTTTTCACTCTCATCAAGCATCACAAACATCACTGCGATCATCTGCGATGAGACAGCTGCTAGGACTACGATTCGTTATCAGTATGACCTCGTTCCGGTCTTGGTCTTGTAGCCGATGACGGATCACGATCAATCGTATCGATCGGAACGGTTTCTCTGGGTTGGTAACTTGTCGTATTGATATCGCATTCACGCTCGTTATTTCCCTCGTCTAATGTTCCGTGCTGGTGAGATGTGGCAACGTGTCCTCCAGCGCGATGATGATAGGACCGGACCCCGCAAAGATTGATTGGCTCTCAAATCATCGCATAGGTCACACTAGTTCTGATCACACCTCTCAGCTTTACTACCAGGAGGTGGTTGCCAATGCCCACAAGGTCCTTACCGCGAAATTACATCCAGGTTGCGAGCCATCATTGATGCTAGTCCCCAATTAAAGGCAAAAGGATTCAAGTATCCGCACCCTGGAACGTCCTTGTCGCTATTGCACTTTATATCTTGTCCCTCAATTCCTAACCTAACACTTTATGTGGGATACTTGCGCTATCGATGGAACACTCTCCCAATTCCGCCTTTGATCTATGGGACTCGCCTCTCGATCCGTTGGTGTCCTCGCAATGCTACTCTCATACCACATCGTTCAGGACCGTAGAAGCTCATATGCATGAGTCGGATAGGAAGAAGTTGCGGGAGGGAGGGATGGCTCGAGGTCGGGCTTAGCCGTAGCTTTCCCAAACCTCTACGGATCGTCCCGAGTGAAGGATGCAGTAGTTGTCAAAGTTTTCGTTGTCGCCTTGGCATCGGTCTCAATGGTAGCAGAAGGAGGGAGGACCTCGTCATCATCTTCGGTCTTGACCAAGGGTAGAGGGTGCTTGAGGTATTGCCAAACACCATATTTGAGACCCAACCATTTTACGGTCTGGTCGGTAAAAATCCCTTTGAGCTACCAGATTGAAACAGGTGAATGAGCGAGGAAACAGGTAAGTGACAGGGGGGACACCAGCTTACAAATTACTATCATGCTTCCAGATGTTTGGTCTTCATCTCTATGTTTGACTTCAGTGACTTCACAAAGGCCGCAGTATTGGTCACGACAACGAAGCCATGGTTGTTCGAATCCGAAACATCCTTTACATCCGCTTCGATCCACCTCTGAAACTTAACCTTGCAAGCGCGCGCTACCGAGACATCCTTTGATGGCAACAGCGATAAGGGTGGATCGTTTTAAGATTGACCTCGACTCGGGTGGATTTCTGCTATCGATGGGATCTTCGGTCCCCCGATCGATACTCTGTTGCCGCTGTTGCTATGGTTTGGCGCACTTTGTCGCTGTCGCTGTAATAGTGATCATTGATGGCGAAAGGAGTCTCATCAGGTGGATCTGTTGCCGGACTGACGACAAGAAGGTGGGGGATGGATCGGCAGAGATAGCGACAACGACGACAAGTAACAGAGCAACGAGACCAACAGTCTTGTCGAGTTGACAGCTACAAGTCCGTCTGAAGCTCTGAAGGGATGCTGTATATAAAGCATTTCAATCTTGGACGCAATATCTCAACACCCCTTCGAAGAATTGCACCGTTCCATTCACAACCACCTCGTTGCAAGCCCACACAAATTCACTAGCTTCAACGAAAACAAAACTTCATCATGCCCATTCCTACTGCTCCTATCACCCAGCTTCCGGTCAACAAGCTCGACAAGCATATCGCCAAGAACGCCGCTTGGGCCACCGATTTCGAGGCCGACCAACGGGGTCTTCTCGAAAAGCTCGCTAAGGGGCAACAACCGCAACTTCTATGGTTTGGCTGTAGGTCGTCAGGGATTTTTAATGAGGCTCCGACTCTGTAAAGCTTACTGGTTTGCGACTTGTCGGCGCTGTTGGTTGTAGGCTCGGATAGTCGGGTACCCGAATCGATCGTCCTCGACAGCAAGACCCCCGGGGAGATCTTCGTTCATAGGAACATCGCCAATACCTTCAGCGGCGCCGATGATTCTTGCCATTCGGTGCTTGAATACGGTGTTGGGCATCTGGATATCAAGCACGGTACGTGCGGCATACTCTAGCCAGTATCTATCTACTATTCGCTGACGCTCTTTGCTTTTGTCGCGTTGCGCGGTGAAACTTGTAGTGGTCGTTGTTGGACATACCGCTTGCGGGGGTTGCGCCGCGGCTTTCAAAAGTGACCCGCCGACTTCCAAGATCGAGAAGGTAAAACCTTTTACCTCTTCCTTCTCCCGCCTGCCTTCAAAATCTTGCCGAGAACCTGATTTGGTTCCAATATTATCCCTCGATTGTCACAGTCCTCCAACCCTGACTCGCCCTTGATCAACTTCCTTCAACCTCTTATCAAGCTGCGACACTCCCTCCCCGATCGATCCACCTTGGACGACTTGATCGTCGCTAATGTCAAGCGAGGTGTCGACGAGATCTGTCAGACCGAGGTGAGTCTTTGCGCTCTCCTAGGTTCTCCTGCTCATCTTGTACAGAAAGACGAGGTGATCTGATTCTGAGACTACATGTTCGGTTACTTGCCTGTCGAGTAGGTCATCAAGAAGAACTGGAAGGCCACTGAAGACTCCGACGAGCTTCCCGTTCAGGTACATGGGTAAGCCGAACCTTTCCCCCCTTAACACCACCGTCGGTGCTCGCATTTGCTGATTAGATTGGAAACAATAATATGTTATCGGTAGCTGGATGTATAACCTCTCGACCGGCCGTCTCCAGGACCTCGGCATGACCCGCTCGGCTTAATTTTTAGGTTAGGCTGGCTTGTACCGCCTCGTCGATTGCGGGTACAGCTCGACAAGGGTTCCGCTGAGATTCTGCATTGCGTCTGGGACTCATGAAAAAAGGGTTGAGGCGATGTCTGAGGTTACTTGTACGAGTGCAGTCTGTGCTGGATGTGATTCCGATATACGATATGATCTATGCGCTATAGCACGATTCGTCAGTCCCGGTCTTGCCAATTAGACGATGCTTCGTAGAGGATTTTGCACAGACGTGCACATTCGTGGCCAATAGCTTCCGCCATCACAAGTGAAACAGGCCCAGGAGACCCGGTCGGTCAAGCGTTAAACATCATGTTCCAGTCGTCAACAAAGAATTCCATCAAGAAGGGATCGAGTAAAGAAGGCTGTCCGTCCGGTCCCTCGAACCAGGCGCCTTCGAGCCACGCTGGCGGCGCTTCGTTGTTCCGTTTGACCTCGACAGCGACTTCGGCAAAGTCTATATGGCAGAGCATATGTCAGTATGATTCGCGTCCCCACACGCGTGTGCCTAAGCCTCGAACTTACTCGTATCGAGGAGTTCCAAACGAGAGCCATCCGGGTTTCGCAAGCAAGATACGAGCCGCTTCATCAAAGCATCCATCACCTTTCGTTCCCTGGCCGACACGGCGTCATCTTTGCCCGCATCGAGGTCTGCCTGTAGTCGCCGACAACAGCCCTGGATGTACTCGAGCGACTCCCTCTGTAGTTCCGGATCAATGTCTTCTTTCAGTTCCGAGCTGAGGAGGAGCGAGATCCCCAGTACAGTGACCGAGTTGAACTCTGCCCATGCGCCTCCATACATCATCGTCTAGAACGGAAGATGTAACCTCAGTTGCAAGCGAATTTGTTATAACGATCCAGTCTCACTGACCTGCTCGACTTCAGTGAAAGACGCCAACCACGCATTCCGCAGACGAAGATCACGGATGGCAGTATCCACACATCTTCTCCAGCAGATACGATATGGTCCCTCAGCCTCGGAGAATCGTCTCGAGTTCAACATGAAAGGCCGATGCAGCAGGATTCGGATAAAGTAAACCGAGCCGATGATGACCTGACGATAGACCTTCAGCCGGGGGTATCTGCTCTCGGTAGCATAGTTTAGATGCACCGGATTGACTGAAAAGATGTTTGGAAGGTTGTTGAGGTATTCGTTCAGTTCGTCGTCGATAGCGAACAAAGCTCGGAAGGCGGCGTCCTTCTGCCGAGCGAAGCCTTCTGGTGATAATTCCGTCGGAGAAACCGGGGCGTCTAGATCCTGGAAATCCTGAAACAGCTCGGAGACGCGAGTCATGAGGCTATACAGTGGCATGGCATCGGGTAAGCTAAACTAAAGAAGCAGTTTCTTAGGGTAGTGTACACTTACGGCGTGAGTTCGTTCCGCGCCAGCAAATATTGTCGCACGTCCCAGGGAAACTGCTCCAGGTCTTTCGGAGTCGGCATCAGGGTCGAAAAGCGACTTATCATCAGAGGCCGACCCAAGACCAAAGCCCATTCTCGATCTGGCAGAAGGGGGTGCATGAGTGACTAGCTGTAGCGGGGACCTCTGAACACCACTTGCCGTCATGAAGGCAGTGGGACCATAGTATCCTCCGCTCGGCAATTTCTGCGTCAGAGAGCCCGAAACTCGCCCCATCCCTATCGTCCAAGCTATTTGTTAAACTTTTCGCTAGTCAGATACATGTCCAGCGGTGCTCACCGATGTAAACCCTGGTCGATGGCATTCCTCATCATCCCCCCGGAAATCACCCAGGTAGCCTGTGTGTTTCTAGCCATATCCGTATACCTGACCACCACCGTCCTCGCCCAAAGCATCTGAGTTGCGTTGGGGACATGGCTCTGGCAATACCCAATGACCTGATTGGCCGCCCAGAACAGCTTTGCCGAACGCGCGTGGTCGTCCGAGGAAAGAAGAGAGGGGGTGATGGATCCACAGGCAAGCACGGCGAAGAGGAGAGCGAGGGAGGGCATCCGGTTCTTGGAAGCGTCATGGGGATGTAAGGATAGCCTGTCGATGCAATTATCGACGTCCAGGAGGTCCCGCCAGTCCGGAGGAAAGACGTGAGGAGGTAACGGATATCTCGTCCAGTCCTTTTAAGCGGAACGGAACAGGGTTTAAAATACAGATTCAGCCATCTCTTTCCGATATGTTTGCGTAGCAGTACCCACCCAATAAGAAAAGTAAGAAGCTATCAACACTTCACAGTCCTTGACCGTAGGTAGAACCTTGAAGATGTCCCAGATCTCGTACTGCCTGAAATGATCCAGACCCAACAGCTTGTCCAACGACGAGCTGGGCAGGTCTTCTCTGAAAAAGGTATAATCTTCGGAGACGGATTCTGGACCGGTCGAGCCCCTTTTCTACGGCAATTCGAAAGCGCAATGTAGAGTCAGATTTTGGTATAGCGGAGTCTTCGGGTTCGGAAGATACGTACATCGTTGAGTAAAGGAGCTTTGGTGAGTGCGCCAAGCGCAGAAGCCCCGTTGTAACTGAAAAGCGGGAATGCAGAGGATCGTCAAATTTAACGCCGTGTCCTAAGCATCTTGACGACTCAGAATCTGAGATTGAAACTGACCCATTTTCTGCAAGGTATTCTTCTGCATCCCTCTGAATTTGATGCCTACTTCCATTTCCGTTTGCCGTGTTGTCAAAATCGTTTCTTCGCGTGGTATCCACCATCGTCGAGGTTGATGTCGACGCGACCATCGAGCCTCCCATCCCGTTTGATAATTGACCGCTGCGCATTGCATTCTGCGTTGCGCCTGATCCTGGTCTTAGTCCAGCTCCCGATCCTGATGCTTCTCCCGGTCCTGGCGCGGCAAAACCCGTTCTCATCCTCTCTACCTCCCTGATCCCTGACCCTGATGCAGACTCCATCATTCCCAAACGAGTCTTCAGCTCGATATACAGCCTGACGTCCGCCGACTGTTCCAGTCTATCCAGCTCCAGTAAGATCGATCCATCGGCCGAGGTGGTATTGCTGTACCCATCGGTCTTGGCAGACCACCTGGCCTTGATATCCGTCAAACTAGAGCTCGGGGTCCTCAAGGGGATATAAGGTCGTTCTCTCTCTAGCCTCTCCAACCGGGTGCTTGCGGTTGGTGTAGTGGAGGACGAGGCTATTGTATGGCCCTGACTTTGAGTCGGGGAGTGAAGAGGTGGAGGAGGTATACATCGTTCGGGGATTCCTCTGACCCGACAATGTTTGCAAGGGAATTGTCGACTAGACGCACAATCGATTGCGTGATGTTAGCGCTCGATGCTCGACATCGTCGTAGTTCTGCTTTATGAGCCAAAATTATACGATCAGATAGCACTCACTCGCATTTCTGTTTTCTACGATAGCATTCGCTACCTAGACAAGCTCAAAATCAATCACTGCACCTCCGAGTCGGCAGCTATAAACTTGCAGTTTAGAGATTCTCTCGGTCGTTTCCTAGCCTGCCTTCGGGCTGCTTCGAGGGGGTCTTCCTCGGGTTCCATACGGGGAGCGAACAGGTGGAAGAGCTCTACCTCAGAACGCCACAGTTGGATAGTTTGGTCAAATTCGAGAAAAAGAGGATTTCGACAAGGATTGTCTGTACGAGCAGACTTTCGGACTTGACGGCCGAGACCGAAGCAAGCTTTGGCGAGGTTCGCGATGAAGACCCGTCGACCATCGTATTTCTAGGCCACTTTATCACCCTGATTTGGGCGACATAGAACGTCTCTTCAGCCTTTCATAAGCTTTTCCTGACGCCGATATAGATATCCTTGCGTCAACGACATTTCCCGCAATCGCAAACCGACGCAAACCTGGATCAACCAGCCGCAACCCAGCACACAGCACGCAGGCTTGGATCACAGATCAGCTTGACAGAGCACAGAATGACCACTTCAGATGCATTGCAGACTGCCGACCAGCTCGAGCAGGAGCTACAATCTCTCGAACTGGTCAAAGAATTGCGGGGAAAGGTCGACCCGTCCGACTTGCAGGGATGGTATGAAACACGTAAGTTCTGATAGCAATCCCAACTTTCGTCTCTTCACAAGGTCTTCCGAATTAGCTAATTTTCTAGGACCCGGTTGTTGCTGCTATGCATCTCAAATACAGGTCCAGCGAGTCGATCACTGAGTCCTCACTCGCTCATGGTCACAACCCTCCGTTCACCGTCCTTGATCGCCATACCTCCCCTTGCGTTCGCCCGTTGTGACGAATCCGCTGCCGTCTTGATCTACCATCTAGGAGAATCCCTGTGTGGGCATGAAGGAATCATCCATGGAGGGATCATTGCGACGATACTAGACGATTCGTTGGCTAGGAATGTGAGTCCGAGGAGATCTGTACGTGATTGAGGTTCAAAGACCTAGTTGACTGATCCCAAGAATTTGCGTTTACTATAACTCAGGCTTTCCTGAGCTTACCCTCAAAGACAGGAGTGACCGCTTCGTTGAACATATCGTACTTGAAGCCGACTAAGACGAATCAGTTCATCGTCGTACGCACTCAGCTGGAATCTATACAGGGCAGGAAAGCTATCGTCAATGGGCAGATAGAAGATCTTGCCGGGAATGTTCTCGCTAAAGCTACGTGAGTTTCCTTTCTTTCAACATTTCACTTCCACTTATGCCCTCCTGACTGATGTATATCCTCGTTTTTGTTCACCGGATATGACAATGATGCTGAAACTCAGCGGCCTGTTCATCGAACCGAGAAACGCTCAGGTATTGAGCGATAGCCGATTACTGGCGATCTGGGGAGAACGACCGTCAATATCGACCAACGACACAACAGAGACCACAGACAGCGCTGGTGGAGATACAGACGGGAAGATAGACCCGGTCGTTTAAGAAGCGAGAAAACACCATGCAAAGTCTAGGGGAGCGAGAACGCGAGAACCCCTCATCTCTTGATCGACTCTGCCGCTCAAAGGGCTGCGTTCTCGTAACCTGAAGATCGGGGCGCCAATATTTCATGACCAGTCTACGTAGCGAGACCCCAGACGAGCAGCTCGTTGCCTTCACATAACAAGCGATGTAGGATTCAGCCCGCAGCCCGAATGTATAGCATATAGCATGTATAGACGGATCGCAGAGTATGCGATGCCCCCACATCTCGCTCGAATCCGACGAGTCACGTGATCCAAAGTCTCTACTGTCGAGATTTCAAGGAGATCGACCTCGACCTTTCCTCATAAGGCCACACAACGGGTATCTTGAAGCTGTATACTCGACTCGAACTACGCAGACACATACTGGAGATCAGGCCCACAGCGACAATTCGAAAACTAGGGTCATTCATCTGGTCTTGATTGCGATAGTCAGAAGTGGAAGCCAGAGACATATATCTGGCTATAAATCTCGAAATTTCATCCAGCTCAACACGAAACCTATAGGCAGAACGAAGCAGCTCCGTCAATGGTTCGCTCGTATTCTAGGCATGGGCCCACTCAGGTAAGTGATGCTCTCGAACTCTGCTAGCCATCCGTACTGTCGCTTACATCTGGTCGCAATTCTAGGTCTTTGGCCTGATTACCTCGCCTGCAGCGACATCTTATACCGCGACATCGTCAACAGATTCAAATACTTACGCTTTTGTACCAGCCTGGGAGGATGTCAACGTATTCGACGTAAGAAAGGGGGAAAAAGTTGGGGAATGGCACGTACCTGGAGGAAGAGAAGAAGTCGTCAAGATCTGCGCGGCCCCTCGAAGATCCTCGTCAAACGTTGGTGACGGGAACGAAGAGGAACAAGACCAGGAAGAGGAGGATGAGAAGATCTTCGCTGTGGCCTACGCCGATGGAGCTATCAGGATCTGGTCTTCGACTTTCCCTAGTACCACCTCATCCGAAGGTTACCCTAACCAGGCTTTCGAGCTCGTCACCTTTAACGGTCACAAGAAATCACCTACAGCCTTGACGTTCTCTTCGTCCGGCCAACTCCTCTTCTCCGGTGGGGTCGAGGGGGAGATCGTCGTCTGGGACGTCTTGGGCGAAGTCGGCTTGTTCCGTTTGAAGGGTCATCGAGGTGGAGTCTCTGGGCTCAAGTACCTCCCTCATCCGGATTCGACGAACACGGGCGCGGGAGTGGAGGCGAAGAAGGGGTTCCTTCTGAGTACCTCCAAGGACGGGATGATGAAGCTCTGGGACCTTGACAGTCGACATTGTCTGGAGACCGTCGTTGTCGGGCGAGGAGAGGTGGCCTCGCTGGATGTACAGAGACGGATCGAGTCGGACGGGTTTGAGGAATTGAGCGAGGACGTTGGGCCGAAGGGAAGGTGGACGGTCTTGACGGGTAGTATGAGCGGGGAGGTCAAGGTTTGGGAGGTCGGGTACGATGATCTACGGAAAGGTATCAGGGAGAACGAGGATGGGAACGTGAGTTTGGAGCGTTGTGCCTCTGCTGGGTGGTCTCAATTCTGACACCGATACCTTCCCTCTCTGCAGCTCAACCGCCTGATCCACTCGATCGGCCCGCTTCCGCTACCCAACTCTTCAAGCAATACCCACCCAATCCAGAGCATCTACTTCCACCCCAACTCTCGTATCCCACTCATCTACGTACAAACCAGCGACAAGACCGTTCAAGTCGTAAGGATGCGAAGCGAGGAAGATATGGAAGCTCGACGAGCTCGTAAAAGGAGACGTGAGCGGGAAAAGGCCAAGGACAAGAAGAAGGGTGGAGAGGATGACGAGATGTTGGCCGACGAGATCAAGGTCGAGGATGGGGACTCGACCGCAGGGACCTGGTTGGAGCGGATAACCGACTATTGCATCGTCCGCGCCAAAGCCAAGATCAGGTCGTTCTCCCTTGTCGAATCCGAAACCTCGGGGACGCTCCAGATCTTGTTACAGCTGAATAACAATTCGCTGGAGACCTGGACTGTCCCCGCTCCACCTGTCGAGAGCGCTTCCGGGTCGGTGATGAAGAAGCTCAAGGCGTTGGCAGGTACGAATGGGGTGATCGAGCCAGCGAGGAAGTATTCGGTGGAGCATTCCGGACATCGGGCGGATGTCAGGACGTTGTGTGTCAGTTCGGACGATCAGGTGGTAGCTAGTGCTAGTAACGGTGAGTGCGAACGCTGTGTGCGTGGTATAACCTTGCTGATACAATGTATGGATATGCATGACAGGTCAACTGAAGTTGTGGAATCTGAAGACGGGTATTTGTATCCGTACGATGGATTGCGGATATGCGATCTGCTCCGTCTTCTTGCCCGGGGATCGACATGTTAGTCATGGTCTGCGCAAGCCTGTTCGCCGAGATACCTTATTTACATTTAAACCGCTTCATTGTACAGGTCGTCGTAGGGACAAAAGGAGGGACGCTAGAGCTCTTCGATCTACCTTCAGCTACACTCTTGCAATCGGTCCAAGCTCATTCAGGACCGATCTGGGGGATCGACGTCCGACCGGACAAGGGGGGGCTCGTCACCGGAAGTGCCGACAAGGACGTCAAGTTCTGGGACATTCGGACGCGCGAGGTCGCCGGCGAGGGAAGCAAGATCTTGACGCGATTGGGAGAGGAACGAGTTGTAAGTCTTCGCCTGTGGTCCAGAGCTCATATGATAGAGGAAGCCGAGCTCATCCAGCGCTCCGATACAGATCAAAACGAAGCAATTATCACTGGTTCACACCAAGACGCTCAAGATGACCGACGACGTCTTGGCCGTCAAGTATAGCCCGGATAACAAGCTGCTCGCTGTCAGTCTATTGGATTCGACGGTCAAGGTCTTTTTCCAGGATTCCCTCAAGTTCTTCTTGAGCTTGTACGGTCACAAGGTGCGTCGCATCTGCAGATAGACCCATACATTGGAAAGGGAAAGGGCTAACCGCCACACGTTCTCTGTCTCTAGCTTCCGGTACTGTCAATGGACATTTCGCAAGATTCCAAGCTGATCATCACTTCGTCGGCCGACAAGAACATCAAGATCTGGGGTCTCGACTTTGGTGACTGTCACAAGTCGATCTTTGCACACGAGGAGTCCATCATGAGCGTCGGTTTCGAAAAGGGCATGGGCCACGACGGGTTCGGAAGCACCGGTCGGGGTAGCCATTTGTTTTGGAGTATCGGCAAGGACGGGCTAGTCAAGTACTGGGATGGAGACAAGGTGCGTTCGAACAACGTGATACTGGATGAGCTATTTGACTGAATCCTGTTCGATTTGCAGTTCGACCTTATTCAAACGCTACGAGGACATCATTCGGAGATTTGGTCTTTGGCGCTGAGTCATTTCGGCGACTTTGTCGTGACGGGAGGTGGCGATCGGGGGATCCGAGTATGGGAGCGGACAGAGGACCCGGTGAGTAACAAGCCGACCAAAAGGTCTTCAGGATCATCAGGCTGACTGATTTGCTATCGCTACAGCTCTTCTTGGAGGAAGAACGTGAACGAGAGATGGAACAGACGTACGAGAGCAACCTGCTCTCCACCCTGAACCGCGAAGATCGTGCTGTTGGGAGCGGAGCTGGAGGTGCAGATGGGGAGAACGAGCAAGATCCCGATGCTGGCGGCGCAGACCAGGCGGGAACGGAAGCTGATGCTGTCAAGAAGCAGACCGCGGAATCGCTGATGGCAGGGGAAAAGATCTTGGAAGCTCTCGAGCTGTGCGAGGCGGACGCTCAGACGTGGAGGGATTACCAGGAGTCGTTGGCGAAGGCGCCTGCGGGGGTGAGAGAGGGTTTGTTGCCTCCCCAGAAGAACCCGAGGATGACGGCTTTGGCTCGGGAAGGAGATCCTGAAGACGGGATCTCTGGGGCCGAGTATGTACGAAGGGTCGTCGAGGGTCTCAAAGGTCCCGGCTTGGAGGACGCTCTCCTGGTCTTGCCGTTCGACCGCGTGAGAACGCTCGTTGGGTGTCTAGACCAGTGGATACAGGGCAAAGTCTCCATCCCGCTCGCGAGCAGGATCCTATTCTTCCTGCTCCGGACACATCACCACCAGATAGTCTCGACGCGTCATCTTCGGACCACGCTCGTCTCGCTCCGCGTCAACCTTCGGGACGCCTTGAAGCACGAGCGGGACATTTTGGGTTACAACTTGGCTGGTCTAAAATACGTCAAGCGGTTGGACGATGCCGAGAGGATCGCTGGCGTGTTGGAAGGCGAGATGGACGAGAAGGTCGTCAAGGCGCGGATCGAGGAGGGTATCAAGAAGCGAAAGAGGGTCGGGGTTGTGGCATGATGATGATCGATTCGTTGCATTGTAACAGTATTCGTGCATATAGGTACATACATTTGCTCTGGTGTATCTCTCAATGATCTTAACGATCTTACGGTTAGCTCTTGGCTTACACGGTCGTGTGCCCACAAGCGATGATTCTCCCATTACGGGCATGTTTCTGGCTGTATTCCCGGTTCATGACGCGTGAGAAAGCGATTTCTTTCGGGTCGCGGGCTTTGCCACAACGGTTGGCACCTCGAAGATCCTTTCTTCATCCATATCGACCTCTTCCTCTGCCATCGACCGATCCGTAAACTGGTACAAAGCCACATCAACCGCCTCATTTCCTAACCTGCTCTTCTCTCCTCGCATTCGAGACAGAGAGATCGCCTAGCAGAACACCAAGTCAAGGACCGCTTGTCTAGCACGGCTCCACACCGACGAACTTGCCTTTGTTCTGACCTTTATACGCATAACATCGCATTTGACGACGATACCTTCTACCCTTTGTGGTTCATATCGTTGGTATTTTGGTTACCAAAAGAGCCGAAAGACCAAAGCCAGGGAAAAGAAAGAGACACGAGATCGTAGAGAGAGAGAGACGGCTCATATCGCCAACTCAATTGCCGAGTTTGAACCGTACCTCGTCACCCTCCGCCTTTACCTTGTTGTTACAGCCGTTATTGCCTATCGACCGGAATTCTAGGCGATACTATCTTATCCACCACTCAGACAGACCGAGCCAGTACGTAGGAAACGCCATAATCCGGAGCAACCATGTCCACCATCTTCTTCAAGTTCCCCCACCAGTCCACGGAATCCCGGTTGACTTTTGATGGAACGCATATTTCGGTATTCGATGTCAAGAAGGAGGTCATGCTCCAGACCAAACTCGGGAGCGGGCGGGATTTTGATCTCAGCGTGACGGACGCTAGTAGTAAAGAAGGTCAGTCCACTACCCAGCTATTGCTGTGGGGGTATGCCGTCCGAACACTTAGGCTTACGTCTTGTTTTTCTTCCCGATCGATACTCGCTGGGGAAACAGTTCTTACCGACGACCATCACCAGATCCCCCGTTCGACCTCGGTCATCATCCGTCGGATCGCCCCCAACCCCAAACTCAAGAACGGGGGTACCGCCGCACGGTATATCGCAGGGACGTCCGCTTCTGTCGGTGGGCGGGACGATCTCGTCGACCGGAGGGTGGAGGCTAGTTCGAGGGAGGAGCTCATGAATAAACGAGGTTTAGGAGGGTTGAGCCGAGGGGGTGGGATGATGGGTAAGGGGAATATGACGGCTAGGTTTGATAAGAAGGAGGAAGAGGATGTAGGTGTTTTTCCCGTCTTATCGTCTTCGCACTTGAATACACCTATGAAGATCTCTAACTGACATCTCGTTAGCAGGGCTCTGCTGCACCGGCTCCACCAGCGACAGAGGAAGAAGCTAGATTGGCGGCGTTCTTCAACGAGACGAGCAACGAGTGGGAACAGACCCACGAGGCGTTATCACAGTTAGTCTTTTGCTCTCCTTTGATCGTGTTCTTTCTTTTCTTCACCATGTTGTATCGGTTGGGGTTGTTGCGGGATGGAGATGTTTCTTATCGTTATACAATCGAGATGGGATGGTTCGACGTCGGTACTGGTGCCTCGTTGGGCTTAGTATAAATAAGCTCCGACAAGGCTACTATCTGCGTCTCTTACCACAAGATTCGCCGTTCAAGCCGACCATATTGGTACTTGTCCGTTTATCAATCTACATGCGCTGACACCACCTATCATCTTCACATTGCACTTGAATCGTTTCACTACTGGATCACTTGTCGCGCGCACAGCCAAACTCGAGTGCACGGCTCGGCGCGAGGCTCTTTCCGACCCCGAGGTGGTGGGCCCGGACATGCCGCTCCTCCTGCCAACTGGTCCGGTCAAGGTCCTCCTCCGGGGATGTCGAGTAGCAACTGGCATTACCTACAGAACCCGGACAAGGAGCCTCCTCCAGGATATATCTGTTTCAGGTGTGGTCAAAAGGGTGAGTCCCGGTCGTGTCGATCGGACATTCTTCTAGCGACGTTGTTGACGACTCTGTGATGGTTTCGTGTATTTATGCAGGTCACTGGATCCAAGCTTGCCCGACGAACGAGAACCCGGAGTTCGAAGGCAAGCCCCGTTTCAAGCGGACGACGGGTATCCCGAAATCCTTCCTCAAGACCGTAGAGAAACCCGCCGACGGGGCGGATTCCGACGATCCCAACTTGGGAGGAGCTTCGGTCATGATCACCGGCGATGGATCTTTCGTCACCGTCCAGCCCGACCGACAGACGTGGAGAAAGACGACAAAACCTAAACCGCTTACCGCTGGGGAACTGCTCAACTTGACCTCTGATGGATCTTCTGGAGGAGGAGGACTGGCGCTCCCGCCTCATCTGACCTGTCCGGTCTGTACAAGGTTGTTACATACGCCTAGCAGGACGCCTTGTTGCAAATCGTTGTATTGCGAAGAATGCATCCATAACCACCTGCTGGACAACGATTTCGTCTGTCCTTCGTGTGAGAGCAAGATCTCCAGTTTGAAGGGCGTCAAGGTGGATGAAGAGGTCAAGAAGCAGGTCGACGAGTTTGTCGATGTCGAGGTCGAAAGGAGGAAACAGGAACGGAAGGCCGCGGGCGACGATGGGGAGGGGGAGGGGAGCGAGGACGAGGTGAAAGCGGAAGTAAAGGGTGAGGAGGCAGATGAAAACAAGGTTAGTTACAATCCTGGCGTTGACAAGCTTAGATTGAAAGTCCGCTAAATTTTCGATCTGCTGAATTTACATAGTCTGCTAAAGCAAAGTCGGAAGAACCCGGTGTCAAGCCCGGTACGCCGAATCCCGAGATCAAGGACGAGGTCAAGCTCGAAGAAAAGCCCGCCGAAGGTGCCACCGGAACTCAAGATCAGTCGGCCCAGATGGCCGGCTTCAATAACAATAACAACGGCATGAACAACAACGGCAACAACATGGATCCGGCGATGATGATGAACATGATGAACATGATGGGGATGATGGGAGGGATGAACCCGATGATGGCATTGCAAGCTCAAGCAGCTCAGGTAAGCGCGCATATTCACTTGCCTTGGCGATTCGTCTGGCTGACGTCGATAGTATCGTTTGTTCTCGGCAGATCATGATGAACTTGCAAAATCCTCAACTACTTCATCCCGTTCGGCTGCAACTGCAGGTCCAGCTCAATATGATTCAACAGCAGATGAGTCAGATGAGCATGATGGGCATGGGAATGGGCATGGGCATGCCGATGAACGGGATGAACATGAACATGAACGGGATGATGGGATCACCGATGGGTCAGCTGAACCAGGGACAACAGGGATTCAACCAGCAGCAACAACAACAGCGTCAGCAGATGCCACATATGCAACAGCAACAAATTCAGCAACAACAAATACAGCAGACCGGAGGTCCGGCGGGGGTGAAGCGCAAGTCGGAAGGTCAAGGTGGTCCGGCAGCGAAACAGGCTCGACAATGAGGCGATCTCGCTGGTGCCCGAGTGTTTCCCCGTGCCACATAGTATAGTATCAATTACATCCCAGTTGTATCAATCCCACCATTAGCATAGCAACACCTTCATATATCCATACATTCGACGTTGCCCTTCTGACTCGGTAGGACGAGCGATCTCGATCACGTGATGGCTTTCCGAGGTAGCATCGGATATCGGAACTTGCCGAAAGTTGGGGACCCGATTCATCATCTTGACATTCATTCCCCAAGACATACTAACCGTATACAACTATTGATCTGAACATCGTGAAGTACAATAGGCCGTCAAGCATCGAATCGTCGCAGATCTTCCGAACGCCAGGCAAGAAATGCCGCTGTTATACCCCAAGCTCAGGGTGACCCAGGTCTTTGGTGGTCAGTGCAGCTCGGCTGGAAACCATGACCGTCGGTGCTGAACCTCTCTTATGAGCGACTATTAACAGCCAACACCGATGTGAGTTTCATCCCTAATAATAAGCAGGGGTTCCGCCGGATCGCTGATCAATCATCCGTTATGACAGGTCGGGAAGACGCTGCTTACCACCTCGCTACTCCGGTCGACAGCCAAGCTCTATAAGAAGCAAGATCAGGCTAGCGGGTCCGAGGGAAACAAGAAGGTCTGGTATCTGAAACCCATCAGTACCGGTCCGGAAGAGGAGAGCGATGTCTCGTGAGCTCGATTTCGTCTCGACATCACTGTGTACCGCATAGATCAACGCTCATCGATGCTCGATGTGGTCACAGGTACGTGGAGAGGAACGCTACGGATCATCTGGATAGGGTCCGGACAGCCAATCTGTATCAGTACCGAGAACCCGTTAGCCCACACCTGGCCAGACAATTGGCACCCGACCTCGTCAGTCACATAACCATAATTACTCGTTCGTCATGTCTGCTGACATTGAGACGTTCCCCGGGACATACCGCAGGCCTACCCAAAGACCAACGATCACCTCCTCACTAAGATCCGTCAATACGTCGAATCCTGCAGCACGAACGGCTCCGGATCCATCTACCTCGAGACCGCCGGAGGTGTCCACTCTCCCTCCCTACACGCGCCTTTGACTCAGATCGACTCTCTTCGTCCTCTTCGACTACCTACCCTGCTCGTCGCTTCCCCTCACCTAGGAGGAATCAGCACGACCCTGTCCGCTTACGAGTCGCTCGTCGCGAGGGGTTATACGATCGAGGGCGTCTTGGGGCTCAAAGATGATTATTATAGGAATCACGAGTTTTTGAAGGATTATTTCCTGGAACGCGGGATCGACTTTTGGGGCTTTGAGATGCCGCACAAGAAGGAGGGGTTGTCTATGGAGGAGGACGTGAGGCTGTTGAAGCGGTGGTATGACAAGATCGAGGATGGGTCGTTGGAAGAAAGGGGAGGAGATTCTATGGCCGATGTGGTTAGGCGTTTGGAAGAACGGCATGAAGCGAGGATCACCGAGCTGGAGAGTATGCCTGGACGGACTCAGAAGAGCATCTGGTGGCCTTTCACCCAGCACGGCCTGGTCAGTACTAAAGACACCCATCCGTGTACTCTCGGCAATAAGCTATACTAATCCTGGCGTGATCTTTGGTCAAAAGGTGAACAAGGAATCGGACGTCATGGTCATCGATTCAGCTAAAGGCGACACGTTTGACGCGTACTACAAGCCGGGGGAATTATCGGCGAGCAGTACAACCCAGGATGGAGAGGGTCAAAGCATGTTGAAGCCTCTGTTCGATGGCAGTGCGAGCTGGTTCACGTGAGTTATAGGAATGCTCTTGTCTTTTCTGATACACCTCCGCTGAAACTTTACGTCTCCGTACGACTCGAACAGACAAGCGCACACTCACGCTCATCCTCGTCTGACCATGGCCGCTGCTGAAGCGGCAGGGAGGTATGGACACGTCCTCTTCCCCTCTGGTACCCACGCGCCCGCCTTGGAGCTAGCAGAAAAGCTTCTCGATACGGTAGGAAAGGGCTGGGCGGAGAGGGTCTTCTATTCGGACAACGGCAGCACGGGGATGGAAGTCGCCTTGAAAATGGCGCTGAGGTCGAGTGGAAGGCGGTATGGCTGGGAGGGTGTCGTTGGGGAGAACGTGGGAGTAATCGGGCTGAAGGGCGGATATCATGGTGATACGGTATGTCCCGAAAGGAATTCTCCGCGGGGCTGCCAATAGGTACTGATGCATGGTCGCGCAGATTGGGTCGATGGACGCTTCGGATCAAGGGATCTACAATACCGCCGTTGACTGGTACAAAGGTCGTGGATACTGGTTCTCCCCGCCAGAAGTCAAGATCCAGCAAGGCAAAGTCGTCGTCAACTCTACCGGCAACAAACGCGATTGGCCTGCTCATCCTATGAAGGACAGTTTCACGCCAACCGAAAAGGCTGCAACGGCGCCGCTCTGGTCGGTCGAATTTGGCTCGTTACCGGAAGTTTACGATGTCGAGTCTCGTCTGGCTTCGCCTCTTGCGGAGTATTACCGGTCGCACATCAGATCGACGTTGGAAAGGATTATGAAGCAGGTTGACCCTACCACAGGAGAGAGAAGACGTCTGGGCGCTCTAGTGCTCGAGCCCATGTGTCTAGGAGCAGGCGGTATGGTTTTCGTCGATCCGCTCTTCCAGCGATGTCTCATGGATGTCGTTCGAGCGAGCGAGGATCTGTTCATTGAGGGCTCCGTGAAGGGTGACGTAGATGGATCCGACTGGAAAGGTCTGCCTGTCATCTTCGATGAGGGTGAGTAGCGTCGAGCTGTAAATAGCAGCGAAATTCTGACATTTCGCTTCCAACAGTTTTCTCTGGTCTACGTCGGCTGTCCTACCTGTCAGCCTCGGAAGTTTTGGGTGCCTCGCCAGATATCGCAGTCTACGCCAAGATCTTGTCAGGAGGTCTTCTGCCGCTCTCCACCACACTGGCGTCGGGTTCCATATTCAAGGCTTTCCTACATCCGACGAAAAAGGTCGAAGCTCTTCTTCACGGGCACAGCTATACCGCAAACCCCATCGCTTGCAACGTTTCTTTGACTGCTCTCAAGATGGTCGAGGAACAGCAAGTGGCTTCCGAGAAAGGCGAGGGTGCCTGGAAAGAGGCCAAGGCGTCTTGGCTGAGCGAGTCGAGCAAGCTCAACGAGATGTGGAGTTTCTGGGACAAGGACTTTATCGACCGAGTCAGCAAGTCTGATCGGGTTCAGGGTGTGATGACGATGGGAACGGTCGTTGCTATCGAATTGAAAGAAGAGGCGCAGGACGGATTTGGCGGTACGTCACCCTCGGGTACGGGCCTCAATTCCCGCACACTGACAAGGCCTCTTATCTTAGGCTACGCATCATCGCTCGCCCTGGACTTCCTCACCTCGCTGCGCCAGGGTTCGCCGATCTCGGGATCATCAGAAGAATCATCAACTTTCGCACCGTTCCATATGCATTCGCGTCCACTCGGCAATGTCGTCTATGTGATGACCAGCCTATGGACAGACAGACAGGTCGTCAAGGGGATCGAGGAGGCCATCGAAGCCAAGCTCGCCAGCGGATGGTGAGGGGTTGACGATTGGATATCCAGAACAATGTATCTATACAAAGGCATACACAAGCATAGACAAGCACGATAATGCATGACCTTAGGCTCCGACGGCAGCAACCTCAGGCGTAGGCTCCTTCATCTCGACATCAGCATTCGGCTTGGCTTCCGTCTCCTTGATTTCTTTCTTCCCCTCTCCCTTCTTTTCGTTATCTTCCTGGTCGTCCTCGTCCTCGTCGTCATCCTCACTGTCGCTCTCTTCGTCAAACCAAGCCGGGTCGAACTCATTCTCACGAGCCCACTCTTCAAACATACGAATCTTTTCGTCAAACAAGGCCTGAAGCTTCTCGACGGCCATGTCGACCTCCTCGGGAAGGATGCCGATCACCCAGCAGTGCAGACCAATCTCTTCCCCGACCGCACCCGTCCTCTTGGGAGGCTCGTTCAGCAAGTCAGACTTGAACCCCGGGAGAGGAACAGAGGGAGGAGCCTCAGCATCGACAGCTGCGGCAGCGACAACTGTATCCCCTTTGTTCTTGCCATCGACTTCCATAGCTTTGACCTCTTCGGCTTCAGGCGCTTCAGCGACCGCGCCCAGACCGGCTCGGTTCTGAGGAGGACTGATGTTCTGACCAAGTGGCATCATGTGGGTTGATTTTTCGGCATCGGCCTTTTCACCCTTGCCCATCGTAGGAGACTTGGTCGGCGGGGTGACCGGTCCAGAGTTTCCGGCAGTCACCTTGAGCCTCATGTCGGGAGCGTTGGGAAGCAGACGGCCGTTGGGGTTCTCGTCCGGCTTCGGGGTGGGCGGCAAGGGCATGTTCGATGCGTCCGGCGAAGGCGGAGCGTTGGTGCCCAACGGTTGCTTGGGGGGTTCGATCTTGTTCTGGACGGCGAGAAGGGCGTCCTCGAGCCTTTTGAGCTCGGGCGAGTTGTCGGACATGGCTCCGCTCAGCCCAGCGAGCCCGAATGGAGCGGGCTTTCGGTGAATGGAGCGTTTCATCGTCCTGATCAAGACCGCTGCTCCAGTCTCGCGCTCGATCCAGGTGATCGGCTGCAAACCCTCTCCCGTGCCCAGAAGGGCGGTTCGCCAGTTGATCAGAGGGTACGACTTGATCGGGATGAGAAGATGCGCTTCGTATCGCTGAACTACCTCTCCGAGACTGTCAAACTGGACTGTATCGTTGATGGACCGTCAACCTGCCGTCACATGGCCTTCGAGATCATGGATGCGGACTTACTTGCTTCAGGCCGACGACGGGTGATTGGAACTTGCTGAGGCTTGGGAACGTTAGATGGATGAAACAAGTCCTCGAAAGCCTTGTCCGGTACAGGTGGTTTGTCGGCTCCATCCTTTTTGTCATCTGCAATACCACTTGACGTGAGATCGAGCGTGACAACAACAGCTAAGGGAACTCACCCTTGAGGTCCACCTCGTCAACCTTGATGCCGTCTGCTTTGTTCATCTCGACCTTGACCTCAGCGGGCCCCTCAACTCCGGTCCCTTCCTTCTTTTCCGCGCTCAGAGTTTTGATGGGAGTCATCGGTTCAATCTTTTCGGGGACGGCGATAGGCATGTCGAGCGAGGTAGATCTGAGGGGTGTCTTTTCGGGTCAACGTTGTGGATATGCTTCCGTTCTTGAACAGCACTTACATTGAGTGGTCGTATCCATGGCGGTGCAGGAAGAATGAGCAGGACTCCGACTCTATATACGGTATATCAGCTGCATAGCCCCTGAGATACCTCCTTTGTCCGCTTGGGAGGCGTCAGGTTCACCCTTACGGAGACGCGTTTCATGGCGCGCGCGCTGTTTCGGATCTCTGTAACGGCGTTGCGCTTGTGGCGGAGTTGGTGTTACAGGACAAGTCTTCCCTATACTACAGAGCCGGTAACAAGGACTTTCATGCCCCGGTCATTCGATTGGCAAGGCAGACTTTGCGATTACAGAGCTGGAATGAGGTCTTGCGAAGGCGTTACTTCGCCTGAGACAGAAAGATGATGGGTGCAGGCTGCTGTGGAGGATTGTGGGGTAAAACCAGATGAATTCAGATAGGACGTAAAGATGTTGGATGTGAGAGCAGTATCATTTGCTGATGGGACTAAGACGTTGGCTCAGGTCGCTCAATACCTGACATAGCCTCACCGAAATGATCCGTCATTCTTGGACATCATTTCCGATGCAATTCTTCTGTGGTATTCCCAGAACAAGGAAAATCACTTACCTGAATTTCCGCCGGCGAGATCGCGAGACAGATAGCTTACCGAAACATCGGGTGTAAGCATGACATCATACGGTTTACCGTTATTACAGTCAGGAGAAACAATGTACCTACAGTCATGTGAGTTCTTTGTGCCTGTATCGTGCCTGGGCATTTCTCTGGTTCTTCATGCGGCGATACCGGGCAAAACACATGCAACAGAACCCGGATGAATAGTGTGGGAAGAATGCCAAGCACACTTGCGTGAGTACGAATGGTTGCAATGCCTGTGCTTTTCTCTGATTCTTCATGCGGCCATTTCATAGAATTACAACACAGAACAATGCATGTACATCGAGATTAGGAAGAGACGGTCTAGGCCACTCCAATCAGCAAGGTCCAACCCATTCGTGGTCGTCAACAAGTATGCAAACTAATGGCCCAGCTGTTCGACCAATAGACGAAGATACCACCTGAGCATACGTCCTGTCACCAAATGTACGATCTACAATGCAAGGAAGCCCGAGCGTAGGGTTGTCGCATAGCTAGGCATACTATTACCTCCTCCGTGAGATAGGGCAAACTGTGTATTGTTTCCACAGACTGTGTTACGGTGTGTATATCATTCATTGTTGCTTGCACCGTCGCAGTTACCGGTAACAATTCGTGAACTATAGACACGTTAATGTCATCATCCCTATCAATCAAACAGTTGAACTGATCACAATCCAGGGCATCTGACCGGTCGTTGTCATCTGAGAAAATCCAAGGTCCTCAAGTATCTATGCCTCGCACTTGTTGGGTGTTCCGATGTTATGTCTCGGTTACGTCTTGAGGATCTTAAGTACTCATACATCGCAACAAGTAAGATTATCCTTCAAGCTGGCAATCTAAGGGATAGCATCCAGATCCCCAAGCTGCCTTCGGATATCGTCTGACCTGAGTGCTTGATTAAGGGCTGAGGTAGGGATATCAACGGCATCCAGACGATGATATACTCTCCTGAGTCGGTCGATGGCCTTTGCCCTCCAGAGCAGGTCGATCATGCAGCAACCAGCGCGCCCGATATGAGGCATTCTGCTTGCGAGCAGAGATGATCGAATCCTACATCCAATTATTTGTGGCATCTGTCCATGTTAGGAGAAAGTTTCCAGCTCCTCCTTTCTTCCGTGTTGCAGGACCATGCCATTGCGCTCTTGCTCGCTTCCAGCGACCCCCATACGGTGTACGACCTCGTCGTCAACACCCAACCTCATGTCATCCAGGTTCACAAGAGCGGTGAGTGGCAATTTGGATGCATCAGGCAAAAGAGGTTTCGCAGGCGCTGACAGCTGACACCGAAGGAATTGTCACGGCGATTCCATACCTGTACCCAAGCGGAACCTTGTTGGAGGATTTACAGCGCCTCAGCAAGGCTCTGTCCAAGAAACTCGCGAAGGTCGACCTCGACGCCCCTCACCCGTCGCCTCGTCACCTTCATGAAGGAAAGCTTGTTTGTGGAGCTTTGCTTCTTGGCCCTGTACTTCTGGACTTTGGTATCACTGGCGGTAGTCAAGGACCTTCAAGGAGACTGGCCTACCTATATCATCAGAAGGGGTGCTATAGAATGTGTGCATGTGGGAATTATTGGTGTCGGTAAGTCATATATATGCTCAATCACCTTGCTTGACTGTAGTTGACCCTTTCTTTCTTGTACTAGGTTGCCTCACAGTCAAGCCGATGGCAAACCGGTGGTCCCTGATGGGTGAATGGGCCTGATTGTTGCAGAAAGGTTGATGAGGCGTGAAGCAACGTTTGTGTTACTAGGACTGCTCAACGTAGCAATCCTGGGGTTGACAAGGTGAACCATTGCAGGTTCCTGCGATCTTGACGAGTTGAACCATTGTATAGGACTCGCCAATGTGAGATCGCGACCATGTACTGCTTACTATCGGAAACAATGGAATTGCTCAGATGATCAATCACAGACGGGTTACCTCTCCAGCGTCTGGGCATGTTCCTTGCTAACCGGCGCCATCCTTGCGACGGAACTGTCCTCCGCTTACATCTTTGTCCCGCGGCTCGATACGCAATACTCCCTTGTTCGTTCCCATTTCTTCTCCAACTTGAGGGAAGAGACAGATATATAAACTCAAGGATGCAGGATATTCAAAAGGATGTCACTCCTCTCATGCGGCGACAATCATACACTGAGAGTGAAAAGAATGATATTTATATTTACTATTCGTACCAATAGCTTGTTCTGACGACACATTCTGCTTGTTATTTTTATCTGTACACGATGTACACGAAACTAAACAATACTCGCTCGATTCCGTCCCGTTTCGGGCTGGTCGATTTCACTTCACATTCGCTGTGTTGCGGATTACTCCGACTTGATGGTCATCCTGACCCAGTTGTTGTAGACCTGTCCCTTCTTAAGGACCGTGTCCCAGCCAAGCTTCTTCAACTCGGGATGCATCCAGGCGTCGTAAACTAAATTGTACCCCCAAAACCTGTTAGCCTCGAAGAGCGCACTACTTGGAAAGGTACACGGAACGTTGCTCACCCGAGTGGAACTCCATGGCGAACGCAGGAGGCACCTTGTACCCATCATCCTGGTTCTCGACGGCCTTGCCACCGTGGATCTTTCGCCTGGAATCCTGCCCGTCGTAACCCCCAGTCCCGGACCAAGCCTGTACACCGGGTTCTATCGAAGTTTATGCCAGAACATCATCCGCGTTAGCATGCGCACGCTCAAGGGCTAAGAAAAGGAAAGCAGGAGGGGAAGACTCACGGTTGGTAGTAAAGTTGAGGCTGATGTTGTTCTTGTCGGAAGAGAGGACAGCGACGATTTCCTTGTCCCTACAATCAACAGCCGGCGCGAACGCAATCTCAAATCAGCCCCCTACTTTCCCTATGCCACGATCAAACTCAATCGCGAATTCCTAATACTGACTTTTCGATATCGGCAAAGACGTCGCTCCCCTCGACACCCCCATCAAGAACCTCCCTCTCCCCACTACCCCTCTCAAAGATCCAATAATCGTCCAACCCACCCTCGGGGAAATCCTGCCCGATCTTCTTGGGGGTGCTAAAGTCCCGGGACTTGGGAGCTGGGACGGTCTTGCCCGTAGGAAGGGCGGTGTCTTCGGCTAGGTCGAGGATGTCTTTGCTCTAGCGTGTCGTAGAGTGTTGTGTCGATGGAGCGTGGCATGACGTGATGCGGAAGGTGGGAAAGTCATGGTCTTGTCAGTTCTGCGAAGCGAAAAACGATTTCGGGCTGAAGGGTGAAAAGAAAGTGGCCAGATGCTTCGGCTCACCTTGAAGTGCAAAGTATGGTTCTTGACATCCCCAACAGGACAAGGTCCGTCTCGACCCATATCGCTGAACTCCAAGTTGAAAGCCCAGTGCTAATCAACCGATGGGATCGTAACGAACAAGAGGAGGAAAAGGATCAGCCTCTCTTGACTCTATGCCTGAAAGCCTCAGGCGAATCGTCCACGACTCCACTTCAAAAAGCTTTCCCCCATTCCAACCAGAATAGAAAAGTCAAATGTCGAACATTCAGAAACTCACGTGCGTCATGTTCAAAGCCGTCATCTCCCCCTCAACCAACTCGGCCCTATAGATAATCTCCACCGCCCCGACCTGCTCTTTGTTTCCTCCTTTGGCTTCTTCGACGACGAAAGCCGTCTGCGTCCGAACCTTGCCCAGATGCCCACCCTCTCCATGAGGACTGACGTACTCCCAAACCCCCGCCTGACCTTGCTCAACAAGCCCTGCTAGGTATTTCCGCTCCGCAGGCGAGAACAAAGCTTCAGAGGGGGAAGAAGAAACGTTGGTGAAAGTTTTTTGGTCCCACCCCGCCGAGGATGGACCGCCGTGCAAGGAAGTACCGGCTCCGCCGTTTTGCTGAGGGGTGAATGATTGGCCGTTGGGCAGGGTTATGGGGGTGTCGGGGAGACGGTTGCAGTACCTGCCTACGATCGAGTGGAGGAACTGGGTCATGATAAAGCAGAATATGGTTATGAGAGGGAAATTCAAAGGTAGACCGTAGGCAAGATCAGTTATTCACTTCTTTGTCAAATGGAGAGAATACCGCTTCGTGACCCGGACTCACTCGTCGATCCTTGACCTGATCTTTCGGGTCTTCAGGTCCGATGATGATCTCCTGTTTCTTCCCGTTCTTGTCGTTGAAGCTGATGGAGAATACGTGGAGACCCTTCTCGATGACTTGGACGGAGAGGTCGCTCTGACCGGCTTTGAGGGTGACGACCTGATCGCATCCTCCGTCAGTCTTCGCCGTTTCGAAACCATACGCCCGGAGGAGAGTTACTACTCACGTTACCGAATGACGACATGATGTTAGCTATGAGATCGATGTTCGTTTTATTTGAATGGGGTAAACCTGGATTGTAAGACTGTGTGTTGTTGATCCATTTGTCAAAGACATCCCTCGAGCCTATATGATCTCCCTCCTACGACCTCGTCGTCCTCGTCATTTCGCCGACCAATTCACCGAAATTCAACCGAACAGCACCAGCGTGGGGCAGGGGGGGGGAGGCGGGGAAATCCTCCGAAACAGGGCCCCCCGAGCTGCTGAGATCACATGAAACATCATCCAAGCGATCATCATTTCCCAAGCGATCAAATATCGTCTTCTAGCTTCTTCTAGCTTCTAGCTTCTAAGCGATCAAAAAGGCGTCGTCGCAATCGAGGTGGATCGTGTTTCAGCCTACGATGGACGTCGATACAAGCGCTTTGCCTTTGATGAAGTTGGGACAACCATACACACGGGGCCGACCGCCGAACGGCCGCGAGCAGCATCATCCCTTTTGACCCACTCTGACATCCTATCCAGATCGTTGCCGAAATGATCATACATGCAGAGATATCATGACTGAGTATGGTCGATAACAAGTGAAAGATCAAACGAGCAATATTGCGACTCACCAACTGCTCCGACGCGTCGATCGGCTTGACAGAACCTGGCCGTCTTGAGCTGCTTCAGCCGTATCGCCGTCTTGTTGTTCCCGATGTTTCCAAGTAACAATAACAATAAAATACTATCAATGTCGGAATGCAGGTCCATACAGCAATTCCGGCGAAAGTCCTGAGTATCCCAATTAAATTGCCCACGAGGCCAAACTGAATTTGCCAAACATCGCCGCATGTCCGCCTCCTTGTAAGAAACCCCCAGTTTAACAGTTTATCAGTGATCCCTTTGATTGCGATCCGACCCCGAAAAAGCCGATCTCCTGCTTACCGCCGGTCCGGCTTCATCCTCTCCTCGAGAACCACGAGCTTGCGCCTTCGGGTCGGACCGGCCCTGTTGCGGTAAACGAGTACAGTTGCACACAAGTACAGGGTCCAGTATCTGATAAAAGAAAAAGGCCGCGCTGGGCTTGGGCTTGGCAGCGGGATCAGATGAGAACAGATCAAGAAATTTCGGCTACAAAGTTGTGCGTTCCATGCTGGATACTGCAGTAGATCGTGCTAGCTTATTAGGCCTTGGGCGTAGAACATTGTGGTCTGGCGGCCATGTTCAATGATTGGGACCGATATCGCTTGAAGCTAGCAGCTCAGACGAGTGAAGAAGGTCTGGCGCCGATCGGGTGTCGTTAGATATAGGGTTACAGTAGTTGCTTCGCGGACGACTTTGAAAAGGTCAGTGTCGGTGTAGGGAGGGGCATCTGTTCTTCCTCGTGCCCATCGGGTTTAATGGGGTAGTGGGGTATATATGATAAGCTTAGATTTCTTGGGAAGTTGGATCTAGCTGTTCTTCGGCTGTTTGGATCTTCTGAACGTGATTACTACGGTAGCACAGCGATAGTTCAAGGAGCTTCAACGGTACCATGTCTCTTCAAGCTCGAAGCTCGGTCCGGAACATCTCCACTCGTTCTTCCGGTTCGGAACATGACGAGCTGAACGAAGACCTCAAAAGCACTCTCAATCCGGATCTGGAAAAGACCGATGGGATCACCGCAGTCGGATTGAACTTGGCTTACGAAAAAGGTCCCACTGCGGGAAAGAATCGCATCGTAGGGGAAGAGGGAGAAGAGGAGTTCGACCCGTATGTAACAGCCGGAGGAGTGGACAGGCCTTGGAAGTACAAGGGTCCGGCTTTGGCGTGTATCATCTTCCTCACCCGTAAGTCAGGCCGTACTGGCGTTTCCCTTGCTTTCCGCCGATTCATAGCTGAGCTCTCCAACTACAAATTCTCTCGATACTGTATCGCACACGGAACCTTAGTCGGCAGCAACTTTGCCCAATCATCCCTCTCCCCGCTGAAGAGCACCATCCGTAAACAAATCCCTGGGGTCAACAACGCTCGGTACGGGACGATCGCTTCGGCAGACGCTTTGATCAACGGGGTCTTGCCCATCTTGACGGGCATCGTCATCGATTATTACGGACCGAGCGGAGCGAGCTTGGTCGCTTCAACGTGCATCTTGGTAGGATGCGTCGTCAGGGCCATCGGAGGGTCGACGGGGAGTTTTTCTACGTGGGCGTCCGAGATCTATCGATACGGCAAACAATCGCAAGGCTGACATGTAGACTTTCCCGGACCGGCAGGATCTTGGGAGGACAGATCATCTTTGGATTGGGATCGACGACGATCGAGACGTGTCAGAGCAAGTTGTACACGCACTGGTCAGTCTACCCCGATCAGAGCGCACCAATCTGACATAAAAGGAGACTGATGGAGACGATGCCGTTACTTATAGGGGCAGAGGGACTGTCAAGGGCGGTCCCGGTATCCTCGGGTTCATCTACGGGCTCGATATCGCTATGGGTCGGGTGTTCAACCTCGCCGGTCGACTGTCTTCCATCCCGATCGCAGAGGGAACGGGGAAATGGTTCTGGACATTCTGGGTCGGAGCGATCCTCGCTGGCGTGACCTTGCTTCTGAACATCGCCTATGTCGTGTACGAGCGCACGTTGCCCGAGGAGCAGAGGGTCATGACCGGTCGCAAGGTCGCCATCATGTTGCAAGAACGAGCAAGACGAGAAGGGATGGACGGCAAAGACGCGAAGAGGGATGTCATGAGCCCGTTCAACAGTATCTACTGGAAGACGGTCGTCGCAAGCCTGTTTGCTATCCCCGCAGCGTTCTGGCTTGTCACGATATCTCAATTGCTGCAAGCCGGAACTGTAGGCGCCTACAACTCGAACTTGGCCGAGGTAAGCGTCGTTTTGGCTGTGCACCACGCAACCCCAGCTAATTCTTTGATTGGACTTTGACATTTAGGTTGTAGAAGTCACCCGCGGGACCACAAAGCTCACCGCCGGGTACACCTCCTCACTGTCTCAGGTCATTCCTATCGTTTTGACCCCGATCATAGGGCTCGGATTCGATCGATTCGGCAGGCGGATGCACGTCGTCACTTTCACAGCTTCGTTATGGGTTCTTGTCTTTGCGCTGCTAGCATACTCGAGCGTACATCCCATGGTTCCGTGAGTGTTGCGTCGAGCGGATGATCTGAAATATTTCTGAAACATCGTTTGTTATCGACTCGATTGACAGAGTCATTTTCGGTTCGGTGGCGTTGGCGAGCAATGCTGTAAGTCGCCTGAATTGAGGACGTTCATCTTTCCACAATTTACTGATGTCACACACTCGCATACACATAGATTCCCTTTATCGCTTCGATCCCTCTTCTTGTCCCCTCTCAAGCATGTATCGGTACCGCGTTTGGAGTATGGAAAGCCTTCAACTCAGCGGGGTCCACTATCCTTGATGTTGCTGCCGGAGCCAGTGAGTGACAGATACACCATATCTCGCCGAGCTGTTCATCAAAAACTTCCCGTTTTCGTCTTCGACAGTCCAGGACAAGACTCCGACCGGTCCGAATCAATATAACAACGTCTTTTACCTCTTGATCGCGCTCAAGGCGGTAGATGTGCTATATGGCTTAACCTACAACGTGAGCCTTTCAGCCGACTCTAGCTCGACCGAACGACCTGAATGAACGCTGAATACATTGAAACACGAACTTGCTCGGACAGATCCTGGACAAGCGCTACTTTGGTGGAGTCCTGAAAGCCAACGAAAAGACGCGCCTCGAACAGGAACAGCTCGAGTCGCCCGAACAACGACAATCCGGTCTCCGGGCTGCTAAGCGATCATGGACCATTTCCGGACTGGTCATCGCGGCGGCGCTCATTACGACTGCTTAGTAGGTTGATTTTCCGACTGTGATCAATCATGTGTATTTACTGATCAATCGCTTTATTCGGGTCCATTCGTAAAGCGTTATTTACATCGTGTATTCCATCGGAACTTGATGAGGAACTGGGTTTAGCTTCACGTGCCTGTCAGGTATAGGCCAAAAACCAATTGTACTATACAGTAGCATAGCAGATTTAGAACACCCTTATAGATAGCCCATGCATAGAACTCGACACAAGGGAGAACAGCTGGCTTTCGTGGCTACAGCCTTACTCGTCGAACATCTCGGGCAGAAGCCAATCCGCCGCCCAGCCCTGATCGAGCACTGTCCCCGGTTTAAACTTCCTCCCTGCCCTGTCTTCGCTACGGAAAGCGAATGCTGAGCCGAGGATATCGATCTCGATCCGTGGTACTCGGGCCAAGGAGGCCTCGAAAGCTTGGTGTTTTGACGTCGGGGCGGGCGTGTTTGATGGGGTCTCGGAGAGGAAGGCGAGAGGGTCGGAAGGATCGATAGGGTCGAGCGGAGGGGGAGGTTGAGCTTCTTCCTGCTTCGCGTTGGGTGCGTGAGGGAGTGTGTGGAAGGCATAGGCGGGAAAGGATAGGAGGAAGAGGGTGTTGCCTTTCGGTAAGACTGAATCGAGACAAAGCGATAACCGCACAATTGAAAATCGAAATTCGATGTCAGCCAGTGGATCAGGCAAATTTTGCATTTCCTCATCGGCCAGTGCATCGGCTTGATGAGAATTTTGACTCACCTCGGACGACCCCATCCTTAGCGACAACCTTGAAAGTCCCAGCTGTCTCTTGGACGACCAACCCTTCCAACCCTTGCAACGCCTTGTTTTTTGAGCGTTTCACTACAGAGAGGGCGTCCGGTGCCGTGCAGGCGATTCGCCAATGTAATCATCAGTATCAGCTTGTGTGGGTACCTCTTTCGACGGATACACCCGACCAGCCGACTCACCTCGCAGAAGGGCACCCGTCATATCGGACTTCACGATGCGAGCGCTGATCAACTCACACCCTAATCCATTGGGAAGCCGGGAAGAGGGAAGAGGTGTAAGACCTGAATTACTTGTTGATGGTGCATTGTGTTGAGGCTGAGGAGCTTCTTGGTAAGGAGGGAGACATAGGAGCTCAGATAGATATGATAGGTAGAGGTAGTGAAGCGGGAGGAGGAGGTTGTAGCTGTGGTTTTCCATATACATTGATCAGTACTTGGAGACCTCCCCGTCGATGTCCCGTACATCAAGATAGACTCACGAAATTTTCACCCCAGCTTCCAGGTTCCATGCCTTTCGACTCTCTTTCCGATTACCCAACCCCGCTCGTTTCCGTTTCACCCCCCTCTCATCATCCTTGTCGAACCTCTCCACCTCTTCTTTCGTAGCCAAAGCTCTTCGCTTCTTGCCCTTGTTCACGGCATGCTGTTTCCTCTCGGCTTCCTGGGCAGAGGGGCCGGAAAGAGGTGGGTCTTGGAGGATGAGGGACTTGTTGGCGAGACGGCCGTTATAGTGTTGAGGCTTGATCTTCAGGAGAGAACAGCTGGCAGGGGAAGGGAGGTCTGGCGGGAACGGGTTGGCAGCTGAGAACTCTAGTAGAGGTTTCTATCAACGAACGTTGATACTCCCAGGTCAGATGGATCGTTTGGCCTGCTGCTTTGGATTGCTGAGCTCACCTTGAAGGAACCTGGCAAGGATCGGTAGGGGTCCAGCTCCTGATGTGCGTTGACCTCGCCCTGCGAAGGGGCGAAGGTGCTACCCTTCATGCTCTTCTTGCCGGACGACATCCCGGATGACAGAGGAGTTGAGGACGATCCGGCGGTTCAGCTCTGAATCGAAAAGCGATCGCTTGAATCGATTGGGAGTTGGGAATCGAGTAGGACTTTAGGAAGTTTATGGCGCTATGGCTGTATAGTCCTTCTTTGTTGAATGACAGCGATATATCGATGGTTGAATGATGCGGTGCTCCCGGTAACAGCACAACTATAACGGCTATACAGAGACCCTATGATCTTATGATGACAAGTAGTGTCTTTCGAATCTTCTCACTCTGACCCTCTCTGAAGTTCTGGGCGTATACACTTCTTTTCAATGCATCGGCACTCTATACAATTTACGGTTCAACAACTAGCAAACTAGCCCTACTCGTGTAACATACCCACAACGTCAGTGGGGACCAGCAAGTCAACACAACAAAAAGTAACGTGCCCGAACATGATTCATGATGTTTCCGTGACCAAGGCTCACATGTTTATTCCGTGTGCAGGCGGCAGCGAGATATATTTTTGAAGAAAGACTTTGCTACGGTAAGCCCCTTGTCTTCTCAGTGCAATTACCAATGGCCTACGAAAAGATGTCTCAGGCAAGGCATCTCCGATCGGGGTGGGGGACAACCAGGTGTTGGTCCAGCTTGCCTCTTCCATGGAGCGCCGAGGCTCAAGTTCATCTCCTCCGCCCATGTCCAAAAATATACGGGTTCATGCTCTACAAAGTGGTCAAGCTGTCTCGAGCCGTCTGCTTACCCTCGCCTCCTGAATCTGCGGCCCAATTTCTTGCCCCAGTAGCAACTTGCGATAGAACCCCCGTTGTCGTCAAGGACGACCATGCAGTTACGCCAAATTCTGTCAAACAAATGATCACGAGTCCTCGGTGTCCAAGTATTGCCGGATTCCATCGGACATAAATTGGCTGGCCAGAGCGCCATGACGACTACTGGCACCCAGCATGGGGGCAGGGAAAGGTGCGGTCTTGAGGGGGTCGTCATCTGGAATGTCCTGCGGAACTTTGTTGTCCAACCAGTGGTCCTGGGGCGCTGGCTCTCTCCTTGGCCTCAAGGCACCAGACAATTACACCCACCCAAAAATTCGTTGGCCGCAATGACGTCCCAGTCTGTATATGTGTCGTAAAGGAGAAAATCTGTCGCCAACGACAACATCACGGTCTGTATATGTGTTGTAGAAGAGGGGACTACGCAGGAAAAATACTTCGGGAGCGTGCCAACAGCAATAACAGCTCGTCAGGGGAATCCCATTTGAGTCGAGAACTGCCCATTTGAGTCGAGAACTTGAGATGAGTGTTGCAGTTCCGCAGCATTCTTGAGGCCAGTGTATTGTTCGTGTTATGTTTAATGCAATTTGTACACCGGTTGGGTCCCCTCATGATGACGAGAGGAAGGTCCTTGCGAAGTCGGGTCAAGAAGTATTTTTTGGCTTTGGAGATGGTTTCGGATCGCATGGTGGAGTAGAGTGGAGTGGTAATGTTATTGTGAGTAAGCGAGGGGATCTCGGTACGGGAGGAGTGGTGACCCTTAAAATCCAACCATCTCGACCATTCCTCACTCACCGTCCCCCATTCTTTTGCAGGCTTTGCTTCAATGACCATGCACAACCTCCAAATGTCAAACAGAGCTGATGACATGTACGTCAAAACCAGATCTGGTTTGTCATGGTCAACGGTAATGAGAGTTGACGTTTGTTGAGATCTCTTTTAGAAACGGGGAGAGATTGCTCCCACGTCACAGTGCTCTGCAATTTTTGGTTCAAATCAATTGATCCTCCATTGGATAAAGGGCTTGTGATGAAGTAACCAAGTACCGCCAAAGCGATCTTGGCTATTCGCAGACCTTGACTTTTTGTTGCAACTCGAGCGATCGGTTTCGTCGAAGAGCACGTAGGGCCTTGTAGACCCCTCGAGAATCATGTGGAATGCAAGTATAGATGGTTGTCGCCAGGAGTTGTGATATTGCCCAGATGATCAGGACTGGCACATGCATGTTCGCGTTCGCTCTCGGCCGGCGATGACGTCGCAAGGTAGGTCAGCGTGATGAGCATATGTGAACATCAACTCGCATCTCTAGATCTGTACTTTGCAGACTAGATGTCCTGACATACAGTCCCAAGCCTGATATAATTCATTCCTCACCATGTCATCACTCGGCTTGGCTTGTTGCGCTCAGAGAACGGCCAGACTCGCTCGTTCAAGAGTCGGCAAGATTGTCGCGAAGCAAGAGGCATGTCGACGTCCTGCTTCCTGGACATCTGGCCATCGGTATGTCAGGGTTGAATGCTCATGCTCGGTATCCCTGTATCCGTTACATGCTGATTGCTGATCGTGCTCGTGAAATCAGGTTGCTGTCTAGTTCGAGCAGCTGGAGGCAACAGGACAAAGCTGCTTCATCTTCACTAGCCACCCTCATCGCATCCAACCCCAACGGGAGCCCTCCCACCGCTCCTGCCACTCAGTCCACCTCTTCAGCTCCGGTAGCCACCAGTCCCTCGTCTTCAACCCAGATTCAGACGTTTCCTCGGGCATCCCATGACGAACAAGCTCGCAAGATCGTCATCGAGTGGAACGATGGAGAAGTCTCCCGGTTCCACAATACCTGGTTGTTCGATCATTGTCGGTGCGATAGTTGTTTCCATCCGATCACCAAACAACGTCGGAAAGGTCTTCTCGAGGTGAGTCTCGACTTGGCACTTGTCCTGGAAAGCTCAAGAGGACATTCAGTTACTGATTCGTGCAATCGGCCTAAACCTTTTCCGGATGAAAGGTGCCGGAAGATATCCAACCCACCTCGGTCGAACCTTCCCCAGCTGGCCTCTCCATCACATGGTCCACCCCCAACCCTGAACCTCATATATCGTTCTTCCCCTGGTCCGTCCTTCACAAGACCTCTTACCACCCCATCCTCACTTCGTTGGAAGGGTTCACTTCCCTTAAACGGAGCAACAACTCGGCTACATACGATGAAACCGACTCACACTCTCACGCTCATACTCATGGTTATAACCATGTTCATGTGGAGATGACGGGGACGATCAAGGATTCTGAGCGGATATTGTGGAATGCGTCGATCGCCAAGTCGCCGCCTACGGTGACTTATGCGAGTTTGATGGGGGATGAGAAGAGTTCGACGCAGGATAAGGATAAGGATAAGGAGGAAGAGGGGAGGGAGAGAGGGATGAAGAGGTTGTTAGAGAAGGTCGTAAGTACAGGTCGATGACTGCTTCTCTTACCGCTGCGTCTTGCGCGGTCCTCTGCGTCTTACGTTGCGTCGAAGAAGTCGATCTCAAGCTGATCTTGTACTCACCGTTTCACTTGCTTTAACCTCTTTATAGCACGATTTTGGGTTCTGTTTCATTACCTCTGTCCCTGCCACACCTGAAGAGACGGAAAAGGTCATCAGGAAGATCGGACCCATCAGAGAGACGCATTACGGTGGATTCTGGGACTTCACGGCTGACCTCAAGATGGGCGATATGGCTTACACAAACGAGGGTTTGCCTGCGCACACGGATAATACTTATTTCGTGAGTCGGGTCCCAGTGGCGAGTTCAGGTTTTGAAGAGGCTGTGCTGAGCAAATTATACGAAACTTGCAGACCGACCCGTCGGGACTACAGATCTTCCACATGTTGTCACATCCTCCACCTGGGCATGGAGGAGCATCTCTCCTGGTCGATTCGTTCTACACTGCCTCTATCCTCGCTCAACTCCATCCTTCCGCCTATACCACACTCAGTAGTACACCCGTACCGACACACGCTTCGGGAAGCAAGGGACACCTTCTTAAACCCCATGCGGTTCCTGTCTTCCAGCACGACAAGATCTCAGGCGAGCTCGTACAAGTCCGGTGGAACAACGAAGATCGAGGAATTCTAGGTGGTCAGAACACGGGATTCCAAACCGAACAGATCGAAGCTTGGTACGACGCCGCACGCAAGTGGGAAGAAGCCGTCCGTTCGTCCGATAGCGAGTATTGGGTGCAGTTGAAACCGGGGATGATGGTCGTCATCGACAATTGGAGGGTTATGCACGGTCGAAGTGGGTTCAGCGGGGAGAGGAGGATGTGTGGAGCATATGTTGGGAGGGACGAGTGGAGGAGCCGGTTGGAGGTCTTGAGGCGGAGGTTCGAGAGCGACAAAGGGAGCAAGCAGGGTGATGTTCCGGGCCAGGCGGAAGAGGTGGAGAAATGGCAAGATGGGTGGTGAATTATGGATAATCGCGATTACGACCTTGAATCACGGTCTGTACTTTCCCGAGTTTGTATCAGGCACATTACGATTATGCATCACGTTGACTACCCCCTTTAGCCCGATGGTTCGGTCTTACCCCGCGGTCCCCTTAACATTTCCCCCTGGACATAAGGACGCGAAGTCCCTTTGTGATGTTCTGTGCCGGAAAGGTATATGATCTCCCAGGTCCGGCTTGCATACCGTTGGTCACCTCGATACCGGCGATAGGCGAATTGCAGTGGCTCATCACCTCTTGTAGCAAGCCAAATCTCAACCAGACACCGCAATGCCGATCACCTCCAGACAGCTCCTGTCCTTCTGCAAGGAAGGTGAGTACAGGTCGAACGGAGTTAGATAACGACCACAGCTCATAACATTGCGCTCCAGTCAAGGAGAAGAGAGCCGAGGCTAATGCGCCTCCTCCTCCGGAAATGCCCGGGGCCCTCAAATTTGGGCCCCTAGAACAAGCTCTCATGGTGTTGATCATCATCGGGATGGTCAGCGATCCAGCGGCAACGGGGGTTCCTTCGCTTCTCACACCGGGAGTCACCATGCTCCTAATCATCGCCTACGGAGGGTACCGCTTACTGGAGTGGCAAAAAGAGGCGGAAAAGCGTGCGCGCGAACAACCCGAGAAACCGACAGAAAGCAAGTCTGCCTCGTCTTTGGCTCGAGAGAAGGAAAAGGCAGCCAAAGAGAGGGAGACGCCGAAAGCGAACGGGACGCAAATCACCACCAAGGCGGACCTGCTTAAGGAGCAAGATCGTTTGAAGGACAAGTCGAGCAAGACCTCAAAAGATGTGAGGGCTGCTACGAAGAAGACACAGTATTTCTTGACGATGAATGGTCAGTGCGAGGTCTGCATCACGAGCGCGACTTCAAGCTGAAACCAATTTTATGTCAGGACCCGGACGACCTGCACTGGTACCGTTTCCGCGGGGTTTCAAAGCAGCCGACGGTGGGTCAAGCGAGTCGCAGGGCGAAAGAACACGCTTTTCTGACCCAAATATCTACGTAGATTCGCCGGACGGAACATTGTGGTGGAACAACGTGGACAACCTGGACAGTAAGTCGAACCGTCGTAGATTCTCTCGACCATTTACTGATCTTCTTTCGTCTTGCCATCCCAGTCAAGGACATGATGGTACCCCAAGGCCCACCTGCCAAGTCGTCTCGGGAAGAGCGAAAAGAAAAGGAAGCATCCAAGCACGTCCAGCCGCCGGGAACCTTGTCTGCCGAAGAAATTAGAGCGCGTGCTCCTATGGAACAGGAAATGGAGTGAGTGGCAGAGTAGCTGCGTTCGAGATCGGCGCCTTTTGACTGATGTTGCGATCGGTCGGGTAGACGCTACGAAAAGGTCATGGTAATCATGCAATGTATCCTGGCTCTACTTCTCTGCTTTAGTGAGCCCAATCCCGTTGCTTCTCCCTCTCTTCGATGAGTCTGACGACGTCAGCGTTCCCACCACAGTCGATCAACGCCTCGGACTAGGTCTCTTAGCCTTGTTCCTCTTTTTCCATTTCCGGAGCGAAAAGGAGAAGGAGAAGTTCAGGCAACGTAATATTGCCGCCCTGCCACCTGGTACTAAAAACCCTTACGACGAGGGTCCGGGTTCGTACGAAGGGGGCGCCAGTTTCGAGTAAGCGTAACCGGCGATGCATCAAAGTCGAGGTTGAAGCGGTTCGCAGTGGAGTGGTCGTTGGCAAAGCATTCCTTGCATGGATATTTAGCAGATCTACAACGCTCGATCGAAACCTATCTCTATATGTGTGTATGTATAACGTTCATCGTAACAGACAGACTATCTTTCCTAAATGATCATGACCATAGCGACCAATCCTACTACCGCTCCTACCATAACCCTGACATCCCCTCCAATTTTTCCCGTCGTAACAGCAGCGTTCTTCAACTTATACCCCTCCCCGTCCCCCTGAGCAGGCTCAGCCGCCCCAAAGACCTGCATGTCCTTGAAGTACAGGCTCTGTTCGGTGGGCGTGGCGTAGGTCGCAGCGTCGTCACCGCCGAAGAAGGTGCTAAAGTAGATCCCGCCTGCCGAGGAGATTGAGTCGGAGGTACGGAGGACGAGGTTGGAGAAGGTTGTCGCTCTGACGCCGTTGTAGTATACTCTATATAGAGGGAGGAGCAAGACAACAGGCGAGTGTGAGTGAATGTTGTTTGTGGGAAAAAAAGCTAACCCTCGGTCAACTCGCTGGTTGTCACTCACTCGACAACACCATTGGCCTTGTCCACCGGGTTGTTCAACCGGACGTGCAAGGCGATATCGTTCCAAGCTCCTCGTTGGAAAGTGAACGAACCTCGACCGAGTGAGGTTCCGTAGTCCGAGTTACAGATGACACCGGTCTGAGAGCAAAGGGAGTCGGTTATCGGGATGTAGGCGTAGACTACGGGGTCGAGGACATGGGAACGAAGTAAGAGAAAATGCATGAAAAGGAGTCAGAACTAGTAAAGGGATGGTCATGAAGAAGAAGGAAACGAGAACTCACCCTCCCCAACACCTCCGTCCCGCCACATCAACCTAGCAGAGAAACACTTCTTCCCATCCGTCTGATCACCTCCCGAACAGTCGTTCACAGAAGGACCTCCTCGTAAGCCGGGGAGTTTACCGGCTTTGACAAAGTTGAAGTCGGAGGGGATGTAAAGAGAGTAGGTTAGGAGGGCGGAGGGGGCGGTGGGCGTTGAAGAGCTGTTGAGGGGTTGGGACTGTGAGAGCGGTAGAGGGTATGGGGAGTCAGATGGTCATTGCAGGGTTCCGAACGAGAGGACCCGTAGTTATACAGATAGACAATAGGAATCGGGCAACGGGAACTCGACTCACGTAGAACTGGGTTCCTCCTGTCGCATGACTATAACTCCCCTCGGGATAATCCACCCTCAAGACGAGATCTTCATCCGAAGCAGATGTATCGGGATCTTGCACGAACTGCAAGTCCGGCTGTCCCCACTGAATCCTCTCGTTATACAAGTCCCACTCCCGTCTTATGTATTTTGCCGTGGCGTTGTTCGAAGTGTTCGCATACGTGCTGACGGCGGAGGTGTCGGGAAAGGGGAGGGAAGAGGCAGGTTGGCTGAATTCTAAGGAGGTGGCGAGGGTCGAAGGGGAATAGCTGGAAGTGTTTTGCGCAGTCGTCAATCGTAAGGAGATGCATGTCGCGGTGGCGAGTAGGAGGGAAGAGTACATCCTGGGCAACAGATGATGGATCGATGGTCGGTTATTATGGATTATGAGCCGTATACGGTGGTGTAGCGATGGAAGGTGGTATCTATATCATTCAAGGAGAAGTATAGCTGCAGATGTACGGCTCGATGAAAACACTGCCGGTCCCATCGGCCAGAAGAAGCAAGAGACACCGAGAAACCGAGGATACATCATCGGGACTTGTCCATACCCAGACCAGCAAGGCAACGACATTCGACCTAGAGGATACTGCTTCGGACACCACTGATACGGACGACCTGACCTGGCACAGCCAGGTTTACGAGCTTACGAGCGAGCACGAAGTCGTTATACGTTGTTACGATCCCGATGTTGTTGACATCGCTCGGCCCCTATCTTCGGATTCGATCCCGTGTCGCAGCACAGCCATGTTCGACCTGGATATAGCTACAACGTACAGCTCGAGGGTCTATATTCGCACCTTGAACTTTAACGGTACAATTGAGGAACGTGGGCGGAGCAAGGCCCGAGTACGTGAGTGTGTGAGTACGGTGGTGTAACCTGATCCACATCGTATCGAAAACGAACCAGCCCGATAGAAGAAGGCTGGCTACACCAGCGGAATGCTCATGAATCCCTGTCCAACCGTCTCAACGAGTACAGTACTGCTCGTTGGGGATCGGTACAAGTTGAATGCATAGTAATGCTAAGCCCAACCCTCAAGTCGGGTAGCTCTCCAATGTCTGTGATTCCTGCTACATTATCAGCGCAGAAACTGATGAGCGGGTGAGCAACGCTCTCGTTGCTCGTGTGCGAGACATCAACTCACCAGTTTACCAACGTTCACAAGGCCAAATTTCGTATCAAAACCTTCTCGTATTGTCGCAACTGATAGGTGACCTCATCCAGTCGATCTGCAAATCCATGTGTCGAAGGTCCTGGGGCAATCCCTGCCCGCCACATCGCGAACAAGTTTTCCTTAATCTGGCTGAGAATGTGTATGGCCGCCCGCAAGTCCTGTGCCCACTGCTGTTGTTGCTGAACAGACCAATCTGACATTATCCTGCGAGGTGGACGGTATTTACATGAGTTCAATAGCCTCATACAGCATACTTGCGCTGAAACTGCCTTCCAGAACCATCCTTCCGTTCCCTCAACTTTTACGCTCCGCTTTGATCGTCCCGTTTACGCTTCTTCGATGGCGAGGGAGACGTAAATCTGGCAGCCTCCCAGGCCTGGGCTGCTCGAGACAGGTAAGACCGTTTCCGAGGTGACCTTTTGACCTCCTGTTTGACCTCCTGTTTGATCTCCTGCTTAGGAGACCCCTTGGTTGTGGCTGCCCCTGTCGTAGCCTGCTGTACGATCAGCTCAAAAGGCTGTTCGGCGTTGACCGAGCGTTCAAGGCAACCCTTTGTATCCCGGTCTTGTAGGGGTTCCGAAATGTAATCATAACCGATGTGAATCCATCTAAGGTATCTCAACTTGTACAAGTGTATTAACGGTTAACCCAATTTACAGTGGTTCCGCCCGGTCCTCTCTCCAATTTATTAGTTCTCGTACAAGTCGTCGAGCGGGTGAGATGGGTGACCCGTCTTGTAACGTTGTACGGATAGGAGTTGTAGGTAGAGTCGAAGACGAAGAGGCTGTCGCTAACGTGGGCGTGACGGGTTGGGGAGGATAATTGGGGTTTTGAGGGAAGGGGAATGGGGGATTTGGGAGGGGAGGAGGAGCTAGGTTGCGAAAGAACGAGCCAATTGTTGTGATCAGACACATAGCTTTAATGATAAACGCGATGGATTGCGTATTGTCACTTACCATCATCGTTGTCAAAGCCACCGCCGCCCAAGTCGCTGAGATTGTCAGGTGGGTTTTCGAAGAAGGGCAAGGTAAGGGAGCTCCGTTCACAAGGAGGTACGCCAGTGAAACGTATGCAAGTCGGTTCTAAACAAATGGTATAGCTGCATATGTTGTTGTAAAGAAAAGACCCATGTAGTGTCAGTGATTGGATCTAAGCAGAACGATGGTTGAAAGGAAAACGGGTTGCACGATCTCAGAACCACTCACACGCGATTCTCTCCCTCGCCACTAACGTTATGAGCTGCCGCCGTGAGGACAAGCTCGACCTTGTGCTGAAAAGCCTCAGCACTGAGTTCCACCTCTTGACCGATCTCAGACGCATAGAGCTGGTCGACGTTGGTTATTCGATCTCCAGCCGAGTTGACCGCCCAAGCATTGGCTGCTTGAAGAACATTGGTCGTTTGTGCTGGAGTGCTCAGGGTAACTTTCCAGCCCGCAGGCAGCTGAGGGCGTCGCGGGCAACTCTTGTGCCAGCTTTTGAGCACTGCGGCTAACCCTTGTGGGGGATGGGGGAACTGGCTGAACCAGGGGAACTGGCTGTACAAGAGGAGCGAGTAACCAGTGGGGGGGGGGGGGTCCTTCCTACAAACACACATTGAAAGGCATCTAGGGTTGAACGCTTCTTGAGAACCAGGACAGACTCACTTGTGCCGGCTCCTTCGACCCTTGCCAGTGAAAGGGAGACTCATCCTAATATCGGTAGGGCATTTGAAGCTCTTCTTTATGTCCGCTAGCGATCGGTCCGGCCAAACGGCGGGAAGTCAAGAGGGGATTCCTCCCCTGCACCGCACCCATCAACCGAGAGTCCTTTTCCGATCTGTCTGATCCGAAAGATGGCTTCTGCCTGAGTTTCTTCATCGGTCCGGGTCAGCAGGCACCACATGTTCACTATACTATACTAGGTCAGCGACCTCTTCACCAGATCCCCAGCTACTGGACATCGTAGCCCTTCATCAAATATGAAGATTCTGCGCTGGTCATGTTGGCGATCGTCGTTTCAGCTACAATGACGACCCCAGGCATGGAAAGGTTTCACCGACAAGGACGGAGTGTCAAACGGGGTCGTCAACAGGAGATCAATCAGCCAAAGGACCTCTTCTTCTTCCACTACGTATATCCTCACTCCGGGAGGCCAGGATGAAGTTCTCAGTTAGCAGGAGAAGACTCTTCATTCAGCGATTCACCTCGGTTTCCTCGGCGACATGGCTACTCGCCCATTGATCACCCAAGTCGGCGTTCGGAAGCTCGACAAGCTCCTCGAAGAATCCGTCAAATCTCGTCGTGTTCCGGCAACTTTCTTCGGGTTGACCAACTCTAAAGAGACTTTCTATTGGAACTGTCATGGGTCGGTCGATTTTGAGAACCCTGATGGAGCTGCTGTGGACGAGAACACCGGTGAGTACGGTCGGGTCAGGTCTTTGACACGATGAAACAGGATTGACGTAACGCATCTCAGTGCTACAGCAGTTTTCGGCTACGAAACTGGTCACTACGGTAAGTCTTCCCAGCTTGCACACATGAGTCCCGATCTTATCCTATGTTGAGTCATTGATTGAAAACCACAATCTTGCATACATCGAACAGGTCGCCGCTTTACAACTCGTCGACCGCGGTCTAGCTTCTCTGGACGATCCCACCTTGATCTCGCAACGTCTTCCTGAACTCGCATCTCTTCGTATTTTGAAAGGGTATGATGAGCAGGATGAACCGATATGGCAGGATCCTACTACCAAGATCACGTTGAGGATGTTGTTGAGCCATACCTCCGGTCAGTTGTTCCCTCGCTTATGGAGTGCAGTGATATATGCCCTATGCCCAAAGGACCTCTGACTCACCTGCATTGTCACCGGCTCTATGTGATTATAGGTCTAGGAAACGTGAACCGGAATCAGAACCTGCTCAAATGGGCTCAATCCGAGAATCTCAACACCCGGTACCTAGGCCCTCATACTACCGAAAAATCCTACCTCTACCCGCTTCTCTTCAACCCAGGTAGCGCTTGGGTATACGGCGTCGGCTTGGACTGGGCGGGAATCCTGATCAGCCGAGTGACTGGCAAGTCACTAGAAGACCATTTTAGGGAAGCCATCTTCGAAAAGGCTGGGATGACGGATACGACCTTTTACCCGACCGAGGAAGTCAAACGCAGGTTGATGAGGATGACGACACAAGAGTCCAGAGAAGCTCCGATTAAGGCCTGTTCGGACAACTTTTCCGGGTTGGGTTCTTTGAGCAGGACAAGCGATCCGGACAAGGTTGGAGTCATGAGCGGCGGAGCAGGGTTGTTCTCCACCGCCAAGAATTTCCTGGCTTTCCTTCGAGGAATCCTTGCCAGCCAGTCGGGTACGGATCCCAAGGCCCTTTTATCTCCGGGCTCTTTCGAAGAACTGTTCAAGGACGCTTTCCGTCCGGAGACGGACGATGAACATTTCTTAACCACCCTAAAGAGCCACGAGTTACACGATCCCGCGTTATTCAATCGAGAGGGTGCTTCGGGGAAAGATAGGAAGATCGTGCAGTCTGTCGGGTTGGCCGTCAATCTCGTCGACTCGGCCAACGGAAGGAAGGCGGGTAGCGGATGTTGGGATGGGGCTGCGAGGACGATGTACTGGATAGATCCCAAGACGGGGTTAGCAGTAAGTCGAGCTCCTATGTGCGATGAGGAATAGAACGATCCTGATGGTGTGCCATGTGACTGTGCAGGGAATTTGCATGACCAATGTCCTCTGTCCAGAACCGAACGAATTCTACCGGCTTTATCAACGTTTTGAAAGGGCGGTCTATGATGGTCTTTCGGAAGGAGAAAGCGACGTGCCCATGCCGGATACGTCCGCCATCAAACCGGATCACCGGTTCCTCTTCAAACCGCTTGAGAAGACTCAGGATGGTGGTTGTCATGCTAGTGTATGGTTGCCAAAAGTCGATGGCGGGTTTGATCGTGGAACGCCGGTCGCCATGTAAGCTATATTGACAGAGTTCACTAGAGACTGGCTAGCTTACGATGGGGTCGCTATAAATACCAGCTTCTATCACGGAGGTGGATGGTGCTCCGGATCGAGCTTGCAAATTCCCTACTATCAAGTGCGATACCTCATCAACCAGGGGATCCCTGTCGTCTCCTTTGACCACCGATTGACACCGCAGTGAGTTCAACCGAATCTTCGACGCGAATACAGCTAGATTCTGAGTATCCGTTCCATCCTTAGCGTCACCCTCAACGAGATCTTCGCGGATCTGCTCGACTCATATAGATACGTCCAGGATGGTCTCAACCGCGATCTCGAAGCGGCAGGGAGCAAGGTCGTGGTTGATGGCTCGCGCTCTGCCGCTTTTGGCTGGTCCGCCGGTGCAAGCAATACGATCTACCTCGTAAGTTGTTATGTCACAAACGCTTCGCTGGATGCGATGTCATGCTGGATATTGACCGCTAATTGATTCTAGGCCAATGAGATCGAGCTATATAACAGTCGCTGCGATCCAGCGGCAAAGCTTCCTGCACTCAAGGCGATCGTTCCGACCTATCCTCTTGTCACCTTCGACGTGCTTTGTGAGCCGAAAAGCGCTTTCGAAGACGCTGCAAAGGCTTCACCGCTCTTGGCCCGAAGCATCGAGCGGCTCAAGCAACAAGGATGTTCCACCTACTACGAGATGCCGGAGGAGTACTGGCCTCGGTGAGTTTTGAAGCGAGCCGGTTCATACCTGTTCTGACTCGACCTCGTAATCGCGATAGCATTGTCGAGATTGCAAGTGGGGCCGAAGGGGAAGAGACGGAAATGGATCGCGAGAATGCCAGATGTATTTGGCTTTTCAAGGTGAGTCTTTGCGATCAACGTCATCCGCATATGCTAAGCGCGACTCTATCGTTTAGAACAAAAGCCTTTGCTCATTCCTAGCGGGTTCGGATCGACCGTACCCCTACGCGGCAGAACCTATCAACCTGATCTCCAAGAACTTCCCTCCTACTTGCGTTGTAGCGGCGAGCGCGGATGGGCTCATTCCCACGGAGCAATCTCGGCATGTCTATGAACGGGTCAAGGAGCAGGGCATCGATGCTCTTTACGTGGAGTGCGACGGAATGAGGCACGCCGAGGCGGAATGCCTGCCCTTGACGCCCGGATGGCCTGAAGGCAATACCTGGTGGACGGACGCCCTCTTACCCAGCTTGCGATTTGCGCTACGGCATATGACCGAAAATCGATAAGTAGCTCTATGTCCAACGGATCAGTGTATTACTGGTGATATGATACGAGGCATGATCCTCGCACTGTTTCGGATCGCATACAATAAGACGTCGTTGATATTGAATTCTGTTGAGTTGTGTGATATACACTGAAGAGCATTTACGTATCGCTGTGACATGCACAAACGGCAAAATCATGATGACGTGCGGACCAATATTGGGCCACCGATGGCGACCGATGAAACGCATCTTCTCTGCGCTCCTGATGCTGCACAAAGGTAGGAAAGTAAGCTGTACGAGTCTCCGGACACAGGAGTTTCAACGGACCTGGAGTCCTTGGTACATATCGTCCGTGATGAAGGACCCTCTTCACTTGTAACATACTAAGTCTTGCCACCGGCAGAACATGTGTACTCGTGACTTACGAGTCTGTGATTGGGTAAGTACTACTTCATCACCAGCATACATGAATTTTTACTCAACCTTATCTTCACTTATCACTTCCCACCAGAGAAGAAACTTGAACGCACCATGGAACCCAAGCATGAGGTTCAGTCAGTCGGTCAAAACAGCGACGGGCAATTAACCGTCATAGTGTATGAGGATGTTGGTAGAGGCGGGGGTTATACTTCGAGCCCGCACAATATCAAGGATGTCTGGGTGATCAACCCGAAAAACGACAGGAACATCAAAGTACTGGTCAAAATCCGCGTTCATCAAGGCGACGGATGGACCCCAGACGGTGTTGAGCGGCCAGACATCGAGTCATTGCTCGTGCACAGACGTGACGAACTAGCAGAGCTCATCCGCACCGCATGGGAATGCGAGACCCTGGCACTCTACTACACTAGGGATCACTCGGACGCCAACGAAGGAATCTCTTACAAGCCTGTCCCTTTACAGTTCGATAATGATAGTGACAACGATGACGACGGTACATCTCCTACCACTATCAGTACGCAGTAGTATAGGCGCGGCCCACCGCTCAGCTTGCGTCTGTTTACCGCATATAGCTCAGACGGTCAAAATCCAACTGTCTTCTGGTGAATTGTGATAATAGTCTAGTAGTTGACCGCCATATCGTTTCAATGTATTATTCAATCTTCTTGTCCAAACGATCATCCTATGGATACAGCCTTATCTTGTCCCCCCATTCTCTGACGCTGCTCCCACCTTAGCCATCGAATCCAAATTCGCCTCTTCAATTAGGCCTTGGTGGTCTTGAGCGAAGAGAGGTAATCTTGACGATAAGGGTTTTTATCAACTTCTTCCGAACGAGAGTAAGGTACCCATTTAGGTTCATCCTACCAGACAACACCAAAGATACAGATTGAGTGAGTTGGTGTGACAATGACAGCAAGGGGAAGGACGGAAGCAAGGACTAACCTTGAACAAACGAAGAGCCTGGACCTTGTCCTTCTCATCCAGGGTGAATCGGTGGTAGATCCTGCTCGCCCAGAGAACAACCATGGTCGATCGGACAGCAAAGATACGGATCAGCTCTCGTTCTTGTTCGGTTCAGATCAGATAAAGAAGCATCAAAAGCTAGAAACAAGTGTTTGAAACTCACCCAGCCGGTACGACGAGCAGGTCGCCCTGTTCTACGTGAATCCTGATCCACTTGGCATCCGAGTGATCTACACAATCGTTCCCTCGGATCATATCAGCTCGATTCCATAACAGCTCTTGCTACTACTTCAGAGCGTCTAGTGTAGTCAATCCGACGTCTGTACTCACCTCGAACGTCAAAGAACCCGCTGCCTTCCAAGATATACCTAATTTCCTCATCCTCGTGCAGGTGTTCCTCGAAGAAGCTCTTGAGCTTGGTCTCGTAGGCTTCTCCTAGTCCTTCTCGGGTGACGAGGATCTGGTCTCGCTGTTCGGGGTATGGTTAGGCGAAGATGAGTGTTAGGAAAGAGGTGAGGGGAACGGAAAGACCAGGGAAGAAGAAAGGCAGGGTATCGGTCCCAGAAATTACGAGCCGAAAGAAGCTGTTCAGCGGGATTTGGGATCCGGGTGATCAAATCCGCTAGGCTTACGTTCTTGTAGTCCCTCTCTTTAGCCAGGGCATCTATGCAAGTCGGCGATAACGTATAATTCGGTGTTAGCTGATTCCTCTGATTCTACGGGCGTCAAGGATCCTTGCTATGCATGACATAGACCCGACCTGGACTTACCGATATTCTGCTCCCACTGATCATCGTGAGGGATATTCCAATACAGCACTCCGATCTCTTTCAACTGGTCGGCCGTGATGGGATTGCCAGAGTCGTGAGGCAGACGCTGGTCGCCGCTGTTCAGTCAAAATAGGTGGTTTGAAAGTCTGTCGGGCGAAAGAAGAGGTTCTCAGGCAAGGACGTACGGGATATCGTCAAAGATGTAGGAACGCATGTCGTCTAGATTTTTGTTGGGGTTCAAGGTTATGTACCAAGGTCAATAGCTATGCTAAGTTGCGTACGTTATGCATATGCGAGGTTAAAGTCGGTCTAGTCGAATTACATGACTCCGGATCCGACGTCACCACCAGCGGCGTCGGGGATTGCGTGCTCGACCTCGACCAATCCCGCAATCCGCAAAAAAGAGGTTCTCGTCAACGCATAACATTCTAGCGACAACTGCCTATCCAGTACAGGAGCGAGGAGATGATGGGAACGATCATCTGGCTGCTCAAACATTTTCAATCCTGAAGTGAATTAGGATTTTGCCTGGGCCATACGCAGGGATTCGTTGGTATATACGGCCCTTCTCAGCCAGACTTCTCCACCAGCCAGGTCAGCAACGTTTGTCAAGCAGGTACTCCAGCAGATCCTTCTGTCTAATATCTTTGATCGAAGCAGCACCTGTAGTCCAGCGTTTATTGCGTGACGAACCACCGAGTCGATGACGTTCCGTTTTTTGACGACTGTTTTGCTGCGTCTCGCTCCATTCATGGAACTCTGGTCGACCTTATCCCCTTGCCGTTCAAAGTACGACCCTCCGATTCTGGCAGCGATGTGGAATGTCTCATCTGTAGTGGAGATTTCGCACCAGCGCAGATGCGTATCTTGTGGCTGTGTTGTCACGCAGTAAGTCGTTGTCTCAGTCAGGGTGATGGATTCGTTGTTCACACCCAATCGCTCGTAGTACTGTGCCCATTGTTGCGAGCTACAGGAAAACTGCTTCCTCTGCTCGAGGATCTGTTTAGCAACAGCCTCAATGTGGACTGGCCCCCGATACGGTCTTGAATACCTTCACCAAGAAAGCGACCATCCCTTGTGTCGCCACGGATGACTACCTTTCTGGTCTGGAGGCCCGGTTTTGTTCAGCAACAACAGCAGTGGGCACAGGACTTGCGGGCGGCCATACACATTCTCAGCCAGATTAAGGAAAACTTGTTTGCAATGTGGCGGGCAGGGATTGCCCCAGGACCTTCGACACATGGATTTGCAGATCGACTGGATGAGGTCACCTATCAGTTGCAACAATATGACGCACTTGTTGCAACAAATCTCAGTAGGGATAATGTCGCATCCATGCGATAGGCGTTGGCTGCAGTGGTGGTGATCGCAAGAAGATTTCTATCGTGATGGTATATTCGAGAATCTCATGTAAAAACTTGTTATACACTTGATATCTACGACGGCTGACCTTGGACTTGGAACCCGATGGACTGGGTTCTTGCTCCCTGATCCGACCCAAGACCGTGTTGACATCGGGGACGTTGATACCGGCAATGTGAGCAGCCTGAGCAGTCTCTCACACCACCCTTGCTTCCTGCGCGATGGGCATTTGAAGACCAGCAGGCGGGATTGGTGCGTGTCGGTTTCGGTCCAATGGCAAGACCTCGATGGTATTGTGCGCGGCGTGCTCCCGAATGGTCGGACCAGGTTGCCAAGCCTGCGGTCGCCACTGTCGCCGATGGGTAGTCGGTGGGAGGACTTCGATCAAGTCCAGAGTTTTCTCCCGTTCCGCTCTGCTACGTTCTTCGTCCTCCTTGAGACTTGCTGTTGGGTTCCACATGATACGTTGGTGAAACATTCAGCGAGGAGGTCTGTCGTCATGGAGCGTAAAAGGTGGTAGGCTCACGGAGTAGAATGTAATAGTCTGGAGCCACCTTGCGCCTAAGAGGGTGCGGTAAGAGGTAATCGAGATCCTCTACACCACGCTTTAACGTTGCTATAAAGGATTACAGATGAGCAAACAAGGTCGGCGACGAGCAGGCAGAGGAGTGACACTTACTCGATTGTTCCTTCTCTGCCTTGACCGGCCCATAATCTCGAATCGCCTCGGCCACATACTCTTCGAGAGGCGGACAGTACCCCATAGCCAATTCGCCGGAGGAATGACCGATAAATTCAATGGTCTGCCGGATCTGGGTGGCGGTCAGACCGGGTGGAAGATGAGAACCTACCCGTGCTGGGCGTCATCAATTGCCCGTGGACGGGTCAGTCGGACAAGATGTAGTGCGTGTACAGGATGCCTAGCCACGCATGCAACTGCTCCACGGTCTCAGAAATCCCCGGCAAAACGACGCCTGGAAAGACGTGGGCGGCGATCCTGTCTGTGACTGAAAAAAGACCCTGGCAAAACGGCGTTTGGAAATACATTGGCCACGATACTGTTGGTGAGGGCATGTTCTTCTTGGGGGCCTTGGACATTTTTACGATTTTGGTCCATGGTCCTGGGGATCCCTGTCAAAACGGTGTCACAGTCCCTTCGATAGTGCTCAAAGGTGGTCACATGATTTGTGTTACGGTCGGGCCTAGTGGTAGCGAAAGGCTAGCCTAGGTGGAAAGCATCAGTGGTAATTGTGCTAAGGCAGAGATACTCAACGGGAAGTGCTTGGTGCGCAATCTGCTTGCTGACCGTGAAGGGCTTGACGAGAACTCCAGTGTTGAGTAGTGAGAGGTGGTTGGGTGGCGAAGGTGTTAGGGATGTAACATATGATAATGTTACGGCGGAAGTCGCTAATCGAGCTAGGTCCTAAGTCGTAGGGCGTAGGGTGCTTATAGGTGAATCGCAGGTAGTTGGGAGAATGTCGCAAGTCCGCTTAGATGAAGCGGGTTCGGGTGCGGGATACGAATCCAGAGATGTATGGATAAGGAAGGTGATCACTCGGTGTGAGGTACCGGATTCGGTCTAAGGTAAAACGATGAAGCGTAGATACTTAGCGACGTCCTTGAGTTGTAACCTCTCCGCAACACGTCTTGAAGATGTTGTAACAAGTCAGATAGGCGTGTATTGAATGTGATATCGGAACTTGACCTATTACTATTACAGAGCGTCCTCTATCGAAATCGGTCAAGTTCCTCTAGCTATTTATACGGAGACGAGTACGTAGACGAGGCTGGCGAACACTGAAAAGACCCAAGAGAAAAGAATGTCGAGAGATGGCGAAACTGGAAGAACGAGATGGCGAACAAGCGAATCCTGTCGAGAGCAACCGGATTCGGTAGAGGAGGCGAGTTTGTGTTTGCATTGTCCCTAGGTACGTCGAGTAAGGTTGTCGTGTACCTCGAGGTCCCTGTACCTGTTTGTGATATGCGTCGGGAAGGTTTGTTGTTTCGGTGAATGGTGAAGGCGAATGGTAGGGACGACCGAATCTGCTCCGAGGGAATCGGATTCGCCTCGTCGAGCCGGACTTAGGTGTATGCTGATGTCCGTAGATCGAGCCTGTGTGTCGGTAGTCGACTCACGTGATGATCCCGTAACAGTATATCCCCCTCCGGAATGGCGCGCCCCGAGCCATTGTGTTTCAAGTATTGATCGCATCAATTTGTTTGATGATTGTCTACGACGCGTTTGTTTTGATTTGATGGCGACCGATTTTTCCATTTCGCTAAGGTCCATCGACTCGCGTCGAGTGGGGGGTATAAGCCGGATCCGTTTCGATTGAAGCGAATTGTGTCCTTCCTTTCTCGAAGATACTCAACGATGCCGTCTCCTGACGTATCTCCCAAGATTGAGGAACGCTCAACTCTTTCTCGAGCCTCGACCGTAACTCCAGGAGACTCGGCTTCTCGTTCGTGCGATTCGAGTCGATTCGGTTCCTTTGCGTAAACTGATCCAATTCCGCTTTGTGTATAGAAGTCAACCAGGTCTTTTCCGGAGGAATTTTTGAATTCGAAGAACTCCGCAATATGGACGACACGGACGAGGTCGACCAGAGCCTGGCCTCGAATATAAGGGGGCTGTCGGTGACCCGATCGGGGTTGGAAGGTAAGCAGATTCGGTTCCGAAAGGCGGTTTCGTTTCGCTGAACTTGTTGGGTTTTTCACAGGTGGTGAACCGGCTCGTCGGGAAGGGCTCTACGGGGAAGCTCGTAGGCCGACTGGACGCCCGGTATCGGGCGAGGACGTTGCCATGACCGGGCAACCTTTAGATTCGGTCGACGAGGAACCGGTTGCGGGGCCGAGTGCGGGTGAGTAAAGCGAATCTGCTTGGATTCTGAATCGATAATTCGTAACCTGATACTATGTCTATTCTTGCTCGATTGTAGCTGTCGTGTCGCCGCCCAGGACTCCTCGAGGGAGGTCGATTCAGCGGAGTCGACAAGGACGACACAGCGCGAGGTCGAGTCGAGGGAGAGGAGCCGCATCGGCGGGTGCGAGGGTCGATGTCGAGAACATCGATTTGGGGGGTGCTCTTGTGCGCCAACGGTCGGTGAGCCCGGAACCCGGTAAGCGTTTTTGTTTGGTTTCTACCGGATCCGGTTCGACGAAGCTAATTTGGATAATCGCGTTCCAGCTCGGCCCATCGACTTCGAGGGCGTACAGCCGACTCGGCGAACGGGTGCAGCGCCCGCCAACTTCTTTGACGACCTGTCGGAGAAGAAGAAGAAGAAGAAGAAGAAGGTGGTGACGTCCGAGGATGAGGATTCGGACTACCGCGACAGCGATGTACCGGGTGAGTCGCCCGACGCGTCTCCAGGGTCAGCGTACGAACGGCAGATCGAGAGTCGCTATCAAAGAGCGTTCGGGACTCCTGAAGTTGCTGGTTCGTACTCGGTACCCGTCGATCGAACTCGCTTCGCTGAACCAGATTTGCTTGATTTTAGCCGAAAGCGAGGGGGCCGATTCGATCATCGACATTGGGGACGAGAGCGTGATCAACATCGGCACGGTCGGCACTGAGGGAGACGAGTTGGCGTCGACGCCTGAGCCCGAGTGGTGGGATAGTGAGTAATATTCGTATTGTTTAAGCGAAATCGTTTGCTTCGAGCTAATCCGCTTTGTAGCCCACGCTGGTATCGTCAACGCTACCGACCAAGAGATCATCGATCACGAGGCGAGGCCCGGCGAGCCTCCTTTCTCGACTCGAGTTGGGACGGCCAGCGAGGTGAAGACCAGGAGGACGGTGGTAAGCTCGTTTCGCTTGCGTTTAAGCGGATTCGGCTAAATCTTGTTCGTTTC